TAACAATAATGTCCAAGAATCGGAGGTTGTGCTGGGTACTTTTATTCCATTGTATGATTGCTTTTTTTGCTGCTTTAACCTGCATTTTTCTTCACAGTTTACCGGTAGTTATATTGTACTGTTTTATTGCTGTAATTTTATTTTTACTGCTCTAATTTGAATGTTTTTAGTTTGGGTTGTAAGCTGTTTTGTTTTTTGTTTTGTTTTTGTTTTAGCAAAAGAGGGTGGTATAAAATCATTCAGTAGGGAATTTCATCCACCAGCTCCTATGGTAGTTTCTGCTTGCCATTAGCATTCTGCCTTGCTATGGAAGTCTACTCTTTTTCAGAATGTAAAAACAGATTTGCAGTACCTAATTTCATTTGACAGCTATTGAAAGATGTGCCAGTTTCTATTGGAGATGGCTAACTACTACTGATAGCGCTGGCTTCTTTTTGCTTCTTTTAAGAACAAGGTCCATCCAAGTGCCTGAAACTTGCTCAGCCTCAGCTTTTGGGGTGGGAACTGTCCTGTGCTGGAGAAAACTTTTAACCAGTTTTGAAGCATAACTTCTTACCATTTTCAGAAAGGACTTGCAACTTTTTAAGAATAACTTTCTCAATGTACTTTTAAATCCCCTTTTGTATACAATGTGTGTGGCTTTCGGCAATGCTGCTCACTAGTGCTTTTTTTCCTAAACAAAATGTTTAGGGGTATTCTCATTTTGACTCAGGAAAATCACCATTTTATAGTTCAAATCAGGAAAAATAAATACAGTAAATGGACAAAAGTACAAAGATTCGCAAAATTTTGGGGTGTGCGTACCCCTGCGTACCCCCAGAAAAAAACACTGCTGGCTTACATACTTGTAAAGATCTGAGCAGAGTTACTCTTTGCTCTCACCAGGCAATTTCTAAAATAGGCATGTGCAACCAGTGCCAGAAAAAAGGAACAACTGCAACAATTATGTACTGTTTCAATTGATTGATTATTAAAACAATTGAAGCTACATTACTCTGTTCGGCATCTTATTTTATTTATGAGTTTTATAGACTTTTTAAAAGGCCCAGGAAAGCTTCTGGATGAATCATAACTGACACTCGGAATATTTTTTTTCTATTTATTTTACACTGCAATCTAACATCCTTCTGCCAAGGCGATTTGTAGCTTTCCTAAGCAGAGCATCTCCTCTTATGGACCCAATAGGACATATTACTTCCACAGGCATCTGGTTGGCCACTGTGATGCTGGATTAGATAGGCCATTGGCCTGATCCAACAGGCTCCTCTTAAGTTCTTACTTTTGTCCCAGACTTCAAAGAATGTGATGTAGATTAATCTGTTCTCTGCTCTAGGACTCAGTTCTGTACAGTAGAAAAATTGTCAGCACTTGCATGGTCTCCATGCATTTCACTACATGAACCGCTATGACATGGGTGAAGAATCTGTAGACTTCCAGATGTGATTGGACTCCATAAGCCCCAGCCAACATGGCCTGTGGTTAGGGCTAGTGATAGACTAGCAACATCTAGAGGGCTGCAGCCCCCCACTGCCATATACTGAAACTATAAGATATTGAGCTTTGCTCGAGTTACAGGGGAGCAACTCATTTTTTAGTTGGGTACAGAAGGTATGATTTGGCCTCCTAACTCTAGTCAGGAGCCCTACATTGACCTCTGGATTTCTCCACTGTGTGTCTCTCTGTGCTGGACTAAGGAGAGCAGTCTGGTCTTCTGCATCACTATCCCAGCTCACCTATGTGATGTCCCCTAGGCTGACCTTTAAAGCCCTAAACAGCCTCGGCCCAGTATATCTGAAGGAGCTTCTCCATCCCCATTGTTCAGCTCTGAGGGCCTTCTCGCAGTTCCCTCACTGTGAGATGTGAGGTTACAGGGAACCAGGCAGAGGGCCTTCTTGGTAGGAGCACCTGCCCTGTGGAACGCTCTCCCATCAGATGTCAAGGAAATAAGCAACTACCGGTATCTTACTTTTAAAAGACATCTGAAGGCAGCCCTGTTTAGTGAAGTCTTTAATGTTTGATGTTTTATCATGTTTTTAATATTCTGTTGGGAGTTGCCCAGAGTGGCTGGGGAAACCCAGCCAGGTGGGCAGGGTATAAATTGTTGTTGTTGTTATTTATTCTGCCTGTTCCTCTCTCCCCTATCCCACCCTATGTACTTGGTTTACTCAGATACTCCCTCTTGTCAGTCAGAGTGTCTTGATACACACCTACACTTTGCAAGGATCCCAGCTGTCTTAAACTCTGTTTACACTGGATGACCCTTTTTGTAGCCAAAGTGGAAAAGCCTCACTGCTTTAAAACATGCTGTATGTTTGGACAGAGGCAAAGCTTCTGCCATAGAAGTCCTGGCTGATCTCCTTGCTTTGGGGTGATTGCCTCATGTGCTTCCAGACCATAATATAATAATAAGTACAAGACCCAGGGCCAGAGAGCTCCCAAGCTGCAAAAGTCCCCAGTGAATGATTTCCCTTCGCTGCTGAATGTTGTGTAGAATAAGAGAAAGTGTCATTTCTCTACCTTTTATAATGGCAAGTAGATACACTGGAAAGGAAGAGGAAGGCTGTAGGCCTGAGAGAGTTCCTCCTCGCAAGAGACTCACTGTGGGTAGGCATCTGCTTTAAATGAAGGCTGATTCACAAACTGCTTCTGGCAACACAATATCCCGAATAGATAGGAAGCTCTTGTTTCCCCTCCTGATAACAGCAAGCTGAACCTAATTTCCCCAGAAAGAGAAATGCTAAGCTTGGATATCAGAGAGCCTGTGCACAACAAAATCCTCACCACTGCAGCGGAGATATGTGGAGCTCAATTATCGCAACTTCTGGATGGGATTTATAGAGGGGCAAAGGTCTTACATGCATCTCTTACATGACATTGAGAGCTTGATAGACAGATGGAGTTCTAGAATGAAGGAACAGAAGCCTTTCTGGCTACTAGAGAGACCTCAATCCTTCACTGCTAGGAAGGGCTTTCTGATTATAAAAAAGTGTGTGGGCACCTCAGGAACAGACCCAAGTGCTGCACCCAGCTGAATAACTAGCCCCTGGGAAAAAACAAATACAGGAGAATTAGATATACATGATGCACATGTATTGATGCATGCATTCACATGTGCAAAAAATATGTGTATTTGGAAAAGACACATTTTTCAAAAAAGTCTCATTTCTCAAATATTTTGAAATAGCTTTCCGCTAAGCTCTTAGTTGTTTATCCCTGAGGTGCACATGTAAAACTTATCTTCTCTCTCTCTCTTTCTCTCTCTCTCTCTCTCTCTCTCACACACACACACACACACACATTTGTGCTGGTTTGGGGATAGTGTTCTTACATTTATCAAACAGTGAAATGGTGCAGGTAAAATATCCAGCTCCCCATTATTGCATGTTGGAAAAGTTAGACCATCTCAAGTAAAATGTTTTTCTGTACCCTACTACCACCTACTGGAACAAGCCATTTCTACAGTGGTGTCTGTCACAATTGTGATAAGCAATGAAACAATTTGTTCACATATGCCCCTACTCTTACTTTTTCTGCTTTCAGCTCACTTGGCATAACAACTGGCATAATGGCTGTAGTGTCCCTACGTGGAATTAATGTTTCTGTTTAGATAGCTCCAGCATGTGTTTTGACAGCAGCAATGCTTCCAGGAAAGTGATATGGTAGCAGATGCCCTGTGTACAAGATAAAGCACAAATCAGCTAAGCACAAAGTACATATATTTAAGCCAATATACAGCCTGATCCTATGCAGAATTAGATGCCCCCAAGCCAATTAAAATCAAGGGGCTTAGGCACTCCTAACCCCACATGAGTCTGGTCTGAGTGACTTGTATTGACTCAAATCCAAATACCCTATCTTAAGTATTTCTGTGGAGCAGATTAACCAAGGGGAGCTTCCTGGTGAATGATGCGCTGTCAGAAAATTTCCCACCATTTTTGTTTTGTTGTAATGTGTTTGTTTATTGCCTAAAACATTGTAAGTTACTTTGAGTTGCTGTGGCAAAAAAGTGACTAATAATTTTAATAAATAATAACAATTCTGCTTCTACCTTCCTGAATATTAACCGTCTTGCATTACTTTTATGTTATCCCAGCGCTATATAGTAGTGAATTTCCTGGATGCTAAACATTCCTATTGAACAATTCCTGCATGCTGTTGCAGGTTCTGGTTGCATAACTCTGTGCAAAGCATGCTACTTATAGATGTTATGTTGCTTTTCTATATTAAGTGCTGAGCAGTGTTTAATATATCGCTGTGAATTTGGGGATTCCATTGAAGGAGCCATGCAAGTTTCTTGGTGAGTTAATGTGCCCTAAGTATTAGTATAAGAAAGGAAGCTGCTCCGTTTCAGAGGGCAAATGGTTGGGCTTCCTCCATCACCTGACTGGTAGTGAGAAGAACAAAGGAAGATTGGTTGTGTGCAAGAGCTGGGCTAGAAGCAGATAGCAGGAAGAAGCCTGAGAGTGGGAGCTATGCCTGATTTCTGCTTGAATCCAATGTTGTGACTTTGGGAGAAGCAAGACTTTCTGGGTTGTTAATGCTGTGAGCCCCTCAATCATAGGCTCAGGTTGTATGTATGTGTAAATAAACCATATATCATAAAGAGACCACAGCCCCTCATTTCAAGGAAACCGAATCCTGGGCAAGCACCTGGAAGCCCTGGAATCTTGAACTGCTTGGATCATGCAACAATATTATTACCTAACCACTGCATTCATCTGATGTTGTTCTGATAATCCCATTCAGTAACACTCACACTTGTGCAGATTATTCATTCAAGAAGGGGAGTAATGGAAGGGAACCGTGGTACACAAAAATATTTGCTTTCATTTTAACTTTTAATTTAATTGAAGAATACTGTTGCACAGGTGTAAAAAATCAAAGCCAGTAAATTACTACAACTTAAAAAAGCATAGAAATTCATTAACAAATATATTCTTGTTGTAACTTTATCTAGCCATCCCTCTGATCCATTAATTTTCTTCAAGAGTGCACTTCTGCTAGTCAATCAGATGAAGCTCCCAAAGTGTTTGAGAATGACAGAGATGTACAGTAATGTCCCTCTGCATCTGGAGACAAAATAAACAGTGTGATGCTTAGGATATATGAACGGAGCTATAGCAAGGTTTCTAGAGACTTAAGGCAAAACACTTGTGCCAGACCTTATTGTTGGCAGTGAATAAACGCCACTGAACACTGCAGACACACTCGCTAAAACTGCCAGGTCTCCTATACGATGCTAATAGTATATTCCTGAAGCTTCGTTTTCTTAGGCTTAATAGTGTTGTTTAGCTGAGCTTATTCAGCTGTGCCCGGTGAGGCCAAAACTGGTTTCATACTACAGTTTGTTTGTTTTTCATCTTAGGTAGTTCTGTGCAGTTCTCACTATAAAGTCTCTTTGCAAGAAAAAAAGAAACAGGGAAAAATCACTTCACTGCAGGAAAACCGGTAATATGAATCCACTGTTTTTATTTTATTTATGGGATTTCTACCACTTGATAGTATCTATCAAGAGCCATAAAACCACACAGTGTGATGTAAAACAATAAATCCAGCTTGACAACAGGACCATACACTAGAAATCATTTTCTTAATACCCATGACTAATATGAAAAGGGGTTGCATGAAAAGACAGGAAGAACTGAAGTGACAGTTAAGAATTTCTGAAGGAAAGGTAGAAAGGGATTTAGTTAGTTAGTTAAAATATTTTTACCATTTTTAAGCTGGAAAAGACTCCCAGCATGGTTTACAATAATATGATCCCTTGAAATTTAATAAACAATGTGGGGGATATTGTTTCATTTGTTACTATGTTATGCATTTTTGTGTTTTTATATTGTAAACCACCATGTGGCCCTCGGCTGAAGGGCAGTATAGAAATTTTAATAACAATTCCTTTTTTAGGGGCAGTGATGGATGCTAGCCACCCTGATTTTACACTGTTCAGCATGCCTAAACTTATTTTAACCAAACGCCATACCTACTCTGCATAGGATTGACCGGTAAGCTCCTCCAAGGTCACCTTTGTTTTTGAAATGAGAGGCTATGCAGAAAATATCACTCTGACTGCATGGTTGATCATCCAGTAAAGTGTCCAAGGTGGACAATAAAGTTTCTATTACCCTGGTTTTTCTATTACCCTAATATCCTGTTTTTCAGGCCAAAATAGTTTTTTAAAACTATGTACTTAGTTCTAAAGCTGGCATAGTTGATATTTGAATCAACAATGACAACAATTTCATGGTCTTAAGTAAAGAATGGTTCAGGTTACATCACTATACAAAAAGTAAATCCGTGAAGCCCTGATTCCAACAATACAAATAAGAATATCGTACAGAAATATTTTATTCATATTTATGTGTATGTATTTTAATCTAAAACTGATACTAAGAGTGATAACCAATATTGGTCATGTTCAGGTTAGACCCACTGAAATAAGCTACAGTTGTACCTCGAAAGCCGAACGGAATCCATTCTGGAAGTCCGTTCAATTTCCAAAACATTTGGAAACCAAGTCGTGGCTTCCAATTGGTTGCAGGAAGCTCCTGCAGCCAATTGGAACCTGCATCAGATGTTCAGGTTCCAAAGAACGTTCGCAAACCGGAACACTCACTTCCGGGTTTGCAGCGTTTGGGAGCCAAAACATTCAACTTGCAAGGCATTCAGGATCCAAGGTACGATTATATTTACTTTCAATGGGTTTACTCTGAGCTAGACAATTCAGAGCAAGCAGAAGTAAGTGTTTGTACTCTTTTCTAATGAAAGTGCATATGAAACAGACCTGAAATCTAGACTGACTCAAATAAATTCTTCTGACCCCATCTGAATGTAGTTCTTCCCTCATTGCTAACAGAAAGTGCAGCATATTAATTGTCTCCGTACACATTCACTGGAAACATCAGTATTGTATATGATTGAACCTATTATGTCTTCCTTGTATTTTCATGGTGGGTTGCAATATGGATCAATTTAGTCCATGTCATTTCTGAAACGTGAAACTGAAAATGCACCTTAAGACTAATAATTGCCATGGGGCTTTAAATGTAGATGGACTGCATTTCAATGGAGCACTGGAAGTGACTTACAGCACATCCCTAAGCATTTGTACTCAGATGTGAGCTTCACTGAAATCAATGGGCCTTATTCTTGCTGGGGAATTAAATATATAAATCCCTGTGGGCCCACATGTGTGGGTAAACAACAAAAGAATCAGCTGGGTGCCTAGATTCAAAAAGCACACAGAAAGCCCCAAGAGAGTTTAAAGCACAAAAGTCAAGCAGCAGTGTAGCATTAGGAATATAGGTTGTTAGACCCCTCTTATCTCATTTACAATGCTCCCACTCTTTCTACCTCTTTTGCAAAGAACAGACCACACACTGCTAAGTAAGTTTTAAATGCTTTACTTACAGATTCAAAGGTCTGGTACATGCATTGCTCCATGCAGTTGTAAGGAGGACACAGGCAAAATATTATTGGGTAGAAAATACAGCTAGTAGTTTCAAACACATGCTCTAAGCTTGAGAGCAAGCTTACACACATCCTCCTTTGTTGGTTACATGGTGCAGAGAGAGAGAGAGAGGAGGAGGAGGAGGAGGAGGAGGAGAAGAAGAAGAAGAAAGCCTCACTTCCTCCCTCTCCAGAGGAGGTGGAGTGACCTAGCTGAGTCTAGGAACACAGCTCTCTTTTCCTAAATCCCTTCATGCAGTAAATAACCCTGTACTTGCCACTAGCTCTATGCTTGCTAGTTATGTTTGACTGCAATTTCCAATAATTCTCTTCGTAAAAGTGTGCTTAGAATTACAGGCTTAAGTACAGTGGTACCTCTGGTTGCGAACGGGATCCGTTCCGGAGGCCCATTCGCAACATGAAAAGAGCGCAACCTGAAGCATTGTATCTGCGCAGGTGCGCGGTGCGATTTGGTGCTTGTGCACATGCGCAAAGCATGATTTAGCACTTCTGTGCATGCGCAAGCAGCAAAACCTGGAAGTAGTCCTTTCCAGTACTTCCAGGTTGCCGCGGGACGTAACCTGAAAGAATGTAACATGAAGCAAACGTAACATGAGGTATGACTGTACCTCTCATCCAGCATCAAAAACTTGGTAATGATGCAAATAGAATTAAACTGAGGGGAAACTCCCACTAGTATGCAGGAAACAGGAAGCCTGGTAAACACTCAGTGAACATAGTGGTAAAACTGAACCCAAGTTGCTAGCAACTTCTGCCCTTCTCTCCTTTTAAAAAGGGGGAAATGTGGGCATTACACACAGGGTGTGGTAGCTTTGCCCATTTATTTTTATTTCTGAAGGGCTACATGAACACATGTGGACATGACCTGTAGGTCATGCAATAAATACACCATAAAACTTTAGGTTGTTTTTTTTAATTAAAAAAACGCAGCTCCTTAGTGATGAAATATATTGCTTTGCCTGGCCACTATCCCATAATAGGTACCCATCTAATGCAGAAGTATTACCAGTAATGTAATAGATGTGTGGCAATACCAGCAATGCTGGAAATACACCCTGAGAGAGCTGAAACTAAATGCAGAAGTAAGCTCAATGATTCAAAATCCTGCAGAGCTGGTTTGACTAGAGACCATGGTGGAACACATACACCAATTAACAACTGTATTATGATTACTCTGCTTCCAAATATCTGAAAAGCTATTTTCTGTCCATGACTTTTGTACCTTGTTTCCCACAGCAGAAGAGTCAGCTGAGTGGCTGACTAGTAAATGGACTCTGAGCAGGTTTTTTTGTTTTTGTTTTCTTGACCCTGGATTTTTTCCGCTTCTCTGTGGGTGCTTTTGGTTTCTTGGCACATTCTGCCTTCTCAGCATTGCGTATTTTCAGTGCTTCTAAGAAGGCTCTTTGTGTCCATGGGGTTGGAGGGATTCCCAACCAAGGCTGAAATACAAGTAGCAAAATAAGATTTGACTTTGCAAAGCCATATAGAGATTCATCCTATCTCTTTCTTTGCAAATAATAAACTAAAGAAAGGCTTAACTTGTTCATTTTTAATATTTGCTGTCAATTTTCACATATATTATGTAATGTACAAATACAGTATATAATAACATCTAATATTGCTGTTTTTAAAATCAGTATCAGTAATATGCACAAATTAGCAATGCAATTCCCATTACATGAAAAACAAACTTTCCATTGATTTCTCCTAACCCTCTAAATGCAAAAGGCTGCACAACATGATACTTGGCATGTCCTACTTGCCCCTAAAGAACTTACTCTAGTAAACATGTTTAGGATTCCAGTAAAAGTCACAAACTGAGCTACTTGCATTTGAATAGCTCAAACTGCACAAGTTGGTGATTTAGGCAGCAATTCTGTGCATGCTTACAAACACAGGATTTACTTCTAAATAAGTGCACATAGCTAAAATGTATTTATAGTGGCTTAAATTATTTGTTGGTAAGTGCCTGTCCTTCTGAGGTCTGTGTCTGCAATCTAGGGAAGCCTCAAAAACACCTCATGGGAATTACTCTTTCATATAAGAGTGACTGTTTATTCTGCTATTATCATATGATTAAATAATTTTGCTGTAGATATTTCACTGGATATATTTTAAATAGCATTAGTATTTATTATTTGTTGAGCAGCTGTAGTTACTTTTATGTCATTGCCATTATCTATGTTAAATCTGGCTGCATATGATTTGTTAATATGGCAAAACAGCATCTTGAGACACCTATGTGGCTTGAAGCCCAAATTGAACCTCTTTTGACTAATAGGATTTATCTCCAAGTAAATAAATATGGGTTTAGAATTCCGACCTAATGCACTAAACACAGTTACTCAAGAGTAAGGCATGCTGAGGTGAGCTCCAGCCTATGGCTGTTTGCCCGGAAGTAAGGTATCTTGAATTCAAAATAATTACTCCCAAGCCTCGGCCTATAAAGCGAGATGAGCTCCAAAACCGGAGAGTCATCTGTGACTGGACTTAACTGTCAGGGGTCCCTTACCTTTAAATCTGATTTACGATGCAGGAGTAGCAACCTGCTCCACCGTGGTATCTTTGCAAAAAGTTAAGTCGCGTACAGCCTAAATTTCAAATCGGGAGTGCGTGTGTGATGATACATTATTGGATCCCGTGGTGCCCTGCTGCTTTATTGCGATTGTATGTTATGTTTTTAATAGAGCTTTTAGATTTTTAATTCTATTAACGTTCAATTGTTTTTAACGATTGTTTTCCCCCTATGTTTTTAGGTGTTCTTATTTTATGGGCGAGTTGCCCTGAGTCCCTGTTAGGGTCAAAGGCAGAGGATAAATATAAGAATAACAATAAGAATACGATTTACACTAGCACGTAAAATCATTCTATCCCTTCGTATCTCTATAATATCCTAGATACTTGTTAGAGAACAAGGACCCAACTTCCGTTTCAGACCGGAAAAGCCCACTAGGGCTAGAGCGGCGCTTTCTCTCACCGAGTCTCTCTGACCCATCGCTCGTTGGCCGTGCGGGAATCCCAGGGCGGAGCTACGTACGAAGCGGCACCGGAAGGAGAGGTCGAAAAGCCTCGCTCCTAAGCCGGAAGCCGTCGGCACGTGTTGGCCGGCGCTTCCCCATCCCGGGTGCAGGCATGGAGCTGCTTCACCCGCCACGTGTGTCCGCGCTCTCGGCCTACCGCTCCGCCGTGCAACTCGGGGACCGGGAGCTGCCGCAGCGCCCGAGGCACGGGCTGTCCGTCTCGCTGAGGCGCCGGAAGGCCAAGAATCGGCTCTCTAAGAGGGCGCTGGCCGCCGAGGACTGCGCGGAGGCACCAGGGGCCGCGAACGGGGAGCCGCCCAGGGATGCTCGCCCCGTCCCGGATGCGGCCGTGAAACTTGCGAAGAGACGGAGAAGGAATGCGAACTCCAGGGATGCGGCGGCCTCCAAGCGTGAGCGCGGCCTGGCAAGCGGAGAAAGCCCTGCTCCAGTACCCCATAAGGAGAAGGAGGCGCCTTCCCCACAGCCTCCTTTTATGGGCTGCCCACTCCAGCGCCTCCTCCAAGAGCTGGGGCAAGTTCAGCATAGCCGGCAGCGAGCCGCCAAACTCTTCGAGTGGCTCATCGCTCCCACTTCGCCTCGTCACTTCTTTGACCGGTACTGGGAAAAGAAACCCTTCTTGCTCCAGAGGCACAATCCAGGTTATTACCAGGGCCTCTTCTCTACAGCAGAGTTCGATGCCATCTTGCGTGACAGCGATGTTCGGTTCGGTGTCAACTTGGACGTGACCAGCTACGAAGATGGGAAGAGGGAGACGCACAATCCGGAGGGCAGGGCGCTGCCAGCTGTGGTGTGGGATTTCTACAGGAATGGCTGTTCCCTCAGGATGCTAAATCCCCAGGCTTTTTCTTCCACCCTCTGGCAGTTCCTCTCCATCCTGCAGGAGCGGTTCAACAGCATGGTGGGAGCAAACACTTACTTGACCCCTGCTGGTACACAGGGCTTTGCTCCTCACTATGATGACATTGAAGCCTTTGTGATCCAGCTGGAAGGAAAGAAGCATTGGAGGGTTTACAGCCCGAGGAAAGAGGCGGAGGTGTTGCCTCAGTTTTCGAGTAGCAACTTTAGCCAGGAGGAGATTGGAGAACCCATTCTGGAGACTGTATTAGAAGCTGGAGACCTGCTCTATTTCCCCCGGGGGTTTATCCACCAAGGCGACTGTCTCCCAGATGCACATTCACTCCATATAACAGTATCTTCATACCAGCGAAACTCCTGGGGAGACCTGTTAGAAAAGCTCCTTCCTGCAGCACTGCAGATGGCCATTGAAGAGGATGTGGACTATCGCCGTGGGCTACCCACAGACTACCTGCAATACATGGGAGTCCTGAACTCGGATGTTGTTGATCCTCGCCGAGATGCCTTTATGCAAAAGATCAGAACACTAATAACCAAACTAATAGATTTTGCACCAGTTGATGCTGCTGTGGATCAAAAAGCCAAGGCTTTTCTTCATGACTGCCTCCCGCCAGTGCTGACTGAGAGCGAAAAGGCATTGAGTGTGTATGGACATCCAGCACGGTGGGAAAATGGAAATGTCCAAAATCTTGATGTCCAGTTGAAGAAAAAGACACAGGTACGGCTGCTTCAGTATGGAATTGTCAGATTGTGCAATGAAGGAGATGCCACATTGCTGTATTATACTGCAGAAAATTCAAGGGTGTACCACAAGGAGGAGCCCAAATACTGTGAAATAGAGCCTGAATATGCAGATGGTATTGAATTTTTGCTTTCTTCCTACCCAAAGTATGTCAGTGTGGAAGACCTTCCTTGTGCTACACTGGATGACAAAATTGCCTTGGCCACAGTCTTATTTGAGAAGGGATTGTTGATTACTAAGAACCCTCTGTTGTCTGTATAACATGTTAAGTATGATCAAAATAAATGTGTTGGAAGAATACTCTTCTATTGTACTTACTAGAATATTTAAGATAGCAATCCAAACCTCTGAGAACTTCCTGCTTGGACATTGAAAGCTTTCTGAATAGAAAGAGAGAGAAAACCTGTTAGTTTAACTACAAACAGATTGATGCTATCTGCTTATTAAAATGCAGAATTGTGTACATAGTACATCTGGTCCAGACTCAGCCAACATGACACCCTCCAGATGTTGCTAAGCACCATCTCCCTTCTGCCCCACCTGGCATAATCAATGCCCAGGGATGATGGGTGTACTCTACTGACATTTGGATGCCATCAAATTGGCTACAACACTGTTAATTTGTAAGCCAGCTCTTTTTTATTTGTAGATCAAATTAAGGGTGATGAAGACCTTCATTTCAATGAAGTTTGCAGAAGTGTAAATACCGCATTTTTCGTCCCATAGGACGCACCTAGTTTTTTGGGGGGGGGAAATAAAGGAAATTTTTTTCCTTTATTTCCCCCCCCCACCAGGTCGGGGAAACCGAACCAGGTCAAGGAACAGCGGGTTGGCGGCGCTGCGCCTCCTTGTTGTCCCCCGAGCCTGTGGGGCTGGCTGATGTCTGTCTGGCGCGCGGGGCGCTCTGCTTCAGGGCGCCCCGGGCGGCAGGCTGCTATCCGCAGCGTAGGGAGCCCTGCGAGAACTCCCGCAGGGCTGCCTAGGCTGCGGATGTGTTCCCGAAGCGCCGGGCGCTCTGCTTTCAGCGTGCCCGGCGCTCCGGGAAGCTAGCTGCTATTCGCAGCCTAGACAGCCCTGCGGGAACTCCCGCAGGGCTGCCTAGGCTGCAGATGTCTTCCTGAAGCCTGGAGAGCGAGAGGGATCAGTGCGCACCGACCCCTCTCGCTGTCCAAGCTTCAGCGAAAGCCTGCATTCGCCCCATAGGACGCACCCAGATTTCCCCTTCATTTTTGGAGGGGAAAAAGTGCATCCTATAGGGCGAAAAATACGGTAAGTTTCTTTTCCTTTGGCAAAATAAGATCATCCAATATTTAAATATAATAAATACAATATTTCTAACAGGGATGTTTAAATTGTGTGTTTGATTAGAAATTAAAATATACAGTGACTGTATCTAATACAACTAGTAGCCATTGATCTGTGTGCACACAGAAATATGACTAGGTGACAGTTTAATTACACAACATTTCTATAAATTCATTGAAGCTAATCCTACATATTTTACAGGTGCAGGATCCTAAACTGTTTGAATATGGAACACTTATTTCTGTAAAGCAAAACAAAACCTACCAAGGATAGTGAATGCTTTTTTGTTTTGGTGTAGATAAGCATTTCAACATGACACATAGAAGCTAAGCTGTCAATTAAAAGCAGTGTTTTAGCACAATGAGTACATCAACACTGGATTTTTTAAAAAGCTGATCAAAGCAGCCTTAGCAAAATGGACAAATTTCAATTCCTCATACACTTATGTGGACAACTTCATATCTATAGGACCTACTCCTACAGCTACACTTGACTTTCTGTGAAATGTTGTTATTACCCATCCTTCATCCTAAAGCCCTAGAGCAAGTTGCAGTAACAAAAAAAATGTACAATTTAGTAAATTCCTCCCAAAAATGAGGTTTGCATCCAAAGCTGAATTTAAATGCATTGCAGAATACAAGCCTCACCTTTGGCAAGAATCTTTTGTATCTGTGCCTTGAACTAAACTGAGAATGCTCCTGATTCTTCCTTTGAAGTGGAATTGCCTTACGTCATATGTCACATGACTTGACAGCTGTGTGGACCGTCCCTCCCAAGAGTGTTCTCTGGATGGTGAACCAGTACTGGAATCAGCCTGCCAGCCAGATCCAGTTTCCCACCCCTACTTTAAAGTTTGTGCCGAGCACCCTTTCTGAAAAAAGAAAAAAATAAATATGCAAAAGCAAATGAGCATTCTACCAAACTGCTTTCCCCACCACCCTGATTTACCGGTGAAAATATCTTGAACAACATCAAGGAAGATGTCCCTTATTGAACTGTACGCAAAGACGTCTCCCTTCTCTCGATAGATGCGGTGGGCTTCCTGCCATGTGTTCTTTGTTATCTCCTTAATTTTGAGCACTTTCTCAATTACCAAGTCTTTTTGGCTTAATGTGGCAACCTGCATCAGAAATAGTTATTTTTATTGAAATTACATGCCACTTGTGATGTAAAAACTTGTGCAGGTGGTGCACAATGGAAACAAACCAAATCCAATGTACTAAAACAAAAAATACAACGATCAGTAGCCCAAAGATTAAAATTCTGTAGTCTTGGGGATGTAAGACTAAAGGTGAAACTAATGCACCAGCCCTTGTAGAAGGGTAGATCACTTGTCACTAGGTGCTCCATTCAGCAGAACTTAATTCTAGTTGACCAGATCGAAACAATAAGCTCTTACCTAAATAGGGACAGAGTGGGGCAGATCTGTATTTGGAGAGTAGGACTGCTAAATGTTTTTCACTTTCATAACTGATGTCTGTGTCTGCTTTCCACAATTCCTTCTGGTTTATATATTCACATACATTGCCTCCACTTCTTTTTCAGGGGCTGGTAGGAGCCAGTTGTGATGTGAAGAATTAGTAATGGTATGACTGGGCTTCAGAGAGCCTAGACAGTTGCATTAAGACTGCCCAGAGCCCTGTGTGCCCTAACAAGCCAGAGCTTAACTCTTCAGTAAGATTCCTAGTTTCCTTAACCTCCAGGATGTAAGACTAGAGCTGAAACTAACACATTAGTCCTCCTAGAAGGGTAGAGGGACAAAAGGGGGCATTACAGCTAATTGCTCTATAAGCTGCTAGATCTAAGTGCAAGAAGCCATGTGGTCCAGTTTTCACAGAACCATGCCACCTCCAGAATGAACATGAAGATTTTATGTGAAAGTAAGGGCACTTCCAGATGACCTATTTATTGAGCATTTGTCCTGATCGGTCTGCAGCAAGATTAGATGATAATGGCTATTTTAATTAATGTTCATTATGATCTGTTTAGGGAGATAAGAGGATGTGTCAAAGCAAGTGGTATCTCACAAGTGCTATCAAGTTTAGACTTCCTACATTGCTTACTGCAAAAAGTCTGATTTTAGGGGGAGGGGAGTAGCCCCCCCCATCAGCTATAATTGAACATCCTTAGACAGGGGGAGTATTCATAATATATTTCTGAATTCTTTACTCCTACAAAAAAAGAATCTAGTTCTTTCTGCTAATTGCAGTTTTCTCCCACCTTATTCTTGATCATCTGAATCGTTTCGTGTTCCTCTTCCTGTTCAAAATTGAAAATCTTCACAGCACGGCTCACTTCCCTAAATTGGAAACAGTGGACGGTGTGTTATTTACATGCTTCAGAGATCTCAGATGAAAGCCTGGCAGAGGAAGGAGTTCTGTCAAATCAGTACACTAGCCATCTTCTATTTTCATTTTTTCATTTCACTTTCAATTTGTATGCTGCCTTTCTTTATTATTATTCACAAGGCAGTTTACAGCAACAAAAGGTACACCAAAGAACACAGACCTTACAATAATCTGATCCGATACAAAAACATCATAATAAAACAATAAATACAATACAATAACTTCTCTCAGTCTATTTTTTAAAAAATAATATTTATTGCTTTTAAACCTTACAAAAAGAAGAAAAGAAAGGAAAAAAGAAAAGAAGAAAAACAAAAGAAAAAACAATACAATACAATATATAAACAATACAAAACGCAACATTAACATTAACACATTAAACAAAACAAAGCAAAAACAATTCAAAAAACACACATCATACCATCTCAATATCCTCTCTTTCATTCCCTTGTTTCATCGACCTCCTCTCACCTCCCTTTTTGTATTCCATTTCTATTAATTGTTTCAGCAAATCCTTTCCATCTTTCTCTATTTTCTGTCATGTAATTATCTTAACATATTTTAACCTTATTTTCCATTAATACTATAATACTTATTTATACTTAATTCCTTAAAATATTTCTACTAAAGCCGTATAATTCCCTTCCAACATTTTTCTAACACTCATTAATTTTACATTATTTCCATATATAGATTTTAAACTTTTTCCAATATTCTTCCACCGTCTCTTCTCCCTGGTCTCGGGTTCTGCCAGTCATTTCCGTCAATTCCATATAGCCCATCAACCTGGTGATCTTCTGTCCGAGGCTCTTAACTCTTTTCCAGGTCCCTTCTGCAAGTCTTCTTCATGTTTATACATGCACTTTACTTTGTCTTCTCCTGATCTTGTTCTTATTTTCCTTCCTTTGATGCTGAAAAGTAGATCTCCGGGAAATTCCCATCTAGCAATGTTTTTATTCCTTCTCAACAAGTCAGCCAAATCTCCATAGTTAGAACTGAAATTCAAAAGATATTTCCAGTCGTGTTTCAAAGTTCCTCCAAGTCTGGCAGTCCCCACAACTCCAGTCTCCTCCTGACCCAAGTCCAGGTCCCAAAGGTCAATAAACCCCTGCATGAGGGGATCTATCCAACTTTCTTTCTCCAGTCTAAGCGGGGCTCCAATCCTAAAAGTCTGACTTTCTCTAAATTCAGTCTTGAAAGGCATCAACTTATAATCATCAAATTGCAACTGTACGGCTGGGGCTCTCTCCCTTTCTACTTGTACCACTTTAGGTTCCACAGCAAAAACTTTCTCCCCCGCCTTCTCCTCAATTTGCCATGTCAAAATAGATCCCTGTATCGATTCCTGAATAATTTCTGTATTAATATTGACTTTTTGTGCCAAATTAGTCACTTTTTGTTCCAAGTTATCAATTTTTATAGTCCTCGCATCCGTCTTCTTATAAAGCTGTTCCAGTGAATCATTAATCTTACAAAATGCAACCACTAAGGCTTCTTCTGTCAACATTCTTAACGGTTCAAGGTCAATCCCAGATTCTCACAGTTTTATCTTGCAGGTGGAAATGGAAATTCCCCCAGCTCAGCTCTTGTAACAATTTCAAAGGCTTCCTCTAGGGGGAAACAATTTCTATTTGTATCAATCCTTTTAAGCACAGTTCAAACAATAAAGTTAGTTTCAATTTTCAGTTACTTTTACTCCTTTTTAAACGCAGAAGGAGACAATGGAAACAATGTATTTCTCTTCTTTAACTTACTGTCAGCAGACGATCTATTCACAGTCAATGAGCATATCCAAAACTTCAATGCTTACTAGCAGCCCGTTTCCAGGTTCAGAGCGGTGGTAATTTGACTTTCTTCACTCTCTCCTGCAAAATTTCCCCCCTCTTCTCCTGCTTCCAAGGGGGGTTTGATAATTTAACCGATGGAAGTTTAATCCTTTATGAGAGACTTTCCAAGGCTTTAGCTTGCAGCCTCTTTGCTTCAATCTATTTACAAATGGGGAAGGTGGACTTCCAGTTTGAAACCTCCCCGTTTCGGTGCCAAATTAAGACGTTTAAGAATCCAATTTTCCGTTCTACTCACGGGTAGTTGCTTTAAGATCAAATTGTCCACAGGAAAAAGTCAGCGCTCTCCTGCAACAGCAATGCAGCTTCACTCCGTGAAAGAAGCAGTCGATTCGAAGCACCGTGCCACTCACCCCACGTCGCTCCGAATCCCCGAAACCGGGTTTCCCCGCAAGTAGGGGAGGCGCAAAATGTGCCAGCTGAATCCCACGTCCACAAGCTTCTCCCGCCTGTGGTTTTTTAGTGGGTCTCCGCCTTCGCCGTGGCGGCCAGACCCTGATTTCCACGGAGCGGATTCCTCCCGATCAGAGGAATTCCGCCATTGCCGGAGGCGCTAACCCGGAAGTCCAATAACTTCTCTCAGTCTATATTTCCTATGTGCATACAGCTAGCACCTTATTCTGTGAGATATCTGCAACAGTGTAAGTAGATCCTTCTGCCCCTGCAGCAGTGCACAGTGCTCGGGTTGCAAACAATCTGTTCTGGAGGTCTATTCTTAGACCAAAGCGTTCTTAAACCAAGGTGTGCACTTTCCCTAATGAGGCCTCCCACCGCCGGTGTTTGGCTTCCAGGGCAAAGTCCGCTAACCGGAATGCCTACTTCTGGTTTTGCGGAGTTCACTGTCCGAAGTGTTCATTAACAGGACCCTTCGTAGACCAAGGTACAGTGGTACCTCGCAAGACGAATGCCTCGCAAGACGAAAAACTCGCAAGAAAAAGGGACACGACAGGGGTGCCCAATCTCCCCACTGCTTTTTATATCGGTCCTGGAGGTTCTGCTGAATATGATTAGAAGGGACCGGTTGGTTAAAGGCATACAGGTTGGAGCCAAACAGTACAAACTGAGAGCATTTGCAGATGACTTAGTATTGACGTTACAGGAGCCAGAATCTAGTACTAAAAGGGTTTTAGAACTAATTCAAGAATTTGGTCAAGTGGCAGGATTTAAACTGAACAAGTTAAAAACTAAGGTTTTAGAGAAAAATTTAACACCGATTGAAAGAGAGAGGTTTCAGAATGAGACAGGTTTGACTGTGGTTAAGAAAGTGAAATACCTGGGGATTAATATGACAGCCAAAAATGGGAACTTATTTAAAGATAATTATGAAAAATGTTGGACGGAAGTGAAAAATGATTTAGAAATTTGGTCAAATTTGAAGCTTTCACTGTTGGGTCGTATTGCTGTGATAAAAATGAATGTATTGCCTAGAATGCTGTTTTTGTTTCAAACATTGCAAATTGTGGACAAGATGGATTGTTTCAAGAAGTGGCAGAGAGATATTTCTAGATTTGTCTGGCAGGGCAAGAAGCCCAGAATAAAATTTAAGATATTAACTGATGCAAAGGAAAGGGGTGGATTTGCCCTGCCAGACTTTAAACTTTACTATGAATCAGCAGCTTTTTGCTGGTTGAAAGAATGGCTACTTCTTGAAAACACAGACATTTTGGACTTAGAAGGTTTTAACAATGTATTTGGATGGCATGCATATCTGTGGTATGACAAGGTCAAAGCGCATAAAGCATTTAAAAACCATATTGTCAGGAAAGCATTGTTTAATGTTTGGATAAGATACAAGGATTTATTGGAAAACAAAACCCCAAGGTGGCTGTCACCGATGGAAGCGAAAGCTCTGAAAAGGCTCAATATGGAGGCCAATTGGCCGAAATATTGGGAAATTTTGGAACAAGATGGAGATAGACTGAAACTGCAGAGTTTTGAGAAACTAAAAATAAAGTGCGAGACTGGCTTCATTATTATCAGATAATGGAGGCATATAATTTGGACAAGAAAATTGGCTTCCAGGTGGAAAAATCAAAATTAGAAACAGAACTGTTAGAACCCAAAACTAAGATTTTGTCAAAGATGTATAACTTGCTGTTGAAATGGAATACTCAGGATGAAACGGTGAAATCTGCTATGATTAAATGGGCACAAGATTTTGGACATAACATTATGTTTGCTGACTGGGAACAGTTGTGGACCACAGGTATGAAGTTTACGGCATGTAATGCTTTAAGAGAGAATATTATGAAAATGATATACAGGTGGTACATGACCCCAGTCAAGCTTGCAAAAATTTATCATTTGCCCGATAACAAATGTTGGAAATGTAAAGAAACTGAAGGTACATTCTTTCACCTTTGGTGGACGTGCCCAAGGATTAAGGCTTTCTGGGAAATGATATATAATGAACTGAAAAAGGTATTTAAATATACCTTCTTGAAGAAACCAGAGGCCTTTCTCCTGGGCATAGTCGGCCAATTGGTGCCAAAGAAGGATAGAACCTTTTTTTATGTATGCCACAACAGCAGCAAGAATACTCATTGCAAAGTATTGGAAGACACAAGATCTACCCACTCTGGAAGAATGGCAGATGAAGCTGATGGACTATATGGAACTGGCAGAAATGACTGGCAGAATCCGAGACCAGGGAGAAGAGTCGGTGGAAGAAGATTGGAAGAAATTCAAAGACTATCTACAGAATTATTGTAAAATTAATGAATGTTAGAATGATGTTGGATAGAAATTAAGTGGTTTCCAGCTGTAATGCTTTAAGGGATTATGAAAAATGGGTTGTTAATAGGTAAAAATTTAACGTTACTATTTTAAGACTAAAGATTAGGATAAATAAAGAGGGTAAGGATTTGCTGAACCAACAAATTGAACTGGAATACAAAAAAGGGAGGTATGAGGAGGTCCAGGAAACAAGCTAAAGGAAAACAAGCAATGGAAAATCTGTGTGTTTTTAACTAGTTTTATTTTGTATTTTTGTTATTTTTTTCATTTTTATTGTAATACTTTAAAAAAGCTTAATAAATATCTTATAAGAAAAACTCGCAAGACGAAAGAGTTTTTTGGTTTTTTGAGTTGCTTTGCAAGACAAATTTCCCTATGGGCTTGCTTCGCAAGACGAAAACGTCTTGCAAGTTTGTTTCCTTTTTCTTAAAACCGTTAATACCCAGGGTGCATTGTTTGAAGAGGTGCAGTTGCGACTTGACTTCGAGGAGCAACTCATAGCACGCGGTGTGGTAGCCTTTTTGAGGTTTTTAAAGACTTTGGTGATTTTTGAAGCTTTTCCAAAACTTCTTTAGCAGCCATTTGGTAAGTTAAACTTTTAAAACTTTTTTTTGGGGTTTTTGGATTTTGGGTTGGGGTGTTTGGAATTCAAGGACTTGGTGTTGGGGAGGGGTTTGCAAGAATCTGGAAGCTTGTGTGTTTTATTTCTGCATTTTTATGATTTTTTGTGACCATTGGGGCACTCTGCTGTTGTTAAAAAAATAGATTTCTGTGTTTGGATTTATGTGTGGTGTGTGTCTGGGTGGGTCAGGGAATTGTTGAGAAGGGGTTTTCTAGTATCTGGAAGCTTGTGTGTTTTCTGGGACGTTTGGTGCTGTTGAATTGTTTTGATGTGAAGCACTGATTTTTTGGGGGGGGGGGTTGCGAAGGTAGGAGCTGTGCTGCCATGGGGCCCAAGAAGACTGCTGCTGCAGAGGCCGGCGAGAGGAAGAAGGAGAAGGTTACGCTGGAAATGAAGAAGGAGATCATCCGGAAGCACGACGGTGGAATGCGTGTGACAGACCTCGCCAGGGAGTACGGGAGGAATCCATCGACCATCGGGACCATCCTGAAGATGAGGGAGAAGATCCTTGCGACTGATGTAGCCAAGGGAGTCACCAGGATCATGAAGAACCGCCCAGCTGTTCTGGAGGAGGTGGAGAAGTTGCTGCTCATCTGGTTAGAAGAGAAGCAGCGTGCAGGGGACACAGTGACTGAGGCCGTCATTTGTGAGAAGGCCAAGGCCTTGCACGCAGACCTCGTCCGGCAACAGCCAGGAACCTCAGGCGAGCCAGAAGTCTTCAAGGCAAGCAGAGGCTGGTTTGACCGGTTCAAGACGAGATCTGGAATCCACAGCGTGGTCAGGCATGGAGAGGCTGCCAGTTCTGTTCCTGCGGCTGAAGACTTTGCAGCGGAGTTCCTGGAGGTTGTGACGACGGAGGGCTACGTTCCACAGCAGGTCTTCTGGCTGGACGGGGATCAGCCAGAGAAATTTGAATTGCGCTTGGCGCAGCCTGTGGCCGGACTGTGTGGCACCAAGTGACTCTGATGCACCAGAGTCAACAGTGGTGCAGGACATTGTTTCCTTGGGGAGGACCATGGGCCTGGAGGTCACAGAGGAGGACGTCAGCGAGCTGGTGGAGGAGCACGACCACGAGCTGACCACCCAGGAGCTGGTCGAACTGCAGGCAGAGGCTGCGCAGGAGCAGGCCTCGCTGGAAGAGGAGGAAGCAACTGAGGAACGGCTGTCCTCCAAAGAACTGAGGGACATTTGCCAGAAGTGGAAAGATGTGCAGGTTTTTGCACAGCGGCACCACCCTGACAAGGACCTGACACGTGACCTTGCGAACACTTTTGATACGAGGGTCATGTCGTCTTTCAGGGAGGTGCTGAAAAGGCGGATGAAGCAGCAGACCATGGACAGGTTCTTCAGCAAGAAGCAAAGAGTGGAAGAGGAACCTTCTTTGAGTTGTCCCCCAGAGTCTTAGAAAATGTATGTACAGTACACTTTGGTGATTTTTAAATGCTTTTCTGTCATGTTTAGAAACTTAAATTATTGTTCCTTCAATTTTTGAAATGCTCTTTACAGTATGTGTGACTTTAAAGAGCGAGCACTTAATAAACTCTTTTTGTACCAAATTTGGCTTGGTTTGGACTTTTTTTGACCATAGGAACGCATTAATTGATTTTCAATGCATTCCTATGGGAAACCGTGCTTCGCAAGACGAAAAATTCGCAAGATGAAAAAACTCGCAGAACGAATTAATTTCGTCTTGCGAGGCACCACTGTACAAGTGTATAGCTAGAAAAGGCCTCCCCTACCGGTCCTTTGGGCTTATCTGAAGCTGGTTCATGCTTCCACTTGCCTCCTTATGTCTGCTGCACCCTCTGCAATCCTTGTGATGCAATACAAGGGGGAGGTGGGTGTAAGAGACACTAAAATCTGTCTTTGCCATGAATATTAGGCAGGTTCGGGAAGATATGGGTATTGGTACCACAGACCTGGAGTGGCACTTGGTCCAGACATGCTGGCAAAGGCCACCAATTGTAACCTTACACTGCATTCTTCTGTACCACCCTGTGATCTGCTTGGCCTGTGCAGAAGTTCATGGGAGAAGGTTATTAGGGTAGGTGGTAAAAATTATAAACTACTGAAAAAACAGATGTAGCTAGCAATTCTGGTTGGTTGAGGCTTGGAAGGAGCACATGACTATGTAGAAGAGGGGAGTGGGGTGAGGAATGGATCAGGTTTAAGTATAGTACTTCTCAGAAGTAATGTTTATGTTTACAGTGAAAGTTTCAGTCCCATCTAAGGCACTTGAAGGCCACAACTCCAGTTCTCAAGTTAATCATGAAAGTAGGCTTTACGGTTTCTTAAAACTCTGTTTGGATACTTTTTAATAGTCTAGACTATGAGTTTTATCCAGTGCTGTCTGTGCACAAGTGAAACAGACTTCTGCAGCAGAACTTCACATCACACTCCTCCCTGAAGCCTTCCACATGCCCTCAAAATTCTGCACAAGTGGGTTGGGGGTACATCTGATACAAAGTTAGATAGTCATGGGGTGTTTATGAACAAGGTAAAAATCTGCAAGGCCTTGTATCATACCCTGCCAAATATGCCCTCAAAGCTTATTCTGTTTGTGTTACTTAAGAACAGCTAGAGCTTATTCTGGACTGCTAATTCTGAAGCCACTCTAGTGTTAATCTGAGATGTGCTCATTGGAATACCTGTAAGGAAAGAAACAGAATTACAAGCAAAAGCTAAATATTAACTCATGACAGGGTTGCCAGATCATACAGGCCCTGACCCCCTAGCTACATGTTTGGTGTGTGAGAGAAGAGGACCAACTTATAAGTGTAGTTCCTCCATGTAAGGGGGAAATCCTGACTCACTCAGGGGCCACTCTTAAGTGGAGGAGATCTATACAGTGGTACCTCGGGTTACATACGATTCAGGTTACATACGCTTCGGGTTACACACTTTGCTAACCCAGAAATAGTGCTTCAGGTTAAGAACTTTGCTTCAGGATAAGATCAGAAATCCTGCTCCGGCGGTGTGGCAGCAACAGGAGGCCCCATTAGCTAAAGTGGTGCTTCAGGTTAAGAAAAGTTTCAGGTTAAGAACGGACCTCCGGAACGAAATTAAGTACTTAACCTGAGGTACCACTGTACACATAACCCGCTGGCCTTTTCCCTTATGGGGTATCCAAGAGCCCTTATAGAGTCCTTACATAGGTTCCCTATTGGTAGGAGAAAATAACAGAGGCCAACCAGAGAATATTGAGAAGCAAAGCAGCTATTAAGCCTGATCTTTATTGATCTGTTGCAACAGGGTGCTCCCCTCACTCGCAGGAAAGGAGGAGGACCCACAAAAATGCTGTGCAAGGGCTTATAAAGACTTTTGAAATTCCCATCCTGTAGATCAAGACCACCCCCAGAAACATCTACATACATCACAGAAGGGGTGTAACCTAAGACCACTCCTCAGATACATCCCACCTACATCACAGAAATTTTAATATTGTTTTTCTCCTGTTGTTGTTTATCTCCTGTCTAGCAGGTTACTTGATTGGATTTCCTGAGGAGCCTGGCCAGTCTTTTGTAATGAAAAGGCTCACACCCTTATTCAAACACAGACATATCCTTAAGACGGGATTTGTGAAGGAAAAGACAATGGGGAGGCTTTTCCATTTTGACCTTGCAGAGAAAACATTTGGTCAGTTTAGGAATCAAAATGGTTCCAGGTTGGCCTTCCTGTGCTGATCTATGTATGTGCGGTTATGAACATTACCATAAAATTCCTATCACACCAGTGAGAAACAGAACTTAGTTTCAGGACTTCAGCTTTCTTTTCCCCCTCCCCCAAGCTCAAAGTTCATTATCAGATGCTGTAAATGTGTTTCACAGGAGCATTATCCTGAAGAAGTACAGTGGTACCTCAGGTTAAGTACTTAATTCGTTCCGGAGGTCCGTTCTTAACCTGAAACTGTTCTTAACCTGAAGCACCACTTTACCTAATGGGGCCTCCTGCTGCCGCCACACCGCCAAAGCACGATTTCTGTTCTCATCCTGAAGCAAAGTTCTTAACCTGAAGCACTATTTCTGGGTTAGCGGAGTATGTAACCTGAATCGTATGTAACCTGAGGTACCACTGTAAAGGTATTGCACATCTGCCAAGAAGAACCCAGGAGAAGGAAGTGGTTTTCTAAATACATAAGTTTTTCTCTATTTATGAAACAAGGGACTTACTCTTTGACCATCTCATTTGGCTCCATAATCATTCTCTCCAGTAAAGTAGCCCGAACTGTTTCATCCTTCATCTTGAGGGTGATGAGACTACGACAGGCTTCCCTTCGCACCCCGGGATCTTCTTCATAATGAAGGGCCCAGAGGAGAAGTTCTTTCAGGTAAGGACTTGCCTCTCCTATCTGACCCAGAGCTGACAGAAAATAAAAGAGTTTCATTTCAACATTTATGCCAGGAAGGTGAGGCAATGATCCAAGCACCCCCATCACCTCAAGTTCTACATCCTACACTCTGAAACTAAATGTTACCCTTCTCCCTGAAGTGGAAGGGAGGAATTGCCTTATCGTGGGAATCTCTTTTGTGCTTCAACCTTCCTTGCAGCACAAAACAGATTATACCCAAATCATCTTTTGTAGATGCAGGTATTATTGCTGATCTTACTCATCTCTTTTTTTGGAAATCAAGCCACTGTTGACTTATTAATGCAATGACAGTCCAGGATTGTGCTCCTGGACATACCGTTTTTGGCAAAGTGTTAAATTAGAAAGCAGGATGCTGACTCTGATGCTGACTCTTGAGGCATGTAAAAAGTTTGTTGTATCTGCTCACTAAATACCGGTAAGTATGCTAGCTGTTGCGGTATCAGATAGGATGTTAAATATGGCTAGTTATTTTTGCACGCAAACAGCAGCTGCCTCTGGGGCTGATAATTAAACCTTTCCTCCTTTGCTGCGGTTCTGAGGAAAATCCTTTGCCTGAATGTGTTATTTCAGAGGTGGGAAGCCTTTTTTTTTTTTTTAAGCAATCTTCCAGGGGGCACGTACCAGTGTTGGGCAGGATAGAGGCAAAAGTGGGTAGATAAATTACGGTAATGTAAATTGCACCTTTATACAGTACACTATTTTCTACAGACACTCTTCTCAATCAGGAGTCACTATCAGAGGTCAAGAACACTTTACAGCCAAGTGAAAACATTCAAGGGGGGTGGGAAAGAAGGCCAGTGCAGGGACTGGCCTGGGAACAGACTGTGTGTTTGGGAGAGGTTATGCTCTGGGGAGAGTCCCAAGGATTAGACAGAGAGGCTTGACAAGCCACATTTGGCTGCTGGGTCCAAGGTTCCCTGTTGCTGCACTATTTGCGTTGAGAGGAAATCCCCAATTGATACTAGCAGGAGGCATTTCCTCCCAGTGCAAATACTAGCTTCAGAGAAGGGATTTCCCTCAGGATCACAACAGGGGAGGAAATGGTTACACTCGCCAACCATGACTTGTTGTGATTCTGATCATCATATCCCTTCCCTTGCAGCTTTGATTTGCAGTTTTTAAAGTGTACATATTCAATGCAAGGTTGTAATTAATGGCATATCCAGCTTGGCCCCAAGAGAGTGTACCAAGAAGTCTCTGGTTGAAATCACGTAGCAGTTATCTCAAGCGGCTTAAGCAAGAAGCTTTGTTCTCAACATCAGACATATATCTGTAGCATGAGAGATTAAAATATTCACTTATCCTACAGGGCTGTTACAAAGATAACTGGTGACAAACTGGATTTTAGTCCGTGGAAGCAGATACCATAATAATGTGATAGTCCATAAAAGGCCACAGAACTCTTTCCTGTTCTTGTTGCAGCAAAGACAGCTACTTCTCTGGAAACAATATGAGACAATATGAAGCACTAAATGCTTTGAATGCTTTAAATATGCTATGTAAATGCTAATGTAGGATCATCACTAGTCTTGGGGCTGCTTCAGTCCTGATGATTAAAACATCCACAAATGAGGACCAGCATTTTTAGTGGAACTTGAACATCCCCATATCTTTTTACAGGTTGCATCTGCACCTGAGAAGGAAATGATAGGGTCCTAGCCTGTACAATACCTTTGATAGCGAGAGTCTTGATTTTCCAGAGAGGGTCAGTCTGCATTATCTTAAAAAGGCACCTGAGCACCTAAGAACAGCAACAATAAAAAAGGTATTAATTGACAGAACCTAGTTTGCATATCGTTTTGAACGGGATGGTTCACACCAAATAAATTACAAGACTGCCCCAATAGGGAATTCCAGACTGTAATATAAAGGCAGCAGGTAGGCACGATGAGGAACCCACCAAGCCAAACATCGCCCATCAGTTGTGTACTGTAACATTTTTGCAGGGCAGACGGGTAGCTCATTCAATTCCATTGTCTTGAAAAAGCCATCTTTCCATTATGTGCAGTATTTTCTTTTCCTGCCCAAGCCTCATAATAATGAAGGAGAGAAACACAATAGCACATTTCTGCTTTCATTCACCCCATCAGAAGGTGAAGTTTTTAATATTCAATAGGGAATATTTATGCGAAGTTTTTAATATTTAATGTTTTATTGTGTTTTTTTATCTGCTGGAGGCCACGGCAACCCAATCGGATGGGCAATGTACAAATTATAATCATTATTATTATTCATCACATTCCTTTAACTTTCAATGGTGCTTAGAAGGTCTTGGCAAACTGTGCCTATAATATTTTTTAAAAATAAAGTATGGGAATGAATTAATAATAAACACAGCTTATATTATTTTATTATTTTTAAGCACAGAAAATACAGTCTATGGCGGGGTGGACTTTCAGAGACAGCTAACAGAAAGTCCACAAACCAGATCAAAGCCCCCAAGCAACTTCAGCTGAATTCACTGGCTCTACCAAAAAATACTTTGGAGATGTAGCAGAAATGTTTCCCTGGGATGAAACGGGATTGAGCTGGGATACGTAGCCTGTGACCCTCCAGATGCTCTTGGAGTACAACGTCCATCACCTCTGATCATTAGCCATGCTGATTGGGACCGACAGGAGATGGAGTCTAACAACATCTGGAGGGCCACAGGTTCTCTGTCTCTGGACAAGGGACTTTAATATAGATCTTGGCCCTAGGACCCCTGACCATTAGGTCCAGTCGTGACCGACTCTGGGGTTGCGGCGCTCATCTCGCTTTATTGGCCGAGGGAGCCGGCGTACAGCTTCCAGGTCATGTGGCCAGCATGACTAAGCCGCTTCTGGTGAACCAGAGCAGCGCATGGAAACATTGTTTACCTTCCCGCAGGAGTGGTACCTATTTATCTATTTGCACTTTGACGTGCTTTCGAACTGCTAGGTTGGCAGGAGCAGGGACCGAGCAACGGGAGCTCACCCCGTCACAGGGATTCGAACCACCAACCTTCTGATCAGCAAGTCCTAGGCTCTGTGGTTTAACCCACAGCGCCACCCACGTCCCTGATCCAGCTCAAATTGCATGTAATGAAGTCTACATCAAAAGGAATAAGAACAGTCCGGTTGAATCAAACCAAAGGCCCATCTATTTTTTTTTTTAAAGCAATTTATTGGGTTTTACAATAAAAATAAACATGATAAACAATATAACGTTTGTCTTAACATAATTTCACATTTTCTTTGGACTTCCTCACATCTCCCGCTCCCACTTTCATCGTTATAACATTTTATCAGCAATTTATCATCTTATTTAAATTCTTATATCCCTTCTATGTTTCATAATCTTGTAATTCTCGAAAGAAATTAAATTTTCACAATCTTACTTGTTTTCTTAAAGAATTTCTAAATTTAGTGGTGCTCAGTTGTTTTAATCTAGCGTCTTATTTAGCATTCACTCAAATTACAATGTTTTTGTAGATAATTCTTAAATTTCTTCCAATCCTCCTCTATCCTCTCTTCTCCCAGGTCACGAATTCTGCCGGTCATTTCAGCCAGTTCCATGTAGTCTATCAGTTGCATCTGCCATTCTTCCAGTGTGGGTAGATCTTGAGTTTTCCAGTATTTTGCGAGAAGTATCCTTGCTGCTGTTGTTGCATACATAAAAAATATCTGGTCCCTCTTTGCCACCCCTTGGCCGACTATACCCAAAAGGAAAGCCTCTGGTTTCTTAGTGAAGGTATATTTAAATACCTTTTTCAATTCATTATAAATCATTTCCCAGAACGCCTTCACTTTAGGGCAAGTCCACCAGAGGTGGAAAAACGTTCCCTCACACTCTTTGCATTTCCAACACTTATTGTCAGACAGGTGGTAAATTTTTGCAAGTTTGACTGGGGTCATATACCATCTATAGATCATTTTCATTACATTCTCTTTCAAAGCGTTACATGCGGTAAATTTCAATCCATTACTCCACAACCTTTCCCAGTCCTCAAACATAATATTATACCCAATGTCCTGTGCCCACCTTATCATAGCCGATTTAACCGTTTCATCTTGTGTATTCCATTCTAACAGCAAGTTATACATCCTTGATAGTACCTTAATCTTTGGTTCTAACAATTCTGTTTCTAGTTTCGATTTCTCCACCTGGAACCCTAATTTCTTATCATTTTAAAAACTTCTTTAATCTGAGCGTAATGTAACCAATCTCGCACTTTGTCTTTCATTTTCTCCAAACTCTGCAATTTCCAATTGTCTCCATCCTTTTCTAGTATTTCCCAGTATTTTGGCCATTTAGCCTCCATATTGGGTCTTTTTCGGGCCTTAGCTTCTAATGGTGAGAGCCACCTGGGTGTTTTATTTTCCAACAAGTCTTTATATTTTGTCCAGACATTAAACAGTGATCAAACCAAAGGCCCATCTAGTCCAGCTTCCTGTACTCACAGTGGTCAACCAGATGCCTATGAAAATCTTGGAAGCATTACCTGAATACAACAGCACTCTCCCCGCTTGCAATTCCCTGCAACTGGTATACAGAGGCACACTGCCTCTGGCACATGTATCGTGGCTAGCAGCCACTGATAGCCTTATTCTCCATGAATTTCTCTAATCCTCTTGGAAAAGCATCCAAGTTGTTGGCCACCATCTTATGGGGGTGGTTTCATAGTTTAACTATGTGTTGCGTGAAGAAGGATCTTGTCTGTCCTGAATCTCCCATTAATTCAGATTCTTTGGAGGGACCCAGGTTCTAGTATTAGAGCAGAGGGAGAATAATTTCTCTTTACCCATTTTCTCCACATCATGCATCCAGGCAGAACCCAGCCTGAAAAAGCATCACAATGTAGATGTAGCGTTATACATCCAGATGCGCACCTGCATTTATACCACATCTACTATGCATGTAGAAGGTTGGTTCTCCCCAAATAATCAGTGAGGAAGATGTATTGTTCCAGCCCTGGACTAGCGTCTGAAGAATAAGTCTCTGAAGAAGCCACCCAGGCTGCATTCAAGAAAGGAGTTTATATTTATCTCCACATATAGGGCTTTTGCCAGTCATTTTGCTGGGACTGGCCCAAGAACATTTGGCACCTAAGGCAAACCACAAAATAGCATCCCCCCAGGGAAGAAGGGGTGGGTGAAGATCTACATCAGGAATCAGCGGGAAATAAATGACCACTTTGGGAACAAAGGGTGGGAGAAGACCAGCAGCGCCTCCTATTCACCAAGAGGCTGATGCAAAGGAGGCATGGAGGGGGGGCTGCCAAGGAGGCAGCAGATCTGGCCTTCAAGGAACAGCACCCCAGCTGTCTCTGCCACTGCAGCAGCATCAGAAGGCGATGCATTGTTTGGAGGCTGAATCTGCTGTCCCTACAGATCCCGCCACCTGAGGCAGTCACCTCACCTTGCCTCGTGGGTGCACTGGCCCTACATTTTGAACACTCACCATCTCTTCTTTAATCTGAAGTTCTCCAGCTGCCCAGCAGGCTTCTTTTCGAACTGCTACAAAGTCATCAGTGAAACACTTTAGGAAGCCAGGGAGCAGCCTGGCCGTCATGAATTTCAGCCACCCAATCAATGAAAGAGCTTCCACCCTCATCCGGACATCTCCTCTTTTTAGCTTCTCCCTGAGGGCACAAGTGTGTTCTTAATGAACAGTGGTTGAACTCAGTTATTAAGTCCTGGGTGTAAAGACTTCATTTGAAGTGAAGGGCCATTAATTATAACAAGCGTTAATAGAATCAGCAACAGCAAAAACCCCTGTGTTCATGAGCTAGATGTGTTTAGCACAGGCATAGGCAAACACGGCCCTCCAGATGTTTGGGACTACAACTCCTATGATCCCTAGCTAACAGGACCAGTGGTCGGGGATGATGGGAATTGTAGTCCCAAAACATCTGGAGGGCCGAGTTTGCCTATGCCTGGTTTAGCATAAAGAACTGCAAGGGTAATCATTGTGGTGCTGTCCAAATGTTGTTGGACCCATAAGGACCAGACAGCATGGCCAATGGTTAGGGATGATGAGAGTTGTATCTCACCAACACCTGGAGGGCACCACTGTCACTCCCTTGCTGGAGAAATCCTCTTCGGAGGAGGACCTGGAGCTCCCCAAGGCAAATGGAGCAGCAGGTTGTGTCAATTAACAGTCAGACAGAGCCAAAACTTTCAGGGGTCACAGCCCTCCAACAACCTCCTCAGGACACAGGAGGCCCCTGCACAGAATCAGAGGCAGAGGCTGATCAGCCGCTGAGTCTGGGGGAATGCAGGTGGCCACGGGTGCAGGCTCAGTCAGACTGCTGCCCTCCTCAAGAGAAAATGGATGCTCCTCATTAACAGACGAACTCTTTAGGCAGCCTTGATGGCCTGCAGCTGCACTCTGGGTTCCAAAGTAAATGCACCAGTGTAATTGCACCAGTTGCCTGATTTGAGTCCAGGCCCCAGTGTCTTGACCTTGGACTGATTCTGGATTTTGCCTCTCATGTTGCCCCTGGGCATTGCTTTCAGACAATCAGACCAGTTCACATTATGGAGCAGAGGATCAATCAAGCTTTAGTTTTGTGCATTTAAAAGCATAACAAGAATTGTTATTAACTTTATCCTATTTTGTCATTACTTAAGAGCATACTAAGGGTGCAAATCCTGTAAATGACTTAGGCCAGCTAAGTGGCCTTAGGAAGCAGTATATATGATGCTCTGCTGGCAGAGATGGAGCTATGTCAATAGAATGATACTTACCCTGAAGGAACTACCTCCAGTACGTTGGCTGAAAACTCTTGCCAGGATATCTGTGGCACTGGGCACAAATGTGACTATAGGATTGCTCTGCCCATCAGTGAAGATGATGTTTCTAACATGCATATGGATCTCTATGCGTCTCATTTCAAATGCCATCAGACATTGTTGAGGTCCTCTGTTTCCAATGCACTGCCTATCTGCATTTCAGAATTTTGCAGAGGAAATGTTTTGCTAGTGATTGAGATGTCTTACCACATTGCACGGCTCTCACCTGAGTTGATCATGGACTTCTTTCCCAAGTTCCAAATGCCCCAAAGCCTTGGCAGCTGCCTGGCGTACATCAAACTTCCAATCTGTCCACATGAGCTGGACAATTTTGTTTTTTAGGTCCTACATAGAAGAACTAAGAGTAACTTTAGGCAACAGATAAATTGACGCTGAAGAAGACAAAGATGAAGATGATCATTAAAAAGCATTTATATACCGCTTAATATTTTTTAAAATGCTAAGCAGTGTACAACATAAAGACAACAAGCAATGTCACTGAAACAGAATGCAACATAAAACCAGTAAAACAGTAGTATAAGAGTGTCCAGGCATTGGTTTGAAACAGCCACACCCTCTCCTGATTCAGATGTAACAGAAACAGAGCCCCAAATCTCCCCATAACACAACTGGCAGGAAGCCAGTCCATAGTTTCCCAATGCTACTCTCTGAAAGCAGCCCTGTAGGAGCAGAACTGCTGCAACACAACCTTGCTTCACAAGGCATCATTTTAAAAGAGTACAACTGTTTCTGATGTCAGCATCTCTGTGCGGAGCAATGTAGAAAGCCTGAACACCTGGAAAAGTCTAGGAATCAAGGAAGCTTCATCGCTGGGTAGCCCTTTGGGAAGGAATGGATATTTTTTGGCAGGCCTAGGATTTCTGCCGGCTGTAGAAACCTTAACCTGTGCATCCCAACCCCAGTGCTCATATATAGAGCTGTGGTCCTACATAATGCAGGCTTGGATTCCAAGGTAAGTTAATTTAAGAAGCTCATAAAAGGAAAGCCTCCCATTCCCTCTGTCTCTCTGAGACGCCTGAACCCTCCAAAAAGCCTACTCTGGGGGGCCAGTGGCCTCCTAGGCAATGTGGGTTGGGATGCAGTGGGCTGCTGGTGGACAAGGGGATCTTCCAAAATCAGACTTGGATCATAAAATAACTTAAGAAAATCCACAGAAGGAAAGTTTTGTGATTCCCTCCCTTCTCCTTTTATCCCCAGGATACACCTGAGCCCAAGCCTCTGCTGTTTCGGAGGGCCTCCTGAGTCTCAGGTGAGGCTTTTCAGGGAACACACAGGGCTGGGTAGCGAGGAGGCAAGAGGAAACTTTCCTTCCATGAGCTTCCTTCAGCTGATTTAGTTTAGGATTCAAACCAAAGAATTTTCTGTCTATATATTCACATCTCAGTCTTTACACATTGTTTCACCACCAGTGCCATTTAGGAGCAATTTTAAATAAATCAGATTTTTTTTTTTACGCTTAACGGTGGCATCACCACTGCAACAATTCCCCCTCCCTTAATTACTATGAGTATGTTGGTGCATGTCACAAATGAAGAGATCAGTGAAACATGTTTTTCCCTCACTCTGAACTGCCAAACAATGGAATCTCTAGTAAGCTTGAATCACGTCAGAAGGAATATTTGAATCTGCTAGTGCTTCGGTCATGAAAATGGCTCTACCAATATTCTCTTATGGATGTTATAGTATGTTAGGTTCGTGAGGCATAACTTACTTGGCTGACGCTCCCAGGAATACGTGAAAATGTTTTACAGGCCAAAACCCGATGCTTCCATTGGTAGCTGTTCAATTCGGATGCCAGTAAGCAATGAACCAAGCCCTGGAAGATTAAACCAATCAGTGGAAAGCCTGAACGCACTGAAGTATAGAAGAGGGACAGAGAGGCTTGCCAATATTTTAAGGAGAGGAGTTAGGACCACCGATGACCATTTTTGGAGCTGACTGCGAGATAACAATGTGTACTGTTTTTAACACTTGATTGGGAGCCGCCCAGAGTGGCTGGGGAAACTCAGCCAGATGCGCGGGATATAAATAATAAATTATTATTATTATATGATAACTTCAAAGCATGCTGTTTGCTTTGAGGAACTGGTACTAATTGACCTGACTGACTCTACAGCTGAAACTCTTAGTGCGGCTTGTTATGAAACAAATACTAAACCATAGTAACAAATACTAAGCTGTATCAACAAAGCAGACAACAATTTCAGCATTGTAAAACACATACATCCTTAAGGCCTGGGCAAATAAACATGTTTTCACCTGGCACTGAGTATAAAACAAATATGGCACCAGCAAACTTCTCTGAAGAAGGAGGCCACAACTGAAAGCCACCATCTCTGATCAACATCTACCTTTCTTCAGATGATGTGGGGAATTCAGAGCAAGGCCTCGGAGGTTGATCTTAATATCCAGACAATTACAAATACACCATCAGTTTCTGTGCTTTCTTTCATTACAAGAAAAGAGACTGCTGCTGTAACTTCACCACTCAGGGAAAAGGGGTGAGCTATCCTTGTTTGTGATAGTATATAACAAACAGATGTCCTGCTGGAACCATTTTTTTAAATATACATATATATTAATGTTAAATTAGGAATTTCCCATTCAGTCCCACCACACACACACACACACACACACACACACACACACTTTAAAAAGAAAACACAGTGTGAAGCCATTGTCCATGGCATTGTGATAATCTGGACTGGAATACTGCAACTAACCAGAGTCATCTGACTAATCTACTTGGAATCCAGGGAGAAATAATGCCATAGTTCACAAGATTATCATTAATCCCAATGGAAAAATCTGTTGAGTACAGCAACTGGCCTGGCCACTTATTCAGACAGAAAGCAAAATAATTTTTGATGTGAATGTTCCCTGCGGGATTCTGTGCAAGGAAGCTGAACCTGCCCCTTGGGCCCAAGTCCACCAAAGTAGAACAAGTCTCACGCCTGTCTTTTCTGCAACATGCATGCCTTGTGCTACAAAGAGTGTCCAGTATCTGCATTCAACAGTGGGGGGCAAGCCTGAGTAAAATAAATATCAGCAGGCCACAATGGTTGTGTGTTTACAGCTTGTTCTTTCACCTGAGCCTTGGTACTTACTGTTTGTCGGCTGAGTCGAGATAATAAAATACAAGCCTGGTCTTCTGTGGCATCATCCTCCTGCTCAAAAATTTGAGTCAGGATCCTTTTCACTACATGGAAACTTATATTGCCTTCCATTGCCAGGGCTTGAGCTGCAGTCCAACTGTCTGTACTATTACCTAATAGCAAAAGAATTACTAGTATATAATATGACGCTCTATAAAAAAGACTCTCATTCCAGCTTGGTCTAATGCAGTAGCGGGAAGCCTGGAACTTTCCAGATCTCACTGAACTACAGCTCCCATCATCCCTAGGAGCTGGTCATGCTGACTAGAGCCAGTGGGAGTTGGAGTCCAATAAGATCTGAAGGGCCACAGGTTAGCCATCCCAGATCAGATGCAAGAACACATAAAACTTTTAGTTTAATACACACACCACTTTTAATTATTAGAGTGTTTGCAGTCTAAGAAAGTGATTGGTAAGCACAGCAGGATTGTTGAAAAAGTTACACTTTTTAGGAGGAGGCGGCATTCTGCCAGGAACCACTGTGGGGCTGGTGTACTGAGCCTGATTATCCTCTTCCAAAGCAACTACTCTATTCCAAACTTATAAATGGTAAGCATAATGCTGGTGGTCAACAAAAGAGGTTCAAAGACTCTCTCAAAGCAAATCTTTTTTAAAAAAAGTAGTATAAACACCAACAACTGGGAAACACTGGCCTGTGAGCGCTCTAAGTGAAGAACAGCCTTTACCAAAGGTGTCATGGGTTTTGAAGATGCTTGAACTCAGGATGAAAGGTAGAAATGCGCTAAGAGGAAGCCACGTTTGGCAAACCCTCACCATGATCAACTCCCACCCGGAAACCTATGTCCCCACTGTGGAAGGACGTGTGGATCCAGAATTGGCCTCCACAGTCACTTACGGACTCACTTTTAAAACCGTGTATATGGAAGACAATCTTACTTGACTACGAGTGATTGCCAAAGAAGAAGAAGAAGGTGTACTGAGACACTCCACAGTGGCCCCATCAAAGGCCAGCAGAGCCAGTCTGGGCTGTGCAGAGGGACACTTCTGCCTCAACCATTTGCCTTCTAGCCCGGCAGATCAGGGCTTTGTATTGCAGCTTTAGCTGTGACTGACAGTGCAATCTTATACGTGTATACTCAGAAGTAAGCCCCATTGAGTTCCCAGGCACATGCATGTAGATTTATAGCCTAACTATAGGTGGATTTGGGCCCTAGTCTGACTTCTTTTTGAATATTCTTTGTCAGAGAAAATGTTTTCATGGCTTTGGAGATGCTTGATATCCACAAAACAGTTCCTATATGGAAGAAAGAGGAAAGTTATTTTGCTAACCATTTATCAGAGCATCCTTCATGATGGACCGTGCCACTGGATTCCACTCCCCCATGGCATAGAAGCCCACAGCAGCAGCCATTCTCACATGAGCATCCTTATCAAACAATGTATTTCTAAGCAAAGGCTGTATTTTCTTTGGTATATCTTCAACTTCTAAATTCTTGCCACCAGTTTCTATCCCTATTACTGAAAGAAAGAGCAGAACATTCACATGTAAATATTTTTGCCTTCCTATGCAGAAATTATGCCAGCTCTTAAAAATAAGATGTTTCTTTTATTGATGGTCAGCAAGCACTCATTTTATAAATATGCTCACTATGAAAACTGTACAGTGGTACCTCGGATTACAGACACTTCAGGTTACAGACTCCGCTAACCCAGAAATAGTACCTCGGCCAACATAGTTCTGTAACCTGAAGCGTATGTAACCCGAGGTACCACTGTACTAAAAATCCAGGAATCTAAATGGCTAGATTGGTATACTTTGTCTGATACCCTTCCTGGTAGAGATGGATCATAAAATCATGCTGATAGCAGTTAACTAGAAATAGCTGGAACTTTTGCCCTTTGGACCTTCTGTCTTTCACATTGTTCGTTCATTCTTTGACTAATCCTTAGCTTCCAAAGTTCGCACAATTGGAGTGGGTGGAGTGAGGGAAGCGGAAAAAGGAATGGTGACATTCAAAACAGTGCAATATGTTGGCCCAGAATTGGAAAACAGATGTAATACCTACTATTATTGAATGGCAGGTTAAAATGATGAATTACGCAGAATTGGCCAGATTATCAGGGAAAATACGAGACCAGGACGAACAGAAGTTTTATGAAAGTTGGAGTAAATATTTGGTGTATATAAGAGATAATTGTAAAACCTTAAAGACACTGGCAGGGTTAGACTAACTCTAACAGCATATGGTCAACCGGATAAACAAACAGAATACGCGATGTAAGAAAATGTACGATACTTACCGAAGGGGTGGAGGGAAGTCTGAAGCTCGGCAGAGCCAAAGATATATGTGAGATTTATTTGTATAATGAATGTATGTTTAATGAAAATCAATAAAAAATTTATTTTTAAAAACAAAACAAAAACAGAAATGGTACCTCGGGTTAAGAACTTTGCTGCAGGATGAGAACAGAAATCGTGCGGTGGCGGCAGGAGACCCCATTAGCTAAAGTGGTGCTTCAGGTTAAGAACAGTTTCAGGTTAAGAATGGACCTCCAGAACAAATTAAGTTCTTAACCTGAGGTACCACTGCATGGCACTCTCAAGACCCTGTCCTCTGATGATTTCAGAAAGGTTCTCAAGTATTCATTCCAAAAAAAGCCTTCCCATTCTGACAGAAGAAGGCATAACAGCTGAGGATCATGGGGGGGGGGGGGAATTCTATGATTTGGCCAAGAACCCAAAGTAAAAGACAGTGCTTTTCACCCTATAACGTTGGCACCTAGTCATTCAGACAATATGGTCCAAATATTTGGAGCAGTGTGATTAGTTGGTTTCAACTGTACAATCCTAATAGTGCAATCATATACATCTTTACTGGAAAGTAAGTCTCACTGTGTTAAATTAAGCATTCTCCTTAATTTGGGTAGGATGACACCCTAGCTGTTTTGTCTATAAGCCAGAGGTACTTGGATCCATGATAGTCTGTATTCCAGTCCTAAACAGTTGTGCCACCTTACCAGCCTGCTATACCAGAAAAACCACAACAAAAGTTACAACAGTTTCCAGTAGAAGCTGCTTATACCTGACTCATCACTTGCATCGTGGACTTCATGGGGCCGCTCAAGCACAGCAGTTGCGCAGGTAAGTATAGCATTGACCCGATTTTGAATGTGCACATCTGCCAAGTCTCTGATTAATCCTTCTATAGTTGCTGAATGCCATCGTGGACCTGAGCATTGAGAAGAAAAATGTCACACGGCAGCTGTGGAGCAGGAGAAAAAGAAACAGCCTCCCCCCAGGGGGAGCTGAGGACATTTGACAGATCATAATTGGGGGAATATGTCACATAAAAAAACCTGCATTTACTTGCATGGAGTTTTCTTTTTAATATATGGTGTAATGTGAAAGAGAGAGTGAATCTTTGATTTTGGCTGGCTTCCCTAGGGCCCAGGGGAGCAAACCTGGATCTTAGAGGAGCTAAACTTAACAATCACCAAACAATTATTGAAATATACCCCACGACATTGCTTTTTGATGGAAGATTCACATTTGGAACACTAACTTGGAACACTAATTTGGAACACCATGGGAGATTCATATTTGGAATACTAACTCATTAAAAACTCAAAGATTGCTGCGCCATAAATCCGATCAAAAGAAGGAGAGTTGGCATGTACGGAGAGAGTTGGGAGAGAGCCCAGAGCCTGAAAGATAAAATACTGAAATGAAAGATAGGGCCACTGAGAGGACTATGCTGAAAATCAATTGAAGGAAAACAACACAGAATAAACTGCCTCCTGCATGTTAATAGAAATATAGATTTGTTGGACATGATAGAGAGTCATGCACCAGGACTGTGAAGATAAAACAATGGGTTAAGATAGGACTTATTAAACTGGGGGGAAACAAGAGAGATGAATGCAGGAATAACTGAAAGAGATTTTCTCCAGACATCCAGAACATGGGAAGTCCCCTTGAAATTTTTAAATTTGGAATGTATAACTGGCTTTAATGTTTGTTTTATGAAGTAGCAAGATTTGATCTGATTTGTTACCAATTAGAATATTATTAATTGAAAATTAATAACAAATATTTACAAAAAAGAGGGAAGAAAAATGTCACAATAAAAACCATAGGTGTGACTATCCATTGCAAATATGTGAGTTTGCAAGCTTTTATCAGCTGATCTAATGAAACACGTTAGTTATGTCATCTAACAACTATTGGCCATAGCAATGATAATCAATAGGAAAACAGTCGTTATTTTAATGGCCTATGGACGATAAAATGCTCACCATATTTCCAAGCAGCCTTCCACTGTTCCAGCATAGTCTTACGGATACAGATTTCCTCAGACGCATCCAGATCAGTCTCTCCATACAAATATCTTCTCTCTCTCTTAGCTGGTTCAAGGGATTCGGTTTCGCTCCCTTTGGTGAAGTGTTCGATGACAGAGGGAAGCGCTGCCCAATGGATGGCTCCCTTCTGCACCCTATGAACTGAACCAGCAGTGTTTCAGTGGAAATTGGTTAGTAGCAATCCATACTAACCCTTGCCAACAATGACATGAATGGACACAGAAAGAAAAACTGGAACAGGGTTAAACACCGAGACTATTTCAACCTTGAAAATACTACCAGCTCACATGTGGAGATTTGCAGCACTAGCTTATAAAATAATTGAGAAAGATGGCTGATGGCCCAACAATAAATTAATTCAAGTAAGTCAAACCAGACCAATCAATTAAGGATTTTTATTATCAGGAAAATTCATTCGCTTTGTGAAATCAATTAAGGTTTTTTTTAAAAAAACAGCCAGGCTCTCTTTCAATCCTATTTAGTATAGGGAAAGTAAAGCAGAAGGAACAACAATTGGCTTTGTAAGGAACTAGAGCTCCCCAAAAGTCCTGTTCCTGCAGAGGAGACAGGACCACAACCAGAGGCGGATTTAGGGGAGTGTGACCAGTTTGGTTGTACTGGGCAAGGAGCCTCAGGAGCACCACAGGAGGCTACGGAAGGTAAGGGGTGGGGCGTGCCGAATTTTGCCATCACACAGGGCATGCTGAAATTTGAGACCCCAAGGCCCACCACTGCCATAATAATAATAAAATAATAATAATAATTTATTATTTATACCCTGCCCATCTGGCTGGGTCCCCCCAGCCACTCTGGGCAGCTTCCAACAAAACACTAAAATACAATAACCTATTAAAAGCTTCCCTAAACAGGGCTGCCTTTAGATGCCTTCTAAAAGTTTGGTGGTTATTTTTCTCTTTGACATCTGGTGGGAGGGCGTTCCACAGGGCGGGCGCCACTACCAAGAAGGCCCTCTGCCTGGTTCCCTGTAACTTGGCTTCTCGCAGCGAGGGAACCGCCAGAAGGCCCTCGGCACTGGACCTCAGTGTCCAGGCAGAACGATGAAGGTGGAGGGGATAACTGAGGGGAGGGGAGCTTCCCACTGAAAGGTAGAAGAATGCAGTATAAAGATTAACATGGCCCTCCCTGTGTAGAGAGCAGGAGGAGTGATCCATCTCAGAAAACACTGAATAGGCGGAGGTGTACCTTGACTCCCTTGTGCCCTTGGCAAGGAGCTGTATCAACACCTCCAAAGTCAGGAGAGACCATAGACCATAGACCAGAAACTCAAAAAGTTTGCTTTTCATTGCCTTTCACACACCGTTGGTGACTTCCTCTGTGGCCATCAGGGTCCACCTGCTCTGCTCCACCTCCCCTCCTCTTCCCTCCGTCTGTCTGCCTCCCCCCCTTCCCATGCTGCTTTCCTTCCTAGTCACCCAAAGACAGAGTGGAGAGGCACGACAATGAATTCTGCATTGCTGTATGTAAGTCTCTTGACATGTCTCTTATCCTAAAGCCCTAGAAGCGATCACTCTGGTATTCTGTGCCTCTTTCTTTGGAATCCCTACAGATGGATGCTTCAGTGCATCAGTCAATTCTTTGTCCCAGTCTGTACTTGGACCCGTGGGATGGAACAAGTACGTAATCGCCTCTTACCTGTCTTTTTTGGTGGCATGAAGCTCCAGACCTCTGGAGGCCTTGGGTAGCATTGCTGGAGCTGTTTATAATATTCATAATGATTATCCATAACAATAAGATCCTTCTTGGTCTTTTGATGGACAATTTTGGCTGACCCTAAATACACACAGAAGACAAAAGAAACCACAACTAGATAGGGATGATCCAGTTCCTGTTGCCCAGAACTTTATGGTGGCATATGAAAGGCAGTGTGGTGTAGGGGTTACAGTAAGAATAGTCAATGTCATGCCCTCCAGACGTTGAGGACTGCAACTCCCATCATCCTTGACCACTGGCTATGCTGGCTGGACCTCATGGTAAAAGTTGTTGTTTAGTTGTTTAGTCGTATCCGACTCTTCGTGACCCCATGGACCAGAGCACGCCAGGCACTCCTGTATTCCACTGCCTTCCGCAGTTTGGTCAGACTCATGTTTGTAGCTTCGAGAACACTGTCCAACCATCTCGTCCTCTGTCGTCCCCTTCTCCTTGTGCCCTCCATCTTTCCCAACATCAGGGTCTTTTCAAGGGAGTCTTCTCTTCTCATGAGGTGGCCAAAGTATTGGAGCCTCAGCTTCACGATCTGTCCTTCCAGTGAGCACTCAGGGCTGATTTCCTTCAGAATGGATAGGTTTGATCTTCTTGCAGTCCATGGGACTCTCAAGAGTCTCCTCCAGCACCATAATTCAAAAGCAACAATTCTTCAGTGATCAGCCTTCTTTATAGTCCAGCTCTCATTTCCATACATCACTACTGGGAAAACCATGGCTTTAACTATACGGACCTTTGTTAGCAAGGTGATGGGAAAAGTAGTCCACAACATTTGGAGTGCATCACATTGTACCTCTAGAATAGACTTGGGGGAGTCCTGGGGAGTTCAAATCACAGCACAGACACAAAGCTTACTGGGAGGCCATAGTCTGATCATTATAATTCAGCCTTCCCAAGGTTGCTGAGGTAGATGAGAATAAAACTGAAATAATGCACAAAACAGGTAAAGGTAAAGGGACCCCTGACCATTAGGTCCAGTCGTGACCGACTCTGGGGTTGCGGCACTCATGTCGCTTTATTGGCCAAGGGAGCCGGCGTACAGCTTCCGGGTCATGTGGCCAGCATGACCAAGCCGCTTCTGGCGAACCAGAGCAGTGCACGGAAACGCCGTTTACCTTCCCGCCGGAGTGGTACCTAGTTATCTACTTGCACTTTGAAGTGGTTTTGAACTGCTAGGTTGGCAGGAGCAGGGACCGAGCAACGGGAGCTCACCCTGTCGCGGGGATTCGAACTGACCTTCTGATCGGCAAGTCCTAGGCTCTGTGGTTTAACCCACAGCGCCACCCGCATCCCTTCTCTTTTTAAAGGGACCCCTGACCATTAGAACGCACAAAATAAGTGCATACAAATAGTTCTCTCCTAATTTTCCTGGACTCAGCTACGTATAATATTTAAAAATGTGACAGGGAACAACTTAGGATGGGATGGCAGAAAAATGACAGGATATGCACAGGCTACCAAGCATTACCAGAAATGTATTGAGCTGTGATTGTATGAATCCGACAGTTGATCCAATGCAGTTGATCTTTGTGCAAGTAATCTTGGATCCAAATAATGCTTGGATCGTTCATATCTATACAATGCTAAGCAAAAGGAATTATAGTTCTACCTACCAAAATAGAGCTCTTGTTCAAACACATTCTGGGTAGTGTATGAGTACTTTCCAACTCGGGCGCTCAGCCGTTCTCGAAGTTTAGTACGTGCCAGATGTCTGAGATCCTTCTTTGCTATATCATCCGCAGTTTTGTTTATATCAACTGAATCTTCCACACCACGCTCTCTCATGTGGAAAGATGGCCCCCTGCGAAATGAGAAGAATACTTCCAGCTGAGAGCACTGTACAATTTGCAATTCACTCAGAACAAGAACACAGGTCATCACACACATATGGAAGCCTACCAGGTAGGGTTGTCAATTCTTGAAGTAAAGAATTTGGGTACCTGGGAAGGGCCCTTGGGCAAAGCCCAGAGGGGGACCACGCTGCCATTGAGGGTTGCAGTCTCAAGCAGTGCTTTTTTTCTGGGGGGACGCAGGGGTAAGCATACCGCTCAACATTTTGTGAATCTAAGTTTGGCCTCACTGAGGGGCAGTATTTCAATATGAGTAGGAAAATGAGACTACCCCTAAACATTTTTTTTTAGAAAAAAAGCACTGATCTCAGGCAAGTTTGGGGACAGAATTCAGTGTGACCTGACAGAAAACAGAGTTGTGCCCCCCAACGTGCCCAGTGCCAAGTATATGTAAAAGCTGCAAAGAATCCATCTTTTAAAAAAGGGGGGGGATCTAGAATGATGGTGGAGAAACAGCCTAGCCTCTTGCTTTTTTGGCACTTGCCCTAAAAACCAAAAATTATTTTTCTGTTTGGTTGCTTGGTTGCTTGGTTAGCATCCCTGAAGCCCCAGCCTCAGTGAATCACATGCCTTTGCTGTCTGCCAGGGTCTGCAGAAACACCACTCAATACAGGCTAATTTGGCTTGGGGAGCCACAAGTTGTATAGACCCAATATATACAAAAATAACTGCTGTTGCCAAGTTGCTTAAAGCATTTTATGTACATGATCTCAGCAACCTCAGCTTACACCAGCAGCATTGTTGATAATACTACATTTCTTATTTTTTCCCCAGGGAGGGTTACAGCATAGCAAATGTAGTATATGCTTCATTTAGAAATTACTGCCCCTTTTATCTGACACTCTTCCTCCTTCAGAGTATAATTCCCATAAGATCTTTTGCAAATAGGACAGAGTTTACTGAATTGTGACCTACTTTACTCTACCTTTGTTTATTAAAAGGAGAACCTGAGGCCAGCAGGTGAACACATTCTTAATCCAACAGGCTTTTGGGAACTGGTTGTTTTAATGAAAGGGCTGGTGCTGTGCTGTATTTATTGATAGTTTTGATTCTATTAATGTTTAATTGTTTCTATGTTTTTGGCTGGTCTTATTTTATCTGTAAGCTGCCTTGAGCCCGTCAGGGGAAAAGGTGGGGTACAAATATATACAATAGTTTTCTAGTGTTATCCTGGCCATTTATTTGTTTCTTTTCTATTCCAGGTCATCCTTTTAATGCAGGGGTTCCTCAGCCTTTTGGGAATCCTGAGAAAGTGTTGTGGTACCACAAAACACCAATTTCACAGAAGAAAAACTAGTAATGTTCAGTACCTCCACCCAAAACAAGCAACACACTCCCCTCAACTAAAATACCCTCCCACAAAAAATACAGTAAAACAAGCAAGCAACGCCCACTCCCCAAAAACAGGCACCTTCCCCAACCAAGAAGGCAACCATCAATTAAAAAATGCATAAAAACTTTATGAGGCCTTGGTGGATGCTAAGTAGGTTTCTGAGAGCACCATGGTGGTTTTGAACAAAACAGACTGTGCTCAAATAACTGATTCTGTGTTCCCTTTGAAAAAATTGATACAGGGTAATGAAGTCTTCTTCAAGCTCCAAAGATCTCAGAAAGCTGCTCCATAGTAACTCAGAGCAGGGCAACAAATATTTGCAATATCTAGTAGCAACTGAAGGCATTTTTGTTCTGACCAGCTTTCCCACCTGGATGAGTAACTTTCTGCCATATGTGTCCATTTTGCGTTTTTAAAAACTCATCTGTTAATTTTTAGGCTGCGTTGTAACTGTTTTTATCATATATTGTGTAATTTTACTTAGCTAATTACCCATAGAATGGCCCTCATGGGGGTGTCACAGAAACCCATATTTTGTCCCATCATCCTTCAAATGAGGATTGGAAAGTGAGGGGAAAGAGCAGCTTTTATAGCAAAAAAGTATAGGGCTAAACCTAAGATCACAATCCCATTAGGCATGTTTCTAAATAATGAGTTTAGCATCTAAATGTAACACACCTTGATGCTCCAGTAAAACAGGTATTTATTTGTCTTACCTATAATAATAAGCAGAGAGAGGTGTCTCCGGTTTCTTCTCTTCATCTATTTGAATTTGAATCTGACCTTTCACTACTGTATCCTCAGCCTGAATCTGATCCAGTAATTCCACATCGCTTTCATCAGGAAGCACGTACCTGATGCTTTCCCAGTTATATTTTTGCTTCTTGAAACCTGGTGGCTTACCCTGAACCCAGCCTCCCCAGGTGGGCTGATTATTCACAATGAATTGAGCTGTAGCCTTGTTTAACTTCACCAACATTGTTCCTTCCCACCTCAGGTCCCCAGGATCTGGCTCATGGACTGTGGTGCCCTGGGGTCTTGCTTTTGACCTCTTGATTGTCAAGTCTCTTAACATCTCATGAGGTTCTGTCAGGAACGCCTGTGTGTAAGGAGGTTCACAAGAAGGAGGAGGGGGAGGAGGTGGAATAGGTACCAGGAGACTTGGCTCTGAAAGTGTGCTTTCTACCTTGGCTTTCCAGATAAGCTCTTCCATGCAGACAGGAACATCAGCGGTGGTTTCTTTGGAAGGAGGCGTGTCTGGCTTCATTTCCAGGGACTGTAATTTCTTCAAAGGTTTGAGCCTACTTGGTCGCCTTTGCTTCTTAACAACAACATTTTCACTTTCTTTTCTCTGAATGACACTGGAAAAATCATACAATCCCCTGGGGTCATAGTCCTTAAAGGACTGAAGCATTGCCCCTCTGTGGTAAACAGCTTCTTTAGAAAAATATAGGTTCTTGGCTGCATTCTGGAGGCATTGTTTCCGGTATTCTGCATAGTGCTCTTCAGCATGACGAACATCTCTCTGGTACATGAAAGGCATTTTTGCCCTCATTGCAGACAGCATTGCCTTGCGAGATGGCAAGCTGTGTCTGTCAACTCTGGCCTTCAGACTAGACTCAAGGGGGAAGGGATTTTTGCTCTTGAAAAAAGTTGGTATTTCCATCCTTTCAAGACTGGTGAGGCTCCTCACTAGTGGCTAACTTTTCATAAATCTTTAGAAGTTAGACTTAACGGCTGTGTAAAGAAACAGATATCCCACTGTTTTCTGAGGGGACACTCAAGCTTTTCCTAAACCACAGAGAGAAAATAAATAATCCTAACAGATTGTAAAAGACCATTCTTTTAAGATTCAAGCCAGGCTTTCTCAACCTCGGCCCTCCAGATGTTTTTGGCCTACAACTCCCATGATCCCTAGCTAGCAGGACCAGTGGTCAGGGATGTAGTCTCAAAACATCTGGAGGGTCGAGGTTGAGGAAGCCTGATTCAAGCAAACACCCAACACCACAATTCTTCCCCAAACAGGCTATCACTGCAGAATGCTGGTATCGTTGAATCTCCATGATGACCTATTTACCTTTGATGGTGGATGCAATGTGATGTGGAAGGAGGAGGAGATGCTATCATGCATGATTTATTTTATATCTTACCCTTCCTACCAAAGAAACCCAGGGCATCAAACAACAATAAAAAACCTATTTTAACACAATTCTAATACAGATGCAAACTGGGAAAGATCTCATCTGAAAAGGCTTGTTCAAGACGGACAAAATGAAGCCCATCTGCTGTTCTCTACTTCTGGCTCTTTATAAGCAGAAAGAGAGTAGTGGGAAATTATCATTCACTATGTTAGCATATTGCTTCACCAGTCTAGAGAGCCAATGTGGTGTAGTGGTTAAGAGCGATAGACTTGTAATCTGGGGAACCGGGTTCACGTCTCTGCTCCTCCACATGCAGCTGCTGGGTGACCTTGGGCCAGTCACACTTCTTTGAAGTCTCTCAGCCCCACTCACCTCACAGAGTGTTTGTTGTGGGGGAGGAAGGGAAAAGAGACTCCTTCAGGTAGTGATAAAGCGGGATATCAAATCCAAACTCTTCTCTTCTTCTTCTAGTGTCACCTCTTTGTCACTAAGGCATGCTCCAGAATGGGTTAAAACTCATGTCATGTCGGCACTTGGGATCCTAGGAGTACTGCTTCAATAGCCTATTACTCTACAGTACAACCTACAAATTACCCTATCTGTGTTTAAACCATTGCTCTGCTGAAGCTGCTAGAGCTACAGCAGCATTAGCTTTAAAAAAAAGTCCTAGTCCAAGTAAATGTCATTAGGATGCTGCTGTGAATCTCTGATCTTAAACTAAGCATAACTTGCCCTGGCACACAAACAAAAAATATTTTTCACTGTGCTGACAATAGTTATCCCTTTCTGCATCAAGAGGTAAGATTTCTATCCTATTATTGTGCACTTGACATTGTCAGTTCTTGTCCACAAATATTGCTTTTCCTTCAGTACCCTAATCCAAGCCGAAGTGCTATTAACATTTCTTACTTGCAAATGTTATTGCTGTCAGCTTTGCACCCTGCAGGACTTGTTTCTGCCTGGAATACATGAGCTGGAATAATTTAAGGATCTATGGTTCAAAGAAAACTTGCTCATGATGAGTTATTAGGAATTTTTAACTACATTAAATATTAATTTTATTGATTAAAATTATGCATTTATCCTAGTTTATAACCCTGTTCTTTCCTCTTTTAGTGCTCACTCCCTCTCATAACACTTATGCCACAATGAGGCTGCAATCTATACCTGAGAAGAAACCCCACTAGCCTTAATGGGGCTTACTTCTTAATCATACAGCCAGTCTGTAAATCTTTAAGGTGCCCCAAAATGTTTTTGCTGTCTTCTCTTAAAGTAACATCCATGTTTCAGAACATACCACATTTACGTGAGTCTAATGTGCCATCGAATCTAATGCGCACCTCAATTTTCAAAACCTTGAAACCAAAAAATGTATTTGCTGGCCAATGTAAATGTGCCATCGAATCTAATGCACACCCTTAATTTTCACATTGTAATTTGGCCAGAAAAGGTGAGTGTTAAACTTGAGAAAATACAGTAATATTTATACAATGTGCTACGTTAATTCCTGCTACTGTATGGAAATGTTTTCAACAATCATTTTTTTAAATGTTGTGATTACAATCATTAGGAACTTAGGTCTCTACATTAAATTACTACAAGCCACTGTGCGCAGTCACCTTCTTTGTTCTCTGCAATCTTTTGTTAAGTTTAAGTTGGAAAATATACATTGCAATATTGTACAAGAATCTCTGTTTTTATGTGAACCACTCCCGACTTCAGCGGTCTCAATTACCTGCCTACCTTGGAAGTAGTCCCGCGGAGAACCCTCCTGCAACACCCGACGGAGCTAATGAACCGAGGTGAGATTTTTACCAACTTGACCTTCATAAGATAAATAATGGTGACGACCAGGAGTGGCTGTAGAACACCAGGCTTTTATCGGAGTGATCTAAGACCTCTCTCTAAAAGAGCTACCCTAAAGGGAGCTCAAACAAAAAGCACTCGGCCCCTTAAGAATAGGGGTAAAGTCAAGCCGAGTGAGATTCAGCAGGAAACTGAAACTTCTCCCCCCTGCACTGAAGGGCCGGCTGTGCAGAGAGAGGATTGTGTAGAAGAATGTCACAACAAAGGGCCAATAAAGCCCAAAGTAAATCCAAACACAATTGGTACAGTCACCGAACTACTCCCAAAACAGAGACTTAAATTCCTTCTCTTGAGCCATCCTGAGTCCGAGAAGTGGAAGAACTAATGTTAAAACAAATTGCAGAGATGTCTTCGGGAAACCCTAAAACATCAAGAGACTCCTGCTTCCAACTTGAGACAAATGAGGATGAGGATTTATCAGTTATCAAATGGCTTGTGCTTTTAACTGAGGATATCGAAAAAACATCCCAACTTCAGCCAATTTCATATCCCTGCTTCTTTGGATTCCAGGGTATTTCTTTTTCTTGTTCTTTATGAAGACTGAAAAGTTTGTACTAACCTTTCAGAATGGCTTTCACAGATCTGCTCTTGTAGGAGCAGGAGCACATCGCAAATTCATGCACATTAGAAATCAGATTCTTGTCTCTTCAGACCTCCCTTCTACTTGTGTACAGTTGTTGCCAGGCTACAAATGATGTACTCACATTCTGTCAATTTTGATTTGTTGATTTTAAATAGAGCTGCCAAGCTAAGTCCCCTTTGGCTGTTTGGTATTAAACCTGCTGTTTCACAAGTTGTTGTTGGTTTTTTTAAACATGGAAAGAAACAAAGCTAGTGAAGTAACATTTATTGAACTACCTTAGAGTGCACAAGTTTTCAGCATTCAAGTTAGTCGAAGATCTCCAGAATGCTTCAGGTTGGGTGCATCAAACTGACATTTATTATACATTACATGAAATAAATACAGAAGGCAAACTTTTGCTCACTGGCATTTGTCCTGGGAATATGTCCGTCTGGCTGTTTACAACATGAATTTCCTGTAACATGCATGTTAACATTTGGAGCTCCCTACTCTTTATTTTTTTATTTTTATCACGAGTTACTGCAGCACTCTGGTTGTGGGGAGCGAGGGGCCATTTTGCTTTTCCTCCGAAACCAGTACAGTATTTTGTTAATTTTCAACATATAATATGGCAATCAACAGGAAAGCAAACGAGAGACAGAGAGAGAGATAAGTCTTACACCTGCACCTCAGGGATAAACAACTTTTTCTAAATTTTAGGATATCCATTCAGATTCAGGATCAGGATCTAAATCTGGTAAACCCCACCATGGGCGTAGCCAAGGGAGGCACGGGGTGCAAGCTGCCACCCCCCACCAAGTAAATAAATAAATAGAAATACAGTACTTAACTAACTTGGTTCTGGCCCCCTGACATCGACCCTGCCTCACCCGCAATATAAATCCTGGCTACGCCCATGAACCCCACTGAATTAAATGAAGGAGTTAGAGGACACGGTGGAGTCGGACTACACGGTGACCATTTGGCAGAAGGGGGAAAGGCCTTGTGCGAAGGGCAGCCTCCTCCCTCCGCCCCAAACGAATTTCCTTTCCAAACAATTGTTGCGTAATTTGAAACCACGAGACGGGGCGCCGCCGCTTGATTTGCTTGAGGCTGACAGCTCGTTCCGCTGCCATGGCCTCATTTGTGCGCCTGCTCTGGGGACGCGGCCTGGGACTCCGCCTGCGTCCCAGACCCCGCTGCGCCTTTCGCCGCCCCGGCAGCTGCCCAAGCCGAGCCGCTCAGAGCGCCGCCTCCACTAGCGCTTCCCTCATGGACGCCCGCATCGACTTCTCCCCCGCCGGCCGGAGCCTCTTCGACGAGCCGCTGGGCATCTCGGTGTCAGGCCTGCGGCCCCAGCAAGAGGTCACGCTCCGGGCGTCGCTGCAGGACGAGGTCGGGGAGCTCTTCGAGTCGCTCGCGCTCTACCGGGCGGACGGCAGCGGGCAGCTGGACCTGAGCCGCTCGCCGGCGCTGGAGGGCGGCAGCTTCTCCGGCCTGGAGCCCATGGGGCTGCTGTGGGCGCTGAAGCCGCGCACGCCCTTCAGGCGGCTGGTGAAGCGCGACGTGCAGCGCCCCTTCAGCCTGGAGCTGGAGGTGCTCGAGGGACACGGAGAGGGCCTCGCGGGAGGCGTCCTCGCCAAGGGCTCCCACGAGAGGGGCTTCCTCCGCGCCGGCGTCCGGAGGATCCCCGTGCGGGACGGGCGGGTCCGCGCCACCCTCTTCCTGCCCCCGGGTGAGTGGCCCCGCGCTTGGCCTTCTTAAGGCCTTCTTTCTTTTTTTTTTAATAAAATTTTTTATTAAAGTTTTGAACAACAAAGAGAGAGAGAAAAAAAAACATACACAATACATATAGCAAAAACACACACACAAAAAAAGCAAAATTCAACAATAAAAGAATAAAAAACATAACAATTAAAAAAACAATATCTCTTTACCATTTCCATTTTTTAGTTACTTATTTTCTGGACTTCCTCATACCTCCCCCTTTTGTATTCCAATCCAAATTTGTCCAGCAGTTTCTTTTCCACTTTTTTAATCCCAATCTTTAGCTTTAATAAAATATTAAATTATATAACTTCAACTTCTTTAAACCAGATCTTTAGTCTTAATATCGTATAACGTTGAGATTTTTCCTCTTAATGTCAAATTTCCATTTCATTAAACATCTTTAATCCTAATTTTTAATCTTAGTCTATCATTGACTTTAACCTGTACAGCTGGAAACCGCTTATTTTCAGTCCAACATCACTCTAACATTCTTTAATTTTGCAATGTTTCTGAAGATAGTCTTTAAATTTCTTCCAATCTTCCTCCATCGACTCTTCTCCCTGGTCACGGATTCTACCAGTCATTTCCGCCAATTCCATATAGTCCATAAGTTTCATCTGCCATTCCTCCAGCGTGGGAAGTTCTTGTGTCTGGCCTTCTTAAGGCCTTCTAGACGCTCCTGCGCTTCGTGTCGTTGACACGCAACGCCAGAGTGGAGGAGCTGCGGCTCCCCCACGTGTTGTTGCATTTCAAAGAGCTCGTTAGTCCCAGGCAGCGGAGCTTAGTTTCAGAGAGATCATGGGAGTGGTTGTGGTGAACGACTTCTGGAAGGGCACACACATCCCTAGCTTGGATTTCTCCATCCTGTAGTAAACTGGTTCCTCTTCTTCCTGCTCAGAAAGGGAGAAAGATATGGCACCCCAGCAAGCAAACAAAAAAACCCACAATTAAGGAAGAGCTGCAGAAGTTTGTTGGCAATAAAACAAGTCTGGTGGCACCTTAAAAGACTTCACAAATACAGTGAGGCGGAAGTTGTCCCGGCCGGGGCCACGCTAAAAGGTGTAAAGAGAGAGAATTGATTATTTGCCCTACTGTGTCTAATGATGGTGCTGAGCTAGCCCTGTACCTTGCCTATTCCTTTGTATTTCGTAGCAAGCCTTGCTCACTGGAAACGTGGGTTTGTTTCAACAACAACAACTCACTGGCACCTCAGACTCCAAACTCTCTCATTCTCTGCTTTTGATCTGCTAATATGAACAGGTTTGAAAAGTGTATTATGAAGGATCCAGCCATTAAAGTGGGTCATCAACAAGGGTCTTTTCAACCCAAGTGGTCAGAGTTAAATTATCTCCAAGGTCCCTTCCAAAACTAAAATTATGTGATTCCATGCTAGGCTTTCTTTTCAATAAGGTGAATTCTAAAGAAGTCTAAAAAAGATAATGCAACTTCGTTCTGTCTTTTATAGGTGATGGTCCCTTTCCTGGAATCATTGATATTTCAGGAACAGGAGGAGGACTTCAAGAATACCGAGCCTGTCTGTTGGCCAATTATGGCTTTGTAACATTAGCACTGGCCTATTATGCTTATGAAGATCTTCCCAGAAATATGAAGGAATTTCATCTGGAGTATTTTGAAGAAGCTCTGAACTATATGCTGAAACATCCAAAGGTAGGGCCATATGTGGACAGCCTTCACAAAAATAGCAAGCTTCTGAGGGTGCTACATTTGAAACTGGAAAGTCTTGTGTGTAGAACCACACCATACATTTGAAGCACATCTAAGGCTCCGGAACGGATCCCGTTCACATCCCAAGGTACCACTGTATATGCAGAAGTATATATTCCATAGTATTCTTATTCTGAGAGCTGTTGAATTGCTGATTTGAGAGTATTCTCTGAGCTGAACTCTGATCATCACATGCTTACTTGTATTGCACTAATATTTTAAATTCATTATTTGTGCCAAGCTCCTGGAATAAAAAAACACTGAAAGGTTAAAGTCCACAGCAACAGTTTTCTCCATTTTTGACTGCAAAGATTAACCAAAGCAGGCAAGCCTTGGGCAGTCACTGTGATAAATTGTTCAGAAATGTGAAATGGTCCTCAGCTCAGCTTTTTTTCTTTTGCCAAACTAAGGGTGAGCAGCATGAGCTTTTGCCCACAGCTTAGTCATGTGGGGGGGGAGGGGCACATACTGTATGTATCTTGTTTTCGTTTCACCTCTTTCTTTCTTTCTCTTTAGGTTAAAGGTCCAGGAGTTGGACTGCTGGGACACTCAAAAGGTGGTGACCTGTGTATCTCTATGGCCTCTTTCTTAAAAGGTGTCACTGTTACAGTCACTATTAATAGCTCTGTGGCCAATATAGCTGTGCCACTGCACTACAAGGACATCACCATTCCACCTCTTGGTTTCAATGCAGAGCGGCTCAAATTAGACAAGTCTGGTGTTGCTGACATTTTGGATGCCCTGAACAACCCACTTGAGGGCCCCGATCGCCAAAGTTTTATTCCACTGGAGAAGGCTGAAGGACGTTTCCTCTTCATCGTAGGCCAAGATGACCACAACTTTAAGAGCGAGTTCTTTGCTGTGGAAGCCTCCAAGCGGCTACAGGCTCATGGAAAAGAAAAACCTGAGATAATTTGCTATCCTGGAGCAGGACATTATATTGAGCCTCCATATTTTCCTATGTGCGCAGCTTCAATGCATCTCTTGGTGGGCAGACCAGTGATCTGGGGAGGGGAGCCCAGGGCTCATGCCGCAGCACAGGTGGATGCATGGGGTCAGATTCAAACCTTCTTCCGCAAACACCTCGATGGAAAACAAGGTGAAGAAAACAGCAAGCTGTGAGAATGTTGCTTGGAAGAGGTGTTTTATCAGATAATGGGTGTGTGGCCGATTGTTTTTTGTTATATATAACAATAAATCTGTTTGATATAACAATTCTGCAGACAGGGGACTCATTATGTTGATAGAGTGCTTTCTCAAACATGAGAAAGCTTTTGTATAAGGGACATCTAAGAATTCCCAGCTACAAAAATAAACTACAAATGGTGTACATTATACAAATCTCTGGTGCAACCACATTTGGAATATTGTGTAGACTTCTGGTCACCTCACCTCATAAAGCAAATGGTAGAGTTGGGAAAGGGCAGCCAAAATGATCAAAGGGATGGAGAAACTCCATTAGGTTACAACATTTGGATCTTTCTAGTTTAGAGAAGAAAGTGAGTAAGAGGTGAAAGTGGGTAGAGTAGAGTTTTTCTCCTCTCATAATACAAGAACTTGGGGCTATCCAATAAAGCTGAACCTTGAAAGATTTAGGACAAACAGAAGAAAGCACTTCACACAGCACATAGTGAAAGTATGGACTTTGCTCCCACAAGAGGCAGTGATGGCTGCCAACTTGTGATGGCTTTGAAGAGGATTAGACAGCTTCATGGAGGATAAGGCAACAAACCCCAATGGTTAAGTCCTTCATTCACAGTCAGAGGCAGCATTCATTCTTCTGAATGCCAGTTGCTGGAAACTGCAGCAGGAGAGAGAGCTCACATCCTGCTTACCGACTTCCCACAGGCATCTGGTTGGCCACTGTAAGAATAGGACACTGGAGTAGATGGGTCACTGCCTTGATCCAGCAGGTGTATTTTTATATTATTATGTTCTCCGTGAAGTAGAAGAAAACAAAAATCTCCAGCAAGTCTATAATTAATTCTACCTTTGAGCCTTTGTTAGGATATAAGTTTAAAGTTTGCAGCAGGAAATATTACAAAGTTGGAATTTCACGTGAGGCCACATGCTGTGTTTACTGGGCTAACCCGAGTCCGGTAAAACTCATTGAAAACCCAACCTGTGGCTGCTGTACCTCAGATTACCATTACGAATCTTAGTGAAGGAGAGGTGCTGCTTTCCTGTCAGGTTCCCCCGCTCCTTTGAAACTCATTTCCTGTTAGTGATTGCAAGTGGTAGGAGCAGGGGTGCCAACTTGGAAAAAATATTTGCGGGGGGGGGGCAAGCAAGCACTGCCTTGCATAATCGAACACATGACGCAGGCATGCACACTGTTTGAATGGCCATCAACTTGGGGGGCAGACCCCTCAAATATTTTAGGGGGGTACTGCAGACCCCTCGCCCCCAGCAGTTGGCTCCTATGGGTCGGAGGCCTTCTCTCGCGCGTTCAGCTGCTCGCGAATCAAGTGTCTGTACTTTGGCAGCGCCGGACGCGCCAGCGACTTACAACTGCTCATTATGAAGAGTGCGGTCCGGGATCGATTGATGCTGCCTTTTGTGCTCCCACGTGGACTTCCAGGCAGAGCAGAAGTTGCAGATTGTGTCTCCTTCTCTCTGCTCCGCTCTCCGTTCGAGCAGCGCGCAGACAGCAATAGCAAACGGATCGGATTAGCAACAGCCCATCATGTGGCGACGGGTCACAGCCAAAGCTTGGGACGTCTACCTGGAACACTTGGGGGGTGTGAGCCGCCCCTTCGGGAGGGCCTCCCTCAAAAGCTGCGGCAGAATAGGGGTAGCGACAGTCTCGGTTGACCCCGCTGCAGGCTTGGCAGATCAGCCCGCGAAGGTTGCGGTTTGGGGACTCCCGCCTCTGCAGGAAGTGACCCTAAGGGCGCTGGCGGTGAACGAGGAGGGCATCCTCTTTGATTCCTGTGCCCATTACCAGGCGGATGAGCAAGGGCAGGTAGATCTGTCCAAAGACCGCTCCAAGGGAGGCGACTACACGGGCTTGGAGCCCATGGGGCTGTTTTGGAGCCTCTCGCCTGCTGCAATGGAGAACCCCTACCAAAGGCTGGAGCCCAGAAAAGTGAAGGGTCCCATGAAACTGGAGATGTCAGTGCACCAGGGTTACAGCCAGCCCGGTGCTATCCCTGGACAGGTGCTTGCCAAAACGAACGTGGAAAGGCGGTTCATTCTTCCCGAAGTGAGAAGGATCAGAGTGAAGGACGGTGCGGTGAGAGGGAGCTTGTTCCTTCCCGCAGGTGAGTTGGGTAGACTTGGCAGTGGGACGGGGCTCAGGCTGCTTATTTGTCCTGAGGGAACCTAGTTAACTCAAAAGTTGACAGTCACCTTGCTTTTGCAGTCCCAGACAGGCAGCAAAACAGGGTAACGCTCAGATCCTTAGTGGGCAGCTATGCAAGGCTGGTGGGTTGTGTTCAGCTTGGTAGGGCACAAATAGGACAGGCCTTCAGTAGAGATGATAATATCCAAATGATAATATTCCAAAACAATAAGGGTTGCAACTAGCACACTTTCCCCAAAGAGTAGCCATCACTCATTTACCAACAAGTAATTTCAGAAACAAATACCGTATTTTTCGCTCTATAACACGCACCAGACCATAACACGCACATAGTTTTTAGAGGAGGAAAACAAGAAAAAAAATATTCTAAACGAAATAGTGGATATATGATTTTTGTGGTTCATGCTGTGGCCACAGACATGTGATCTGACAGTGAGTTTGGATTAGCCCAATGCAAAAATCCTGAGGATCCATGTGGATCCATGCTTTGTAACCACGGAGGAGGGAAGGAAGGGGAACCATGGATCCTCTGCTCACGACTGCAGCCGATCCCCCCCGCCACCCGCAGGCATTCGCTCCATAACACGCACAGACATTTCCCCTTACTTTCTAGGAGGAAAAAAGTGAGTGTTATGGTGCAAAAAATACGGTACTTAACAAGCCAGATTTAAACTTTGGCAATAATCATAGTGTATCTGCACTGAATTCAGCCAGAGCCACCAGTCCACAAATATGAATAATGTACATGTTTTCCATATGGGAAGATTTAGTTATAAGACGCATGAGTCTATACATTGGTTTTTAAACAAATGCAAAAACAATAACCTTTTAACACTTGCTCAGCATTACCTCTAATGGTATTTGTTCTATCCATTGACTTTACACATAAGCTTACACATTCAGTGTTCAAATATATTACTTAATGTAACCTCTCCACTGAGACAATAGAGCGGTTGGTATAACAAGTTATTGATTTTGGTCATTAACATAGAAAGGGGTCCACATTTCTTGGAAGCTGCCTCTTTTTGTTATGCCTTTACTTGCTCTCCTGCGTCCAGTGAGATGCTCAAATATTGCTGTATCCCAAATATTTCCCCCCATATATTCGGGGGTCTTTCAGACTGGTTTATCCGTTGTTGAGCTATCACTAATTATGCTGCAGTCAGTAAGAAGGCTACTAATTCTCTGTGTTGCAGGGTGAAGCCCAAGTCTATGTCTAAAGATAGTAGGGCTAAGGCAGGATTTGGAGAAAGGTTGGCTTTTAACTGTGGATATAATGGAGAAGAATTTTTTCCTTCCCTCCTTGTCTGATTGTTCCTCCAGTTTCATAGATAAATCTTCAGTCGTTGTTTGTAAGAGTTGCATCTCAGACTGATTGGTTACAGCAAGATTGTGCGCATCGTTTGCTGTTTTAGAAATATCTGACAGTTGTTTAGATAGCATCTCTAATTTCTGCTCAGAAAGAACTAGGGCTGCTCCGGCTGCTCCCCTGTCCAAGATTGGTGTCTACCTTCTTTTATTAATGTACTCATCTGAGTCTCTGTCCTCTCCCACTGTGGCAGATACTTTCCCGCCTTTTGGTGCCCTCATGTTGCCTTTGGTCATACCAGTGTCTGACGCCTCCTCTGAAGCCTCAGACAGGGTTCCTGCTATTTCTTCCTGAAGATCTAACCTCACAGATTTGCTTTTTGGTCCCTGTAGTCCCCGGATCATTACCTCGCTGGGGCTGTACAAAAGTTTGTGTTTAGATATTAGTAGGATCCACTCTGCTTAGATTTTGCCCTGGGGTGATGGAGACACAGAATTACTTCGCGGTTTAGCTTTCCAGCTAGCCACGCCTCCTGAATTTTACATTTAATAATAATAATAATACTAACTTAATTTAATAATTGTTTACATTGCATGTACCTGGAGGAGTGACTGAGTGAGATGAAGGAGCTTGACTTCTTTAATTCATCTGCCTCAGTGAGGTCCAAGATACCAGGTTGACTTGGCACCTCACTGCTGCATGTTAGTTCAATAATTTAAAAAACCTGGCTTGGTGGGGAATACTTACTACTTGCATTTATTTAGTATCAACAATGGGTTATGTCCAACTAAGTTTTCTTCATAGAGTAGACCCATTGAAATTAATGAATAACTTGGTTCCATTAATCTCAATATGTCTACTCTGAGTTGAGGTTAGTTGGACACAACTCAGTGGGCTTAAAACTTAAAACTTATATTCATTTTGTTTATTTATCCCTTCAATTACTGGGGATTTTATAAAATATAAAATAATTAAACAAGTTATATTTAACACAGTACATTATGTGAACCTACAAGACTGCCTTATACCACATCATATAATTGGCCCATCTAGTAGCTGTGTCAGCATTCATCAACTGTGGCCTTCCAAATGTTTTGGACTACAACTCCTAGCAGCTCCAGCTAACATAACCATGGTGGTTGGAGCTGATGGGAATTGTAGTCCATAACATCTGGAGGACACCATGGAAATGGCTGTTCTCCAAAGTCTCAAGCAGATGTCTTTCCCAGCACAGCTGCCTGAGATCCCTGAAGATGCTGAAGATTGAACCTTGAACACAGTGGTATAAGTAGCTGCCAGAGCTGAATGATCAAGCCCAGATGTGATGTTTTAATGTACCACTGGTGTACAAAAGGAGTTCTTAAATCCTATCATATGCCTGAGATTTCCCCTAACAACCTGATCCTATGCATGTAAGCTTCAGTGTGTTCAATAGAATTTACTCAGGTAAGTGTCAATAGGACGACGGCCTTAATATCCTTTCTACAGCTTGAGGACCACAGCACTGCCTTTCAGGGGAGCAACAGAGCTGTCCTGACGATTTAGAGGAAAATGCATGATTCTCTGTGTGAGGTACTTAGCATTCATACCAAAACTGTAATATCCTTTGTTTGAAATCTTTGGGGGTCACTATGTGAATTAGGGTTATCAATGGCCTTGTAACTGAATGGAAAACCAAAGATGTGTAAGGTAATAAAGGGGAGAAATTGGAAATCAGGGGTGGGGTGAGGGAAAGTCTAGAAGGGATGAATAAGTAAGTAATTTGGATGTTAAATTGTTAAACTATTGAAAATAGAAAATTAAACATAAAAAAGAGAAGAGTCCAATATATACAGGCCTGAACAATACTGGTATGACTACAGTATAATGTCTCAATTTTGCTAAAATGAGTGCTGTAATACAGAATACAAATTTTTAACTATCTACTAACCTAGTGGTTGGTATTTGCAGTTTTTAAATACAGACAGGAGGCCACTGAATAAGGAAAGAAATACAACATAAAATAATACTATCATAGGATGAAAATATAATACTGTTATTAAAGAGATATGGTTATTTTAACACAGAGGTCAAAGAGTGGAAAACTTGCATCACACTGTCCCACCAAATTAAATGGGGCTTACTTCTGAGTATAAGGTAAAGGTAAAGGGACCCCTGACCATTAGGTCCAGTCGTGGCCGACTCTGGGGTTGCGGCGCTCATCTCGCTTTATTGGCCAAGGGAGCCGGCGTACAGCTTCCAGGTCATGTGGCCAGCATGACTAAGCTGCTTCTGGCGAGCCAGAGCAGCGCACGGAAACGCCGTTTACCTTCCCGCCGGAGTGGTACCTATTTATCTACTTGCACTTTGGCATGCTTTCGAACTGCTAGGTTGGCAGGAGCAGGGACTGAGCAACGGGAGCTCACCCTGTCGCGGGGATTCGAACCGCCGACCTTCTGATCAGCAAGTCCGAGGCTCTGTGGTTTAACCCACAGCGCCACCCGCATCCCACTTCTGAGTATACATGTCTAGAATTGCACTGCAAGTCATTCAAAGCATTTTCTCTTCTTCTTTGCTGAAAATGTGGTATCAGTGTTTTGTTGTATTTTGATAATAATGTAGTTTTAATAGTGTCATTCTGGTTAGCATTTTATGAACGTTTCTTTCAATGTTCTGTGCCCTAACAACATTTCTCTCTGCTTTCATTAGGAAATGGCCCCTTTCCAGGAGTGATAGATATGTTTGGTGATGAAGGTGGGTTAATTGAATACCGATCCAGCCTTCTGGCTACTCATGGCTTTGCTGCTCTTTCCCTGCCATATTTTAATTTTGAGGATCTTCCCAAAACCATGGAGGATTTCCACCTTGAATACTTTGAAGAGGCAGCTAGGTTTCTACTGCGCCATCCAAAGGTGAGTATGGTAAGGATTGTTTACCTATACATACAGCTCCTTGCTCTCCTGCAGTTGAAAGAGTCTGTATGGACGACAGTTTTGAGAAAAAACGGCACTTCATCCCTTGAGGAAATACCAATGTTTGTTTTTAGATCTTGTACTTACTAGCTGAAGAAATCATGGGATCAGGTCAGATCAAATCATCTGCCTTTCTGGAAGAAGACTGGTTCTATTGGGATATGCTTTGGAGAAGGGATTTAAAAAACTTTGTGTAATTTTAAGAAATTAACAAATAGTTTTATTGTGAATATATTGTAAACCTAGTTTTCCATGCTAATAAAATAACATTTTTTTAATGGGTTAGACTATTTGAATTGATATTTTGGTATCAGCTTTTAGGTTTGATGTGTGTTGTTTTCACAGAATAAGTTAATAATTTGGCAGGTTTCTCTATATATCAGGGATGCTCCACAACACAGACTTCTAACATGTGTTCTTTCTTCTCTTCACCTCTACAATTCTCACTCGTGCTGTTTCATTCATCCCGAAGGTTAAAGGGCCAGGAATTGGTGTTATTGGGACTGGCAAAGGAGCAGAATTGGCATCTTCAATGATGACTTTCTTGCCAGAAGTAGTGGCTGCCGTCTGCATTTCTGGTTGCAGCTCCATCACAGCCACTGCCCTCCATTATGGCAAACTTACATTGCCTGGGCTTTGCTTTAATATGAGCAGAGTCAGTATTTCAGAGAATGGTGTTTTCGACATTTACGAAGCCTTGGACGACCCAATGGACCCAGCTAATTCACGTAGTCGCATCCCCATAGAAAAAGCAGAAGGGCACTTCCTTTTTGTAGTCGGGGAAGAAGACCGCATTTGGAAGAGTTCTTTATATGCTGAGATAGCCACTGGGTGCCTGTGCCAACACGGGAAGGACAACTTTACACTCTTGAGTTACTCTGGAGCAGGCCATCAAATTAATCCAATATTTACCCCAGTTTGTCTGGTAGCCTTAGACCGTGTTTTAGGGGTGCCTATTTTGGGTGGCGGAGAGAAGAGAGCTCATGCCCATGCCCAAGAACATTCTTGGGGGAAGATTTTGGAGTTTCTGCAGTTCCACTTGAGATGATCACTCAAATAGCTGCACACCGGCAACCGAAGTTGTGGGTAAATGTGCCAAAGGGCCTGAGGAGGAAGGAAAGACATGAAACATGTTGTATGGACCTAGCTGGAGTAAATTATTATCTAAACTGATGACAAGGTAAGATTGGACTGATTCAGAGCGGAACATCCAAAAGTGTATATGATAAAATATGTTTGGGATGAAGAACTCTAACGATAAAAACATGCAGGTATATGAGTTGGTTGAGGGTGTAAATATGAAGCTGTAAACCCTGGCCAGCTCTTAAAAGATCAAAGGCGGCAAACCATAATGAATTTAAAGGTAAACAAACAAACTTGTTCTTCAAAACCAGCAAAAAAAATCTGCCATTTTGAAATCAAATATCCAGAATATGACTACTTTCTGCTATCTTGAAATTTCTGGAATATGTCTACCTTTAGCAAACACAGCCAATGTTACTACTTGAAGACAAAGCCAGGAGGTCTTTAAAACATATGGATAGAAAAAGACTAGAGTCACACATAGCCTGACCTTCTAATTTTAAAACGAAAACCATACCTGGCCATAATTTTCTTGGATGTTGTGTGGTATTACTCTCTCCTTGATATGAAGCAAAATGAGACTAGCATAAAGTTATGCAAATGAGGATTGCAATGGGACTGTACACTCCTTGTCTTAAACACCACATTTTTCTACCTAATAGATTTGTCCATTAATGTTACCGCTTCATGAACCTCTTTAGTCAATAATGTTTTTATTTTTCTGATGTATTTTTATTTTTGTCCTACTCCATCCTGTGTTGTTTTTTTACATTACATTAAACTATCAGTGAAGTCAGAAGACAAATAATTAGAATCATAGAATCACAGAATTGTAGAGTTGGAAGGGATCCAACGGTCATCTAGTCAAAAGCTCTGCTGTGCAGGAATTACAGCTAATTAGTTTCCTATATTATTACAACAGGCAGAATTCTTTACACAAAGTACTGGAGATTGCCAACCATAACAAAAATCAAATGATGAGTCAGAAAATCATGGGCTTTAGCAATTATGGCTAAACTGACCTTTTTTAAAAAAAGGACAGAGACAAAATAAAGTTTTAGCAAAATGTGAGAAAATTGTTGATTATACTAAGAGATTGTTTAAAACCAATAAAGACCGATGGTTTTACAATGTATTTATATTTTGGGAAGTGAATTTTTGGAAAAAATATGTATGTCTGTTTTATTATAAGACTATTACTCAAATTTGGAAATGTGAAGTCAGTTTTCTTTCCTTTGATTTCTTTTTTGAGTAGGAATAGATCAACAATTTCCTTATATTAGTATTATTATTATCAGATTCATGTCTAGAGTTTTGTTGTGCACTTGGTTATGATTAATGTTACTCCTTGTGATGTCACAGATTTAATTATTTTCTTTGATATTATAAATGTACGGAATGGAAGTATTGTGTTAATAAAAGAAAAGAAACATTAAAATGTATGCTAAGTCATGCAAAAATTGTTTTACAACTATAAAAACATAAGCAAGTCACTTGAGACACTGTCTCATAAATGCAAATTATGGTAATTATAACAATAATAATAGTAACAACAGAGAGAGATCAGACAGCCATTCGTCTGACATATACACATAAATAATTTGTCTTGATCTTAGTCTGTTGTCTGTAGTTCATTGAGTTTAAAAATACATCGCCTGGGTACGTGCATGCGTCCTGCAGCTGGGGGTGGGGCGAGCTGCGTGAAGCCTCTCCGATGCCTCCCCCTCAGCTATAGGGTGGCTGAGGAAGAGGCGGTGGGCAGACACAAGCCCCACGCTCCTGTTTCAAGCAGCATGGAGCCTGTAGGCGCCGAAGCCACCACATCATGCCAAGGAGAGATGCGTGGCTCAGGCACACTGCAGGCCCTGTGGTAAGTGCCAGCCCCCGTGGTGTGGCGCCCAGTGCCAGACGCATTCCGTACGTTTCTTGACTGAACTAAAAAGTTTCGTGAGCCCAATGTTTTTGAACAAACTCATATTTTTGTCACCCCCCTCAGTAATGACACCTGGGGTGACCCACACCCACCGCACCCCCCTTCCTCCTCCCTTCCTGCATATCCATTGGCTTACCCTGAGTAGAACTAACAATAAACGCAACCCACTGTTGTTTAATTTACTCAATATATTATATAATATATATAAAAGAGTGTATAGCCTCTGTTGTTGGTACCTGTCTGTCTCAGGAGTCAGTGGTGTGTACTTCGGGGGTGACATCAAACCTCTGAAGAATCACAGCGCCTGAAGAGTTTTCCTTCTCCTAGATGGGCTACCTTCCCAGTTTAACAAGCCCCATCTGCCCCTCATTTCCCTCTACAGAATGTGCAGTAACTGCCTTGACCAGTGGACTCACTATTGGTCTCATCTGCTCAATCCACTGGAGCCTGTCTTCGCATGCAAGAGAAGTTCTGAACTCGCTGACGGTTTGAAACCTGTATCTTCTGCCAGAATAAGATTTTACAAATGACTTAACAATACAACCTTACATTTATGTGGTACTATAATATCTAGTAATATCTGCAGGACTTTCCAAAATATAGTAAACACTGGACAGGGTTTATTTAAAAAACAACAACTGGAGAATAATAACAACTTTAACCAGTGCTTTTCTTATAGACAAAAGGGTGCCAGTACTGCGTACAGTACCCTTGAGTAACCCTAGAGAGAAAAAGCACTGGCTTTAACATAATCCATTCTGAATGCTGTAAAGACGTTTCCATTGCTGGCCATCTGAAGCGCAGCTCTCTTGAGCATTAATCAGGGTTGACTGGTTATGTTAACAATAACAGTTAATATGAATGGATGGTGATGATGATCTAGCCAACATGAAATAATGGAAGCGATGGGGCCATGACACAGAAGGTGACGACTATTCAAGACAACACTGAAGATTAGTTGGGAACATCAAATATATATATATTGCCACTCTTTTGTGCAAGCGACCCATGGCTGTTGGAAGGGTACTTTTAAAAATGCTGCAACGGGAGCCCCCTTTGCCTGCCTGTGGTCACTTTCTGTTGCCGACTCTTTTGGCTGTCAGGGAAAGGAACACACTTGAGATACGCCCTCGGTTTTCAGAAAAGTTGCATTACACTACTTTAAACCGACCCCTCCAAACGCAGCATCCAACCTCCCTTGTACAGACAGGCGTGGGCACACAGCAAACAACACCGGAAACCAGGGGGCGTCGGATCTGTCTCGCAGCGACCTTTCTACCTCCTCCCCGTTTCTATGGTCATGGTGAAGAGTTCCGGAATCGAAGCCGTTCTATTTTTTTCAGGTGAGTCTCTATGATCCCAACTGTTGACTTCACCCTTCTTCCCAGAGGCGTCCGCCCCGGCCCTCTTCTCCCTCCCTCCCTGCAGGTGAGCATGCGCACGGGCTTGGCGTGCCATAGCAACCGGAGCGGCAGACGGTAGCAACCAGAATCATAATAATGGTAAGTCGGCTCGAGGGCTGCAACCGGAGTAGGAAAGGAGGCCGGCGGGGAGTTGGGGGGGGGGAGGCGACTGGACGCGCGGTAGTTGGACTGAGGCGGAGGGAAGCGCCATGGTTTTGCGCAGGGAAGACCCCCCGCGGGGGACGGGCCGGAGGACAACGGGGACAGGCTCTCTCCCCCGCCCCGTCTCTGTTTGTGTATGGCGGGGAGAGAAATGCTGGCCGCGGTTTTGGGGAGGAGGAGAAGGGACGGTGGCTGTCGAGGCAGGGGAGAGAGGGAGGAGGAACGTGCCCGGCCTGAGGGAACAGAGTTCTTGGCTCGGGTGCTGGAGAGAGGAGCCTTTCGCGGATGCCAGAGGGACCTGTGCGTGGTGTGAGACGGGTCTGTGGAGCAGGGGATGCTCGAGGATGTGCCTTGAAAAGTTCAGGGGAGGGAATGGTTCTTCAGCCTTCGTGCAAATTGAAACAGGGAGGCCGGGGTGTGTGTGTGTCACGGAGAAATGGTTATTTCCTTCAGTGTTTTCACCCCCCTAGAGCTTGCTCACATTGTATGTCAGGCAAACCAGTTCCAGCCCCTCATCTGCAGCGTGCAATAAGGTTTCATGAGCCAGCGCTCACTTGGTTCATCTGATGCATGAAGTGGTGGTCTCGACAGAAAAAAATATATACGGTATATAGTGAGTATAGAAAGAAATACTGCGAGGGTCAAAAGTTTCTTTTGAGTGCAAGGGATAACTGTTGCATCACACAGCACAGATTAAGGCGAGTTTTACTTAGGAGTAGATGAGAGACAATGTGTTTGAATTGCTGTAATCACTTTAAAAAATCTATATAAATGTTAGCTGTTGTTTATAAAAGAACCATAAAGCCAACATAGAACCTTTTTCATTTGTCTTTCATTTGGAGATTATCCCTATGGTGATTGAAGCTCATCCTAACACTTCGGGGGTTTTTTTTGGTTTTTTTATAGGAAGGCTGCTCATTTGAAGAGAGATCAACATAAATTGTTCTTCATCAAGGAGTTGTCTGAGTATCGGAAGTCGCCTTCAGTAAAATGGTAAATAAATACTTTTGAGATTGGCACAAATTGAATCTGCATTAATGAGCTAAAAGTTGACATTCATGTGAATTTTTAAAAGAATTTTCAGTATGATAAATTCCATGACATAATGCATTTGTTTATACTTTAATTTTCTGCTTTCGGCTGTGGAGTTTTTCATTTTACTGTAAAGTGGTTGTGGACATAAGGAAGATCAGGATCTACTGGAGTATCTCTGAGTAATTTGCAGCAAGGGGCTTTTGTTGTTTCTAATTCCCATATATCACAACAATAGCAACAACCAAATGACTTATCCCATCTAAATGCTGAAATGAAGGAAAGTAACTAGGTGTGGAAAGACTGTGAACTCAGTTTAGTGTTGATACTGATAACAAATTCCCAGATTCAGAGGCACCCTTGATTCTTACTGTGTGTCTTTTGCACCTGGATCTGGTTGGTAGATTTTAGGATATAAGAAAGAAACAAATTAGATCTGTTACGTCTGTGCTCTGCCTATCTCTGTAAAGCTGTAAAGTATCCCTTTTGGTTGGGTATTCTTTCAGGCAACTAAGAGCCTGACTCTGTCTTGGGTTTAAAAATAAAAGCAAAATACCTAAAACTGCATCGAAAGCAAAGCAGAGCCTTTAAAAGCCTCATAAGCCCCTTTCATGCAGCACTGCCCTGCTTAAAGCTTCAATGTAAGAAAAACAATGCTCATGTTTTATAGAGAAGACGTGACACACATAGCTGTGCTGATCCTATCAGTTGGTAGCATTTGAATTTGCTGATTATGTGACAACTGGGACAGAAGGTTTTTTTTTAAATTACTGAACTAATATTTGGTGTTATGTTGCTAATGAGACTTTTCTTTGTTTGGTATAAAAATATCTAAGAATATATGTGACTGAAGATTATAACACAATCCGGATTGCTTTATTTTAATGCTGGTACAGAAATAATTGTACAGTACTTTTAAAGTCATTTTAAAACCAAAGAAGTTTTTTTAATCTTCAAATGGGGGGATTAAATATTTTAGAATCCAGTTTTCTACCCCACCCTTTTTATAATCTTGAGATTCAGCTAATACTGAACAAAATTTGCAGACTTTAATAGACTAGTGAAATGAATTAACTAATACTGTAATACAGTACTAATGTGAAATGTGTTTAAATGGGAAATACCATTTCATTTGCTATGGTACAGGCTGTACAGTTGTACTGATACTTTCCTTCGTGTACCAAAGTTGTTGACAAATTTAAAGTAGTACTTTCCTTCCAGTTTATATCCAAGTTACCAAAGTTTAACCTATTACTTCAAATCCAATAATAAGCAAATGGAATTGTCAGCTGCAATTACTGCTACTGTGTCCTTTAAATCTGGTTCTTCCCTTTTTGCTTTGATATAATGAGGAATAGCCAATATTCCCAAATAAGATGAAAATTTGTGTTGTCTTAACACGTTCTCTTACTTTGATTACATATTAAATCAGTCATTGAATTTCCCTCATGCCTTGACAAGGATGTCTTTATAATATTGTACAGTATGTCTATGTATTTAAATATAACTGATCAAAGCAAAACAAAATTAACTAGTTGACTTCCTAAATTAATTAAAATGTATTTCCATACCCCTTTTTTTGTTAGGCAAAAGCAACAACTATTAAGGAAGCTCTAGCCAGATGGGTAAGTAGATTTGTTGTGCTTATGTAGTTGTGTGGATTTCCTCTGTTAAGAATAAGTTTTTGTCATTTTTCTTGCAATGATGTAGAAATAGCATTTTGCAAGGAATACATGATTGGAATACCTCTGTACAAAAAGCTTTATATTTTTAGCTCACTGAAGTTCTTTTTTTTAATTTATTTCAGCTGCTATATATACTGCTACTACTAATGCTAGTTAATATTTATATAACTTCAGCAATGTGCAGACACTGATGTGTGCACAAACTTTACATAGTCAGTGCTTGAGAGCTTAGTATCTACATTAGATGGGCAAGATGCAGAAGCAGGATAGAAATCGAGATTTCATAGAATTGTAGGGTTGGAAGGGACCCCAAGGGTCATCTAGTCCAACCTTCTACAGTGCAGAAATCTCAGCTAATGCGTTCATGATAGATATCCAACTTCCGCTTCAGATACTGGTACCTTTTAATTGAAAAACTTTTAAAAGAAATCCCTGAAGTAACTGATATTATGGTTTGAAGTCTTGTTTATTCTGTTACATTTTACTCCAAGAAAACCCATTTATCCTAAATAGAACCCAGTAACCCATGTATGTACAAAATAGTTTTTAAAAATGTAATCACGTTGAGATCCCAAGATAAAATTTTGCAGGATGTTCTTAGAAATATGAAATCATAAATACGACTTTAGGGGAATTTATATCATTGATTTTTTTAAAATCACGTTTAACATTTATAAACTTTGTAGCTTAACTTTAAATTTTAAAGTAAGTTCATAACGTGCCATGTCACATTAAAACCGATGAAGTTCTGAAGAGATTTGTATTTTTAGTTTTGAAATACTGTATCTTAATTCTGGGCTGAACTTTTAAGGTTTCGTGTAGCCAAAATTGTCTATTTTTTGAAATTTCAAGCCCTCAAAGTGAAAAACAGGATGAGATAAAATAAAATCTGAGATCAGGGATCTTCTTTAATACTGTGTTTAGGAAACTGAAAGCAATATAAAATGGTACGGTAATAGTCATTGGATCACATGACATGGAATGACCCAACAGAGGAAAAGCTAAGAGTGATAGGTAGGTTTGGGAAAGGTTTTGCTGAAGGAGGAAATGAAAGCTGTTTGATTAATAGGGGCATGCATATCCAAGGATAAGACACAACATGATAAAAAGCATTGAAGGAGGTCAAAGGCAGGATTGAATGAAAGTGCTTGATAGGCCTAGCCAGCTTTATTATTTATTTTTTTAAAATAATTTTTATTAACAGACCAATCAAATCACATAAATTCCAAATTACAAAGCCGAATTTTAAATTTTTTGTTGGGGGTACCCATATTTCAAGTTCCGAAAGGGATCCAATCCTCTTGTTGTTGCTGCTGCTTTAATGTCCACAAATCTGTCCAAATAGTGTTCACCCTTCTATCCAATCCTTTCTTGTTATTTTCCACATCTCTTCTTGTTATTTTCATATATTTTTCCCTTCTCTTTGTGACCTCCGATAGTCTCCACAAGCGGGTTAAAACAAATTGTAATCCTTTGTGAGTTTTTGCTCGTTAATCTTCACAGATCTGTCACTCTCTTTCTCAGTCCTTTGAGATTCTGCCAGTCCATAGCTTCCTAGAATCATAGAATCATAGAGTTGGAAGAGACCACAAGGGCCATCGAGTCCAACGCCCTGCCAAGCAGGAAACACCATCAGAGCACTCCTGACATATGGTTGTCAAGCCTCTGCTTAAAGACCTCCAAAGAAGGAGACTCCACCACACTCCTTGGCAGCAAATTCCACTGTCGAACAGCTCTTACTGTCAGGAAGTTCTTCCTAATGTTTAGGTGGAATCTTCTTTCTTGTAGTTTGGATCCATTGCACCGTGTCCGCTTCTCTGGAGCAGCAGAAAACAACCTTTCTCCCTCCTCTATGTGTCATCCTTTTATATATTTGAACATGGCTATCATATCACCCCTTAACCTCCTCTTCTCCAGGCTAAACATGCCCAGCTCCCTTAGCCGTTCCTCATAAGGCATCGTTTCCAGGCCTTTGACCATTTTGGTTGCCCTCCTCTGGACACGTTCCAGTTTGTCAGTGTCCTTCTTGAACTGTGGTGCCCAGAACTGGACACAGTACTCCAGGTGAGGTCTGACCAGAGCAGAATACAGTGGCACTATTACTTCCCTTGATCTAGATGCTATACTCCTATTGATGCAGCCCAGAATTGCATTGGCTTTTTAGCTGCCGCGTCACAATGTTGGATCATGTCAAGATTGTGGTCAAACAATACTCCTAGATACTTTTCAAATCAAATGCTCACAAGCCATGTGTCACCCATCATGTATTTGTGACTCACATATAATTTTCCCAAGGGCAATACTTTACATATCTCCCAGTAAAATTCATCTTGTTTGTTTTGGCCCAGTACTCTAATCTGTCAAGGAAGTTTTGAAGTGTGATCCTGTCCTCTGGGGTGTTAGCCACCCCTCCCAGTTTGGTGTCATCTGCAAATTTGATCAGGATGCCCTTGAGTCCATCATCCAAGTCGTTGATAAAGATGTTGAAAAAGACAGAACCCTGTGGCACCCCACTAGTCACTCTTCCTCCTCCCGATCATCATCATAAATCTTTTGCCAGAACCTGCCAAGATGGCGACTCTCTTTTTATTACTGTGTCATTCCAAGAACCCTTGTTCTTTTCTCAATCTCCATAAAACCAAACTTTTGGTTCGTAATTCATTTCCACACAGTTTTTAATCATCCTGCTTAGGTCAGTTATGCGACGGTTCTTTCTTGGGGAGGGGTTATTGGTTAATCACATAGAAGAAAAGAAAAAAGTCCCCCCCCCATCCAGTCCCGCTCCGACATACCAAACCTTTGATGTATCTTTGATGTATCTTCTTCAGATATATTCCTGTTAAATCCAACCCGTCGCTCTACTTTCACAGAGGTCACTTCAATTAGCAGTCTTCACTCCCGTTCTTCACTTGAAATATGTGCATTTGCTTCTCTCTCTCATTGTTTATTTCGAGTTGCTGCAACTAGTGCGCGATCAGAGACAGCGTCCGGAAGAGCCAGGACCCACACAAGGGCTTTGTGCCTAGTGCCCTCACCCCCTTCTTTCGAATCCGGGGGTGATTTATGGCCACAGCAGGCAAAGCAGTGTTCCCTATATCATTGAGGAACAAGGGAGGCTGCATACTCCCATATCAGCCTCTTAATTACCTCGTGTGAGCCGGAGAGATGTTATTGTCGGCCATCTTCCAATGCGCCCCTAGCGGCCCCCCCTAGCCAGCTTTATTTTTAAAGGATGGTCTCAGCCTACCTAGTTATTATTGGGATCTCAGTATTAAACTCTTAACTTTTGATAAGTTAGTAGAGCATAGTAGAAATGTTTATAAAATTAACCCTCAATTTATTTTTAAGTATTATTTTAATCAAAAGGTTACATAATTACACAGTGTTACTACAGCATGCTCCAGAACACCTAAGGTTTATTGTCATACTGTATAGTTGTTTGATTTGTCCCTTTGCTGAAAATTATAATCTGCAGGGAGCTACATGAGCTGGTGAAGAATAGTGGGGGAGAAGAGAAGGGAGACAAGGGAATGAGATGAGACTTAGTCAAGGGCAGAGAGGTAGAAAGCTTTAAAAGCAGGGATTACAAGCTTGTGGTTGGTGCAGGGTGTAAAGGCTGATGTAATTAGGGAAGATATGTTTGCTTCAGTCCCCTACTTAGGTATTTGATGGATCTTCTGCCAGCTGTCCTGCCTTTCTCATACAATTAGCCTTTCAGTCTAATTACCAGGAAGTCATTCCCTTTTTCAAGTAAACAAACAGGACATGTGCAACTACACTTCATAAAGAAAATGTTCTAAATTTGTAGATTTAAATTAATTTTATCAATTATTTCTCTTACTTATTTTCCCTTTTAAATTAACTACTACAATTTTTTTCACATTTTGAAAGTATTTGCTTGTTAGTACAATTTAGCATTTATTCAGTACAGACAGAATAGTAACAATCAGTATTACAACTAGATTTGGAAGATGCTTGATATACCCTCATTCACCATTATGCAGGATGCCAGTTAACAATGCAAAGATCTAGTTTTTCCTGATATTAAATGGCTGGTGAGTAGAAAGGGCTGTCAGGAAATGGAGTGGTTTGTTTGTTGTCTTCAAATTACTGTTGTAACGGAACATGACACAAATCAGACATGGGGCACTGGGTTGTATGTACCACTGAACTACCATGAGTATGATCATGTTCTTACATTAAGTGAAGTGCATATTTAAATGTCTGAGTTGAAGATAAAATGATTAGAATAATGTCTTCTCTGAATGGATAGGCAAAAAAATAGACTAGGTGGAATATAGAAGCTCCGGTATCATTTTGAGAAGAAATGATTACAGTTTTATATTAAGAAAATGTTGCCCCTTGTGTTAAAACTTTTTGTGATACTCCTTTGTAAATTCACAATTTAGTCAGAGGAGTTCATACAATCACTGAATACAAGGCCAGGAAGCTTTTCATTCCTATCCGAATGTAATTTGCTCATGACAATCTGGTTCTGTTGGGGTTCAACCAAGGCCCTGATTGCTCTTGAGTGCAGTACCTTAAACAGTAATGAATTAGTAGTGGCAATACACACAGCCATATTTTGGATCAGTGATGTCCCCAACTCAGTGCAATCAATTTGTCATCGATTGTGTAAAGAAGCAGCATTCCAGACTGAGAAAAAAGCATTTTACCACATATTCAAGGTTGCATGAACAATTCTCAGTCAACATTAACTATAGCTTTAGTGTAAGTTATTATGCAGCTGAATAGCCACAATAGACTAAATTGAACATTCATAATTATATACTGAATAGGATGTCTTCCTCTATCTGTTTCTCTTTTAATTAGGAAGAAAAAAATGGTCAGAAGCCGTCGGAGGCCAAAGAAGTGAAACTTTATGCCCAGATTCCCCCTATAGAGAAAATGGATGCATCTCTTTCCACTCTAGTTAGCTGCGAGTACGTTCTGTATATTGGTGGGAGCCACTTTAAGTTATTTCTGCCTTCTTTGCATCTGCTTTTTTGTTTTAATTTAGTGTTCATTTTTTTAAAGCAATTTTCATATTTCTTGACTTGTTAATTGTTATGTTTGGATGTCACACAAAACTATGACACCCTCTCTTCCCAGGTGCTTCCTCCTACGTGGCTGGGAAGAGGAGTTTGGAAATTTTACTTTTGCTTTTGGTTAACCACAGCTTGTGTCATTCTAACTACTGTGTTTGTCTAAACATTATGGCATCTAAACTTTGATTAACATTAACAATTGTTAGTTTTTAAACAACTCAGCTTCAGAAATCAGGAATTGATGTTGGCTTGTTTTAAATTAACCATAATTCTTTTTTTAACCCATATTATTTTAACAAATAGTAACAAAGACACAATATAAATATTGTTGTGCAGCACAAAATATTATGCAGCATTTAACATCTGTAGCAACTCTCCCACATTCTTCTCTAACAAGATACAGTACTGACAATATTTGATAGTCATTTTAGTTGCATGACACTAGAAACTGGTTAACCAGAAGTTGAAACCAAATTTGAATACCTGGAGGACCATGAGTTCTCCATCTGTAATATAGACAGTAAAAAAAGCACATATAAAAACATAGGCCAAGATTCCACATCAGCGGAAGCCCTAATCGAGGACTTCTGCTTGCACAATGGTCAATGTTCCTCTTCTCTTCCCCCAGTGCCCCAGAAATAGGCTTTGTGGGATTCAGGAGAACCCCTTGAACAGAGAATGAGGGTGGGGGTGTTCTTCCTTCTGGGAAGCCAAAATGTAGTATTCTGAGCAATTGTTATTTGTAAAAGAACCACTACTTTGGTAATTTTAGTGTTCTTCATGTACAATTTCTGGATTTGTCCCCCATTTTAGAAAGCTGTCCTTATCTACAAACTGCATTGAAAAAATTGCCAACTTGAATGGGTTAAGTAAGTAATATGTGTTTTTTGAAGCTGCTTCATTATATGTACCTTCACTTATTTCATACTTTGAGTCTGTTCAGATCCTTCTCCTGCTGCAAATTTTTATGAGCACTGGAATTGGGAGCAGGACTCAGCTTTGAGTTCGCCACCCACCTTCCTAGAAGGTTACATCTGTATCAGGATATCCTCTGTATAGTATATATTGTAGGATCAGGGAGATCATATTTTTTTTCAAAATAGCATTTGAACAGACACTAAGTTTACATTTACTGACTGATTTTAAATAATTGATACCATCTTTAAAAAAGAGGAATTTGGCATTAATTTTTCTCATTGACTACAGCAGAAAACAGATAATTTGAAAATCAATATTTCACTTGAAAATTGATATAAGCAGTAGAGTGTTAGGAAGCACTGAATAATTATGTTTGACTGCTGATTTGATGATGAAAATCTGCATGCCATGATTTGGGTTGTGAGTGACTTCTAACCCCCCTTAACACGCATGCATGTGTATGCATATACACACCAGAGAAGGGAACCACTTCCTTGGTATAGGTCCCACTGAGGAATGTGTGTGGATATCTCAAACACATGGGCAGGTATATTCTAGGTTCATGTTATACTTGTAAGCTGCTGCTTTTTTAGTTCTATGAGCAAAATTCATCAACGCTGTTGCATCCATTTGTATCTGATCAGCAACTGCAGATTAAGACAGTAATATTGCCAGGAGCATTGAGGAAGGGAGACACTATTAAGCGGTTGTTTCCAATATATTCAGACACCTCATTCATTATGCTTTTTGCTGGGAAAGATGTCCGGCTATTATGGTTGCTTTGGAAAACATCTCACATAGTGATTCTAAACACATGGGTGAGATGCTGGATGCCTATAAGCTCCATCCATATGAATAACTGATTATTGTTTTCTTATGTTACTGTGCAGAAGTAGGGGAGGGGTGCAGTGAAACTCAGCTCCCTGAATGACCAGACTGTATAGATGACTGACTCTCCATATGGTTAGAGCAGGATTAAGGAACTTGTGTCACTGCAAATTCTGTTCCAATCCAGTACCCATTAGCCCCATCTATCATGGGCAGTTGTTAGGGATGATGAGAGTTATAATCCAAAATACCTTTGGATGGCCACAGATTCCTCAGTCCTGGGTTAGAGCATCCATGCAGGATAGTTTTAAACTGTGTCCATTCAGTGAGTGGCTATCTGTTTCCATTCTTTGACTACACACTTTTCCCTTTGACACAGCTGGATCAATGAAAGATAGCTCCTTGGCATTGGCTTGTATGAAGTTTCCACATTACTTAAATAAATAGCACTGTAGAAAAATACCTGCTTTGTTTCCATTGCAGAAAACTTACGGATATTGTCACTGGGAAGAAACAACGTAAAGAATCTGAATGGACTGGTAAGCAACCCTCTTAAGACGACTGCTGCTTATACTACTGCAGAGTAGTTCGCCATATGTTTCTGTGCAAGGATATGATGCTAACACTGTTCAAAAATATAGTAGATGCAGGAACATCATCAATACTTGTAGCAACTGTGCAAATTCCCCACCAATAATGAAAACTCCCCTAGTAACTGTGTAGATAAAGCAGGCACAGCCTTCTGCCAACACCCCACCCATTCCATTTCCCAGATCATGACCAGTTTTCATTGATGAGGAACGACAACAGTTGAATGATCTAGCCCAGTGGTTACATATTGCAGTAGGAATCTGTGGATGTAAATTCAATTTATCCTCTTGATGGATGTTGCCTGTTCTCTGCAAGACTTACTTTTATACTTAATGAGCTGACTAAGAAACTAGTCATCCAATGTGCAGGTATCTGCAAACAGTTCTGTGTCTTCTTTCATGTCCAGATGCCTGGAATACAATTCTCCTCTGTCTTGATGTCAAGGCTGAAGGTCTTGGTTTCTCTCTGAATTACGATGTTGTCCTCTCGTTGGCTTGTCTCAACTTTCAGCCTGCTAGTGGGGAAGTAGGGACTCCAGAGGAAAACTTTTATTTCTTTGATGTGCTCATACATACATACATGATAATAGGAGAATGCAGAGCATTCTTTTCTGAAGCAATATTATCTTTCAGGAGGCAGTTGGGGATACTTTAGAGGAGCTGTGGATCTCATACAACCTGATTGAGAAATTGAAAGGGCTCCATGTGATGAAGAAGCTGAAGATTCTCTACATGTCAAATAATCTGGTAAAAGACTGGGGTAAGCCAGAGTTGTTTCTCAATAAATATATTGGTAATTTATAATGAGTTCATAGCAGGTAACTTAGGTTGGTAAATGAGTTGATTCCTAAAGTTGTAAGTATGTGTGTCTATGTGTAGTTATTTTCGACAATGTATATAGCCTGCCTTTCAGCAATTCTATTCCCAAGGTAGTTAACAAATCATATTAAATTATATTAGGGGGTGGGGAATGAAATCATGCATTGATGAAAACAGCAGAACAGTAAAGGCATAAAATCACAATAAAATAAGTTCAAATTCAGCTAAGATTTTAAAAGACGTGTTGGGGAACAAACTTTGCCTGGTGCTGAAAAGACATACAACTGGGTGGCAGGTGAATTTCCACCAAGGCAGGTGATCACAATGGGAAAGGCCCTTTCTCTGGTAGCCACCCATCTGACCTATGAAGGACTGGGCACCTGAAGAAGAGCCTTCAAGGATGGCCTTAGCATGCAGGCAGGTTTATGTGGGACCTGGCAGTCTGGGTCCCACATCTGCAGTCTTCTGGTCTTGAGAGGAGTCTTCATACAACTCTGAGGTTTCTGTGTTCTTCATAATACAACTTTGTTTCCTTCTGTGGTTGCAGCAGAGTTTCAGAGGCTGGCAGAGTTGCCATTACTGGAGGATCTGGTGTTTGTAGGTAATCCACTGGAAGAGAAATATTCCGCTGATTCGCAGAGTGCCTGGGTTGAGGAAGCAACAAAACGAGTGCCCAAACTCAAGAAACTTGATGGTGAGAGCTGGGTAGGAGCAGGGTGGCATTTAGCAGATGAAAAAAGCAAAGTAGAAGAAGAATCTTTAGTTGCATCAGCCACTAGCCATAGGAATAAAATAAAATAAAGTGAACTGAAGATAGGTTTGCAAATAGGGTGCCATTGTGTCAAAATGACTAGGTAGAAAATAATCATACCATGGACAAAATTTCCTTATCGTGGCCAAATTATTCTGTCGCTCGATATCATTATTATTTGCTTTACTGAAGCTCAGTGTTAAAAACATGACAATCTTGCGATACTAAGGGTAGTAGACCGGTGGGGTTTAAATTTAGCCAAAGCCAATAATTAAATGTCCTACACCCAGTCTGTAATTCAACAGAGGGGAGATTAGCATCCAAGCACAGTGAAGCATTTGGAACACAGAATGGAACCGAAAAAGAATTGCCTTAGGAGCTTAGATTGAACAGCTTCTGTAGATCCAAGGTGTTCACCTGTCCAAATCTGAGCCCCATATAATAACTGTGCTAAGGGTTTACCTGTAAACACTTCAAGTGCTGATGGTATGTGATTGCCACCTTTTGTATGGAAAAAGCGTGTCAGAATTTTGGCACTTTGAGAAGCTTTTTCCTTTGTATATTTCTAATGTGCTCCCCATGACCCTGTTGACTGAAAAATAAGGCCAAGGTGTTTAAAGACTTTTAACTTGTTCAATCAACTGATTACCCATACACCATCTATAGTTTCTTGAAAACACCATGACTTTAGTTTTCTTGTAATTCACAGCCAGATGTTCTCTTTGGCAGTATCCTGAGAATGTTCTCATCAATCTTTTTAGGTCCACTTTTATTTGAGATAGAAGTATCGCATCATCTGCGTATAATAATATAGAGATGGCTTTTTTGGCCAGTTTAGGGGCATGATACTCTGGGGATGTTAACCTCTGGACAATATCATTTATATAGAAATTAAACAGTGCGGGAGCTAGGATACAACCCTGCTTAACTCCCTTTGTGGCTGGTATGCATCCTGTGAACTACCCATTTGTAGGGCAACGCAATTTCAGCACAGTGTTTTTATATAGACATTTAATCAAGAACAATAATCTTTTATCTATACTTGAAGAGTTCATCTTACTCGAGAGATTGAATCAAATGCAGCTTTTAAATCAATGAAAGCTGCATATAGCACACCACTTGGTTTCTTAACATACTTATCTATAAAATGGGCTAGTACAAAGCAATAGTCTATAGCGGATCTGCCTTGTCTAAATCGTGCTTGCTCTTCAGCAAGAATAGCTTCATCAGTTAAACAAGCAAAGTATTAACTCATCATTTCCCCATTAAATATATTTTGGTAAAGATTTGAATTCTTTCCTGTTCAGAATTTCTGTATATTGGGTGGTTAATGTAATGGTATCTTAATTTTTTAAGAAAACAGACCCATATATATATTTTCTGTCAGTTAGTGCTTTAAAATATCTATTTTGCTACGTAGCCCAAATTATCCAGTATTCCCTAGAGATTGGCAGTTAATACATCACCTTGAAAAATTATATTGTTCACATATTTCCATTTTCCAATCAGATACAAATATTGGGTTCAGGCAACAAATTGTAGGTGGACTATGGTGTATTGCTCAGACAATAGAAAATCCCTTGGAAAAGGCTTTTCTGGGCTTCTGGAACAATTTGTAGTCAGCCCAGGGAAAGGAGGCAGTTATTAAGCATGCTAGAATCACTGTGTTTTTCTTCCATTAGATGGTGATGGTGGAATTGAAGCTTTCTCATTGGAAACTGTTTCTCACTTGTATTCTTTCACTTCAGTCCTTTAATATCTGTGCTCCTAGAATACTATGATATTCCACAGGTGCACTGATCAGTCCATTTTCCTAGGTGCTTAATTGCTGGCATGTTATTAAGTCAGGCCTGGGCAGCAGTTTTAGTTAGTTTTCCTGTTTGTACTGTTTTTCTCTCAAGTTTTAGTTAAAAACATGTTTAACGGTTCTCCACTCTCGTTTTTAGGTATTCCAGTTATTAAGCAAGAAGAAGGGGAAGAAGGGGAAAACCCAGCGTGACTTTTTTCTTGTTCCCTATTAAATTATTGCTGTAGCTCCAGCTCTATACAGTATGTGAAACTTTTGTATAAATATGTCTTTGAAGAAAATCTTGGGCAACATTTTAAACTGGCTTATCTCTGTGTTCTCCTTTCTCACCCAAAGACTTATTTACCAAAACTGGGGGTGCCAATTATGTGAAGCATTTGTCTTTTTTCAATTTATTTTTACTATGAGCGTTTACTGTTTGTTTAATTTAAATGTAATTCTTGCAAGTACATTTTTTTTGGGGGGTGGACCACAATTCAGTCTTCCTAGTAATGGGCACATTTGTTTAATGTGTTTGTTCAGCAGAGTTTTTAATCATTTTAAAATTGGGGGTGGGGGGAGAAGCAGCATTTTTTATTAGACTATTTATACCATTTATTAGACTATTTATACCATCTGCTTTTTTAAAAAGCAAGCACCTGAAACTCCACATGTTTGTCACAGTGTCTCATCTTTTTCTTCCTATTTGCTATGCTAATTATAGTCATATGGACACTGGTGACAATGTTGGTTTTGCCTCTTACAAAATGAAACTCATGGTGTAGATAAAAAAAACAAAATTTGTTGCTGCTAGGAGCCCAGTACTTAACATATTGAGCTGTGTTGGTACCTTAATTGTCAATGTTTCTGGAAGCCACTTACTGTTTTTATGTACCGTATTAGTTGGAAGAGTGAAGGCAATATATGTGGTTGTAGATGAACCACTAATTTCCTGACCATCACTTTGATTTGATTCATGGGCTGAATTTTGCATCCTTTGTTTAAAGACTTGGGCTGCTGGTGTGTTACTGAATGGCAGAATCATTCATCAGTCTGGAATTTTAGTAATGTAAGGAGGGGCAGCAGCTGTTTAAAGAGGCCCAAATCTTGCAGCTTATTTGAAAATAAGCTTCAGTTTCAGGGTTCAATCAATGGTGAATGACAGCTGAAGAAATTGTAGGAGGAAAGAAGGGAAAGGGAATGAGGCTGTATGTAGTCTATGTGCTCAAATGCGCTCTATTTTTACATGAAACAAGAAAGCCCTAAACTCCTTTCTTCCCTCACCAATAGATATTTTGCTTATACCATTGGACTTCTAAAGTCAGTCCTAAAAGATTTAAAGGAGAGCAACTGGGTGTTTCAGTTTGTTGTAGGCAGTACAGTAGTTAACCTGAATGCAGAGATTAACCTGTAATGGCATGTTGCAGTCTGTTCTTCCCTTGCTCCAGTTCTTCTTACTAAATGATTTTGACTCTGACAATCAATTTCATTGTTAACATGTGATATAGGAGCATAAAATGTGGTCCATATTACATCATCATTTCCCACATACTCTAATCCCCAGCCCAATAATATCTATAATTTAGCCTTTGGATATGTAAAATAAAAAATAATCTAGTCTAGTCTTAACCATTAACCAAACTAGATGAACAAAGAAGGGAGAAAGGATTTAAAAAATAATAATTTAATAAACTAAATATATATGCTAAGCTGTCATATCAGTATACAATAAATAACACTGATAAACCTGATAAGATGTATGATGCATGTATATAAGAAAATATATCAAATGCCCGAATGTGGTTCAACCTCAAAGGGTGTTCTTTGAAATCAACCAATGATTTCAAGCAAAGCCGTACATGCAGGTTATTTTAAAAAGAAATAAACAAGTAAAAGGTCTGGTAATATTTGTAGTCCATAAATCACCAGCTGATGTTAAGGAGAAGCCACATTTATACATTCATAAGTGCAGGTCCATTCAGTCTGTGTATAGAAAAGAGATACGGTCCCATGTTAGATTTGTATGATTGGTAAATTCCAGACATTACTATGGGCTGCAAATTTGCCCCAGAACTAACTTGTTTGTTGGATTAGCTAGAACAGTTATATATTTTAACAGCCACTTTAGCCTTTGGATCATAACAAACTGTAGAACATGGCAGTTGTATAGCACCTGGTTAATCATATGGTACTCTACCAACTGTCCCAAATCTGTCTGTTTTTTATTAGGCATTAACCAATTATTACACTGTCCTCTGATTTATTAGACAGGATGTCTGATTTTAACCATCCTTTTAAGTGAGAGAATGCTCCTCCAGTTTTGGGCTTGTAAAAGTAATCCCATTTAGATTCTTAATGTAGAACAGAGGTGGCTAACGCTCAATTGGTGGGGGGGCCTGATCCACCCTAAACCAAAATTTGTCTCCTCCCCACCCCCTCCAATGTTGATGGCAACAGTGTCAATGGAATCTAGTGCCCTGGTGAGGATTAAAATAGTTTCCTCCCTTATCATCAGATTGATAATTTGATGGGTGGAGAGGGGACAATAACCCCTCCTCCTCAATTGATTTGCATGGGGGGAGGTGTAGACTATGTATTATTTGTGTGTATGACAAAGGTTTGGCCATACCTGCTGCTGACCTGTGGCTCCTGAAGTGTTGGCAAAGAGTGGATGCAGCTCTCAGTTAAAATAATAATACTAGAATAGTTAGCCTCAACAATCTAGAATTTGATTAGTGTTGTGATGGAATCATTTTTTTTTACTATTGTTACATTAGTTAGTTCCCCATAAGGATATTTGGAATAATAATTGGTGGGATTAAAAATAAATAAAAATAAAGTTGCAATATACTATACCAATAAATAAAACCTTTCCCCCAGAAACACATTTTTCTTTTCTAAGAAGCATAGCATTTTTATTTCCATAGTGTATATTTATATTTCATGCTAATTATTTCTATAAATCTTTGTAAGCAAATAAATTATTTTTAAAAATATGCATATTCACCAATCAGACTTAATTGGCATTGTTTTTCCCAGTACGGACCTCGTTCTAAACTTTTGACTGTACATCAGCTTAGTGACCCAGGCCAGTGGTGGACAAACCAGTTAGTCTTCTGTGAATGGATGGGTGAAGTTGATAGTTCCCAGTCTAGCGCATGTTTCTTTAACAGCGTAGAGCAGTGAAGCACTGTGTGGGGATAGCATTCTCCGCCCTTGTGCTTAAATAGCTCATTTGCCAACTTGCTCTCCTTGCCGCTGTAGCAATCCAGGATTGGTTCTAACATAAGGAGAGCCCTGCTGGATTAAACTCATGAGTAGTAGACCAACAATCTGTACTCACAATGGCCAACCAGATGCCTGTGAGAAGCCCACAAACAGGTTCTGCTGGTAAGGAGACAGAAGAAGGTGGTGGGCTAATGGGTGTTGCAAAACTGGAGTGGGAGATGCTATTTCTGCACAATGTCATGGGTGCACTCTCAGGATTCAGGGCTGGCAATAAATCCTGCAGGCCTGTTAGAAGCCACTTGTCAGGTAGCCTGTGGCAAAGTAAGAATTTCCTTCAGGTGATCAGGCAGGCTAGTTTTTGTATATTGGAAAGGAGGCTGTTCTCTCCCCCCCCCCCTTTGAAATCACCAGTGTGCCCTAGATGACCACGTGAACAGGGTAGTTAGTAAGATTTGTGGACTAGTAACTTTATGGATCTATTTTCAAGGTGAGGAAACTGCAGGATGCTTAAACTTTGTCTGGTGTGGTGCTAGCTATGCAGGGAACACGGTAATCTTAGCAGCCAAAATACCCTTTTTCTAAAATAAAATATTTTAGTAAGCAATCCTCTCTGCTACAGAATTCTACATTTTCTGCCATCCTGAAACTACACAGTTGTTGCTTATATGCACTGTTAAATGTGCATAAATATACTCAGGAATGAGACGCAATACATTTTGGATAATGGGTAGCATTTAGATCATATGCTCTTGCTAAAGCCAATAGGGTTAATAGCTGTGATGTCCTTAGATATGATTGTTCTGAAGCCAGTGTTTTGCTTTAAGTTCCTCTGCAAATGTTATTAGAAACAAAATAGTTACAAAGGAATAGTCTTTTGGATAAACCTTTACGCACATCTTGTGGTGTGATGTAAGTTTTTGGTCTAGGAGCGGAACAGATGACCAACAAATAGATCTGCTCTTTAATTAGCAAAATGAGTTTCTTAAGTCTTGGTGCTAAGCTTTCCCAAAGTAACACATTCTTAAACTCCTACTAGCAGCTGGTGTTGTTTCTCACTAGAGATTAGCTGGATGGATTAGTTCTCAGTCCACATATTATTATTGCTCAAGCTCAAGCTACAGTTGTTTATAGAAAAGATGTCCATAGTGCCCAGCTGTCTGCATCTGGTCTGTTAATTTAATACTGTTGCAGTGTACTTTTACATAAAGGATTTAGAAAAAAAGCCAAGGGGGTTTAAGAGAGGAAAAATAGAAATCCAAAACTGTTTACATTATTTTTATATAACTTTTAAGAAAAACATGCCTTTTTTTACTCATTTGGTCATGGTTGAAACAATGAGCAGAAAAGGTTTTTTCACTCCCATTGATCAGTTTTGTAACTCGGGTTAAAAATCATGGATTACCGTATATTGATATTTATGAAACATCATTAATAATTCTGAAAAATTAAGTAATAATGATGCTAGGACATCCAAACTGGAGCTCCCGTTTTACTTGATTTTAGTTTTGTTCAAGCAGAAAATTGTAATGCAATTCTATGCACATTATTCATCGTCCTGAATTTGCACTGCTGTGCTCATGCATGTATAAACATCACCATCAATTTGGTGCAATGTGTTGGAAAAGGTGGAATATTGGGGAACCCAAAAGATGGTGTCACAATTAGCTGCTACTTAAAAATTGTCAGGAGTTAGCAAGACATTTGATGATGGCACAAGTTCAGCATGCAGTAAGACAGAAAAGACTGACAGTGCAAGATGAGGGGCAGATAAGAGGTTTTTCTTCAAGTCAAGCAAGGTTTCTAAAGAGATCCAAACTTTTTGTGAGTGGATGTGTGGGAAGTAGTGCATGAAACTGTTTGAGAATACAGCATGTGGTGTAAATGGCAGCAGCTCTTTTAATGTAAGCAGTTATCAGTAGTATCTGTCCCTATGGAAATCTGTTCCCAAGGTTGCCAGCAAACAGTAGTTGCCTGTCCTTCATCTTGCTGTTGAAATTTCTTGTGTGCAAATGTGATTTACCGTATTTTTTGCTCTATAAGACTCACTTTTTCCCTCCTAAAAAGTAAGGGGAAATGTGTGTGCGTCTTATGGAGCGAATGCAGGCTGCACAGCTATCACAGAAGCCAGAACAGCAAGAGGGATTGCTGCTTTCACTGCACAGTGATCCCTCTTGCTGTTCTGTCTTCTGAGATTCAGAATATTTTTTTTCTTGTTTTCCTCCTCCCAAAACTAGGTGCGTCTTGTGGTCTGGTGCGTCTTACAGAGCGAAAAATACGGTAAATTTAATCAATGTCAAGCACACCAGTTCAGCTTCCTTCAGGAGGAGGGGTTAGAGAATTTTAACAGGAGGAATTTTGGGTTTTCTGGTTTTCATTTAAAGGCTAGAAGGTCAATGAAAGGTCACTCTTAAGTTACTTGGGTGCTGCACTTTTCTGAAATTTGCCAAGTGTTTAATATCCTTCATAAGGAAAGCTGTTAGGCATAAGCATAGAACTGGCAGAGAAACACTATTGTAGCCATGCCATTCAATATCAGCAGTTTTGCAGAAAAAGCTTTCCCATGCTTCCTGGCTTCCTTAGGGCTGTTCCACATTGCAGAACAAGACAGATCGACCCTCATGTTTCCACAGTGTGTCTGTCACCTGTGCCTTTTTTTCTACAGCACTTGAATGGGAGACATATGCATGCAAGCACCCAGAGAATGTGGCCTGGAGCCTCATTTCCCAACTGCATGCACTCATCTACTACTTAAACTTTACAAACAACATGGCCAGCATGGTGTGGAAATCCAGGACAGGACTCCTATCTTGACAAATGACTGGAGCAGCCCTTACAATGAGTGTCAATAGTGGTCTGCAATCTCATGAAGGTCATAGACCCATTAAAGCTACATCGTCCGGCAGAGGATGGTGGTGGTATTATCATCTAATAGGCAGAGTTAGGAAAGTAGTCTTAAGATCCTTTCTACATAAGTCCAAGCATCAGGTTGATTTGACATTGCTGTCAAATTATTCCAAAGGAATTAATTTAATGTAAGAATCTTTACTGGTTGAAAGAGGTCACGTGTTGGTGAGAAATAGCTGCCATTTCTTGTCTTGGTGAATGGATTACTTTACTATTGTGGAACAAATCAAAAGTCAAATTGCCAAAATAGAAATGAGTGTTTCTGGAAAAAAAATCGCACTTTAAATTTATGCACTGGATTTTGGTGAAAAGCAAAGCAAATGGTTAGCAGGTATGTGGTTGCTCAGAGAAAAGGGCTGTGTGGTACAGCAAAGAATTAAAAGTGCTTCCTTCCTTCATTGCTTGAACTATCTTGCCTTTCCTGTGATTATTTAGCCTATGTTACTGAACATGGATGAAAGGAGCACCCATGTGAAAACCTGTAAGCTATGTTGAATCCCCAACTTCATTGGAAATAGGGGTTACTACATTAATCTTATTTCATGGGGGTTTATACAAATATAAAACATATTGGCATCAACTGGAAAGGGGCTCATTTGCTTCCCAGTCTGTCTAGCTACTGTGTACAATCATTTATGCAAACATGTCAAAGGGCATTTGAAGTTGGCAGCTCTCACTTGTTGACCATTATGGCTCCATTAGAAGACTCTGCTTCTAAAATAAACTCTATGGAGAGCAATTTTTAAGCACCTACCATGATGATAATTGGTTTTTATACAGTATAATTATATAGCATGATCATATTATCAAACTTTTTTGTCAAGTTATTTAGATCTGGTTTTAACTGTTTGTGAAACTTGTTTAAAATAGAAATAAATGTTTTATACAAAGGACGATCTTGGCTCTCATTTGTACTAGTGAAATTGTTCAGTAATAACTCTACCATGAGGGAGCCAGTATAAAGAGAGCTGCATTCCAGAATATCCCTAAAACTGAGTTATTGAGAACTGAAAAGGGAAAATATACATTTTAGCTTCATCTCCTCTTGTATAAATGATTATAAAAATATATTCCGCATCAGGGATCGGCAAAGTTTTTGTGGCTTGGGCCAGTTCACGGTCCTGCAGACGCTGCAGTGGGCTGGAGTGTGCGTGCGCGCATGCATGCGCAAACGCTATTTCCAACACCACTTCCGGTGCAGAGGAGGCGTGCACAGCTTCCTATTGGCTGCAGGAGCTTCCTGCAACCAATGGGAAGCTGGCCAGCATTGCGGAAGCCTGTTACCGCTCTGCTCCGCACCGGTTTAGCGCAGCGCATGGGAGCCAACCAAGCAGGCGGTGGGGGGTCCCTGAGCGGGCAGCAGGGGCCATGGGCCGGTTAAATGACCCCCATGGGCCGCTTGTGGCCCATGGACCTTAGGTTGCTGACCCCTGTTCCACATCAACAATATGACTTCATTCCAGTAATAACAGGGCATGCATGCTTTAAAAGAATGGCAAAGAGAGATCTCAAGATTTTATCAGGAATGGGAAAAGGCAAGGATATAAAATAAGATACTTACAGATGTGAAAGAAAGAGGCAGATTCTCACTTCCAGATTTAAAATTGTACTATGAAGCGGCATGCCTAATATGGATCCAGGATTGGATCAAATTACATAAGGAGGAAATAACAGAACTGGAAGGACATGACAACAGGTTTGGATGGCATGCTTATCTATGGTATGGAAAGGCGAAAATACATAAAGGGTTTCATAATCATATAATAAGAAGATCACTGTTCAAAGTGTGGGGAAAATATAAAGATTTATTAGAATCTAAGACACCTTGGTGGCTATCACCTATTGAGGCATTGTCACTTAAAACATTGGGGGGAAAGGGAGAATGGCCAACATATAGAGAATTATTGGTAGAACTGGAAGGAAAACGAAAACTGAAAGAATATGAAGAAATAAAAGAACATCTTCAAAGCTGGTTGCACCATAGACAGCTAAAGGATATTTTTAAAGAGGACAATAAGAGAGGTTTTTCATATTCAGTTTCTAAATTCCAAAAGGAAGTGATAGAAGAAAATTCTAAATTATTTAAAATTATTTAAAAAGGCATATATCCTTTTGGAATGGGAAACAAGCCCGGTAAAGAAGTAAAGTCGGTGATGATAAAATGGGCACAAGATATAGGCCACAATATACAATTTGAAGACTGGACAAAACTGGAAAATAAATTTGAAATTTATGGATTGTATATTGCTGAGAGAGAACTATTTGAAGATGATGTATAGATGGTATCTGTCACCGGTCAAATTAGCAAAAATGTATAAAAATGAAAAGGAGTATTGGAGGTGTGAGGCTGAAGGTAGTAAGGTAAAGGGACCCCTGACCATTAGGTCCAGTCGTGACTGATTCTGGGATTGCGGCGCTCAACTCGCTTTATCGGCCGAGGGAGCCGGCGTCCAGCTTCCGGGTCATGTGGCCAGCATGACTAAGCCGCTTCTGGCGAACCAGAGCAGCGCACGGAAACGCCGTTTACCTTCCCGCCGGAGCGGTACCTATTTATCTACTTGCACTTTTATGTGCTTTTGAACTGCTAGGTTGGCAGGAGCAGGGACCGAGCAACGGGAGCTCACCCCATCGCAGGGATTCGAACCGCCGACTTTCTGATGTATGTAATAAGGGGGTAACAAACCAGAAATGGAAGCTGAGGGAAGCCCGGGAGGGAAGGGGTGAAGAAGTATAATATATATGTTATTGATATGTTTGCAATGATAGAAAAGAAAGTTAATAAAAATTTATTAAAAACAAAAAACAATATGACTTCAGTGCCCTGCAAGAAATTACTCAGAATAAATATCATTGCTCCAATACCCAGGGGAGAAACCTTTTAACATTAAAGCCAGTGTCTGTGAAACCTGAAATAAGATTCACTTATAGAGCAGAATTTAAAAAAAGCACCTGAACAAAGGTTCACATAACCCACAGGCTGCACATGTATGCTCAAAGCATGTAGTGAGGCAATATTTGACAATGCATTATCCATTGCACAGGAAACTTGATTAATGCTGGCAAAGCTGGCTGTCATCTGACTGACAGGTGTACAGGTCTAAAAGAGCCAGCATGATTACTGCAAACTGCCATAAAGGTAGCTTATGTGGAGTTTTCAACCTTGCCCTAGACCCTTTTCCAACATAAGCAGGGAGGGGATCAAACACCACCTATCCTCAAAGGACTGCACTGGCTAACAGTGAGTGACTGGGCACAACTGAAGGTCTTGTTACTATCATAGAAAGCCCTAAACAAGTTAGGATCCACACACTGAGAAAGATCGCCTTTCCCAGTAGCAGCAGACTGATCTATAAGGATTGTGCTTGTACTTCCCTTGATCATTATGGCCCAGGGGCTTAACCACAAGAGACAGGACATTCTCCTGTACAGGCACTCTTCCTGTAGAGGTCAGATTCCCCCCATGCTGTTAATACAGCCAACAGCTTCAGCCCTATTCCAGAAAGTGTGTTCTATTTAGCACTTTGGTTCTACTTTTGTTTAATGCTGTACTCTTACTGATAGCTGCCCTGAGCTCTCATGAGAAGGGCAAAATGTAAGAAATGAAAATTATTATTATTATTATTATTATTATTATTATTGACATGAGGACAGACTGAGCCAATAATCATACACAAAAATCAAAACTGCCAGCAGGAAAACAACACCTACTCCTTGGCGCACACGGATCATATTTAATTATGTCAAAACAAACCAAAAGCACCTTAGTAGCTGGAGAGAGCTTACCACCCTCTCTCAGATCATTTAATAATAATAATAAAAACTTGGGTTACAAAAGTTGCTTTTAAACCTTATTTAATAAAAGGTTTGAAAAGATACAATGGAACATTCAGAAGTAAATAAGTTACATGAGTACATTAAATCACATCAGCAAGACTTAGTGTATTAATGTTTTGTAAAAAAACAAAAGCACAAAAATAAATTGTCTATCACATCTGTACATAAGAGGTATATAATATTTTTGTATGTACAATATTTTAATATGTAACAGTCTTTTAAAAGGTGCAGTAAATACACAAAAGGCAGTTCCTGCATGTTTGTTAAAATAAAAGCTCTATATTTTTTGATAAAAAGCATTTATACAATAATTACACAAAGACAGACTATTTCTGTACACCACAAAAACTCTAGCATTACGAATTAAAACATAGACTCAGGAAAGCCAATTTGTACCAAATCTGAGCTTCAGAACAACCATAAAACTTGGAAGATGCAAAAAAAAGAGGTGGTATTAAAAACAAAAGCCACAATTATATTTTACAAAAATATATATTCACCTCTTTCTCATGATAAGCAGCTGGGCATCTTTATAGGTTCAGCTGTTGATATATATCCCATATTCCAGAAAGGGGGTGGGTCGGGGCAGAAGAGAAAGAAAATGTAAGCAGCTGGAGATTAGAGGCATAGCCTATCATGCACCACAGCCAGTTGCGCAACCTTCACTCATTTCAACGCAGCTTGGGGCAGGGATTCTGAGCAGCCCCTCTGAAATGAATGAAGTTGCGCAGTCACTGTTCTGGGGGGATTTCAGCTCCAGCATAGCGGCATATAGAAGGGATTAAAGGAACAGCTGAACCCAGTGGATGGGTTTAAGATCTGGGGTTCTTGGGGGGGGGTGCGTGGGGGAAGAGACATAGCCAAGGAAGCAGAAGTGTTTGTGCTGTTTCCCTATCCTCCAAAAATACTGAATTAACTCCTATGAAAGTGCTCACTAGAAGACCATTTGTGTGAACTTGCAGTAGAGGAAGTAAGTGCTTGGGCAAGTCTTGGGACACAAGTATTGACTGACAAACAGAAAAAGCCTTAAAAATATACCCTTTGAGATACACTTTTAAGATCCCTTGCTAGCAGGTGGAAAAATGGAAGCAAAGCCAGGTGGATACAGATAAACACCCCACCACCTCTTCACTGTCTTAAATGCAAGAGATAACTGAAATTATGGTTCTCTACACCAGTGATTTGCTTGGTTATGCTACCACAAAACATGGTCATGGACTGGCAAGCTGGTGTTTTCCCAGCGAGTGAGAGGGCATTAATTTGAAGCTTCAACCATCTTATGTTAATTGGGATATGCAGCATGTTTTCTAAGAATGCCACAAAATCCAGGTCTGACTCCCTAATAACTGGGCTTAGACTTGCAGCCTTAAGCAACTTATCTGCTCTTCAGTAAGGCTGGCTACTGAGTAGACATGCATATTTTGACTAAAGTGGTATTACAGGAATGCAGTTCAGCCAGGAAACTATTTGCCTGTCCAGTTCCTTTTCAATTAAAAAAGGATGCGCAGCAATCAGAAATGTCTGCTGCAGCACCAAGCCAGTTTCCCAAATTCACTGACCGCCTTGAAAATAACTTTTTAAAGTGCTGTGCTGAATGTGAAACTGCATCATACTGTAGAGCTGCAGCTAATCCTCAAGAAAGCGTCTTCATAAACATCCTCTCTCACAGGATGTTGACTATTACTCAACAGAAAGGCACCAAGTGGGGAGTCTGCCAGATTCTCCACATACCATTGGCAGCTCAATAGCAGCAGTGGTTATCATCAAGAGCCATACATCCAGGTTTGTAGATAGCCACACACTTGACTGTCTGTGGTGAAGGGAAACAGCTGCAAGGTAACCAGGCAGGGAAGGATTTGGAAACAGGAAGATTTCCCATACCCCTTCAGGTCATTAAAAGGAGCCACAAATTATTAACAAAGATGGCTGGCTAAGTGGACTGGTCAAAAATTGTGGGCTACTACATTTTGTGAACTTGTTTGTAAGGATTTTCTCGTTTATTAGGACCTAACTATAACATAGCTGTCAAAGTTTCCCTTTTTTAAAGGGAAATTCCCTTATTCCGAATAGGATTTCCCTTAAAAAAAGGAAATAGTTGACAGCTACGGACTATAAAATACTTCCACTGACCAGGCTAAGACATAAAACAGAGATATTGCTAGTTTCTAAAATAACCTCAAACTCCAAATGAAGACCACTGGCCATAAAATAATGTCAATTATAGATGCACTGTAATATGGGAAAAATCAAGATAATGGAAGTAGGTATCCAAGGCGAGGAACAGTTGCAATGATTTAAAGATGGCGCTGAGCATTTTGGAACCAAGCACGCTAAACCCAGCATTTATAACCACTGATTTCCCACCCAGTGTTGAAGCAAATTCATTTTCAGACAGCAGTTAGCAACCTTTTGGGATTTGGGACACACTAGTTAATTTGGGGGAGCCGTATTTGGGGAACAACTACTTAATTTTTAGTGTGTATTTTGATTTATGGAAGTGGTGCTGTTTAGATCCACCTTAGGCTAGACTGTGACCCAATACTTGAAATCCAGTGTTATAGAACACAAGAACTTTGTTCTCGCCTCTGTTTCATAATGGAGGGGACAGCATTTGCTAACTCCTCCCACAATTTGCATGTGTGGATCTCTGATCACACTAAAGATGCCTCTGCACATACTTCTCCTGCATACATACATTTGTACATCCACTGTTTTCATTTTAAGATGCTCCCACAGGATTGAGGCAAAAAAATGCAGAGTTTAGCATCAGTTGGCATAATTGTGCTCTGCCCCTCCATGTACATCAAAAGGAAGCTAAGAACAGGGGATAAAGACAATTCAGTTCTGCTTTTGCTTAAAGGAGCACAGTCAATATTAATTTGTTGAATTGCATCCATAGCCAAATCAGGGGTCAGCAACCTTTTTCAGCCGTGGACCAGTCCACCGTCCCTCAGACCATGTGGTGGGCCGGACTATATGGGGGGGTGGGGGAGATGAACGAATTCCTATGCCCCACAAATAACCCAGAGATGCATTTTAAATAAAAGCACACATTCTACTCATGTAAAAACATACTGATTCCCGGACTGTCTGTGGGCCGGATTTAGAAAGTGATTGGGCCGCATCCGGCCCCCGGGCCTTAGGTTGCCTACCCCTGGCCTAAGGCCATCCAAAAACAATGGAATGGGAAATAAAAATCAGAGCTTGCTATGAATTGCCATTTATTTCAATTGGATTTAGTCATGGCTAATCTACTGGATTATGTCCCATGCCTTTGAAACAGACATGACGCAGAATCCACTCCCATATAAACGTGTTTTCCATTTTGTTACAATAAAAAATAGACCATTAAAAATTTATCTCCTGCAAAGTTTAACAGATGGGGATAATTAACTTTTTTTTCAGACTGACTCGTGATCTTTCTTATGCATATACTATAAATAAGATTTGGAAGTCATATCTGTGGAGCCTCTTCTTTCATAGCTACAAGACAGGACACAAGGAAGTCCGAACTGCTCTGTGCTAGATTGTGCAAATTGTATTTGGGAAGGAAGCAGATCAATCACATGTACATTCCCTGCCCCAAAGAAGAGAGATTTGCTACTTCGATTCACACACACCACCTTTTTCTTTCAAGAAAATGCCCACTGGCTACTTTGTTAACTTTTATAAAATATAGTCTCTCTCAGCATAAAACATTTTAATTTCATTCCCACATTTAAAGCATCGTTTTTTTAAAAAAAATTAAAAATATCAGTTTCTTATCTAGACCTCTTTTCCAGAGCATTAATGCATGGCCAAGGGGCAGATTTCTGTCCAGTTTTCTAGTGAAGATCTTAACAAAGCTTTTTGCGCCTCGGGGCAGGAATAAGTCTTAGGTTAAGTGCAGAAAGAAAAGAAAATAAGAGTTGAGACAAGACATTTCTAGAAGATGCAATTAAAAGCTAAACACCTCAGAATGAGCCAGGTTTAAAAGGGGGAAAATATACTTCTTTACTATGGTGTATCACAAATGATTGTGCAAATTTTTATAATCTGAATGCCAAAGGTTCAAATCAAAACAAAGGAGTGAAGAAAATAGTCTGATTGCATTGACAAATTTCTGAAACTGCCAAAAAAAGGTGGGGGGGGGGGACGAAAAAGAAAAAAGAAAAGAAAAGAAAGAGTAAAAGGAAGAAACACAAAACTTGGCCCATCTCATTGAAGACTGTTTTTATGATGTGCTGGAAGGACTCCTATAAGAAATCTAGTGGAATTTGCATTATACTAGTTGAAAAATGTTCAGACAGTAATTTTTTATGTGCTTGCAAGTTTTTCCATTATGAAGCACTAAACACATTTTAAGTTGCCTTATACAGAATCAAGCCTATTGGTCCATCTAGCACACTACTGTATCCTTTGACTAGCAGCAGTTCTCCAAAATCTTCAGGCAGATGCATTTCTTAGGTCTGCCTTTGTAAACTCTTAAATGGAGATACCAGGGGTTAAAGCTGGGAGCTCCTGCTTGCAAAACCAAGGCCACCATTTTCCAAGTTGGAAGTAAAGGGTATTTGCTCTGTCTGTGCATTTTTTAAAAAATATGGATGACAGCATTAAAATATGCAATCATGAGGCTACACTTTTAATCCAGTAAAAACTACAATATATACGATTCCTCTGGTCATGCAGCTCAGCTCTCAGAATGTCAACAGCAATCTAGCTGAGTTAGATTGAAACTTATTATGCTTTAATCAAATTAACCAATTTATTCAGAGGGATGAAGTATTTCAATAATCACTTGTCAATCAGATTGCCACTGGCAATGGGAAATAAGGATTTAAAGGTGAAGTTTATAGCAACCTTTTCCATCACTTCTATGTACACTTCTAGAGAGTTGTGATTTCAGCAGTTTTCAGGAGATCCAGAAAACCACAAAGACACAATCCCATTGTGACACACTCACAACTTCCGATGCACAATGTTAATAATGCAGTTTACAAAATTCTCAACATCTTAGCTTTCACTTTCCTCACAGTTTTAGAGGGCTAAAAAAAATCTATTTGTGTGGCTTGCATCTGCTAACAGCTAATGAAGATTTACTTCCTCCTCCTCCACCACAGTTAACAGCCCTTTATTTTAGATCAACATTATTTTAGGAGCAAATAAAACACCAAGTTTGACAACTGAAACTGGCAAATAAATTAATTCTTATTTGCATAACTAGGAGGTTATAGATCTGTGAAGTCAGGAATTTTAGTGCTGAGTCCCAGACCTTCCCGAATATAATTTACAGATATAGTCACTAAAAAGTCATAATCCTCGGGCTACCCAGTGGCCACACATCACAGCTGTCCCTCAGCATTATAATAAATAAACCAGCCCTACTACTGACAGCAACATTTCAGTTTAAGTGTTCTTAAACACTTTCAGTTAAAGTGCTCTACGTATATCTATACCAATTCTTGACAGGGCATCTTTTTGGGTGGACAGAAATGCCTTCTGCTTTGCTTCTCCCTCCACTGCAAGATGGAAAACTAGTACACTTTCACCTGCTGATATGTGGCGATAGCTCTCTACACAGTGTAAGATGACAACTGCAAACACTGCAGTTAATGACAGCACAGGTGCCAATTAAAGTACAGTGGTATCTCGAGTTACAAACACCTCAGGTTACAAACTACGCTAACCTGGAAGAGTTACCTCAAGTTGAGAACTTTGCCCCAGGATGAGAACGGAAATCGTGTGCCGGCGGTGCAGCGGCAGCAAGAGGCCCCATTAGCAAAAGTACGCCTCTAGTTAAGAACAGTTTCAGGTTAAGAATGGACCTCTGGAACAAATTACGTTCACATCTAGAGGTACCACTTTTACTAATGTTTTCTTCCAAAGAGAGAGATCCTGGGACACTATCACTGCAAGTCTAGTTTCCCCCCTCCCAATATGCTGGATATCTTGCTTTAAAAAAAAAAAACAAGTATTGGGTCCATGGAGTGCTAGTTGTGCAAGTTCTGAATGAAGGTTCTTCTTTGGTTGGCAAATGATAAGCACAGCGGTGTGGGTTGCAAAATGCTTAGGAATGAATGAATATATCAGTCAAGTGTTCTCATAAGGGTATTTTCAAAGCCTTTTTTAAAAGGAAGGAAGGAAAACATACAATGCTTAATCTTTTTCTTTTAGTAGCTTGTCTTTTGTGGAGGTATTGAAAAAGGACTGAACAGGTAAATAAACAACATGATCCCCAATCTAATTAGGCAGCTTCAGGGTGAAATCCAAAGGCTTCCTCTCTGCCACTTTTTGGCAAAAATACCACAGTAGCTGCAATGTATTATTTACCTGCCTTACACCAAATCAGACCATTGGTTCATCTAACTCAATCTCATCTATTCAGATTGTCAGTGGTTCTCTAAGATTCTCTATCCCCAATCCTATTAACCTGAGCTCCTTTTATCCATAATCCCAGGGACAGAAGCTGTAAGAAAAGCCTGTGTTCTGCCCTCAAAACTATTGACCATTCCAATAGTTTAGGTGTCAGCAACAGCCCCTGCCTCCAGTCGCCAGAAGTGTGTGCAAAATATATGGTCAATCCTGCATGCCATTTCTAAATTCAACAGCCAAGGGCGAGGTTGAATTAATGCTAGCAACGTATGTGGCTTCCTGTGCTTGAAAAGACAAGTCTTTTACTCTCAAAGGTCATCCCACAGAGGCTGCTCCCTACCAGATTTTTCTGGACATCTTTGGAAAAGAAATTCTCGTAACAAAGGATGGAGGAGGTAAAACATGTATTGGCTGGAGCCCTAACCAGGTAGATGAAAAAAGTTAATGAGTGTGGTACTGCAGGTAAAACTTGGAGGTTGGAAAAGGACAAAACAGTATGGGAACAAGAACTGATGCCCCAGCAGATTTCTCACCCTGACGCCCCACCCTCACCCCGGCACTGCTCTCATGACTCCCAGAGATCCCATGGAAGGGTAATTTGAACTGAAGGAAACCTGAATTCCATGCCATGATCATTTGTTCAAATAGGTACCGAAACAGTTAATTTATAAATAAAGTGATTCATAAAATTTTGGTTTTCTTTAAAAAGTAGAAACTTCCAAGGTGATGGTTTCCTTTTCTTTTCAAAATCCACCAGTCTGTGCTAGTGAGGCGAGGAAGGAAGTGGAAGCAAGAGGGCTGGGTGTCTGTTCAGATGTGGAGCTACACACGTGCAGCAAGTGGAAAAGTTCTTCCCAGGTTCAAAGGGCCAGCCTAGCTCCAGCAGCCTCCACCCATGACCCTCTGCTACACCTCTCCGTCTTCATCTGAGCTGCTGCTGCCGCTGCTACTACTGCCACTGCTGCTCCCGCTGTCGCTGCTTTCCACCTGCTGAGCTCGGCTGCGAGCCGCCGCCGCCTCAGCCGCCGCCGCCTCTGCTTCTTCCTTCTCTCGCTGCTTCTGAGCCGCCGCCTTTTTCTCCTGCTCAGCGTGACTTTTCATGTGAGCGCTGCGGCTTTTCACCTTGTAGAAGATTCTGGAGGAAAGCACATAACAGCGCCGTTACTTACTCTAGCTCACCTTGGTTTCTCTCGTGAATCTGAGAGATTCAACATCCTCCCCAAAAGATGCTAACTTGCCCGGGCAAGGTCACCAGTGAAAACTGCAATGCAGTAAACAAAACTGCTCCCGTGTTTTTCTTAATGTATGCTCAGTGTTGGCCATTGGGAAGGATAAGTGAACTGGGAGGCCTAGATAAAAACTTGAGTCTTCCATGATTATGTGCTGCAATATCTGTAGCAAACCATATTGTGCTTGTAGCGCAGATTCTGTGAAGTGATTGTGGACTCAACCCTTGTGATTTCCTTTACCTATGTGTTTGTACTTAGCCAACATACTAACTTAATCTGAGGTACAGGCAGCTGTGGACACAGATTAATGGTGAGTCTAGTCCAGCATTCTGTCTCCAGCAGGGGCTGCTCAGGTGCCCCTAAAAGGATAACAAAAAAACAGGGCCTGGTGGAAAGAGCTTTCCCGTTTGTCCCTGGCACCTGCTGATCAACAAACATGGTTGTTTCCAATCTTAGCTTTATGCTAATAGCCACTATTGATGTATCTTTGTTACAGTAAGCTGCCTTTAAAGAGAAAAAGGCACAACTTAAGACCTAAAACAAACCCTGAATAAGATGCACAGTTACCGAAATACAATAAGGGGAGAAATCACTCAAGGTATATCATATCCAATAATAGTACACCCAGTTGCTTCTGTGATTATCCTGGCTTGACTGACATGCCTCCTGTCATTCTGCAAAGCCCGAACTCCATTCAAAGACCAAGCAAAATAAATATATATGTATGTTGCACTCTCCTTGTTTAATCCTGTCTGCTGAACAGGGCCTGTCTCTTGTCCAGGGCTTCCTAGGAAAGAGGTAAGTGTGTTGGGGGGGCATATGTATGTGAGTTCTGGTCTGGATCCAAACAACCACATAATTAGCTCCATATGTCCAAGGAAACTTTGGACTTGCCTTAAAAAAAAATAAAAAATCTTTTGCACAGCAACTTCCTCCTGCCTAACACCAAATGAAGTTTCAAAAGCAATTTATGCAATGGCACAGGCATCTTGAATAATTCCATGGTGCATGTTTAAGACACTGACTCTACCTATAGTAGCTCTTTAACTGTCTAGTCAGCCTAACCCTCCTGTCACCTGGGACCAGTGTACATCATCATCCATGACTGGCCTAGGTTTAACAGGCCCACAAAACAGACTATGATCTTATTTGTCTATGAAAGCATTTTCTATGCCACCATAGCAAATAGCAAGGTGGCGTACAGTATGAAACATCGTTACAGAAATATAAAAAGTCATGAAGGTGACTAATGAAAATTTAATCTTATAAGCAAGGTGAGACATGCCAGCTGCCTCTCATAAAGCATGGGACTTAGTAAGAGCTCTGTTGAACTGTTACGATTTTCACTCTGGTTTTACACCAAACATTGTCTAGATTGTGTGGCTGCCTGCTTTCTAGAAATGAGCTCTATGCTGAAAACAGCAATGGGAACCTAGCTGGGACACAGAAAGGGTCAGGCGCCTTTGTATAGGTCTTCCCCATGGGTCAAATGTTTTTTTGAAACATCCAACTGGTCCTTAACTTGATATGAGCAGCTATTTTTTTAAAAAAGAAAATCTCTTGCTAGCAGATTAACGCACTGAATAGGCTTCAGCTAGATGCTTTACTCATATGCAAATGTGCCTGCAAGTTTACAAACAACAAAAAAGTGAAAGTAACACCATTACTCCAATGTAGGTAGAAATCATCTGCACCTTGCTCCCTATCTCCAGCAATTGTAATTTGATCTTAAAATCACTGATTTCTCTCTTCACAGTTGATTTACGTCCTTCCATTTCTGATCTTCTAGTTACTTACTTGATGCTCATTTTCTTAGCAAGCTTCAACAAGAGATTTGGCTAACCCTTTTTGAAAATCCAAGTATCATGACTATCTTCTATCCACCTCAGGGTTGGGGAACCTGTGGCCCTCCAACTGTTGCAGAGTCCCAGCTAGCACGGCCCCTAACTAGGGATGATGAGAATTGCAGTCCAACAACATCTGGAGGGTATCATCCTTAAAATAGACGCAGCTGACCCTCAATATTATGTCTACGGCACTTTCAGAAATAAGTGCAAGAAGACAGAACTTGGAACGCCAGTGAGCCTTCACCTCTTTTGAATCTGGGGAAATGACTGGAAAACAGTGTTGACCACCAGCCAACACAATTGTGAATACAAGGGATAGTGATCGCCAAAGAAGGATAGTGATTTCACTCTCTTCATTTCATCATTTTAAGTACAGTGGTACCTCGGGTTAAGTACTTAATTCGTTCTGGAGGTCCGTTCTTAACCTGAAACTGTTCTTAACCTGAGATACCACTTTAGCTAATGGGGCCTCCTGCTGCCGCCGCGCCGCCAGAACACAATTTCTGTTCTCATCCTGAAGCAAAGTTCTTAACCCGAGGTACTATTTCTGGGTTAGTGGAGTCTGTAACCTGAAGCGTATGTAAACTGAAGTGTATGTAACCCGAGGTACCACTGTGCTAGGTAAGGCTCACAGTTCACTGGGTTTATGCAAACCTGGCAGAGAACAACACTTTCTAGCACAATGAAGCCTGCAGGCAACAAACATTCTCTTTCTTAGTCTACCTCCAGTAGAAGCCTACATGTTCAATCCTGAACTAGCATCTGTTGTTACAGGAAAATATGACGACTTCAGTGTCGACTGAAAGGCTCCTCTAAAACACTCCCTGAAGCATCTCATCTCTGCAGGAATCACACCATTCATATCGGCAAAATGTACATAACTTCTGAAATGGACCATGGCATTTTTCTGGCAAGATGCACATGTACACTAAGGAATCTCTACAACTGCAGGAAGCACCTTTTTTTTTTAAAAAAAGGAAAAGTTATTTTATTTCAAAAGTTAACAAGACTGAATGAAAAACTACAATAACATAATTATCAGAGCTGTTAAAACTCTGATTAACACTGCCTCCACCCCAGAAAATAGGCTACCACTTCTTTAGTTCTACAATTTTTTTTACTTCCTCCTGTACAGAAGATACAATGGAACCCTTGTTTTCGTTTCTGAGTTTTCCCACTCTTACCTTCCACATTTTTTACATGGAAATTCCTCCTCTTGGTTCTGGGCTTTGTTGACGGTGTCCTGTTTGGGCTTTGGTTTTCTTTTTCTCTTTTGGGCAGGTGGAGAAGTCTTCCGATATTTAATGGGCGTCTCCTTTGTCCTCCTTGAAGTTCTGCCTCTGGCTTCTGCTGCTCTTGGAGCACCAGGTTCCTGCTGTTTTTCCACGAGGCGGCTACCAACCTTCGGAGGAAGGAAAAACTATTGCAAGATGGAACAACTAGGAATCCTATGGGAGTGGATGCTGGACAATGGCCTGAGATGAGGATTTTACCAATCAAATCTATATGGCAGTGGGATGAATCCAGTGACTAAGGCAAGGAGGTTAAATATGTAAATATAAAATTAAATTAAATGTATTAACAGTTTGGGGTTTTTAAAAACAAATTACAAAATAGAAAGTTTCAAATAATACAGGAAAACATGTCGTAACACAGGATCCCTCTAGATGTCATGCAACAAGTCATTCTACACTTACCTGGTCCTCAGTGTGTAGCGTCTGTGTGGGTTTGGGGTATGTGGTGTTGCTGTTCTTCTCGTGAAACTCATATGTGTCTACTTCTTCCTCTTTTATAACCAACCGATCCTCTACTTCCTCGTCCTCTTCATCAGTGTTTTCATAGTCTTCGTTATACGTTCTGGGAGGAAGAGTTCGCGTAAGCCTATGGGAGCTCTTCATAAGAGTAAAAAAAAAAAGCGGAAAAGGGAAGCAAGTTAGTTTTTTAAAAGAAAAATCAATGCAAAGGCAGAATCCAGGAAGGGGATCTTAAGAAGTCCAATGGAGTCCAGTCAGCATCATTCCAACAGAACACATCAAGTTTTAATAAATGTGTTGGGAAACTGGAAAAGGCTCCTTATACTTGATTTGTATAAAAGTACATTAAATTTGTTGATGCTGTATATTTTACTTGTACTAAATTGTATTCTTACGTGCAATGCTCATTTGAAAGTGGGGTAATACATGAGGCAAAGGATCATTGGGATAAAATGAATTTAAAAAATTAAAAATTGTCCAGTAGCACCTTAGAGAGTAACTAAGTTTGTTTTGGGTATAAGCTCTCGTGCGCATGCACACTTCTTCAGACACACTTCTTCAGGTATTTTGTGTGCACGCACACGAAAGCTTACACCCAGAACAAACTTAGTTGGTCTCTAAGGTGCTACTGGACAATTTTAGAATTTATTTATTTCGACTGCATCAGACCAACACGGCCACCTACCTGAAGATAAAATGAATGTACAAGACAGGAGTGCTCATAAATTACATTGTTGGATACCGTCCTTGCTTCTCTACTGTGCTTTGCTAAGCAGAAGCTTGTGACTGACATGATTTTTGTGGTTATATTTGTTGTTTGCGAAGTTTAATGAAAATAATAAAAATTATGAACAAAAGAACCCAACAGACTACTCGTGCGCTCAGGGTGCATAGTCGTCTCGTGCAATTTTACACAAAATGTTACAGCTGTAGGCAGCATAATTTTGTGGGGTGAAGCTGACATTACGAACATTACCTTGATATCTACTTCCACTTCATCTTTAACCGCTTTTTCGCTGGCTCCATCAACATCCCCAAAGATCAACGCCCCGTTCCGGCCTATTTTTACTTGCTTTTTGTATGTATAATAGAACTCCACACACTGAGCCACAGTCTTTGTTTTAATCTGTAGAATTTATTGAGAGGAGGAGGGGAAGAGACGAGGGAGGAAATGGGAGGGAAATGAAAATATATATATATCAATAAACATGTCTGTCACTCACACTCATACACCCCCACACCTATGTGCTTCAAAGCCACAGGCCAGAATGCTAAGAGCTCATTCATGTCTATCCTTTCTGAAGGCTGGCATGATTTGACTTTTCCTTTTGTTTCCTGGCTTACAGAGCTTGTTTGCAACATGGGAGCTGGAATGGGGATAGGTTGCTGCAAGTGAAGGAAGAGATTCATAAATTCTACTGGGCACATGCAATAATAGTGTATCCTGGCTTGCAGTCAACTGTCTGGTGCTTTGCTTGATCAACATCAATCACAGACTTACAGTGCAATTCTAACCATGTCTACTGAGAGGAAAGCCCTGCCAAATAAAACAAGGCTTACTCCCAGATGACGTGAAGATTTCAGACGTAGGTATAAAAGTAAAAATTATGGTTGGTCTTCAACTTAGCTGACTACCACCCTTTATCTATTGATATAGACTTTAATTCTAGCCCATTCCAAAGACTCAGAAAGCTAACAATATGAAGGAGGGGAATCTAAAGTTGGAACGTGTGAAGAACAAGAGGAGGAGGAGGAGGAGTTTGGATTTGATATCCCGCTTTATCACTACCCTAAGGAGTCTCAAAGCAGCTAACATTCTCCTTTCCCTTCCTCCCCCACAACAAACACTCTGTGAGGTGAGTGAGGCTGAGAGACTTCAGAGAAGTGTGACTAGCCCAAGGTCACCCAGCAGCTGCATGTGGAGGAGCGGAGACGTGAACCCGGTTCCCCAGATTACGAGTGCACCACTCTTAACCACTACACCACACTGGCTCTCAGCACTGTGAAGAGGAGGGTAACCAAGATGATCTGAAGATCAAGCCTTATGAGGAACAGTTGAGGGAGTTGGGTAGGTTTAGCTTGGAAAAGAGGAGACTGAAAGAAAATACAATAACCATCTTCAAATATCTAAAGGGCTGCCACAGGCAAGATGGAGCAGGCTTGTTTTCTTCTGCTGCAGAGGCTAGGGCCCGAACCAATGGCTTCAAGATACAAGAAAAGAGATTCCAACTAAGCATATGGATTATTGACAGTAAGCGCTCTTGACAGTGAAATGGACTCCCTTGGGAGGTGGTGGACTCCGCTTCCTTGGAAGTTTTTAAGTAGAGGCTGGATGGCCACCTGCCATGTATGATCTAGTTGAGATTCCTGCATTGCAGGGGGTTGGACTAGATGACCCTGAGGTCCCTTCCAACTCTACAATTCTATAATTCTATGACTACAATTCTTCCAATGTTTCATAATTTTGGAAGAGAAAAATGTGTAAGGGGGAAAAAATACCCAAAACTTCAAGTCTCCCCAACATGAATTCCCACAACCACCTTCCTATGACTGGTCCAGTCCATCTTTCACATAATGGTGTAAAACACCCTGAGAATTAGATGAATGATATCAGGCAATGTAGATACTGACAAAACTACACCTTCAGCTCCCTTCCTCTTTCAATTTCCCTTATTAATATTTTAATATGTGTTTTGCAGGTCTCACACTGTTTTTTTGTTTGTTCACAACTGATGCTCCTTCTGTTTCATTTGTAGTTATTTCCCTCCACAGGTATCATCTCCAGAAAACTACATTCTGAAGTATGTTGTGACTATATTTTGTTGTTACAGAGATCGGAGCAAAATAAAAACTTGTCACACTGCACTATGGCTGTGAGAGCATAAAGGCTTCTACTGAGGAGAGATTATCTGTATACAGAAAAATCTCCCTTCCAAAGTGGCAGTGAGATACTCCATTGAATAAACACTACAGAACACAAGTTCCCAGCTAGAGGATGAAGCAATCCGCAAGGTTAATGATCCAGTGACACCTGCATATGTCCTGCAACGGCAGATCAATGATTTTGCAATGCACTCAGGAAGCAACAAGCAACTCACAAGTTTCTGAACCAGGAAGAAGTCTTTCTTGTAGATGGCAATCCCCTTATTGAAGAGCTTTTTCTCTAGTGTGCTCCACTTATCTGATCCTGAAAAGAAAGAGTGGAACACAACTTCATTACCTTTTCGAGATTATTTCCAGACATTTAAACATTTTATTGTTAAGGTGTGTATCTCTTGCATATCTCTGCTGCCCTGTCTGGATTGTACTGATGTTATTGCTCTTATGTGAACACCTGTTTTTCTAAAAACTTTTTGTAGGAAAATGCTATGACAAGCATATTTGAAGCTATACATCGGGGAAAAAACCCTAATCTTGTGTTCTTTTTAGCTAACTCTTTAGTATTAAGTAGTCTACCTCTATTAACTAGCCCGCTCACCATAAAATTATTGTGCATTTATACAGAACCCTCCTTTTTAGTTTACTTTAAACAAATTATACCATTGCATACCCAAAATACTTTAGTGAGTCTCACTACTGGTGTGTCTCAAATGATAGCATACTCCCACAACAGACAAAGCTGAACCATATACACATAGACTTGAATGCCATCTAACCCTAAACAAACGGAAGGGCTCCTTCCATTCACTAAGGGAAGTGGGATCCAGTGGAGGGTCCCAATGGAGTAAGGGTTGGGGTGAAATTCTGCACCAATCTCCCCCATGCAGCCTCCTGCACTGCCTCCCATGCTGTTCCCCCAATCGTCTGCCATAAATTTTCAGAGCAAAGGCACTGCTGGGGGAAAGTAGAGACTGGTGAAAATCACCTCCCTCTCCTTCTGCTGGCAGAAGCATCCCCATGAATGAAACCTCTTCTCACAGGGTGTTCCTACCAGTATAACCTAACTTAGGATCAAACCCATAGTCCAAAACCCTTTGATTACTAGAGAAGTGTTTAGTGTTACTTTCTCCTTCACAGTGTTACAGGGCAAGAGTGAATGTGAACCCAAAAGCACTTTCTTCCTTTCATGAAAGGGGAGATATCCAATATTAGTCAGAGTAAATGCACTGAAATCAATGAACTTAAGTCTACGGATTTCAGTGGATTTAGTCTAAGTATGGCTTAGTTAGATGTCACCCAAGGTTTAGAAATGAACGTACTGATCATGACCTTAGAAATAACTTCCATTTTCTAACGCAGGAGAAGTAAAGCTTGCAGTAGGAGCTGATTTCTGTCTATGAGTGATAGATAACTTTGACACTAATGAGGCAGACAATACCCATACAATGATTCATTTAAATTGTACCTAGGACTCTTAAGATTTTAGTTGTCCATTTCCTTTATTCCATGACTTTAGTCATCATTTTCACAAGTTCACACACACCACATTAGATACAAAAGGGTATTTTTAGCATCTTTTCTAAAAAGCAGCCTATATTGAAATCAGCCACGCGTTGTCATAGATACTCCAGGATCCAGATGAAAGCATTTTGGTTCCACAGGAAAAACAACAAGTACAAAGAAGCAACTGATGATCCGGAATGGTGCTTGTGGATGTTCTACGCCATTTGTATCTTCGCAGCAAAATGCAGAAAAATAACTTGACAAATAACATAATTCAATTTTGCTCCGTGTCTCCCTGCTGTCCAAATATCAAACAGGGTGGGTGTTCAAAATGTTTACCATTCTCTCTCACACACACACACTTGCACACAGCTTGCACACTGCACCTGTCCTTGAACTGCTTCTTCCTTTAGCTTTGCTCTACAGATGACTGTGCAATGAGTACAGACTCTTTGCCGGTGTACACACCCTAACATATAGACTGGCTGCCCTCACTGAAAGGCAATTACATGTTCTCATGAGACGGTAATACAATACCATTGTATTTATGGCATTTCAAATTACACACGTAATTTATTGCATTGCACACATAAGCCTCTGTTTGACCTTGATTAGTCCTGGTGAGAACAAAACCTTCTTTCCAACTGGCACTGTCCAACTGATAACCTGATCAATAGCCATTTGCCTCTCCAAAGGTTGATGTCAGACACAGGTAACAATTACTTAGAAGAGATCATTGTAAGCGATTCATTCATTCCATTTCCGTCCTAACTCTTGCTGTCTTGTCTGCCCTTGAGTGGGTCATATTTGTGTCATTTATATTCTACTATCCCCCTGCTATATCGAAATTTCAGTGCAGCCCACTGGATCCTCAGCACCACTATCACAGCAATGATAAGTGTATCTGCCATAGCAAAGGTAAGTATTGTATAGTTAATTGTGAGCTGTTAGCCCAGGGTTTGGGCAGCCTGTGTACAATTTTATTCTATCCATTTCACTCTTCCATAAATATCGCATTTGGTGATTCCAGCTGCAAAACCAGTTTTACTCTCAAATGCCATTTTGGTGCAGTTAAGGAAATAAAACGTTTTCTCCTCAAACCTGCAATAGGGATTCAGTGGTTCCTGCTAATTACCCCAGCTAAGTAATCCCAACTAAGTTATCCCATGGCAAGCAACAACTCTGAATAAACAATCCTAAAATACCATGCCTCCATGGTTATACGCGTTTGTTTAATGTGCAGTTTGGGATACGTGAAGGTGAGCTTTGCACTGATCTCACTATGCACTGAGGCAAAAGCAGGACAGTAATATCACCACCCAATGCTGCTGATTCCCAAAGAGATATTTAAGGCTCTCCCAGTATTAATTAAATTATATTCCCCTCCCCTCCCCAATGCATTAAAAGTAATTATCAGAGTAACAAAATGGAGAGTAGAGAAGCAGCTGTCCCCACTGCCTTGCTCCCAAGCATACCTGTGTAGTGATAGTCGGCCAACGTGTGGTTTGCAGGCCACAAAGACCTCCTCAGCAGCAATTTGGTCAGCGCAGCCTGAGGTGTGGGGGAGCACACACACAAAAAGCCTTATCAATAACAGTAAAACCCAAACAAGTGCATTTACATCAAGAAATCACAACCCTTATTGTTTACTGCAGTGATGTATTTAGAGCCCACCTGAGGTTCAACGTGACCCATGTCTCCTTATTCATCCTTGTAATTAACCTTTTGAAGTAGGTGGCATGGGAGCTGTTAAGTCTTTTTAGCAATAACAAGGATTGGGGGCACATTAAGGCGGCTAACAAATACAGTGGTACCTCGGGTTACAGACGCTTCAGGTTACAGACTCCGCTAACCCAGAAATAGTACCTCGGGTTAAGAACTTTGCTTCAGGATGAGAACAGAAATCGTGCTCTAGCGGCACAGCGGCAGCAGGAGGCCCCATTAGCTAAAGTGGTACCTCAGGTTAAGAACAGTTTCAGGTTAAGAACAGACCTCTGGAACGAATTAAGTTCTTAACCCGAGGTACCACTGTACACAGTAACATAATGTTTTGTGAGCCAAAGCCTGTTTTGCCACATACATCCCTTTTCATTGTTGTTTGGAGTTGTTTTGTCAACCTGGTGACCTCCAGATGTTTTGGACTACAATTCCCATCAGCCCCAGTCAGCATGACTTTGCCACTTGAGGCTGATGGGAATTGTAGTCCCAAACCCCTGGAGGGGAAGACTGATTTGGGCTGAAGAGCAGTGTATTCTAAAAAGAACAGCCAGAATAGTTAGCCTGTCTCTCTTTAAAACAGAATTTCAAATAATCCAATCACAATCAAAGGATTACATTTTGTCTTATTTTAAAAAGATCCCTCTTCCGCATGGTTTTAGCACTTCATGCCTACCCACGAAGGTATTTGAGGCATAATTAATTACATTTCTTCGCCTACACAGCAGTGTTACCTCAACTGATAATGGTACCTGTCAGCACGTGTCCAATTACAGAGGAATTCCCACCCAGGGAATGAGTCATCTGAGAGCCCATTAACGCCAGTGTTTAATCAAGTAAACAATACTCCAAAGAAAGGAGATAACTGGAGTCCAAAACCATTCTCAGCCCTCCAAGAAATCAGCTGCAATGACTAGAGCTCAGGCAAAATGTAGGGAAGAGATACTATTAAAGTTGTATCTGTACTCTGAAGAGACTTATCAAGAAACCTGTAAGCACGTGTGCTGGTATTACTGAAGCAGTTTCATTATGCAGCGATAGGTGGACTTTAAAATTAAGTCTCCCTAAGGTGGCAGGAGATGCTAAAGTACTTATTTAATTCTTAAATTTATATATATAACACTCAACAGAGCAAATTAATAAATAGGAATCTGATCCAATACTATACAGGTGAAACTTTCCTATTAGATACAGCTTCCAACTGAAGTGAAAAAGGGAAGTTTTACTTTAATAATAATACATTTATTATTATTATTATTATTATCGTCATCGTCATCATCATATCCTACCCATCTGGCTGGGTTGCCCCAGAAACTCTGGGAAGCTTCCAACACACCTTTAAAGCCCTAAATGGCCTCGGTCCAGTATACCTGAAGGAGCGTCTCCACCTCCATCGTTCTGCCCGGACACTGAGGTCCAGCGCAGAGGGCCTTCTGGCAGTTCCCTCGCTGCGAGAAGCCAAGTTACAGGGAACCAGGCAGAGGGCCTTCTCAGTAGTGGCACCCGCCCTGTGGAATGCCCTCCCACCAGATGTCAAAGAGAAAAATAGGTAACTACCAAACTTTTAGAAGACATCTGAAGGCAGCCCTGTTTAGGGAAGCTTTTAATGTTTAATAAGTTAATGTATTTTAGTTTTCTGTTGGAAGCCACCCAGAGTGGCTGGGGAAACCCAGCCAGATGGGCGGGGTATAAATATTAAATAAATTACTATTATTATTATTAACACATTTCCTGGAATGGAATGGGAGTGAGGATGGCAGTGAGGACATAGTGGTGCAGGCCCACTGGCAGAACTAATCTGGTGTTTCCAGCTGCGCACCTGCACTTTTATTTTTGGACCCTTCTTCTCAAACAGCTAAAAAAATGTTTTGCAACAGAAACAAACATTTGCAGTTCACATGAAGATGTCTTATACTTTGCATCTTTGGGTAAGTCTGGGAAATGCTCCTGCCTGAAGCCCCAGAGAGCTGCTGCCAGACAGTGTAGACCAGGCACCCTCAAACTCGGCCCTCCAGATGTTTTGGGACTACAATTCCCATCATCCCTAGCTAACAGGACCAGTGGTCAGGGATGATGGGAGTTGTAGTCCCAAAACATCTGGAGGGCCGAGTTTGGGGGTGCCTGGTGTAGACAGAAGTGAGCTAGATCAACCAGTTTCAGGCAGCTTCCTATGTTTTATATACTGAGTAAGGCCATTGGTCTCAAGCTCAGAAACATCTGCTCTGACTGGCAGTGCTTCCCAAGGTCTCAAGCAGGAGGCCTTCACAGATGGACCCGGAGATGCCAGATGTTGATCCCACCCCCTTATGCATGCAAAACAGATGCTCTACCACTTGGCTAAGAGGAAGATGCACCATTAGCAGGGAAACCGGGAGGCATGAGTGAAGAAAGGAAGGAGACTGCCAAAAGGCGCATTCTTCAAAACGCAGGATTCTAACATAGACACTCCTTGTAGAAGGTGAAAGTGTGCAGAGTGCATAAGTTTGGCAAGTACTTGGCTAGTACTTCCCTCACTGAGACCAATACAAACAGCCTTGCTGCCAAATCCAATTAGACGCACTGACGACTGCTGGAGACTTACCAGAACATTTCCTTTCGTTTCATGTAAGCAGTGAAATGCCAGCTCTTGGTTGGTGCCACCTCCAGGAAATATACTTGAGCAAGCAGCAGTTAACAGGTTCTCCACTGTCACAGCACAAAACAAGACAAGCGGTAGGTGCAGGTCAGAGCGGAGGGGACAGAGAAAACCAAAAGGTCAGCTTATACATCCCTTCACACCAATTTCTTACCTAGATTTCCCTTCAAATTTGGTAAGCCTCAACCTTTACAGTGGATCCATGGTCAACAGCAATTAGTGGTTGACCACACAGCAGTTTTAAAGACTTAAACCACCACAGACAGTAGTTCAGTTTCCAAGCTCCTTACCATTCTCTTGAGTAGACGCATCCGTTTCAAGCTCCTCCCATGGCTGCCACACCAGTTCTGCCTTGGCCTTGTCAGAGGCTGCCAGAGATCGATCTCTAAGAGGTGGGATTTCTGCTTGAAACCGGGAGCCCACATTGATCCGTCTATCAAAATAAATGTACATTTAAAAGCGACTCACCCTGCAAGTTCTAATATGATCATTTGCTAAAGTTAAAAGCTTGCCTCCGCAAAACAAGCTAAACTCCAACTGGCGCAACAGGCAGTATGCAATTCCATGGCTGCTGCTTCTTCCAGTTTAAACCAACACTAGGTTTCAGTTTCAAAATACAAGTTTTTTGTCTTTCTCTTTTGGGCCCCCCCACTACTGTATAGGATATCTAGGAGCATGGATGCTAAAAATGGAAAAGCAAGATTCGGAAGCCGCCCACAGGGAACACAACTGTAAGTTCCTTTACTTACATGTAACAGCATGTGAGAGCCAAATATGGCAAATTTCTTCGCCTACTCTTCACACATTCCATGCATGCATCCTGCTAAATGATAGTCATGGAAGACTCAAAGGTCCAGTTCAAATCTACAAATAACAGTCATACCTTGGTTGACAAACGACTTGCGAGCCAAACTCCCGAACGCCACAAACCCAGAAGTGAGTATTCAGGTTTGCAAACGTTCTTTGGAACCTGAACGTCCGGTGCCGCTTCCAATTGGCTGCATGAGCTTCCTGCAGCCAACTGGAAGCCACACCTTGGTTTCTGAACATTTTGAAAATCGAGCGGACTGTATGACTATATTTTCATGGCAAGGGTGGGAGAATCACTACAGCATGGATGGCTAATGGATGACCATCCAGATGTTCAACCCCAGCTCCCCTCTAGCCAGTATGACCAATAGTCAGGGATGGTGGGAGTTTTTGTCCAAGATCTGGAAGGCCACAGGTCAGACTAGAAGTTGGCAAATGTGGCAACCTCCAGATGTTGGACTGCAATCCTCATCATCCCTGACTACGGACCATACTGGCTGAGGACAATAGCAACTGCACTCCACACCATCTGAAGGCAACCCCTGGTTTAGCCGTCCCCAAGCCTGGAATGTGGGAACTTGAGGTTCAAAATCCTGCTAACCTGTAAAGCTTTCTTTGGAGTCTTCAGCTAATGTCAATATAAGCTACTTCACAAGATTGGTGGGAGCGCAAGATGGCACTCAAAGCTCCTTGAACAAGCATCAGGATACAAATTATATAAACAGACAGAAACTTTTAAACAAACAGAAATATCATGGTAACAGGGGGAAAACGGGCTTTATTGTTCTGGTATTGAGATATATATATGTGCGCAGCACATACTGAAGCCTGCCAGTATGGCTGAATGACATTTACTCACATGTTATGATGGAAAAGAATGCTTTATAAGGAATGCTGTGAGATGCCAGTTTGTTTTATTTTGAAAGTGGGGCGAATAAATCTGTTAACTTGGAGACTGGCTAAGGTTCAGATTTCAACTGCTGTTGCTGAAGAATTAAACACAAATTGTTCTCTTGCATGTTGCTTATTTAAGCCTTGAAACTATTTCCCCCCCCTTCTAATCAAGCACTGGAAGGCCCTGAAATGATCCTAGGGAAGACTCCTGGACTCAAAGACATAGGATCAAATTCAAGTGCTACCTCTCCCCATAGTTTTGCTGCCACATCTTGAAAAAGTCACCCACCACCGCAGGCATGTGGAAGAGAGCTCACAGAAGCAACTTCCATTCACAGATATCCTTGCAGGTTTAGGAGCTGCACTTGCAGCTTACAGGTCCACATCTGCACTGCATTGCAATATAAGCATGCTTTGCCCTTAACTTCTGGGAGAATCCCAGCTGCACTGGGCAGTAGAGGTGTGAACCCCTTTCCTAGAAAGAACTGGGATTGAGGGCTGTCAGTCAGCTCTCTGCCTGTTTAGCACATGTGATGTCCTGCCAGTCTAAGAACTGTGCTTCTCACTGAAACTACCACCAGCTGGAATGCAGCACATTCTATAGGCCAAGGGAGATCGTGTCAGTGCAACGAAAGGGAGAGCCTTGTTTCTGAACCCTCTGTCTGCATGTTCCTTGGGCACGAGCACTAAGCTCTGATACTCTCTTGGAGGAGGAGAACTTCTGAGCACAGCATTTTTATAGCCAGTCTCCTCCTATGCTTCAAGCTCTTCCAAGAGGGCAAAGGAAAGAGAACTTAAGGCAACAGTCCTCTGCACATGAAACAAGAGTAAAACCCATGGAACCAAATGGGTGTTTGTTTTTTGAGTGAATTTGCACAGAATCGGGCTACAGTCCTAAGAACACGTACCAGGTAGTAAGTCCCCATTAAACTCAGTGGGACATATTTCTGCACTGTCTTGTTTAGGACTATGCTGCAATAACATGTAGGTAATACTCTGTGAGCTCCAGGAACCAATTGCCGTTATGAAAAAAAAATCAGGTAACAGGAGTTTGTATCCTGTCTGGAAGCTCTCAAACATCGTCGTTAACCAGTTCCCTGTTTAGGGAAGCTTTTAATGTTTGACGGACTATTGTATTTTAATATTTTGTTGGAAGCCGCCCACAGTGGCTGGGGAAACCCAGCCAGATGAATAATAAATTATTATTATTACTATTATTATTATTATTATTAAGTATACCAACGTCTGCTATTCAGAGCTACAGAACCTCTGCACACAGAGGTTGGTTAAAGTGCTTAAGCTCCAAATACAGCAAATCCCTATATTCCTGTAATTGGAATGTTGTGTGTTCCCATTAAAACACACACATAAAATTGTCAACTCATTACAAGTTTCTGAGACCAGATGGTGGAAACAAATTGCTTCTATAAAGACACAGTGTTTTGGGGGTTGTTCTTTTTTTGGCTTGAATTGTCTTGAGCCCAGGAGCTGCTGCCAGAGAGAGCAGAGTGAGAACTGAACGACTGAGGAACCACAGGGCTGTAGTAAGAACAAGACTGAAGTCCTCCCACCTTCCAAGACAAGTATTTCAACTCCTGTTGCAGTATGGATGGAGATGTGTGACAGCAGCTACCTTCTTGAAATGCGGTGCTGCATGCAACTGCATCTGGGATCTAGCTGCTTGGAGGATGAATGCAATATATATGATTGCACACTTTTGCAGAATGCTATATATTAGCAGCAAGGGAGTCATTAGAATAATGTCAAAGGAAATATGCGGAAAGAGCTTTTTATGTTTCAATGGAGAAAACACTGGATAAATTCATGGAGGCTATCAAAGGCTACCAGCTGTTGACCAGGACTGGTTATAGGCAGGGCTCTGTTTCAGCCAGAACTCGCTGGAACTCAGTTCTGGCACATCTCAGGTGGGCGCCATTGCCATTCTAAGAGAACTTCTTTTTTGGAAAAATAGCACTGGAGCTCAGTGGATGCACTGTGCTCCCCCACCACAGAGTACTTACGGTTCAATGCTGACAGGAGTACACTCTCCCATTACTGAAAGGACAGGAGGGGTGACCTCTGCGCTATCTGCAAGTCAAGATGACACAATTAATCCATGGCCCTGCTTCTCCTTAAGGATGTTCTGATATCAGCCTTGCATTTAACAACTCGTGAGGTAGCCATCAGTAACTCAGAACCACATACAGTGAGTGGGTGAGCTTGTAGAGGAGGGATGGATCACTCCATTTCTCCTTGGCTGGTCTCCTGGGTTTCCACACTTGCTGTGTGGAAGGAAAGCACAGAAACTCAGGAGGCTGAAGGGCATGGAGGACTGATTGCTCTATCCCATCAGACCACTTAGCAGCACCTCCTTACTTTTTTAAGGTAGTCTGCTAGGAGGCAAGTAACCTGTGCTGGCAACAGAAAACAGGGCTTCTCCCTACTTCACAGTCAGCATGGAAAAGTAGCTTATTAGCAGGCTAGTAAACTTCTTGGCTTATTTATAAGGTCAACTAAATTTTTTTGTTTGACAAAGCTACATATGGCTATAAGAAGGGTGGGTCTTAATCTTTACCATGCAATCTTTTTGTTATCTAGCATTCTTTCAAATGCAGCAATGATACACTGTTCCGATACCATTTTCTAACTTAAGATGTCATCACGGTGGATGCAGTCCAATGTTCCACAAACAAACAAAAACCCCAACTTGTGAGAGGCCATCTATCTACAGTTGCCGAGTCATAATTTATTTCCTCCAGCCGTGATCCTCCTCCCATTCTACCCTCAAAAGGACAATACATGGGAACTTACTGGATCTGAGCAGTGTCCTGTGTGCACTTTTAGGAGTCATAGGAGGTGGAACTGAGTTACCACTAGCAGAAAGGATGGCGTTGAAATAAAGTCCGGAACCCTCTCGCACTGGGCTAAGTATTGGCGGGGGAGTGTAAGGAGGTAGCTCAAAGTTCCTGTCGGAAGGGTGATCTGCCAAGCGGACAGGTGAGCGCAAATGGCTCTGGTAGGGTGTGATATTGGAATAGACAGGCGGAGCAATGAAGGTGCCAGCTTTCGGTGGTATGAAGAGAGGCTCTGGCCTGGGCCGCTGCTTCGGTTTCCGTGCAAAGCCTTCCACTTCTTCTTTTGGAACAGGTCCTTCATGCTATGAAAAGGAAACAAGTTTTGGTTCACACAGTTCAAAGTACTTCAATCTAACACACACACCCCGACAAACATCAGTATCAACCAAATGGAAATAACATGGCTGCTCCACCAGCTCATTCCATTAACTGGTATGTGCTTGTTTTAACTTATATGGGTATTGTTGTTATGTATATAGCACCATCAACTCATGGTGCTTTAGAGCAGGAAAAGGAAGCTCTCTGTCCTGAAAAACGTAAGCTCTAATTAGGACTACCACAAAAGTATTGCATTCAATCCAAGAATGACACACCATCAATTAACAACCAGTTGTACTTCTCGGCTTTTGCCAATCCAGAGTGAAGTTGAAGTGAGACTGGCAAATCCAATGTTCAAATTTCCACTCAGCCACAACTGGCTGACCTGAGCCAGTTACTTTTTCTTAGCCTAACCTACCTTAAACAAATACAATGGTACCTTGGTTCTCGAACTTAATCCGTTCCGGGAGTCCATTCGACTCCCGAAACTGTTCGAAAACCAAGGCACAACTTCCGATTGGCTGCAGGAGCTTCCTGCACTCAAGTGGAAGCTGTGTTGGACGTTCGTCTTCCGAAAAATGTTTGAAAACTGGAACACTTACTTCCGGGTTTGCGGTGTAAGAGTACCAAACGTAAGAGTACCAAGGCGTTTGAGAACCAAGGTACAACTGTAAATTGTAGTTATATCCTCCTTTTCCTCACAAGAGCTCAAAGTGGCATACATGGCTCCTCCCTGCTCTTATTTTATCCTCTGAACAAACTGGAAGGAAACATGCATGTCACCTTGAGCTCCTGGGGGGTGGGGAGATAAATGTAATAGTAAAATTTGTTGGAGCTGTGAGAAACACAATGTGGCCTTATAAAGACATCAGGCTTGGACGATGTAGCACAGATAAGTCTCTCTCAGAAAACCTTTTCTTCGTGGAAGATTGTATTCTGCCAGTCATTTATGAGGCCAATACAACCATAATTTTCCCCATCAAGACCCAAGTAAATAAGATGGGGAAATGCCAGCTGTGACTACTTAGTGACCACACAATGCTTATAGGCGCTGTGAAAGTTTCATGCAAGATCACCATGCCCGACTTACATTTAGGAAAATCATTTGTGTAGGAAGAAATGTAGGGGGGAAAAGATGTAAAGTCCTCATGTGCAATTATTTACATTTGCTTTCTGTGGTCTCTGCCGACACATAAGTGCTTTCACAGTCTCTCAAAAGACATTAATTTCTATACAATTCAAAAATAGTCCACATACTTGACATGATAAAACCTCCTTGAAATCACTCTCACTCAAATGAAAGCTATTTATTCAGCCTATCAAATTCCTACCACCAAAGATGACTTGGCTTTCATATCCTTTGCTTCTCCTTTCTATGGTCAAAGCAGCCAGAGAGGTTTCACCATTTTAATACCAGATACAGCCAGAATTGATTTATTCTTTTTTTTAAACAAGTCTGCTTCACCTATTTTCTCTAAGGAGAAAATAGCCCCTTTTCCCTGGCACTGTGGAGGGTGCCATTTTGTGGTTCACCTCAGGTGCCAAAAAGTCTTGGGCCAGCCCAATGAGAACCAGGCCGGTGGCAGAGAACAAGAGGGATGACCTGAACCAATACGCTGCAGCCACAAATAACCAACAAGAAAAGACCCAGTAAGATTCACTTTACTGCCCCATGACCACAATCAGGATCCCAAACACAAACCTACCTGAGTTGGCACGTCTGTGTTCAAATTGCGATTCGACCTCCTCCGGGTGACGATTACGGAAGGTTTGCTTTCAGCAAAGCTTCGGTCGTTTGCCACAAACCGCTGTGGCTTCCCTTCCTCTCCCTTCTCACTACTGATATCATGAGAGTCCAGCCTCCTCACAGGCACAGACACGGGCATGATGAGAGGCACAAGGCTGCTGTCTTCCCGGGCTCTCTTCGGGGCTGGCGAAGAACCGGCAAACTCTACGACACTCCTGGGTGCAGTGACTGCCGCCTCACTCCTGTTCCTTTCTTCTGAAGTTTCTGGCTCCTTAGAACAAAAAGGTCACGTGAGCATTAAGGTATCTGAATAAGGTAACAATAAGCTATGGTCAATGGATTTCTCTGTGGTGCTGCCCCATATGTGGAACTCCCTGCCCCAAGAGGTTAGGTTACATAAGAGATTTTGATTCTACCCACGTACCTACAGGACCGCCTCTCATGGTATGCCCTGCGGAGGACCTTAAGGTTCACAAATGACAACACCTTGGAGGCCCCAAGTCACAAGGTGGTTAGACTGGTCGCAACTAGGGCCAGGGCCTTTTCAGTACTGGCCCCAACTTGGTGGAATGCTCTGTCACAAGAGACTAGGCCCTGTGGGACTTGACATCTTTCTGCAGGGCCTGCAAGACAGCGCTGTTCTGCCTGGCCTTTGCTTTGGACTCAGTCTGACCCTTATGTTTCCCTCCCCTTATGGTTTTGATTTATGGGCTACTATTAAAATGAGGCTGCATTTTAAATTATATTTTAACCTGTATTTTAAATTGGTGTGTGTGGTTTTTTTTTAAAAGTAATTTTACTGGTGTTAGCTGCCCTGAGCCCGGCTCTGGCTGGGGAGGGCGGGATATAAATAAAAAATTATTATTATTAATATTTGCTCATTTTTTAAGAATTTGATTTATTGCTTTTTATTTTATTTTTTTTGCCTTTTTATATGTAAGCCATTTCAGGCAACTCCTTTGGTGGAGGATAAATTTTGAAAACAAACAAACTTGCTACCCTGCTAAACCCTTTGGCATTCAAATGTGATTTACCACACATGCATCCAACTGCCCCCAGGTTAAAAGTGGTACTGCCAGTACAGACAAGTATGGTAATTTTCTTGACTTGGGAGAGATGATGCATGAAAGTTTATGAGTCTGGAACTACAGCAAGGGAAAGTAGTAAATAATGGCAGCATCTTCTACCAAGGACTCCAAGGAATGCAATGAAGAAGAAAAAGGAGTCAGCTGTCTCTATCTTGTGTACACAATCCAGGAGTCCAATGCATTTATCCTCCTAGAACTTCAGGTTAATTGTTTTGCATACTCAAACAGATGTTTTTATAAGGATACTGAGCATAATCCAAATGTTGTGTGAGCAGACTTCTGGTCACACAATGGGATTCCACCTTCCTGTGTTTCCCTGTGCAGCCAAAATTTGTTCCCAAGTCACCCAGCTACCCACCTTCCAGAACAGATTTTGAGAGTGTGCTAGGGCCTGCAGGGAGGTCAAGTCCTCTTGCATAAGCAGAAGTCTGTTTTGCTTGTGCATGGGCAGCACTGGATACTGCGCCCATTACCAACTATCAGATCTGATTTCCTGTTGACTTCTTTGGATTCATGCCCTTTTACTAGGGTGACATTATCTCTCCTGATACAATCTTCTTGGTGAAATGGGGTCTATCAGAGGACATGATTGCTTGACTGTATTTGCTCTAAAGGTGAAGGGACCCCTGACCATTAGGTCCAATTGCGGACGACTCTGGGGTTGCGGCGCTCATCTCGCTTTATTGGCCGAGGGAGCCAGCGTACAGCTTCCGGGTCATGTGGCCAGCATGACTAAGCCGCTTCTGGCGAACCAGAGCAGCGCACGGAAACACCGTTTACTTTCCCGCCAGAGCGATACCTATTTATCTACTTGCACTGTGTGCTTTCGAACTGCTAGGTGGGCATGAGTTGGGATCAAACAATGGGAGCTCACCCCATTGTGGGGATTCAAGCCACCGACCTTCTGATCAGCAAGCCCTAGGCTCTGTGGTTTAACCCACAGCGCCACCCACATCCCTGTATTTGCTCTAGCCAGATATTTAAAACACACACAAACATACCTAACATCACTACGCATTCTATAGGTGGTCCATCCGGATAGTGAATATTCTGTGGCAAGAGGGTAGAAGGCAAGCTTGGCTGTATTACTGTTTCAGATTCCTGAGTATTACCAAGTCTCAAACTCCCATGTCCAAATCTAACACACTAGTAATTACACCATCCAGGCCAAGCATCCTATTGCTTCCTCCCACTCCTTTACTAATCTATGGGACTAATTCACAATGACTATTAGCATGGGGAGGATGCAAGACTACTTTGAATCCAAACTTCAAAGTTAACTGATTGTCATATGACAGCTAAATGTCACATTCAAACCCTCTCAGTTACTGAAGTTATTAGCTGAAACTCCCCACAGGTTTCCAGTTTCAGCAGGCTATACACTTGATGTATTCCCATCTTTAAAAAAATGTAAGCTCAGACATTACAAAAGTTTTGCTGAAAACTCCCAAGGGTTTATGTTGGAGACTTCCTTAATTACTGTGGCAGGAGGAGGGGAAAGAGAGAGATAAGTGTTCTGTCACACAGCAGTTCCTTCTCTTCATTTTACAGCCTTATCCCATTCCACGGAAGGGAGTGGCAAAGCTAGCCTGGCTACTGGGAGACGGAGCTAGCATTTGCTCTCTCTTTATTCAGTTGTCGGAGATGTTTGCTAGAGAGGAAGAGGGAACCAAAAATAAGGCGAAAAGCATAGCACATGCAGAGACACAAACACACAAGGGGGGGGGGGGAGAGAGAGAAGGTGCTTTGTGTTTGTTTTCCAAATGGTGCAGTTAAGTGTAGAAAGCCTTGTACCTGGCTGTGATGTTAACAATTGGTAAACTTGGTCCCAGGACATTAGAGACTTTAACAGGCAGTATTAAGTTACATTTTACTCAGAGCAGATGTACTGAAATTAATTGTCCTAACTTAAGTCATCTTCAGAGCAAAATGCAACGGACAGGGTAAGAATTACCTGTTCCCCAGAAACTACACTTGTAAGTCCTATGCTCTTCAAAAAAAGAAGAAGCCATTTGCTGACTACTACTACTTTATTATTATTTACAAGCTCTTGTTGGGATTATGCTTTCTAAATGGACAAACAGGGGAATAGTGGTGTCTGCTAACATTTTTAAGGTGTTGCATCCTGTGAGGTGAGGCAATAGTCGTGGTGCGAGTCAGGAAATGCCACTTACTTTGAGATTCTGAAGAGAAGCCAACTCCACAGCCTTCTGAGCCAGGGTTAGCAAATTGGCTTCCTGAGAAACACGCCGTCTCCTCCGCGTGCTCTGGATGACGCCGCCTCTGACCCCACCAAAGTCGTTGGCTCTCTGGCCAAGGCCCTCCGTGGCACCCACCGGCTTTTCTGCCTGCCTGGCGTTCTCATACACGCCTGCTTTCTCCGCTTCGGGCTGGGCGCCAGCTGGCATCTCCCCATGCTCCAGCTCCGCTCTGCCAGGTTGCAAATAGATCTCCTTGTTGTGACTGAACGCTTCGGGCTGGTGTCGAAACTGGACTTCTGGGTGCTGCTGCGGTTGCCAGTGATGGGGCAACACACCGCCAGAATACTCCTCAGCTGGCTTGGATGCCAAAGCTTCCTCTGCGGAAGACGCTGGCAGGACACCTTCCTTGGAAAGCCTCCGTGATCTCCTTGGGAGAGGGATCTGGGCCTGGGGAAGGACAGTCTGTGGATTTGGCTCCGTCAGCGCCTTCAGCAGCTCCTGGTTCCGCTCGGTAACCGGGTGGAACTGATGGGAAACCATATGATGCTGAGGAGGCTGGGGTGGCCCTGCCCCATGAGGCTGCGTGACAGATGCAGGTTGCTGCATGCCAAAGCCTTGCACAGCCGCCTGCTGCTGCTGCTGCTGCTGCTGCTGCTGCTGCGGATAAAAGTTTTCAAACAGCTGCAACTGTGGAAGAGCTTGTTGCTTCTGCTGGGCGATAAAGGCTGGGCTGGAAGTAGGAGGAGCTTGCTGAAAGCAATGCAACAGTTCAGGGAGACCCTGCTTCTGGCCCTGGTGGCCAAAGGCAAGCTGGAAAGGTTGCAACGGGAGGGTCTGATTCTGCTGCTGTTGCTGTTGCTGTTGTTGTTGCTGTTGCTGCTGCTGCTGCTTCTGCATTTGCTGAAAAGAATTAATCTGGGCTTGCTGCCTGACCAGGGCTTGCTGTTCTAACTGGGCTTTATGAGACATCATCTGTTGCACAGCATCTCCATACAAGTGAGACACCACCACACCTTTCTCCCGGTTCCTCTTCAGGGGATCTTGGTGGCTGAAGAAACCTGGGATGTTGGCATTGGGGTGCCCCCCTTTCTGGGCACCCCCATACACCATCCCGTGATTCCAGCCTCCAGGTTGAGGCTGCCAGCTGGCATCGCTGCGTTCTGGTAGCCGGTTCCCCACCAGAGAGTTCTGCCACTTGGCAGCAGCCAGCTGCTGGGGGATCATCCTCGCATCGCCTCTATCCTGATAAAGAGAGTTCAGCAAAGCAGCATTTCCGTGGACGCCCCCGTATACACCTGGCTTGGAAAGCTCCATGCCCTGGGAAGAAGGCACATTCCCCCCATGGTTGAAGTACTGCCCTTCTTTAAGCAGCAGCTGTTGCTGCTGCTGCTGCTGCTGCTGTTGCTGTTGTTGCTGCTGCTGAACTTCTTCCTCATTGAAAAAGGCAATCCGCTTCCCAGTCCTCTTGCTTGAAGACTTTGGATGGGCCTGCAGACTCATGGTTCAGTCTATCCTCCCGAGGATAAGGAAGAGACAAGGTATCTCAGATTAACAGCCAACCCATTGCTAGTGCTTGTGCACAAAGGAGAGGGTAAGTATAAAGACAGCAAAAAAGAAATTCTCCCCTCTGCAAGTCTAGTCCATGCAGAGATCTAAGAGGCAAGTTTCAGCCCTCTTTCTATTCGGCGGCCCGCTTAGCTTCAGCGCCTGGAAAAGAAAAGAAATAAACAGAAAATTAAACACCTGCAACTCAGGTCAGGATAACCAGTTAACTCAACACTGTTGCGTGAAGCTTTCAAAAACTCAGCCAGTCGATCTACCCCGCCAGAGACTTGGAGCCACATTCCCGTTCTTCAAGGGGACTCCAAATCCAAAGCGGACAAGAAGGCAGGACCAGATCTTGAAGCGCTTCCACAAGACAAGGATAGGAGGCAATGCCCCTCTGGCCCAAGGATGTGGGACTGCCAACCTCAGACTTGGAGCACTCCATTGCAGAAGCTCCAGTGGGACCAGAGTGCCTGGTTTTGCTGTTCCTGCCTTTAGTTTTCATTGCAAATTAACTTGTGTATGTTGTAGTTTGCTTGGTTTTAGATGATTAATTCTTGGTTTAAATGTATATGTGTTTTCCCCCAGGACATTTGGGTGAAGGGCAGATTATAAATGGCCATAATAAAAGCAAATTGTGCTATTATTAAAACTGTGGTCCCTGGGCTGGGGCCTTGCTTGCCTCTTTGATAATCTAATCCTGGCCTCAATCCCCATTGTTGGAAAAAATAAAAATAGTGTGCAAAGCTAGGTGCAGATATATCTGGCTGTTCTGCAATTCTTTTGCAGACCAGCTGATTTGAGATAATGGATAAGGAGTCTACAGTTCATGGTATCAACACTCTGCAGTCCTTTCACCAGCCTAAGGTGGAGGAGCACCATTTTTTTAAAAAACTTGTTTAGAAGTCTGACAAATCAACGTACCAAATAAGTGTTCCATAGCGTATCTTAAGCCTGTTCCCATATACTGTAAGTCAGCCACCATCAACCCTGCCCAAATGGAATTACCCTGTTTGAAACTAGAGACAAATGTTTGCTTTGTAGAAAGAAGCACTAGATGCATTCCGTGCCTCTGCTGCAAGCAGAATGTTCTCTTCTCCAGTGACTCAGTAGAGTGCATTGTCGCATTACACAGATAGCCCAACTTCATTTGCTGGCTACTACTAGCAATGAACCTTTCTTGACCCGTACTTAAATAGCATGGTTCAGTTTGCCAAGGCATGTCTAGGTCTGGTATGACCAGAGAACCAGAGGCGAGCCTAACAATGAATGCTTTTAAAAAGAAAATGTAATAATTGATCTAAATAATAGCTTGGGTAGAGACTAAGGTTAAGTATAAATAACTCACAGAAACACTATATAAACGCACAGTACGAAAAATATCAGGAGATTACCAAGGAGCGTTTTTCAGAGCCTGCACAGATGTGGGGGTTTTTTGCACCAAAATCTCCTAGCTCCCAATTAAGATCCTACTTCAGGATGTGATGGAGTGTTCTGCTCCTCCCTCCTGCAACAAACGCTACTATGCACCCACTGGCAGTTCTTCTGTTCCAAAACAGACCGCCTTGAGCATTGTCAGGCAACTGAGTTTGCAAGAAAGGTTGCTCTGGTCTTACAATCTGCAACGCTAAAGCAGCAGCAGAATCCCCTGAACACAAAGAAAGGCACTAACAGGTTGGTTCCAGAGTGTCCCTTCAGCAAATGGAAGGACTGCTTCAATCTGTAGAAGGGACAGAGATGGGGAAGGAGGTAAGTTCCACCATATTCCCCTTCCATCTGTATGCCCATTGCCCCACCAACTGCTCTGGAGGGTCACCCAAGCGGCTGCAGCAACTTTTCATATGGCACAGGGTGGGAGTGGGGGGAAGAGCTGCAGGAATCTGCAAAGATCACCTCCTCCCTTTCCTTCCAGCAGATGCCTCCCACAAGGGGGGCTCAACTCGCAGGGATTCTGAATCCAACCCAGCATGCTTTACACACAAGGGCTGATAAGATATCCAGCTGACAGATATCCAGTGAATGATCCACTGTTATGAACTATGTGTCTGAGAGCAGAAGATGATGCAGCCAGAAGCTTCTGCAGGGATGATCAAACTGCACTTGGGAACAGAGATTTCTAGAAGACAAGGCCACATCTGCTCACTTTTTTCAAAGGGGCTTCCATAGAAATTTGATGCTGTCATTTCTGCTCAGGAATTTCCCCGTTTCACTGCTTCCCATTCTTCGAGTAGCTGATTAAAGGCTTGCTATATTTTCTTTCAGCATCGAGCAATATACAGTAAATAGGAGGAAGGTGAAGGGAAGTACCTAAATGCAGACAGAAAAAAGGATCAGTCCCTTTATTTGCTCCCCAAAATATCACAACCAGAAATGCCAAACAGAGTTTTGTCACAGACACAGTTTGCCGTACCCTCAAACCACCGAAAAACTCAAGTGCCAACTGCAGCGTACAAAAACTGTTGTAAAATTGGGCAAAGATATAATGAAACAATATTCACAATTTTAAAAGTAAAAAAAAGAAGCTCTCTGATGGATTTTGATGTTACAAAGTCAAGGCAATTAAAAAGAGCATGATGAATCATACCAGGAAGCTTACCAACTAAGACACAAGAATACTAAATACCATTGCTAGATAACATAAACAAGCAGCTTGCTTGATAAAGAACAGAGAAGATAGGGATAGAAAAATTCTTTTCTGTGGGATAGAAATACATTCTGGTGCCTGGTGGGTTTGACTTCCAAAGACTGATAATAAAGCAGAGGTATTAGTCAATCAGCTATTTCCCGCCTTATGAATTGTCTCCACTCTCATAGCAATAACTGACACTTAGCCAAACATCTTGCACGCACATTAAGATTAATTAAGATTAAAGCCAACCCTAGTCACCAATGACTTGTCACCAATTAACAACCTGGATTTTAACATTATTTCCAACACCTGCAGGGCTTCATGAGGAAACGGAAATATCACCCTTCGCTTTTCTGCAGTACAAGTGAAGTAACATATAAAAAGTATTCCTATCTGAAGGCAAATAAAATAACTGGTTGCGCAGAGAGGAGACTAGATAATGCACTTGGAAAAGCTGAAATCAACATTAGCTAGGAAACCACCTGAGAACATAGTGATGATTCAGAATTCTACACCTAACACGATCTCAATACAGAACTCATAGTTGACATCAGCTCCTCCAATAATACATCCTGAGGATTTGGAGAGACACAGAAACTACTGGGAAACAATGCAAATGTCAGTATCTGGAACACAACTGCAATGTCAATACCTGGCATTTATTATGTGGCATAAGTTTATCGTACTGCAATTTGTTTTATCTGATCAGCAGATCCCCAATGTGGACTGTTGGCTGACTTGTATTCATCTGCACTTGCAAATACGTCAGAAGAAGTTATTTGTCCATATATATTTTCAGGAGTTCACCTAGCCATACACACGTGGCCATTTGTGTGCATCAGTGAAGAGTAAGAACCATTAGCCCTTCACCCTGACTTCCCTGCCTGGTTAACTGGCTGGTGGGGAGAGTCTTGCTCTTCAAAAGTATCTATCTGCTTAGTGTCCATGCATAGGGCTGCATTCAACTCCACCAGCGCCTCTCTGCACAATTAATTTACTTTTACATATTTGAAAAATAATGTGCATTTCTGTCTTAAACTCCTGTTGGCAGAGCCTTGTCAAAAACGTAAGACAGCTTAAAAGGTAGAGATGTGAAGAAGGAAAAGTAGCATGCAAATAGGATTGTTAAAAAGAAAGGGGGGGAGGATGTGGCAAGCACTGGGGGGGGGGGGCTGTTCTGCAACTTTTACCTTCTAGGCCGACTTTACTTCCTTGCATGTGGATCATGGGCCTGCATTTTACTGACTCATTTCCTCATCCATTCACGCTTACTGTTCTCCCTCCCTCCCTCTCCACACCGGCTGCCAGCAGTGGAATCCTGCAATCCAGCATTACAGAGCCAGGGCGTTCCTTCAACAAGTATAAAATGCTCTCAGCTCATTTTTCCACTCCCCTCCAGACAGCACAAAAATATCTCCGGGAGAGAAACGGGACCCCGAGAGATGGAAAAAATTCTGCTTTTAAAAATGCAACTGATACACAACCTACTTATGTTTATGAAACCCTAGCAGGAGAAAGAACCACAAGAGAACAATTCTTCTTTTACAGGACTTAAAACAAATGCCACTGGGACTCATGTAAGAGGCCTGTGAAAGGTTCTATCCTTCCGTACATGCCCCTTTCACTTCTTGCTTTTTGTGGCATTGCTAAAAGCAGTAAACAAGGCTGCATGTGACACTGGAGCAGAAAGCAACATGCTGGCAATAACTGATTGCAAAACAAAGCAGGAGTTTGATTTCTCAGAAGCATGGCAAGCCAACCCCGCAGTATCATAGAAAAATTAGGCATAATCATTAGTCATCTGCAAACTCATCTTCTGTTTCCTCCACCAAGCATATTGACCTCAGACTCTGCACTCCATTAATTCCCTCACTTGAACATTTCAATACAAAATCCATCCTCCTTGCACTGACCTGAAATTACTCCCCCCACCCCCTAGGGCAGGCAATGGAATATGTTTTGGTGCTTCATGTTCTCCTCTCCTGTCCTCAGGAGACAGCTTTGTTTTTTTATGATGACAGAATTCAGTTTCTAAGAATTACAGCTTTGGCCAAACCAGAAACTTTGTGGTCAATCATCCAGCCTTAATGCTTAGCCAAATCTCCTAGAAATCAGTCTTCCATTTTCATTTAGCCTCTACTAAGGACTCAGTTATCCTCTTTGAAGTCTGGGCAACTCCTGATGACATCACTGCCATCATTAGACCAAGTTATCATTATTTTTTTAAGTATTTAACACAAGAGTCATCCTGCTGTCAAAAGAGTAAGTAATCTTAGGTCAGCCAATGATATCATACATTACTGAAATGCTCACTCTCTCCCCGAGGTACTTTAAGTTTCATATAAAAAAAATATTGTTTGCAAGATTTGTGAGTGGAGTGGGGATACCAAGGGTGAAGGTTCGTTTATGTACACACAATTACACTCATACCCAAGCCAGAACAACAGTTTGGGTCATATAAGAAAACGTTAAGGAAACTGATTGGGAAAATATATTCTGGGAGGGGTGGAATCCTTTCTTCCCTCCAAGTGTCCAGAATGATAACATTCATTTTGTTCCTCAAATAAATAGGTTGAGCATTATGGATGGAGGACAATTTATTAATCTCAAGAGGTAGCAACTCATGTTAATGTGATTGCTTCCTCTGGACATAAAGGACTAATGAGAGTTCATGTGGGTCAGAGGAGTGTTTTACTTTGGATCAAAGTTCAATTCATGCTCTGTGCTCAATGACTGCACTTGCATGTCGCACTAAACCAGTTTAGTATGACCTGAATGAGCGGCAATGAGCCTTGGGCTCACCCACTCCTTCCTACTCACTTGATCCTCTTCCCACATTGTCAAGGAATAATTTGGAAGATACCACTTTTGATGAAGCACATATTGCTATTCCTTCCAGACGTGGAACTGTGGTTAATCTTTTCTATGGTTAGTTTAAACAAGCCAGCTTCAGTAACTTTAGTCTGAAGTTGGCTTGTTTGAATCCATTCATAGTCCAGGCAACACAACAAACTGTGGTTAAACACAACTGTAAGCTTTTGATCACCCCCTTGCAAAAGAGGAGAAAGAAAGTGGGTACCGTGGGAGACCAGGGCTCACTGTGACTCATTCATGTCTTTGCAAACTGTGATGGCCTAAAAGAAATTATTGTTTCCCCAGTTGTAAAATAGGTTCCACCAATCTACAGAACTCTGATATCTCATCAACTGTGTCCTCATATTTGCACATTAAAAATAATACTTTTGTAAGTGTGTTCCAAATTTCCAGTCCAACTTGATGCCTTCATTCTGGTTCATACAAAAAATAATAATAATTTTAATTTGTGCTGCCATGTTTTCAGCCTTTTCAAAACACTTTGCACTATGGCACCGGAGCAACAGAAGTTCAAAGCAAAAAATCCCCCTGGGGTTGCGCAAGTCCTTCAGAAGTAAATCAAAATCATCTCTTTGGAAACAAACTTTTATAACTAATATACAAAGAAAAAAATTGCTTCTTGCCCACATAATTTTTTTAAAAATTGGTAGAAAATGATATCTGCCTCATTTTAGGCCAAGGAAATTGTGGCATCTCTCCAAGGTAGTTCCCTGGAGTGACAAAAAAAACCCCCCAAAACCAAAAACCTAGTATAAGAGCTTCAAAAGCACAAACCAAAGGGTTCCTGATGCAACATCTTTTTAGAAAATACAGTAAAATTAAAACAGGAACTTAAAAAAAATAATGTGACGACCATCTCTAAACATTTTTAGAAGTTCAATGAGCTACTGTAACATAGCCACAGACAGCCAAATGCTGGATCAGACAGGATAGATCTGGCTTCAAATAATCCACGAAGCTGACCGGGTCACCCTATACAATCATCTTCCTAACATACCTCTTAAATTTGCTGTACACTCTTCCGATTGCCTTATTCCTGACTGATGTTTTATGGCCTGGACTATGGTATCTCATTGCTGTGGATAGTGCTTTAATTGGCTGGCTGAATATTTTATGGACTGTTCTCAGAGTGGAGGGAAGGAATTTGATGGTTTGATGGTTGTTGCATTGTTGCAATTTTTTAATTTTTGCAAACTGCCTCGGACAGGCATTGCCCAGAAAGACAGCCTAGAAATATTTTAAACAGATAAAAATAAATACACCATCCTTAGCTCCTTGGAAGAAGGGTAGGACTACAACATATTAAATAAAAGAATGAGCTGTAAATCAGGAAGTTCCTGGTTCACCTCTCATCAGATATGCACTGGGTGGAATTAGGCAAGCCACTGCCACCCAACCTTAATCTGTCATATCGGGAAAATCCTGACCTGCCTCAATGGGTTGCAGTTAAGGATTTATTGAGATAAATGCAGATGAATTGCTTTCCTACAGAGTTCAATGGACTTAGTCACAAGAAAAACTGTAGTCCTGTACACAAGCTAGCCAGTTTCTGCAATGAACCACATGGCAAGAACAAAGTGCTCCTCACCTGACACAACTGCTGTGACCTGAAGGAGCTTCTTTCACACAAGTTTATTTGTTCCCTCAGGTCACCTGGACAGGTACTGCTACATGCCCTATGTACCAAAACACAAAGTGGAGACTTTTCAGAAGTGGCCCCTATGTTGTGAAATAGTCTCTGGAATAAGCCCACCAGACACCTTCATTTCCAGTCTTCAGCTTAGACCTCTGCCTGAGTAGCTTATTTACCTGTGGCTTGCTGCTATATTTTATTATTATTATTATTATTATTATTATTATTATTATTATTATTATTATTTTAAAGCACACCCCACTTTCCCCCACACCTGGGTCTAAAAGCGGTTCACAAACAAGCAAGCATGCAATATACAAAACCTCAAACATTTATTAAAATATACAAGAACAAAACATTTACGATGTATAGGCCTCCTGAAATAAAGCCACTTTAACCTGGCATCTGAAACTTAGCCTGCCCGATTTCCCAATTTTCATCAGAATCTGTGTGAGAAGTTGACAATTTCAACAGCATTCCCTTCACATTAATTGCCTTGTACAATACTTCTTTAAAGATCTTTAAAGGATTGTTCTGAAAAATTAACTATTCCTCTTCCTTTCAAATATCACTTTCTTTTTTTTTTTTTAAATTGATATTTATTAAATTTTCAAAAAATAACAAATAACAACAAAAATTACCAAAAAAGTTTGAACATACAAAAAAGAAAAAAAAAAGAAAAACAAAAATAATACAGAAATAATAAAGAAGAAAAAACCCAGCCGCAAAAAAGAAAAAAAGAAAAACAGAAAAACAGAAATATAAAATCCTTTACGATCTCCATTAACTTCCTTTCTAGACTTCCTCCTCCTCCCTCTCTTGTTTCTTAGTGTTTAATTTTTACAGCAAATCCTTTCTGTTTTTTCATAACAATCTATCATTGCGTTTCCTTGTTCTATTTTCCCTCTTGTCATATAAAAACTTTAAAACTCAAAGCTTATATTCCATATTTAGCAAATTCTTACATCATTACCTTTTTACAAACCATTTACCAATTCTTACTTAAGTCATATAATTTCATTCAACATCCTTCAAACATTTATAAACATTCCCAATATTAAAAAAAGAAAAAGAAAATAATAAGTCAGATTCAATCCAGTCAACTTCCAGCCTCCCCTCCCCTGGTCCCGGGATTGTCAGTCCTTTTAACCTCAATAATCCGGCTCCTTAACCTGGTTGTCTCGTGTCCGAGGCCCTCAAGTCTCTTTCTTGCCCCTTTCGCCACTCTTGTTGATATTTCCTTTCAGTCGTGGATACTCCAGCAAAAAGATGCTTTTGACTCTTTGCAGCAAGTCCATCCCAAACCCATTACCCAAGCCAGACAGCAGATAATACCACTTCCAATTTCCAGAAAACTTGGAGACTTCGACTTCTCCAATCCTCTGATGGCCCATCCCTAGACTCGGAAAGTCCAAATAACCATATAGAGGGGTGTCAATCCATCCCCCCATTTCCAAATCTGACCGCATTTCATCTTTCCGAATCAGGTTTGTCCCAAGTTCATTTATCAAGTTCAAAGGCTGATCTTGCCCATCCATAAGTCCCTCCATCTCTGAAGCCTCCGTCGCTACAGCAGGTTCATATACTTGTATAGACTTTAACTGAATTTCATTTGTTTGCTGCTGTGCTCTGGTGACTTCCGTCATCATCAAGGTCGACTCCTGACGCATCTGGTCCAGCTGGGCACTTAATTTTGCAAAACCTTCCAGGAACACTTGTTCAAGCCTTTGTACAAGCATTGTCCTTCAAGGTCAGAAAAAATTCTTTCCCACGAGAATGGTCCTTCTCTTTTAAACTCTCTGCATTGCAATTTCACTCAGTTCCACTAGATGGAAAACCCTTTTTTTTTTTTTTTTTTAAGAGGGGGAAAACAACAGTAACAATCTTTCTTTTTCCAGAAACACTTTATCCAAAATTCCCCCTTTCAAATTCAAGAGGCAACAGTAGAATCAAAATGTTACCCTTCTTTTAACTATCTGTCGAGCTGGATAAACTTCAAAACGTCAGTTCTGACAGCCCGCTCCTGGTTCAGGGAGGTGGAAAATTACTTTATTTTAAACTCACTTCCGCAGGGTTGAAAAGATCAAAACAACCCCCTTCTTCTCCTGCAATCAAAAGGGGGGGTTCAGAAATCTTAGATGTTGAATTTTAGTTCTCTCAGAATTTAGTTTTCAGGCTTTAGTATAATTTGTCTTTGCTTTCTTCACGTAACAAAAGAACGGAAGGCGACTTCCTGTTTAGACCTTTCCGTTCCGAGTCCCAATTAAATTCAATTTCAAGTTCAAGTCCAATGTTATTTATTTATTCACCAATCTTAAAAGTAGTTCAGCTCTTCCAGGATCAGGTACTCACGGATAGATGTTTTAGATGCCAAATTGTCCAGGAAAAAGGCAGCGCTCTCCGAAAACGGCAGTGCGGCTTTGCTGCACGGAGGAAGCAGTCGACTCACAGCACCACGCACCTCCCACTCCGGAGCCCGTTACCGGGCTCCTGTACAGGGGAGAGAGCGCTCTCGGTGCCCGCCGAGTCCCACGCCCACAGGCTTCTTCCGCCTGTGGTTTTTTGAGGGTCCCCGCTGCGCCGTAGCGGCAGGACCCAAGCCTCCGTGCAGCGGGTTCCCTTCAGTTCGAAGGGAATTCCGCCATTTTCCGGAGGCGCCACCCCGGAAGTTCAAATATCACTTTCTATTTAGCCGGCATATCTGTTCTACTGCAAATGCCAAGTTCATGACCTCACATCTAGTAACATTAAACTCCCATTTGCCTACCCATCTGTTGAGAGCCTCGTGCACGAGTTCTGCCTTCTACTCAACGGCATCTGCTATCTCACTTATATCTGGAATCACAAGCAGGCACATAGTTATGCAGACCTTTGCAGTGCAATTCTATGCATATTTCCACAGTGTTCAACTGAGCTAACTCACAGGAAACTGAACAGCACTGCAACCCTTATTGATAAGGCATAGGGCCTTTTCCTTTAAGAACACTTTATCAAAAGCAGTGTGCTAGAGTAAGGATGCAATCCTGTATCCACTTATCCGGAGCAAGACCCTTTACACTCAACGTGCCTTAATTTTGGGTAGATGCAGACAGGAACATGCTGCAAGTATCATGCATTGCTGCTCCATCTATCTCAACACTTTGACACTGAATAAAACTCTCTAGGCAAGATCACAGGAGACTGTCTCTGTTTTCAGCTCTCCCCGTCCCCAAAAGACTGTGGTAGCATCTGAAATAGCATCTGAAATCAGTAGAGCAGGTAAAGGGTCACTCACTTATTTGTGGCCTAGTAAGAACCACTGCCAGGAAGCATTCATGAGCTAGAGAAGAGTCTGCTTTTGATTTTCAGAGCAATGAAGTGCCCTAAACAGTATGCGCGGCTAGGGAGGATAAAATAAAAAGTAATCCCTGGGATAATAACCTTTGTGACTTATTTACAAGACTGTAATAAAATTCACATGCAGCTATTAGTTTTGCCTTCAAGTTCCGTTTTGTTTTTGTTTGTTAGATAATCTACATCAGGATTTGGTTAAAATACCTGTACCGCTTTAAACCTGAGCAATGTGCTCTGTCCACCATTCCAATGAATGGATTCTTCCCAGGAGGTTGTCTTCTCCCAAGAGATTCCACTCTCTTGACTTCCAGTTTTAGAGACCACTCTCTTCTATCTGCTTCCTCTTCAAGAAGCTGGTGCCTTTACATCCAATCCCTTTTCCTACACCTGTTTAGGCAGCTGGCTATTTCCAGATCACTTCCACCAATTTTTCTGGGCCTTAAAAACTATTCTAAGATCTGCTTTAGCTTCAGTAGGTTGTTTTAAATTCAAGGTTCACACAGCAATGCCAGTAGCACACAGTGCCACGTTCACACATTAACAGTAAGCCAGACTTATTGTGAATGAGAAGCATGCTCCCCAATGACTCCTGTTTTGCTGCTTCCCTGGGAAGAGCTGGATAAACAAACCAGAAAGCTGCAATTAAGCTGGACTTCCTGTTACATGTGCAAGTTACAATCACTTGTCAGTCTTGAACCATGTCTCATCTTTGGCTTGCAGATTATGGCTTGCTACAGAGCAACAAACTACGAACCCCAGTTCGGACAAAATGGTTGGTTTATCCCAGTTGTACCAGGGGAGGAGCAAAGCAAGAGTGATGGGGCAGAACATTCATAGTAAAGCACATTAAGACCAAAAACCTGGCTTCTATATTGCTGGATAGGGGGCCATAGTTTGTCAGGCGAGTACAGTCGTACCCTGGTTCTCAGTCAGTATAGCATGAGACTCTTAATTTCAGGGTCATGGTTTCAAGCGCCACATTGGGCAAAACATTTCTGCATTGCAGGTGGTTGGACTAGATGACCCTTGTGGTCCTTTCAAACTCTACAACTCTACAATTCTATGATAACCCTGGCATATCTAGTTCAAACAATTTCAGAAATCAGGAATAAGCAAGATCTCTGCCTCAGGGACTCTGAAGAACTGCTGCCAAACAGTATACAGATGGTTCAATAATGGCCTGATCAAGGACATGGCAGATTCATGTACTAGCAGGTTCAAAAGTTGGAAGAAAAAATCCCCACAGTTACTAATAGTTAAGAATTTAGGTGCAGTCCTGCTGGATCAGACCAAAAACCAATCTAGCCCAGCACCCTGGACCAACCAGAAGCCTATGGAAGACCTGCAGGCAAGGCAACAGGTCAACAGCCTGCCTCCATTGTTATTCCACAGAAAGTGGTATTCAAAGGTACGGCACCTCTGATCCTGGAGGTAAAACAAAGCCATCATGCCCAGAAGCCATGGATAGACACATTTATTTGGTGGCGGAGAGATAAAGCTAATTCTCTTTTAAAGCCATCTAAGTTGATGGTCATCACTACATTATGTGGCATAGTTTTAACTATGCATTGTGATGAACTAGTATTTCTTTTTCTCAGTACTGAACCTTCCACCATTTAGCTTTATTGGATGGCCCTGGGTTCCAGAATTATGAGAGAGGCAGAACAAAAAAAGCACTTTCCTGAGTCTGGGATCTGCATATAATCTGAAGGCACAGTACCACCTTCCTGAAGCTAAGCAGTTCAGGGCCTGATCAGTGTCTGGATGGGTGACTCCTTGAAAAGCACATGTGTACAGCCTTGGGTTCCATGATGTCAGAAAGGTGGGCTATGAAGTATAAGAAAATGAAATAAATGGAACAAATAACAAACACACACAGTTTTGTACACCTCTTTATAGATAATTATCTCACATTTATATGCACTAACATTTCCCATAGGTCCGGAATTTCCTGGACATAGCCAGGAAACACTGTTCAGATTTTGCCGAATTTTCTTAAAAATAGCTTTTACAATTGTTTTTTTAGATTTTGCAAAAAAACGCTCAGTAACTTTTGTGTCTGGATTTTCACTTTTTGAAATATGGCAACCCTACCATACTGTATATCTTTCTTAAAGTATCCTTATTTAATGCACAATGTGGGAGCTTGTTATGTGGAGTCAGTTTTTCTATCTGCCCTAAGGTACCACCCGAGCCTTGAAAAATAAAGAAGAAAAATGGATCCCCACAAGCTCCCATTTAACTATGGAAGCATTTCTACGGGTGGCACCATGTAAAAGGCATCTACCTGAACTTCTAAGCCAAATTGTAGGGGAAATAAAAAAAGTCAAGTTCACCTACGTCTGAATATGCTGCATATTTTACCTTCTCAAACATAACTAATTTTGCAGCATAAAACCTATCGGTGTGATCTAGATTTGGTACGTGGCGTTAACAAAATGGCCTTAGGAAAGGTCAGGCGCAAGGAGGTTGCCATCCTTGTCTTGTTGAGGTTCATGCACACCACGAAACTGCCATCGATAGCGACAGATACTGCTGAGAGCCAGGCAAGCCAGTTAAGGTAAGCAGTGCTCACGCATGTATGGATTAATTATAACTTGGCCAAAATCAGTGCATACCTCTCTTGTCTCTAAAGCCAGCCTCCAGCCACATGGTCACATCAACCCAATTAATGACAACCACCCAATTCAAGCTTTGTGAATAGCAGGCACAATTAACATTCCTGCAGGCTGCCTTGCAAACCAGCCTTTTCCCTCCCACTCACCACCCACTGCTCCCTGAAGTGGGAAATGACAGCAGAACAGCCCTCCTACACACTGGTGGTTTGAGTGAGGAATAAAAACTGCCTTCTGTGTGGCAAGAGTCCCCCAAAGAAAAAATCCAGCATTTCTGCAGAAAAGGGGTAGGGGAACCAAACAGGAAGGGGAGAGAGGGGAAAGAAGAAATAATATTTAATCACGAAGGAGGAAAGAAAATGGTTTCTAAAGAGAGAGTGTTAAGCAGTTCCACCATACCAGCAGTGTTCTTCTATCTTCCCATAAGCAGTAAAGCATTTAGAAAGTCTTAAGATGCAAAGGGAACTGAGGAAGGAAATGCACCCACTGAGCACGTAGGAAAGTGGGTCAGAAGCCACCCCCATTGTAAGGGACTAGAGCAATCTGCAGCCCCTCCAAGCCCTGATCTGGTTTTTCCTGCCATGCACTGTGTCAGGGAAAGCAGCACAGGGCTGTGGAGATAGGCATCAGTACAGGCTACACGAGCCTTCACCCACCTGGGGCCTTCCAGATGTTTGGGAGATGGTAATCCAAAACATCTGGAGGGCCCCAGGCTGGCGAAGGCTATGCTGCACAACAGCTAGACCTGCAGGCACTCCTGTCCTTATTCAGAAGTGACACAAACCCTGATGGCTTGTGCCACTTGTGGAAGCGTGCACAGGCTGCCCAGTTTGTGGACAGAGAAGCTAAGGTCAAATATTCAGTGGCTTTGCACAGCAATTAATGCTTGCTTTTAGAAAAAAAAATTGCTGAAATATTTGGATTTAGAATTTGTGAAGGCTGGAAAGCCTCATTACAGAACTGATGCACCACCTAAACCTTCAGGCAATCACTGCTAACTGAACTAATCTACTTGTGCTCTGGCTTCTGGGCCTAGGTAGGCCTTAGATTTCACACATGCTCCCTCCAATTTCCCTTTCAGCGAGGACAGAATGAACTCACGAGTCACTCATTTTCCTTGTCTCAGTCACCCTTGGGTGCCTTGAGTGGGATTTCCCCTTATCGAAAGCCCCCAAACAGTATTGTTACTAAACCACACCGACTTTTACAAGTATGACAAACTTGGATCAAACTATGCTGCCACAAGACTTGTTTACCCCAGTGTTACAAAACCAGATTGCTCTTTAGTTGTTTCAGCAAATGTCACAGCTTTAGAAAGAAGAGTGTAACCGCTCCACCCGCAGTATCATCTACTCTGCTGGTCTCTTAACACAAAACGTATGGGCTTCGCCTTTATTTATTCTTCACTTCAACAGCACCGCTGCCATTCCTTTCAACTGCTTTAATATGCTCCAGCAACTGGCATGTTAAGAGACATATTACAGTGGTATCAGAGGGTCAAAGGAGCAACATACCGTATTTTTTGCACCATAACACTCACTTTTTTCCTCCTAGAAAGTAAGGGGAAATGTCTGTGCGTGTTATGGAGCGAATGCCTACGGATGACAGGGGGATCTGCTGCAGTCGTGAGCAGAGGATCCATGGTTACAGCCTGCACCAAAAAAATCACGCACCCACTGTTGCCTGGGGCCACAATGGTGCAAAAACATGGTTACAAAGCATGGATCCACATGGATCCTCAGGATTTTTGCACTGGGCTACCCCAAACTCACCGTCAGATCACATGTCTGTGGCCACAGCATGAACCACAAAAATCATACACCCACTGTTTCGTTTAGAATATTTTTTTTTCTTGTTTTCCTCCTCTCAAAACTATGTGCGTGTTATGGTCGGGTGCGTGTTATAGAGCGAAAAATACAGTATGTGACTCAGAGGGTGACTTTCAGCCAAGTACTTTCACAGAAGGGCCCTGTGCTTTTAAAGTGACATGTCAGTGCAAACTTTGGTCTCCTGCTTCCCCATTTCCTTGTAATAACAGCTTGCAAACCTTAGTGCAACTGTTGGTTGTTTATTGCAAACTTGGCCTGCGGCTCTTATTTGTTTCTACTGGAAGAATTGCTAATGGACAGTGTTCTTCAACAATAGACAATAGAAGACCCTGCACTTGGCAGTAATCCCTGCAAGAAAAACAACAGTGGAGTGTGTGTGTTTTTTAGGTGTCCCTGCAGAGAGGGGGAGGGAGTACTTATTACAATGTCTAGGTGCTGTTTTGTAGTTTGGAAAGATATTTTGGGAATGGCCATGATAAAAAAAATTAATCCTGATAAATCTCACCATTAATCCCTACTTAATAACCAAATCAAACTCTGTTTATGTTGCATGAACAGGAAGGTGGTGAAACTTCTCAAACCGGCAGCTGCAAAGAGAGTTTGTTAGGGTGTGTAGCAAAGAAAGCGGCATGCAGAATACAATGGAAAAGGGAAACTGCACACACCTGGAATAGGGCAGGTAGGCTGGAGATGAGGCCTCCTACAGAAAGGGGAAGCAGCACCGCAGATTTTGTTTCAGCAGAACTCAATTTGTTGCATTTGTTTTGTCTATCTACTTGATGGTTTAGAAATCGCTCTGACAAATGAGATAGGGCTCACTTTAGCTTAAGTATTGCTTACTGTTGTGAGAAATACTAGTAATTTGAGCTGGCTGGTGCATGGTCCAGCAGGACCCAGAGAAGGTAATCTATACAATCATGACACAAAAGTACACATTTGTTCCTTTTGGAAACAAGTTAGTTGCTAACGATTAACGGAGCTGTTAACTAGGCTATTTCTGGCTCTTCTCTTTGGAACTGCCAAGAAGGTAGTTGCTACCAACAGAAAGCAGTGTTTACGTCAGCCATGCAGGAACTGCAGCCGGCCCTGGAGTTGGAACAACTAAACATGGAGTTGGCCAGAAGTTCTCCTCATTCTTGTATTCCCAGAGCCAAGCCAATGCTGTTGCTGCTTGCACCAAGAACAAAATAAACTGGCATAAACAAGCTAAACTATGGAAACTAGAGACAATTCCCAAGCTTAAATTTGCTTTGTTTCTGCATGGTGGTGGTGGGGAGGGAGAGGCAGGGGAATGCAGCCTTTGCAGGAATGCAGGAGAGTATTTGCACGGCAAAGGTAATCTTTGCTCCCTCTTGGACTTTCCACTTCAGTACAAATCAGTATCTAGGCCAAGAGTGAGAAGCAAGGCAGCTTTAAAGCTTTTACACTGTACGGTGGGTCAGAATGTGAAGGCTATGCAGAATCGCTACTGACACAGGGCCCCTCAAAGGGGTAACAAAGCTGTAACAGGAGGTGAAAAGGGGGTGCAGAGATCCGAATCTGGGGTTTGGGGTAGGGTTGATCAGCAACTTTGCTCATTTGCACATGCTTTGCATGCATAAGGTCCCAGGTTCAATCCCAGGCACTTCCAGGTAGGACAAGAAACAGAAGGAAACTCTAGTTATTGCCTGTCCACACAGATAATGCAGGGCCAGATGGACCACTGCTCTGGTTCAGTATCAGACAAATTCTTATGTTTCTGTCTCCTCCACTGCAACCAGGAGTCGTGGTGAATAAAATCAGAAAGACACAAGTCAGGACTGCCATCATCTGAATCTTAACCCAGCCAATATTTTTCATATTATTAATATTCTGAATAAGAAAAATGATAAAGGATAAAAGTATCTGGTCACTTTAATTAAATTAAAGAAGCAGTTTAAGGTTGATTCAGCCAGACCCTCTTATAAACATATATGCCTCTCTGGACACATCAGCCACGAAATCCGAAACTGTTTTTTTTTTTTTAATACATGGCTACTGATTTAAATTCACAGGGGACCTGAAACTGAAAGGAGGCTTGGTAATGAGAAGCTTGGAACTTATTGCAGAGATTTGACTTCCTCAGAGAAGACACAGTTCACACCATTACTTGCACCAAAGAAAGGCAAAGAAATGGCTGAATGCTTCCGATGGCTCACTGCCATCCTACATCTCATTGTCAAGCCATATTCTCAAACGCAGAGGTTCTGCAAGCTTAGCTTCTGCCCCTTATGACTGAACACGATGACAAAAGCTTACACATTCCCAGCGCTATAACTCTGCTCCACAAGTTCTGTGTTGCAAGCTGGAGGTAGGCAGAAGATGAGGAAGAGGATGTTTCAACACTTCAGGAAGTGACAGCTACAACTGCAGCCAAGGTTCCCGTGCCATTTTTCTGGGTGGTTGTTGTTGTTTTATCCAGAGAAATAAGTTTTCAGCCTTGCTCTTGACCGAATCAAAACAAACCTATAGCATCTCACTTGACACCAGGAGTGATTGCCTACTGGGGGACTATTACCAATAACTTAAACTCTCATCAAGATGCACAGAGGAGAAAGGCTCACAAGTGGATATATTTCAAACCCTAAAACACCTTGTAAACTGCATACCTTGGTAAAAAACCGGACATAAAGTATGTATACCAGATACAATGTACTACATCTAATAAATACAGTATTTCCTTGGTAATCCAGAGTCCAACTAGTCACATTCTGCACACACTGGCATTTTGGAAACTTTTCCAAGGATAGGAAAGCCCTATATGGATTTCACTCTAGTAGTCCAGTCAGGAGTCAAAATGACACTGTAAATGGAGCAAGTTTCACAAAGATGCTGTTATCTGCCATATCAAGGTGGGGGGAAATGCTTCTGGCCACAGCTGTCACAAGGCAATCAACAGTAGCCCCAAGTCACACATCTCCAACAAATGAAGGAGCCGAAAGCTTGGCTGTTAACATCTTCCAGCTGCTTCTCCTATTACCGCAGCTTCTTTGGATTCAACTCCAAGTCAGTTCACTTTCATCCAAGCACTTAACAGCCACAGATTTAGCAGAGTGCAGTTCATAAGAACTGGCCACCTCATACAAACCAAGAGAGGTAAATTAATACAGAAGGTTTCATCCACCCAAACTAAGCAGTTTTGACTTCCACCATTTTCAGTGGAAAAGGACATACACAGATCTCAGAGAAAAAAGCAGGACCTAAAAGTGGTTCAGCTGGATTGTAACTATAATATGCTTTATTAAAAATGAAGTCTTGAGGCACCTTAAAGACTAATAAATTTATAGTGTCAAACTTCCAAGGACTGGAATCCACTTCATCAGTAGCATTTAGTATCGCTCTAAATTGGAAGGTATATTAGGGGTGGAAAAATGTGAAGAGTAGGGTCAGAGGGAAATGAAATGCCAAAATTTTAATACAGTATAAGGTTTTGTGAATGGTAAAAGGTAAAGGACCCCTGACAGTTAAGTCCAGCTGCAGATGACTCTGGGGTTGCAGCGCTCATCTCGCTTTACAGGCCGAGGGAGCCGGTGTTTGTCCGCAGACAGTTTTCCCGGGTCATGTGGACAGCATGACTAAGCCACTTCTGACGCAACAGAACACCAAAACCAGAGCAGCGCACGGAAACACCGTTTACCTTCCTGCCAGAGCAGTACCTATTTATCTACTTGCACTTTTTGGCATTCTTTCGAACTGCTAGGTTGGCAGGAGCTGGGACCGAGCAACTGGAGCTCACCCTGTCACAGGAATTCGCAAGCTCAAGAGGCTCAGTGGTTTAGACCACAGCGCCACCCGAGTTCCTTTTGTGAATGGTAGCTAAACATTATTTTACATATGCTTAAGCTATAATGTACCTGCCACACTCTGTATTAGTTCTCCTCTGCAAAGTGTCAGTGTGGGGTCTTGCTGAACACTGTACCAAAAGCACCATTGATCAGCAACAATTGTAAACCCCCGTTCAGTGCAGCCCCTGACCAACATAATGCCATCAGGTGTACGACAGGTGGGCATGGCAAGGCTGAGACAACCTCAAGGGTCAAATGTCCTAATGTACCTTATTAGGCCCACACACCAGAGCTTCCCCAGCACTGTCATAATAAATGTCTTTGTCTTTAAGGTGCCCAAGACTTTCTTGTTATTATTGAGACAATAAACTTGCACAGCTACCCCTCTGAAAAATGTTGCATTAGGAGTCAGCTGCAAAAGCACTACATCCAAATGTTAAGTACTTCACTTTTGCAACCCGAAAGTGTTTAAGACAAAACAAAATTATCCCCATCTTCATAAAATAAGAGGAATAAAGTGCATTGGAAGGCTAAGCCCATGGTTATATAATGATGTAGTGGCAGGGATATGTTATATAATCTAAGAATAGCACTCATATGAATCCTAACTGATGAAGGTCAAAGAGAGGGTAAACACCTACTTTCTAGTTACCTATATAAATTACCCCCTTTTGCTTTAGGCATTCACTACCTGTTCTGACAGGCTGTGCAATGACAGAACAATACAAAGGTTTTGTAATTTGTACTTTATAGATCTGTCCTTCCACATTCTACTTGGCCCCATGCAAGTGACCAAATTTTACAATGTTCATCTGCATGGCCGATAGGCCAGGAATAGGGTAAATGCCAGCATCATAAAAATCTGAAAAATAAGTTTCCACACTGAAAGCCTGATGAGTGCATTCTTGTTCAGAGCCTTCATCGATGCAGGTTTTTGTTTTTTTGTTAAATTCTAGTCTTTGTTATTTTTAACTATCAGCACCAATTACAGCTCCTATGTGCTCAAGGTCAACAGTCTTTCTGTGTATAACTGCATCAACTATGAGATGACTTGCACAGCAAGCCAGGCCACAGTGCTACAGGTAAGCACTCCCACCTCTGCACCTGATTCACAGTTCCACCAATGCCCAACAACTGTGGCCTACAGAAATTATTCTTATCCGGGAATGGATTTTCCCCTCATGAGAAACTAAGAACATTCACACCACATTCCTGACCATTTTGAGATTATATACTAAGAGCTCTCTTCATGAGATCTACTGCAGGGTATCCAAATAAAACCAAGGTTAAGAAATAATTTATTTAATTTTTAGAAGTCACTTGTTAAATAATACTTTAATGTGTTTTTACATTTCAGTTATAATAAGTATTTTTTTATGGTTCCATTTTAAACAAAGCCAACACAAATGTTAAATTCGAATCTTATCATTCAACTTATGCTCCTTTAATCAAACAGATTTGCAGTTTGCTTTTCTATGGAAAAAATTAAAAATAATGGAGAAAAATAACTGATTTTCAAGCCAGGAATTGTAAACATAATGGAACAATTCATGCATTACAGTAGTACCTCCGGTTGCGGACAGGATCTGTTCCAGAGGTCCGGTTGGATCCTGAGGTTTCCACAACCTGAAGACCGCTTCTGCGCATGCGCACATGGCGAAACCCAGTCAAATACTTCTGGGTTTCGCATCCTGAAGTTTACATAACCAGAGGTACTACTGTCTATCAATTATTACAGCAAATTATTAGTATTTAGGACACCAAGCAGTGCAAACATTTACTTTCCATCTCATGATGGAAAGAAACACTGTTTTGTCCAATCATTACCGGCCTTTCCTTGCAACATTACCCACAATCCTGCACACGTAACTTTGCACTGGCTTGTGACTTCTCTTCAGTCTTGCATCCTTGCAACTGTACAGACACTTGAACAAAAATCTAATAATTTCACAGTGATCCCTCCCCCTCCTTATCTCTAAACAGAAAAAATTGTGCAGCACAAAAGACATGTGGGTTGCATGACCAGACATTTCGGATGATGCTCGTATAAACTGGAAGTATAAAACTCTTTACCAAGTTGCAAACCAATATGCTTTCATTGTTACAGTAAACCAATTAGTATGCATTCTTGGGCAGGAAATGCACAAATTAGAAAAACCATACACTTTGATTTAAATCCACAACGAAATACAAGAACAAGGTTAGAGAATACTGCAGGGCCAGACCTAAAAGTCATGCAGACATGTAGAGAGCAACGGTCACCAAAAAAAGAACCCAGGACAGCACATTCAGATAGATCCTGGAAGTGTGCAGGGAGAAGAGACAGTGTTGTTGCACCCAAATCAATTCCACCAACTCCAAATTTATAGAGATGCAAGACTTGTGTTAACAGCCCACTATACTCCTTCATCAAAAGTTACCCTAATGTCTCAGCATCTGGAGACTTCTATGCCATAGAAAGGTTCCCACAATTAGTGCCAAAGCACTCTACCAGTACATACATAGTTGAATGCCTTCTGCCATTCAGGCCCCTTCCCATCATCCACATAATAAGGAATCCTGTCATCAAGTTCATTCTTTAGTAACCCAAAGCCTCAAGCCAGCATAGTTTACATAATTTCTGAAGACAAAGGAACAGACTAAAAAGTCATTGCAATCACACCCATGGAGGGATAAAGGATCTCTTTCTCAATCCCAACAAGTTCAATATAAAAGGTTCAGCAAGTTACTAAGCGTGCACGAAGTAAATGGTTCACCTCAGTCTGCCCACAGCCTTCATCAACATGGCCCCCTCCAGGTTCTATGGACTACAACTCTGTGCTGGCTGGGACCAATGGGAATTGTAGTCGAAACTATCTGGAGAGCACCATGTTGGCAAAGGTTGAATTAACTTATACTAAGCTTGGAGACACGTTTAAGATTTTAGCAAAGCCACTAGTAGTCTTTTAAACAGATTTCTGCATTTGATTACATTGCCCTGGCAGTCCCAACAAGGTGATAAAAGTTCTTAAGAACAGTGTGCGCATATATTAAGCCTAGACAAGAGTTAATGTACTTGAACGCCATTCTTCAGGCATATCCTTGGCTTCCTAGTGTTCCTATTTCTGGAAAATAAGGGGTGTTGACTTATTTCTTTAATGTAGTATTTTTCCAAATTTCTACCTTCAAGAAACCCTTACATTTCCACTGCAACATGTGTTCAAAGGATCCTCTGCAATTTTGGCATGGAGCGTGGCCAAATCACTTGGGCTAACCCATCGCAGAGGAAGTCAAACCATGTGTAGTTCCTGTATTGCTTCAGCCTAAACGCTTCTATTTACAGCAGCCTGGAAGCAATCAATGAACTTATCTGTGATTCTGAAGTCAGCCCTAGGCAAAAGCAAACTTTATCGACACATCTGCACACATGAGAGACATTGCACAGGAACAGGCAATACAACCACCGGGCAAGGCATGAAACCCAAAGCTTTAAAAGAAAAAAAAGGGTGCATTTAATTCTGTGTATCAGAAGACAATACCTCTCCTGTATAAACATGCAGGTTCTCTTGAGATAAGACCATCTAAATGAGCCTTTACATAAATGTCCCCAAGAAACATACTTTTGCTGAAAGCTGCCCATCTCAGAGCCAAAACACAGCTACTAGAAGTTGTGGGCTTCCGATTAAACTGCATGTTGGAAGATGCAGGACAGATTTTATTATTTTGAAGTGCTTGTTCACACAGTGCATATCAAGAACTACTAGCCAGGATAGCTATGTTCCACCTCCGCTGTTGTCAGAGGCATTATGCCTCTGAATACCAGTTGCTGGGAACTGAAGATGGGCAGAGTTGCTTGGGGGTTTCTCACAGGCACCTGGCTGGCCACTATGAGAACAGAATGCTGCACTAAATAGGCAATTGGCCTGATCCAGCAGGCTCCTCTTATGTAGGATGCAGCACTTGTCAAGTACAAGGACCTATTATGCTCCTCTAGTTAATAGCAAAGCTCTCTCATTGATTTCTACAGGAACTAGAACAGCTTCGATGATGTCACCTGCCAGAACTATGGCCATACGCCCTGGCAAGTCACCACGACTGTGATTACACATATCTTTCAACATTGCTGCCACTCGAGCGGCTGGTGGATTGCAGGATGAGATCACAGTTCTGGGACCCAGGAGTCACCTGGACTTTAAACCACCACCTTGACTCCCTTCACATCCCTTATCTCATTCTCTAAAAATTTATGAGCACACTGGGACTTAGCTGCCCGTAGGAGCACATTCTACAGGTTTGCTAGCAGTATGTTCCTATGGGCTGAAACAAGTGGGGAATTTAGGAACTAAACCACCCTGTATTTAAAAAAAGAGTATCTCATTCTGCAACCCCAATGCTTGCAAAAAGCATGAGATGCAGGAACCACCTTACACAAGCACAACTTTTAAGCTTCCGGACAGGAATGAACGGCTGCTCTGAAACTCGCAGCCCTCCCCCCCAAACTAGTAAATAAAGACTTGCGGCCCATCTCTGCACGCGCGGGGCGGTGCATGTTGCTCTTAACAAAATGGAAAACCTGCACAAGAGAGTTCCAAGATTTTGGCTTGTGTGTGTTTGGGGGAGGGGGGAAGTTGGCATTGCAATTCCCCATTAAAATACTGTGGTAACCAGGGGTAAGAGAAGGGAAATCGGAGTGGAGGGGGGAAAGAGCAGATAGGGCAATCTTGCACGACTTCCACCCTCAGACACAAAGCATTGCTTAAATTCCACTTCGGGATTTACCCATTAATCAGGAGCAAAGGATTAGGGTGAATTATATGCGGCGGCGACCGGGAGGGTGGGGAGTGCACGGAGGCAGCGTCGTTTTGAAAGCGCGACGTCTTTGGTCAGAAAAATGTCCATCTCATGACCAGGAGAGCGAGCGAGCAAAGGCCATCCAAATCACCTCTTTCCACTTCTTACTCCCGTTTAGAAGCTGCTCCCATCCGACAAAGGGAACGTTTTGCAAAACACACACAGACGAGAGAGAGAGAGAGCACTCCGCCTGCGTCTCATTTCCCGGTTCTGAAGGGAGGAAACCTCCTTTCCGCGGCCGCCCCTGAGCAGCGCCGAACTGCGTAGCTGCACAAACAAGAGTGAGGCAAAACGCAGGGCTCGCAGGAGGCAGACAGGCAGGCTTTAAAGAAAACAGGAAAGGCAAGCCAAAAAGTTCCCCCCAAAGCCCTCGATTCGCCCTCCCCACTCTAACTCTTCCATCCACTCCTTGCAATACATATATTGCAACAAATCTAAATATATATTCCACGGCTGCAAGCACACAAGCACCCTTTCTTCCCCACACGCTGCGGCTTCTTCTGGTTTCCAGCACCAGCTCCGCGCTGCAAAGAACAAGCGGAAGAAAAGCAGAGGCCCTGCTCCGGACCGTGCAGACGTCCCCCCTCTCGCTTTCAAACTTACCTCCTTGTTCTCAAGCGCCAAATAAAAGCCAGGCGAGTTCCCATCGCTCTTCTTCGCTCCAGTGCTTCTCTGCTGGCGGTTTAAGTGCCAAATCCAAAAAGCAACAAGCGACTGAGGAGGAACAGACCTTCCCGCTACCCCCCCCCCCCGCAAGGCTCTCTTGGAAAGAATGCAGGAAGTTTCCTTGCAAAGATCCCGTGCACAAGTTGTCAGCCTGCTCAGTTGCTCGCTCTCTGCGCACAAAGTCCTGCAGTATTTGCTCGCTGCCGCCCCGGGATGTGGAGAGCCCCGGTTTGCTGTTGCTGCTGCTGCCCTCTCCGCCGCCAACCGCACGTTGCAGTGTCAGGATTGCAAGTCTCTGAGTCACAGGATTTGAGATCACAGCTTGGGGAGCAGAGCGGTGGGGAGGGAGGAGGAGGAGGAGGGAAGAGAAGCTCCTTAGCTACGAAGGAGGCAGCAACTGCAGCAGCAGCAGCAGCCGCCACAGCAGAGAGCGCTGGCTTCCCACCCACCCGTCTCCCCGCCTCCTTCTGAGAACCAAGAGATTGCACAACTCTCAGGAAAGGAAATTAGGAGCAGCCACCTCCTGCAAAACACATATGCCCTGCTGCAACAGAAGTAAAACCAGCTCTTCCACTTCATCAGCACAACTGGCTCCTGCTCAGGCTCCCCCACCCGACAGCAGGCCTAAGCCACGCCTATTTCCTGTGGCCATATAAGGCAAATAAAGTTGTTTTTTTAATGTATAATATAATAACCACCCCATGTAACTCAACACTTTCGTTCGTGCGTGCCCGTCTGTGGCTATGAGATGGAGAGAGTGGGCCCGCCCGTCCAAAAGGTTCGGTTGCCAGGAAGATCCAGTTGCTCTGGCACGCACTGCTAGCATCTCGATGCAGCTACAAGGTCAGGGGGAAAGAGCCTGATCACGTTACTGGAAACGCTGTTTTGCCAGGAATAGTGCTGACTTTTTCCCGTTTGGAGGGACGTTTACTTTTGCTCTCTCCTTGCTTTTATAGGCTAAGCCCGTAAATCAGGCTTGTGCGTGATTTTTGCATGGGGGGGGGAGAGACACATCAAAACAAAAACCCCAATTAAAGCGCTGGAAACTCACATTTGGGCGCAGGAAATGGAACGGGGGGCGGGGGGCGAAAATGGTGTAGGAGGGCCACCAATATGATTAGAAGCGCAAATTTCCCGGCTGCATCCTGAAGGGGTGCAGGCCGATACTAGGCAAGCACGTGCCACTTCGTTCACGGGGCGGGGGGGTTTAAGCCCAAGTAAATCTGCGCAGGATTCCCCCCCCCGGCGTTATTGCATGGGAATAAAATCCCCACGAAATGGCTTGCGCCCGATCCAGATTAAAAAGGCGTATAGGATTGGGCTGTCAGGACTTGCACAACGAGGCACTCACGCGCCCCTACTTGAACCAGCTACTCTAGTAAGTGCCACGACATTTCCTGCCGTTTGCACAAATGCAAACCAAAAACAAAATGCAGACGGGAAGGTGGGGGTGGGAATTGTCACCAAAAATGTGGGAAGCAGGAAGGGTGAGCAGCCCAGAGTAAAACACATCGCTGGATTCGAGTATCGAGAGGCCTCTGAGTTGCTTTGCTGTGACTCATCGCTTGTTCTTGTGCAACAGCTCCAGCTCCTTTATGTATGTGAAAGAAGGCTATTGATAAGCCCTCCCTTGGAGAGTTGTGAGTTCCGCAACTGTGTGGCCGTCTTCCTTTGGCGCCTCCCACAAATAATCTGCATCTCCTCCACCACCACCACCGCATTTTCAGTTTTTATTTGCATCTTGCACAGCGCGCGGGATATCCATGCAACAGCAGCTTCCGTTTACTACTACAGCAGGAAAGAAACGTGCATTGCAAATGAGTGCAAGAGGAAGGAACAGTGCTGTGGCAGAACAGGAAGGAATCGAAGCCCTGGTAGCGTGCTGGTTTCTGCAGCCGAAAAGGAAAAAGAAAAAGAAGAAGAGGAACAGCAGCCTCATAACAGCTGGGCAAGAGTTCTGTCATGTACCATCTTGCAGAGGCATTCACCGCATTCCTCTTGCCGGGAAGAGCCAAATGGGACAGCCCAACACTTGCTAGACAGATGCCTCTAGTCAGGAGGAGATCTGGAAAATTCAAATCATCCAGCTACAAGCAGTGGTGCAAAGTAGCAGAGTTTAGCCAGGCCTAGGACTTGCGATCGGCGGTTCGAATCCCCGCAACGGGGTGAGCTCCTGTTGCTCGGTCCCTGCTCCTGCCAACCTAGCAGTTCGAAAGCACGTCAAAGTGCAAGTAGATAAAATAGGTACCACTCCGGCGGGAAGGTAAACGGCGTTTCCGTGCGCTGCTCTGGTTCGCCAGAAGCGGTTTAGTCATGCTGGCCACGTGACCCGGAAGCTGTCTGCGGACAAGCACCAGCTCCCTCGGCCTATGGAGCGAGATGAGCGTGCAACCCCAGAGTCGGCCACAACTGGACCTAATGGTCATGGGTCCCTTTACCTTTAAGTGTGAATTTGCCATAAGGCGACATATAAGGAGATGCCAGAACACAATAAGAAGCTGATGGATCAGGCCAAAAGGACTATCCATTCTAGCACTCTTATGGTCAACCAGATACCCATGCAAAGCAACTGGTATTCATAGACCTACTGTCTCTGACAGAGGAGGTAGAACAACAGCCTGTCTCTAGGGTGGTCAACAGATAGACCGCAATCCACCAGTGGGCCATTGATCAATTTCTGGTGGATTGCACAGTGTCTGTTGATAAGTTGGAGTCCTGGAAATAACTTTGATTGGATATAGAAAAAATACTTTTTTATTATTTAAGCTTTTGTTGAACTTATTCAAGTAATACTTTTTGCTTTCCCTGACCACCACCCCCTGACCACCACCCCCAACCCTCAGTTGGCAGATAGATAAGCCTGCCAACTGAGGATAACCATTCATGCATCTGATACAGTGGCCTCTATTGGCCTTATGCCATAAGAAATTTGTTAGAAATTGCTTAAGTAAATAAATGACTTACACTGCCATCACAATTTCAAAACACACAAATGCAGCAGGAATAAAACACCCCACTAATTTATAAGCAGCAGCAATGACGTTTCAAAGCACAGCATATGATAATTAACCAAAACAGACTTTGATAAAAAAAATGTCTGTTAACTTCTGTTCCCTAGGAAGGGAATTCCAAAGATTAAGAGAAATCAGTAAAAAGTCCCTGTCTCTTTAATATGCCACAAGACTGTTATTTCTGTATAGCACACTAATGTAATTATCCCTCTAGAAGTCATTTAGCACAAATGCATACTCAGGGTTGCCAAATACAGTTCAATTATGCTGTAATTGTTTAAAGATCCTGTATCTGCATCCTTGCTATGTAAATTTAAAACACCTCAATGGACTGGGTATTCAAGTACCAAAAGAAAAAGGGGGGAAAGCAGGCTGCATACAAGACTGAAGTCAGCCTATGGTACAGGGATGAAAAATCTGTGCCTATCCAGACATTGTGGAACTCAACTCCCACCACTCCCAGCTACCAAAGCCAATGGTCGGGGATGATGGGAGTTGTAGCTCAACAACATCTGGAGGGCAACCCATTCTCCAGCCCTGCTGTATAACCCAGTCCTGTCTTCTCTGACAAATGGTTCCTAGGCAGAGGAGCTTCCCAATCCTGTAATCTGAGGTCCTCTAACTGGTGATACTAGAGACTGAACATGGCATGAAGCACAACACAGACAAAGCATGTGCTATACCCCCATCACTCTTTTCTTGTTGCACACACCATGTTCGCTTCTGGTAGCAACCTATGAGTTCACTGGTTCTTCATTAGACTTGCACGTCCTCTGCCTTAATGTAATCCACTGTCACATCATCATCATCATCATCATCATCATCATCATACTGCATAGCTTTCAGATCTCAGAGTAAGGCATTTATATATAAAAGCCTTTGATTGACTAGACTCTGGCTTCAAACACACCATACATTGAAAGCACACATCCACAAATAATCTGGGAACTGTAGCTCTGTGAAGGGTAAACAACAGTTCCCAGGATTCTTGCAGGGTGTGTGCTTTCAATGTATGGTGTGTGTGTTATGCAGCCTCTGCAGCCACTGCTTATAACCTCCCACAAAGTGAAATCAAACAGCCTAGCGGCTCACATTCCAAACCAATGGAAAAACCCCAGGTTCCTGGAAAGGATGCCAAGGGTTTTTTGCTCTGTGCACATCTGGGATCAAGTGTTCAGTGTCAAATGAAAATAGGAGACTCGCAGCATGATTCAACATTAATTCAAAGGGACTCTGAATGTTGTTAAAGACAATATGCATTTGGTGAAAACAGCAACATTGACAAATTACTAGCTATAATGTCTCCAGCTCTACCATAATTCACAGTATCACTTCTGTTCCCATGGGCTCTTTTATTCAGTATGCAAAAGTGTCAAGTTTGAACACATGCAAACAGGATCCACAGAAAAGGCCTGTGAAACCACCAGCAGCCTTCTAAAGATACAATTAAGAGTAATTATAAGTCCTTTCTCTAGATAAAGCTCACATTTGCATGTAAGCTTTGTTCTTCTCATTGCTTCAATGCAGGCTTTATCATCAAAATATCCTCACGTTTTGGATAAGTGATATGAGATAAGTGAGATATGACTGCAGTTCCCACTTAAAGCAGTGTTTCAGATACATTTGTGGAAGGCCTCATTACACCATAATCCTATTTATACACTCAGAAGTAAGGCTTAAATGGGGCTTACTCCTAGGCATCCTCAAAGTGTATAAGCAGATTCCACATTTTTCACTGTGCAATTTTTAAAATCTTGAAATGAAGAGAGACATACTTTTGAGAGAGCACATGGCTATTTCTTTAGAAGATGCACAATATATGCATCACCCTCCTAACACCACACGCACAGAGAGAGAGAACAAGCACACTCTCCTTGTAACATCCTCTCATTTATTTTATCAGCAATTCACTTTAATGCCATACCCTCCAACATTTCTCCAAAGAAAATAGGGGCGTCCAAAATGTTCCACGGGTGATTTGGAGTTCTGAAGTGCTGGGCAGTTAAGCACATACACCTTGCCATTTCTCCACTCAAAATCACTCAACCTACCTGTTCTGGAGAAAATGAGAAAGGGCTGACTTGGTTACATGCATCAGAAAGTAACATCTTGTGATCTCTGTACAACCCCACAAACAGGCTCCATGTCTGCATATAGCCATCTTCTAGGGGTGCAAAGAAATCACTAGATGTTTGCTGCTCTGAGGGACACCTTCCGACTCAGGTCTTTTTGGACCTTTGTGACAGTGGCAGCTCAGGGGAGCAGGATATGCTTTAAACATTCAGGATACCGGAGAGATTACCGTACTGTGCATCTTTCCTTGCCAACCAATTCAAGGAGAGTAGTGACAATATATGTACAATAAATCACCCTACGAGGAGGGGAAAAGAAAGGAAGAGGCACTGTAACATTTTGCTGCTCATTGCTATCACTTTCAGCTATGCCGTAATTCAAATCTTTGGCTCTAGGCACAGAGTACAAAGCATGCAGTCCTGAGCCAGAAGAACATCAACGACATGGATATTTCTCTTTTTTTTTTTGTGGGGTTATATGTTGATGATGCTTTCCAGAAAGCTCTCACACAAATTTGTCTTCAGCTTTTCATGACTATCAAAACTTCTCGAAACAAGAGCTCAAATGGTTTAACTTCAGCAAAAGCTTGCTTCAAGTACTGGTGATAGCAGGTTTGCAGCCCAGTTATATATACTTTTACTCAGAATTTCCCAGTTAAAGCAAGATACACCCCCAAACAAGTCTGAGTAGGACTTCACCATTATCACTGGTGCCAAGAGACTACCACTCCATATTCACCAAACATTAATCAGTTTGTTGCACTGACAACAATGTTCATATTCTATTTCCATGCAATTAAATGTTTTTTTGTTTGTTTGGCAACAAACCCATGGACCTCTGCAATAGTTTTCAGGAATTACCCACTTCTGCTTTGTTCACACTGTCACCCTTTAATAATTTTGTGTTCATCACATGAAAATTTAAAGCAACTCATGGTGACTTTCCCACTCCATACTTCTTGTGCAGGGTACTCCTCATAAAGCACCATCACTGAATAGCAACACATTAAAGCTACTGCCCTGCAGGCCAAAAATTGTCTAGTTAGTTCAAATAAATTAACCATAGCACTTTTGTCTTGGGTGTTCACTGTGGTTTGTCAGATCACAATGCTATGATGACAGGAGAAGCTACATCTGGCAGAATTGTCTTTTCTGTTAAATTCTGAAAGGTAAATAAACACTTTCCTGACAGCACAGATACAATAGCAGAGTATTCTATGTTGAGGCCAAGAATATCCTGAATAGCAAAAATCTAAAGCTCCAGGATTTTGATAAAAGAGAGGCAGTGACATTTCAGTTTTCAAAGCCTTCACGCTGTGCCTGACTTGATAAAGTTTCATTGAAATATCTGCATTAAAAAGTCACTTTGGAGTAGGTCACTATGTCCTGCCAATTTATTAGCTCCCCAAAATAGACATGTTGAGTAACTAACCATGCCACTAGACTTTCAGATCCCTTCTGTTTAAGCAACAACATATGACTGGAAAGTGACTTCAATTATACTAAGCCTGCAGGCATGGCCAAACTTGGCCCTCCAGCTGTTTTGGGACTACAGTTCCCATCATCCCTGACCACTGGTCCTGTTAGCTAGGGATGATGGGAGTTGTAGTCCCAAAACAGTTGGAGGGCCAAGTTTGGCCATGCCTGTTCCACAATGCTCTTAAGAAGTGGCACATCACCCCCAAAAAGTTGCGTCATGTAATGTCCAAGTTGCTCCTATATAAAAACTTAATTCAAATATTGATTTTTTCCCCTCCCCACTCTTTAAATACTTAGAATACATCATATTACTTTGTTAATACAGTTGTACCTTAGTTGGCAAACAGACTCCGTTCCGGAAGTCCGTTCAACTTCCGAAAACATTCAACAACCAAGGAGCTTCCTGTACTCAATTGGAAGCCACGGAAGCCACGTCAGACGTTCAGCTTCCAAAGAACATTCACAAACTGGAACACTCACTTCCGGGTTTGCGGCATTCGGAAGCCAAAACGTTTGAGTCGCAAGGCATTCATCAACCAAGGTACGACTGTATTGCTATTAATGACTTGGCCATGAAACCTGCAGCCTAGAAAGCAGGTGATCCTCTGACCGGGTTAAAGCTAAGCTGATCAGTGCCTGAATCACAGGGCCACATAAGCTGCTCAGTGGCTTCAGATGTTATAGAGAAAAGCTGCCAGCACAGTCTCCTCTCACAATTATTAAGAGGTAACATCTACATGATAAGCAAATGCTTTGTAAGTGAGTTTCACAACAGTTTATTTAAAAAAAAATAGAGTGGAGAAGGTGGCAAGACAAAGGCAATTTTTATTTATCCTACAGTGACTAGTCTGTTCTAAATTACCCACAGTAACTTTCCTCTCCACAGAGGTCCAGCTACATGTTTGCAAGGGTAAATGTGGCACAAACCCCATAAGGAAGCTTGTGGGAAGAGTGGAGAGAATTTAGGCAGGGATATGGTAATAGGTGGAGAAAGAATTAATTGCTGCTTCTGTCCTGCAACTTCTCTTATCCTTCAGTTCTCTTTTTCTTTCTTTCTTATTGGGGCTCTCTTACACAGATTTACATCTAATGCGCATGGAGCCCTTTCACGTAGCATTGTTTGCTTAGAAAGTCCAAAGAGGCTCCTGCACAGGAAAGATTATAGAATGCAGTCTATTCTCCTCTCCTACCCAAGATACATTTTGAACATTATGATCCATCGTCAGCAGATAATGGAGGAAGAGACTGCACAGGGAGCTGCAGGTCCACGTTTGTAATATCTGAAGCTGCTATGAGTTCCTGAAAGGAGGGGTAGGATGCAAATGTAGAAGAACTGCGAAGTCTTCCAGTTTTTATTAATGTCAAATATTGATCAAGAATGAACAAGAAGACCACTGAGTCTCTCTCCAAATCACATTACAATTTTGCTTTTCTGTATTTTCTTGTATAAAACTTAGTTATTTTAACACTTCTCCTCCTCAGTTGTTTTAACACCTAGGAAAAGAAACAAGTGCAACAGCTTGAGGACTTTTATATGTAAGATAAAATATGAATGCAAAATGCCCAGTCGATATATAATCAGCATACATTAGTCTTAAGATTTGGACATTGTGTACTTAACAACTCTAATGCACTCTGTCATACAGGAGGAAAACTGTAGCTCAGTAACAGAGCGTCTGCTTTGCACACAGAAACTCCCAGGATCAACACCCAGCATCTTCAGGCATGGCCTTGAGAGATCCTGCCTGAAACCCTGCATAGCTGCTGCCAGTCAGTGCAGGCAGTATTGAGCTAAATGGACCAATGGTCTAACTCAGTGAAAGGCAGATTCCTATAGAGGGTATGCCACTAAGTTGTCCTTGGCGTAAACCCATTCAAACTAATAGATCTAAATTAGTTGTGTTTATTAATTTCAGCAGGTCTACTCTAAGCTGAAAAATGATCTATATTCTATAACATAAGAAGAGCCTGCTGGATCAGGCCCAACAGCACATCTAGTCCAGCATCCTGTTCTTGCAGTGGCTGAACAGCTGCCTCTGGCAAACCCCCAGCAGAACCCAATCTGAAGAGCACTCTCCCTTCCTGTGGTTTCTAGCAACTGATATTCAGAAACACCACGATAAGATGATTATTTTACAAGGTAGTGGTAAGATAAAGGAGACTATGGGTTGTGGCGCTCATCTCACTTTCAGGCCGAGGGAGACGGCGTTTGTCCACAGACAGCTTTCTGCATCATGTGGCCAGCATGACTAAACCGCTCTGGCGCAACAGGACTCCATGATGGAAACCAGAGCGCATGGAAACTCCATTTATCTTCCTGCCACAGCGGTACCTATTTATCTACTTGCACTGGCGTGCTTTCGAACTGTTAGGTAGGCAGGAGCTGGGACAGAGCAACGGGAACTCACCCTGTTACAGGGATTCGAACTGCTGACCTTCTAATCAGCAAGCCCAAGAGGCTCAGTGGCTTAGACCACAGCGCCACCCGCATCCCAAGGTAGTGGTGACCTATGATGGCACTGGAGAGACAGTGATGGAAAATATATTTTCCATGTTGCTGCCACCACTGGTGGGTATGTTTAAACTAAAATTTATATGCACACCATATAAGATAATAGCCCTCCCCCTCCCCGCATGGGTGCTATCTAGCAGTCCAGGGCCAGGCCATACGAGATGCTTTGATTCCTAGAATTAGGCGTCTCCTCATATGGGCAGCTGGACAGTCTGAAGCTCTGATGAGAGGGAATCTTAATGAGTGCTCTAGAGAGAGGATGACGGAGAGGACCTCCTCCCCAAGCTTCGGGTGTTGCTGTTGCCGCCACTCACACAGCTGCTTCTGTGCCCAATTGAAAGCCAACCATTAAAACCCTGAAAGATTTGAGACTGTAGAAGCTAGTGTAAACACCTGTTTCCATATGAACCTTTCCTGCACACTTAGGTCATTGGGAGAGAGGCCTCTGCTTCAAGTGCCTTAGGCAGCCAGACTCAAGAGGCTTATTAACCTCTTTCTTCCAGGGGCAACCTGCTCTGTCCATTACTTTTTTATTCCCTCAGCTTTTAGTTAGTATTAATACTGCTGACTAATGGGCTATAATTCTTGGCTTGTTTTGAATAGCTGGATAGAAGCCAACTATTTTGCTATTGGCTTAACCTGTATTTTAAGTATTTTACCTGAACCATCTCAAGAGCCCATTCAAAGCACAGGTGCAGGGTATACATTGAACTAAATAAAGACGACACCAAAACATTCCTTGTTCTTTCTGCTTTAAGTTTAGTTACATGGGGATTTTAACACTCAAATTAGTTAACGCCCCATAGTAGAAGCATATGTACCAATCTGAGCTGGAATTTGAAATGCACACCTCCGCATAGGTATTTTTCCTGTTCTCTTCCAACTCTGTTAGGCCAGAGATGTTTATACTGGTTCTAGCCATGATACAGAACTAAGTCACAGAAGTTGCACAAGTGGAATTGTTTGAGAAACGGAACAGTAGGCTCCCTGAAGGAAGTACCTGAACCTGCCAAGAAGGCAGACAGCAAGACATGCAATTCTGGGGAATATCTGCCTGGAAAATAAAAGCCCAAGGGTTTCTGAAGCAATCTAGTTGCCAGAACAAATAACGCATCTGTATCACTGTTGCTAAAATTCCATAATTCAATTGCACTGCACTGCAGATGTTCAACCAACCTGCTTCTGTGTCTAGATTTTGTGGGTGTGGGGATCAACTATGTGCTGATTATTACATGTACTTGCACCTTAGTCCCAGGCAGTACAAAAATGTAGCTCTGTGTTCTGGTGCAGAATTTATTTATTTAGGACCTATTCATGCCTCCTTCCCCAAACAGCATTAATTTACACCCACATTAAATACAGCAAGATTCACACTGCCCCCTCAGTGGGGTTTAATATTACTGTTCTTTCTCCGTGCTTTTTATGCAAATAAAAGAAAACAGTGACTATTCCATAATTTCTTGCACTGAGCAATTGGCAAACTACATGTAACATATATACACAAAACAAAACCTTGATTTCCGTTTTTTAAAAAATGAGAAGCAGCCTTGGCAGAGGCGGATTTAGGGGAGTGCAACTGATGGGCCCACACTGGGCACTGAGCCAAGAGGGCGCTGCAACAAGGATTTGGGTGGAAGGCGAGGGGCAGGGGGGCACCAAATGTTGGAGTCCCCCAGGGCGCCACTGAAATTTGAAGGCCACCACTGGCCTTGGGAGGCTTTGATTTTGTGCAGAAGGATGGCAAACAGACACCTGGCTGGAGTTGATGGGACTTGTAGCTGAAAACACCTTGAGGGCACCAAATTGGCCAAAGCTGTTCTAAAGAGTCCAGGGAGCCTTCCCATTCTGTCCTCAAAAAAGTCCTCTGCGGTATGCCAGGCTGGGAAATAATGACTGCCCATTACATTGCCAGCCCCAGACTTCTTGTCTGAATCATGCCGCCACCCCCACAAATAAAGCAACCCCCAAAGTTGCTGTAATTACAGCTCCTGAAAGGGGGGAAAAAACATTGCAATCCACCAGAAGCAATATTTTCATGTATCTGTGGCTGCTTTCACGTGGTAGTTTATTCCATTTCCCTAACTGTAAATTTTTGCATTATATTTCAGCTTTCACATGACATAAAAAGTCACTTCTGGAAAATTAATTCAATATATTGTGTGTTTAGCGCTGATTTCTGTGCCATTTTATGCCGGGGGGAAAAATCCATTTGCAGCCCCCTTAACTAAGAAAATTGTGGGAGTAAAGTGATTAAAATTGTGGCAGTAAACCAGCATACAGGTCTTTTTTGTTATTTCCATGGAAGAATCATGGGGTGAAAAAAGTACGTATGTGAAGATGGGGGGTTAGTGATGTTGTCCAATACTGTTTGTTGTTGTGTCACACTGTGCCCACTGGTCTGGTTTAAATTTAGTTTAACATGCTGGCATATTGATCAGAAATCCACAGCTACGATAAAGGGTCTGAAAGCCACATCTTATGAGGAACAGCTGCGGGAATTGGGTATGCTTAGCCTGGAGACTGAAAAGAGATGTGATAGCCATCTTCAAATATCTTAAGGGCCGTCACATGGAGGATGGAGCTTGTTTTCTCCTGCTCCAGAGGCTAGGACCCAAACCAATGGATTCAAGTTACAAGAAAGGAGATTCCAGCTAAGCATCAGGGAGATCTTTCTGTCAGTAAGAGCTGTTTGACAGTGGAACAAACTCCCACGAGAGGTGGTGGACTCTCCTTCCTGGGAGGTTTTTAAAGAAGAGGTTGGATGGCCATGTGTCATAGCTGAACCATGGTCTAGTTGAAATTCCTGCATTGCAGAGGGTTGGACTAGATGACTTTGGGGTCCCTTCCAACTCTACAATTCTATCATTCTAATGCAATATCTCCTATATCTGTGTAAAATATCAACTTGTATTATTTGTACAGGCCTGCAGATTGGGAGGGTTATTATGGTACTATTCCTTGGATTTGAGAGTCAAAATATAAGACATAATAGATTTAAGATATAATATATCTTATAAGATATATAGATTTAAAGGTGTTTAAAATTCATTTTAAATATATGGATAAATACTAGCTCACCTTGATAACTGGCATTTTAAAACACATCAAAGCATGATGGCCCTTTATTTATTAGCAAATATGAGTGGGTCAGCATGTGCCAATATTAACAAGTGTTTGGGTCATTGCCTTCAGCCTCAACTGCATCTGTTTCGTAATGCCTTCCAACAGAGGCAGCATGTAGTAAAGCAATTTCCAAACTCACTTTGTACAACAACAACAACAACAACAACAACATACTGCTGTTACAACTGCTGTGCAACTGAAGACCAAATAAGAAGTTTAAATGCTCTCCAATTATATTGACTAGATAGCCCCCCCCCCCAATATAAAGCTACATTATTTATTTAAGACTGATCCAACTATACCATATTTTATTCTAGGAATGGCAAATGTTACTAAAATTCATAATGATTTATAAGAGTATTGACAATCTAATGGCCTGTGGACACAATTGGTTACACTACTTTTGCCAGGGATGGATGAAATGTTTTCCATTTACTTCGATCTCCGATGTGCTCCAAAAGTAAGCCTGAAGCATAAGTAAACTGAAAGTGAGCCAGGAATCCATCGAGATGAGGAGCTCCTGACTCACCTCTTTAGCATTTTGAGAAATGTCATGATCCCGTACTTCATGTAATTGTACACGGTAGCCATAAAGCAGTACTGTAACAGGAAACCAATACCTTTGGACCAGGAGTGTCCCCCTCTTATACAACAACACAAATGGCCCATCAGATTCCTACGCCATGTCCTAAATACATCAGGGGAAGCCAACGTTTTTGGGCCACATTTGCAAACCCAAGCAACTGTCATGGACGTCGTTTCACACCACAACTATCTTGGCAACCCCTGAGTTACATCTTTACAGCTGGATTCAGTGGAAACAAAGAGAAACAAGGCCTGACCCATCACAATTCACCATAATTTAGCAGTCTAAAAACTGGACAAATTTTGTACATAATATACACCCATGAGATCCAACCTCAACGGCTCCCACTCCTCCAACATCACATTTGGTGCTGGTTCCCCACCCGGCAGTTGCTCCCAAGTAGTGTCACAATGCATGTGTGTGGTGTGTGAGCAAGAAAGAGAGAGAGGGGGAGAGGGAGAAGGAAGGAAGGAAGGAAGGAAGGAAGGAAGGAAGGAAAGGTACTTGGGAAGCAGGCTTAGCAGGCATCCCTACTTAAAGGTTTCTCACAGTTCATCCCCAAAGACAAGCAACCCACTTGCCTACAGCTTTCAGCATGTTGGTAGCAGCAATTGAATTAGGGTTGGCATCAACCCTTTGAGCTCAGCCCTGGAGCAGTGGGGGCGCCAGCATTTTTCTTGAGCACTGCCTCACACCAGTGACTTGTGGATGAGCCTAAACAGGCAGTCAGCAAAAGGGTGTGTCTGAAGCTTCCTGTTACAGAATGGCAAGCTCCAAAAAAATATGAAACAAGCCCTAAGATGCATTTGAACACAGGTTATTATCCCATTTAACCACCACGTCCCTGCTTTTGACATGGAGAGATCTGAAGGCAAGGAGCACCAAGCAGGGAAACCTGATCTTCACACTGCACTACAGCATAGCTGTCAATTTTCCCTTTTCTTGCGAGGAATCCTATTCAGAATAAGGGAATTTTCTTTTTAAAAAGGAAAACATTGGCAGCTATGTACTACAGTGGTACCTCAGGTTACAAACACCTCAGGCTACAGACTGCTAACCCGGAAGTAGTATCTCGGGTTAAGAACTTTACCTCAGGATAAGAACAGAAATTGTCTGCCGGCGGCAGCAGGAGGCCCCATTAGCTAAAGTGGTACCTCAGGTTAAGAACGTTTTCAGGTTAAGAACGGACCTCTGGAATGAATTAAGTTCATAACCAGAGGTACCACTGTATGGAAGAATGGAACAATTAATTGAAGTTTGAGCCTGGGCTCCTCTGGTTTAAACCTCCAGGAATACAGACCTTCCCCCCCCCCCCCCAAAAGCAGATTGTCTATGAGTCTTGGTTTTAAAATTATTTATGTAAAAATCAACCCAATAGACACATGCAGGGGGACTTAAAAGATTTAAGATCAGCATACAAATACCCAGTCAGACAGTTCACCTAGATAACGAATTCATTATTTTTAAAAGAAAAAAAATAGTTTCTAGTCCATGCTAGTGAAACCAGAGGAAGTACTGGAAATATGTGGCCAGCATGTTAAGCCCTCAAATGCATCTGAAACACAATAACTGTAACTGTATCTGACTCTCTTGGGTGGAGAGCAGGCACTCCCACAGTTATACAGCATTACTCAGCAAACACTGCACTCCCAGTCTAGTTTAGGAAGCCTGGCAAAATTTACAACACAGGAGTCAAGCACATCTAGGGCACTGGTTAACTTCGTAACTTTTTTTTAAGGAGGTACCTTTGCACTTAAGCTTTTATGAAAATGGCACCCTCCAACCTGAGGGTCTTTTCTGTAACACCCGGAGATGTTAGTGGCTGGCAGTAATCACACAAAGTTCATGGAAACCTTCTATATTTCCAACAGCAAAGGTGTGCAGATTACTTGTTTAATGGGTCAGCCCTGTTTGCTCCGAATATGTTATCTGTAGTTTCCCGGCTGAATTTCATAAAGATGTCCAACAGTCCTGCTCCTGGAGTGAAATTTTATTCCAGCGTGTTTCACAATCAATGTGTTTTGCAACTCTTGAACACACCTGCCCTTTCAAAGTCCCACCAGGGCTGGAGCAACTCAAGGTCTCAGAATTCAAAAGGCGCTGTGCTCCTCTTCGAAATGAAAAGATGCAAACGATGGGACAGCAGTTCAGATGTACCCCCCTCCCCCAGTTTTCCCAATAGAAGCTTCTAAACCTTCATTTGATTGTTTCTGGGCTGGGGAAGATCCCTGAATGGGATCCCTGAATGTCCTCCCCACTCCCAGCACACATCAGGATACAGAGCGGGAACAGAATCATTCGCTTTCAGATCAACAACGTAACTTGAGCCATTCCTGCCTCTCTGCCTTGAAACCTTTGTTCATTCAGTGTGGTGTAGTGGTTAGAGTGTTCAACTAGGACCTAGGAGACCAGGGTTCACATCCCCACTTAGCCATGAAGCTCATTGTGTGACCTTGGGCCAGGCACTGCCTCTTAGCTAACCTACCTCACAGGGTTGTTGTAATGGAAACAGGCGGGGGGGGGGCTCTGTATGTCACTTTGAGTTCCTTAGCAAAGGTGAATCCAATACAGGGGTCAGCAGCCTTTTTCAGCTGTGGGCCGGTCCACCGTCCCTCAGACCATGAGGTGGGCTGGACTATATTGGGGGGGGGGGGGTGAACGAATTCCTATGCCTCTCAAATAACCCAGAGATGCATTTTAAATGAAAGCACACATTCTACTCATGTAAAAACACACAGATTCCCGAACCATCGGCGGGCCGGATTGAGAAGGCGAGTAGGCCACATCTGGCCCACAGGCCTTAGGTTGCCTACTCCTGATCCAATACATAAATAGGGGCACAACCACCAGCTCTTGAACTCATTCCTCTAGCTCTCCTTTTAACAGCACTGTGTTTTGCAGCAGTTAGCAGGCAATCAACCATGCCATTAAAAACTCCTGATTATTTCTGCCAAAGAGAGAAAGAAAAAGGCTATGCAAGGGGTTTTCTAGAGAGCTTGAAACCTTTACTGCAGTAAGTGCTGCCATGCTTGGCAAATATACTAAACTACCTGAAGAAGCCCAAAGTGTCGCCACACCACTACAACCCCAATTGAAATGTGTAGCAGTGACATGATCAAAAAGGAGGGTTCTCTGCATAGCAATTTGCTCCCTTGATTAGCAGCTCAGCACACAGAAGCAGCTGCCACATGTAGCAAGGCAAAGCATCCTCTATGAAGCAGATCTGTGGTGCTGGTCTGTATCCACTCTCAGGGCACCTTTCACACTTCAGGGCTGCCGAATGCACCAAAAGTTTGTGTGGTCAAAAATAAATCGGTAAAAGGATTAATCGTGCATGCAGCACATTTCAAATGTTAAGAAACAAAAATCACACATGTAATTTGAACAACTTTCATAACAGTCCTAGAAGGTAGAGCTGCATCTTGGAATAATGGCTTGCCTATGGCCAAGTAATTAGTATGTGGCGAAGACAGAATTAGAACCCAGGACTTGCCAGCTGCTGCTTAAGAGTCATAGAATTGTAGAGTTGGAAGGGACCCCAAGGGTCATCTAGTCCAAGCCAACCTCTCTATTAGGACTCTCCAGGCCACCGCCACCTACCCAGCCACCCATTACTAGCTGTTTTCCACTCTTGTTGGGTATTTTTGCCTGTCTAGAATGTGTTGTTGAACTAAAAAAAAAGTCTCTTGCTTCCAATTGCTCTACTCTATTGCCTGTGGCCCGTCCCAGCACTGCCATGCGGCCTCCAGAAGGTTGCTTAGAAGAGAATGTAGCCCTAGGCAAGTTTCCCTACCCCTGGCCTACGCAAACAAAAACTACAGCCACAATATTAACACATGCTTTACTGTATTACAATTCACCGTTCCTCCATGCACACGCACCCTGCAGCAAAGCAAGCCCTTCTCAAAGTTCCTATTTTATTTCCCAAGGCTATGCCAATTTCACAGAGGGTGGCAGTGGAGCAGAGCAGAGCATCATTTTTTAATCTTCACTATGCAATCGCTTTGAGCACTCTGCTTTCAAAGCTTCCTGAAATGTTAAGATTTTCTTCCTGGACTGTGTTGTCTTTTTCCCTCTAGGGCTTTTATAGGCATATAATTTTCTTGCACCATTCTTTCTCTTCTCCTTTCCTTTTTTGTAAGTGCAAGTACAACCTTAAATGCACATCTTCCACCTATTATTGGGAAGACTCCAAGGAGGATCATATACTTGAGGTCAAGCAGGAACTTGGCAGCTACCTAAGGAGCAATTTATCAGTTCTTTATTTGAAGCACAAATCTGCCCCCCTAGTAGAGACAGGGTTTTGCAGAATCCTCTTCATGTACTCTTATGCAATCACCCCTGGAATATTAAAAGATACATGTCAGCTATGCTTGTGAGATCCTCATGGTTTTTATATGATGCAACCAGATAAAACTTTTGATCAGACTCCACGTAATACCCAGAAACCATATCTGCAATAAAGTGCTGAGTGCACTTTGATTGCAGGCACTCATACACCAGCAGCAATTTTTATTTTCAAAAGTGAGAGGCATACGAATCAGCTGGTGCGTCAGTTGATCTATAACGTAGATCCGAAACATACAGTGACTATGTTTCTGTTGCACATTCTGTCTTGCATTGACAGTACTGAAAGATACCCAGATGCACTGTTAAGGTAGCAGTTGCAATAACAAAAACTTAGAAGCAACTTCCCACGACACAGAGGTAAACAGTCATGTGTGTCTGAACAGCTTGTTCAGATTGCGCAATTATCATTTTTGTTTGCTTTCTTTGCTTTTCTTTCCCCAACACCAACACCTCTTTGCAGAAAACACAGGAAACTGCGTTATGCCGTGCAACAAGCTTTTGTCCTAAAGGTGTCTTTCTATTTTGTTTTGTTTTACATAAAAAAAAACATTAGTCCACCAAGCTCTGTACCGTGTTTACACTGTCAATGGCTCATCAGTATTTCAGATTGGAGTCTCTTCTAGCTGTACCTGGAAATTCCATGGACTGCACCTGGGGCCTTTGCATTGAAAGCAGATGCCCTTCCGCTGAGAAACAGCAGCTCCCTTCATCTGTCTCAAACCTCAGTAAAACTTTTGTTTTATCCATGCTAATACATATCAATAATACATATAATGCAATACAATAATACGTATATAATATCACAGCAAGCAAGAGCTCAGGGCAGAATTCAACAGAACCAAAAAGCAAAGCAAAAAACATGTCCAATGTGCAGCCTGCAAGCCTAATACATCCAAAATAAACCTTCATCCAGGCTTATCATAAGACTTGGATTGTGCAAGGCACAGTCACATATGCAAGTGGGTGTTTGGACAGCTTTGTCGACGAACTGCCAAAGTACCCGTCCTTTACAGTTACTGCATGATTAACAGCACACAACATCTGCCAGAAGTGCCGTGCAACAAGCTTTTGTCCTAAAGGTGTCTTTCTGTTTTGTTTTGTTTTGTTTTGTTTTGTTTTGTTTTGTTTTGTTTTACATAAAAAAAAAACCAGGCCACGACGGGTGGGGGGGAGCTCGTTTAAATCCCAAAAGATCCTTTGCAGCCTGATGAGACGTCATCATTTGTTGCAAGAAGGCGGGCAAGGCTGCTTCTGTTTCCTCAGCACAGGCTCGTCCCATATTTAGAAAGAGCCACTTCGACTCTCTCTCTCTCTCTCTCTCTCTCTCTCTCTCTCTCTCTCCCACCCCCCACCCCCGCCCCCGGTGCGAAGTCAGCAGCAAGGGCTCGTCCAACAGGACTCTTTTGTCTGCGGAATAAACTTGAGCCACCAGCGCCGGAGTAAACAAACGAACAAAAATGCAAAACGTGGATTGTTGTTGTTTTTTAAATGCACGGGCGGATTTGATCCGAGACGAAATACTACTCGCTAAAAGCCTCTTTTGCAGAGACGCTCGCAGGTTCCGGAGGCGAGAAGCGACAGAACCGAGTTAGTCCGAAGAGGGTGGACTTCAGATCCTCCCCCCAACTCCACACACACACACACACACACACACACACACACACACAGTTCAGTCGGCTGCTGCAGCAGCTGCTGTCACTTTTGCCCCAGCAACGCCAAACCGTTTTCTCCGCCATCCCAGAAAAACTCCGGATCCCCATTCTGTCTGCTCCACTTCACATCTACCCGAGCCAAACCCAATAATCCACTTGCATCTCTCTCTCTCTTTTGGAAGTGGGAGGCGGAGCGGGTTGGAAGTAGCAAGAAAACGAGATCTCCTGCTACACCACCCAGACTATATTAATCCAGGCACCAAAGGACAAGGAAACAAACACCCAGCGTCCAAACCGAGCGCGAAAGTTTTGCTCACCTTCAGTCGCAGAGAGTCGCTGCAACAAGTCCTGTCCTGAGTCAAGTCCGGGGCAGAGGAATCCACCGCCAACAAGAAGCCCATGAAGAAACGGGGGCGGCGGCGGATGGGGGAATCCCGCAGGCAACCAAACCCCAACTTTTGAGTGCCTTTCGCTAGGATTCTGGGAAGGCGTCACTTCCTAGCGCGCTAAGTAGCCGAGGGGTGGATGCCAGAGCAGGCCCTTTAAAAGGCAGCTCCTCCCTCTGCTTGCTTCACCCGCCCTGTGCAGCCTCAGCCACAGAGAGGACTGCTGCTCCCCCCCTCCCAAGTATCGTCTGAGACTCAGGCCCCCTTTAGCCTTCAGAGCGAGGCGCTTGATTCGAACCCACGACATGTTAAGACGAAAGAGGGAACGCAGCTTCAGATTCCTACTGCACGCATTTGTAAAAAGTAAAGTGAGAGAATGGAGAAACCCCGGGTGTTTCAGCCAGATTCCCCTGGAAAGCTTGCAGGAGCATGGTGGAAACAGGAATCCTGTTGATGGCTTTTGGGGGGGGGGGGGTCCTGGTACAGTGGCACCTCTGGTTAAGTACTTAATTCGTTCCGGAGGTCCGTACTTAACCTGAAACTGTTCTTAACCTGAAGCACCACTTTAGCTCATGGGGCCTCCTGCTGCTACTGCGCCACCAGAGCACAATTTATGTTCTTAACCTGAAGCACCATTTCTGGGTTAGCAGAGTCTGTAACCTGAAGCATATGTAACCTGAGGTACCACTGTACTGTCATCACCTTCCAATAGATGTCCCGCTGTGCTTCTGTCATCCCCATCAAAAATGCTTGGCCTGCCTAGGGCCATAGCCTTTAAGAACTAGGAGGGATAGTTGGTGTGGATTGCGGTTAATATTCTGTGTGCATTGCTTCTCAAATGTGCAATCCCTTGGCAGATCAAAGTGCTCCCCAGCCTCCACTGAGGCTCTCCACTCTGCAGGAAGGTTGGTGGGGAAAGCCAGCATCTCTCTCCTACAACCCAGTTTCCCCAGTTCAGCATCCTGCTCATTTCTCCTTCCTCTGCCAGAGCCAGCCAATCCAGCCCCAGTCTCGACAGCACTGCAGGGCTCATGACTACTGCCTCCTATAACAACAATTTTTTTGATGCAGCTGTTTTGTGCAAGAGCAGTTCTGCACAAGGGAGTTGCTGTTGCTTTTCTTTTAAGCACCATGCACGATGTGCCTGCACGATGTGCAGCAACCAGTGGCTGCATCCTTTTCTTTGGACTGATGGAAACAATGTGGAAGTAGGGATGTGGCAACAGATGGCACCCAGTAAAATCTTACCGTGTGTGTAAAAAAGGCCAACCTGCATAATGCACATTAGTGCATCCATAGTCAAGTAATATGCAGTTTTTATTGGCTCCTTCCTTTTACTGGATTATCTGTGGGATGGGGAAATCTGCATTTAGTGGGCAGAAATGTGGGATGCCTCTTGGATGAGGATGACGATGACATTGTGTGGATACTGAAAGAAAAAGAAAGGATGGGGAGCAGCTTCAAATCCACATTAAACTTCAGTGTATGATTGACCTCCAACTCTAACCCTGTCTTGGAAGTCCCAATTACTTAATATATACTCGGTGAAATAACCTCAGCATAGCTATACTTATACTAACACATATATTTTTATTTATTATTAAGAGAAACTGAATACCTTCTTTCCTACTACAAATCATGTTACCAGCATTTATTCTTGCACAGCTCCCTTGCAGACAGTCTCTCCATGCTTTACATTTCCCCCTTTAAACCCAACATCAGATTTTTCTTTTCTTTTCATTGCAGCAGCTGTTGTTGCCAGGCTGTCCTCACTGTTGCTATGATTTGCAAGGCTTGTGTATTTTCCAGTTCATGATTGTCTTGGATGAACATTGTTCATTCCACACGTACACCCCACCTTCAAGTAATACCTTCCATTTTTGAAATAAACAAGAACAGTTTAACAAACAAAAAGCAGTTTCTGGAAACACAGAATAGTCTGTTCTGGGAGTTAGCATTTGTATCCTCATATAACCTCTCTAAAATGTTTGGATGGAGCAGACTGAAAATTAAAGTGCCGTTCAATTTGATAATGTCACAGCTGTTAAAACTATTTGAGAAAGACACAGGTGAGGCTGAGAATCCGAGAACAGGTCAGCACCACTCCTTTCTGCAACTTTATACTCTGCTGGTGGTACCAACTCCTTTGTTTTTAATTCAGGGAAATAACCCTGCTGAAGGCAATGGCACAGATGGGTAATTTTAGACTGTGACCTTAATAGTCTTATACTCTTACACACACACATACACACAAAACCCCTGCTATAATGGTCAAGTGTTGTAATGTATATAAATGAAAACTATCATTTAAAAAAAACAAACAATTATTTAACCATAATGTTAACATTTTCAACTTTGACTCCTTTCCTCCTCCTCCTTACATTTGTTTTCGTCCTTTCCTGCATACTTCAACTTGCCTTAACTTATTCTTTTAATCATCTATTCACACACACACACACACACACACTCTGCAGGTTTTTACAATAAAATGTGTAAAATGTCTCGATCTGTTTACAATTTGTTTGTAAATACTCAATAAACCATTTCCATTCCTTTCTAAAAAGTTTGTTATCTTGATTTCTTATTCTTCCGGTGAGTTTTGCCATTTCTGCATACACCATTAGTTTCTGTATCCATTATTTGTTGGGATCTCTTCATCCTTTAACTTTGGGGCAAATACATAATGGTCAAGTGTTTTAGCTGAGTTGTGAAGCACACAATTAACATACCACTTCTCCTGCTATTCCATGCTTTGCAACTGCTTCCATATTCCTGATATGTAAGAAGAGGAAAACAAACCACTATTTACCAGCTTTGATTTTTATTTTAAATCACTATCATGATTAAAGGGATAAAGTGGAGTTTGCTTCTGCTGTCCTGATACTAAACATGACCAGTCTGCAACTATGTACTGCGTGTGCCATGTCCAGCCAATTTCTGACCAAGGCCGGATTAAGGTGGTTGGCAACTCTGATGCAATCCCCAAAATAAAGCCTCCTCCTTTCCAAAAAAGTACCACAAAATAAGTATTGTTGTATCATGAAGCTAGAAGGGGCCATGAGGATAATCTAGTCCAACCTTCTGCAATGCAGCTGTCCCATATGGGGATTGAAACTGCAACCTTGGCATAATCAGCACCATGCTCTAACCAACTGAGCTATCCACTGGGCATCTAAAGATTAACGAATTTATTATCACATAAGCCCTTCCAACCCTGCAATTCTGATTCTGTGACTGCGAAAAATATTCTGAGCTTCTAGAGTTTCACAGCCACAGCACCACCCCAAATTAATATTATGAATTAAAGATAAAGGGACCACTGAACATTAGGTCCAGTCGTGGCCGACTCTGGGGTTGCGGCGCTCATCTCGCTTTATTGGCCGAGGGAGCCGGTGTACAGCTTCCAGGTCATGTGGCCAGAATGACGAAGCCGCTTCTGGCAAACCAGAGCAGCGCACGCAAGCACCATTTACCTTCCTGCCGGAGTGGTACCGGTACCTATTTATCTACTTGCACTTTGACGTGCTTTTGAGCTGCTAGGTTGGCAGGAGCAGGGACCGAGGAACGGGAGCTCACCCCATTGCAGGGATTCAAACCGCCGACCTTCTGATCGGCAAGTCCTAGGCTCTGTGGTTTAACCCACAGCGCCACCCGCGTCCCAATAGTATGAATTATGTGTTGGTAATGATACAGTGGAAGCAGAGAGAAAAATGCATGCAGCAGCAGTTGGAGCAAAAAAATAATAAAATAAAATAAAAATCCAGTGCCTATTCATACATCAAATTAATACAGTGAGCATGGATTCAACGACACACTCCTATTACACATCCCAGAGGTCAAAGTTCCCAGGTCAGAAGACCTGTCATTCAAACAGAAGAAGAAGAAGAAGAGTTTGGATTTGATATCCCGCTTGAAGGAGTCTCAAAGCGGCTAACATTCTCCTTTCCCTTCCTCCCCCACAACAAACACTCTGTGAGGTGAGTGGGGCTGAGAGACTTCAGAGAAGTGTGACTAGCCCAAGGTCATCCAGCAGCTGCTTGTAGAGGAGCGGAGACGCGAACCCGCTTCCCCAGATTACGAGTCTACCACTCTTAACCACGACACCACACTGGCTGCATCTCTCCTCTTCCCCGATTACAGGCATGCCACTTTGGGAGTCAAATCCCACACTGATACATGGAGCTTACTCTCAGATAAGCTTACCTAGGACTGCAGTTTTAAAAGCAGAACAACAAACACGAAAGTGCCTCTGCTCCAAAGCAATGGAAGGCTGCAATTTCGACTGCTCTTTATCCATGGAGCGACCATACCTAAGTGGGAAGGCTTGCCCTTTTTAAGTGGGCCCGCGGTTCCCTGCATTACCCTTTTAAGAGGCAGGCTAGGCACATGCTGGGAAGGTCTCCTCCGGAGGGCTAGTTGCCCTTCGCCCGATTTCTTGGCGATCCGGAGCGCAAAGGACTGGCTCGGGCCTGTGTGCATTACCGACAAGGTGATCGGCCGGTTTCTGCCTCGGGGGGAGAAACGGGAGGAGGAGGAACCCAGCCCCCCCTCCAAAGGGCTTTTCCTTTTCTCCTCTCCAGCAAGAAGCATTTGCATTGCAGGGACTAGCAGTTACTAGCTTCTTTGGGGAACGGTAAAATGGCAGTAAAATGTTTGCTTTGCATGCAAAAGGTCCAAGGTTCATTGGAAGGTGTCTCCAGGCAGGCGGGAGCCCCGTCTGAAGTCCCGGGATTCGCTGCTAGTCGAGGTACACAATACTCAGCTAGCATGGTGGACCAGTGTTCCGACTCGGTGCAAGGCGCCTTCTAAAGCTGCCTATGGGACAAACTTTAAATAAGTTTCCTTGCAAAACTGTTGAGTCCCTTGCCTCGCCTTCTGTGCAGCCTGCCCACGCCCACCTCCTGACCACCGAAGCAGCTTTCCTGTCTCTTTTTAGCAGCTGCATGACAAGAGCTGCATGCCAGGCGGAAGTTCAGCAGGTGAAGCCCCCCCCCCCCTTGCACGGTGGTGCGGTGACTGAACAGTTTCCTTGCCTAAACTTTCCTTTGTGCAGCTATTAAGTTAGCAGGAGCCAGCAAGAAATGAAATGAAAACCTAGATGTGAGCTGCCGCCTCTGGTGCGGTTGACACTTTGGAAAGTGTTACCAATTCTTGCGTAGGTGATGATCGGCGAGGACGAGGGGAGGCATATAGAAATCGAAGGGCGACATGTTTTGTCTGCAAAATAGAAGAATCATAGAATTGGAAGCGACCATCCAGCCTTCTGCAATGCAGGAATCTTTTGCCCAATGTGGGGTTCAAACTCACAGTCCTGAAATTGAGTCACTTGCTCTACCAACGGATCCATCAGAGATTCTCTTGTTGTTGTTGTTCTTGCACATATAAGTCAGGAAATTAGATTATAGGTTTTGGTGGGACCTATCCTAATATTGGGACGCAGGTGGCACTGTGGGTTTAACCACAGAGCCTAGGACTTGCCGATCAGAAGGTCGGCGGTTCGAATCCCTGCGACGGGGAGAGCTCCCATTGCTTGGTCCCAGCTCCTGCCAGCCTAGCAGTTCGAAACCACACAGTGCAAGTAGATAAATAGGTACCGCTCCGGCGGGAAGGTAAATGGCGTTTCCGTGCGCTGCTCTGGTTCGCCAGAAGCGGCTTAGTCATGCTGGCCACATGACCCGGAAGCTGTACTACAGCTCCCTCGGCCAATAAAGTGAGATGAGCGCCGTGACCCCAGAGTCGGCCACGACTGGACCTAATGGTCAGGGGTCACTTTACCTTTTATCCTAATATTATATAGGAACTTGGCTCAAAGATGAAAAGTGAATGCCCCTCCCTGGCCCTGCTTCATGTTTTCCTTGAGTTGTCCCCCTGGCCAGAATGTGGCCTTGATCTCTGCCTCCTGAGTGGATAGAGACGGCTGTGTGGGGTGTATAGAAACTAGCCTGCTGAACTAAGGACAAAAAGCTTTGTGCTGCCCACATTTGCCTCTGGCCCTGCTATCACTGGCATGTGGCCCCTGGAAGGGTCACCAGAGGAGAATGTGGCCCTTGGGCGGAAAAAGATATTCACCCACCCAAGTAATATCTGATGGTTATATGTCACCAGATAGCATTTTCCATCTGTGCTATCTGCAAAGCCTGTAGAGCAAAGGGCATTCACCTACAGCTTCTCTTACTAATTACAGTAGTAGTATTATTATTCATTCAATTTATATCCTGCCTTTCCTCTTGTAGGAGCTCACCGTGTTAAACAGATCTGCAGTTTAAAACTGAAAGAAAACAAAAGTGTTCTAAAACAGTTTAAACATTCTAAAGATGATTACTGTTAGAAACATCTAAAAGCAGTGCCAGTTGAAAACATTATTCCTCCCAGTGACCTCAGGGTTGCCAGGAACAGTTTACTTTCTTTTTTTCTTTTAATGCCTAGGTCTGTAGTTCCAGTAACATGTCTGCAAGGTCAAGGACCAACCAGAATGTCACAAAATTGTGGCAAGCTTTGAATGCTCCAGATCTCTTCATAAGGCGGGATGGGGTGTGGGGGAGAGAACCTAAAACAAGAAATGTGAGATTTAGGCTGGCTGTTGTAGCTTGTAGATTTAGATCCAAGATAGTCACTCCCTGAAGTTTAACTATCATGATGCATACCTAGGATTCGGGGATAAAAAAGTAATGGCTGATCCCCATCTCTGGTTTGTAAACCACATGCAAGGGTTCTCCCATAGCTTTTTAAAAAATGGTGTGTGCATCTTGCTTCCCCTTTTTCCTTTGCACTTTTAAAAATTGTTATTATTGAATAAAACAAAGCATGACTAATTACAAACAACTGGAACCCCACCCCGTCACTTTTCATAATATATACATTCAGGCTTGTTGTTTTTTTTGCTTTATAAAACTGGGGTGCCAGTACAGTGGTACCTCAGGTTAAGTACTTAATTCGTTCCGGAGGTCCGTTCTTAACCTGAAACTGTTCTTAACCTGAAGCACCACTTTAGCTAATGGGGCCTCCTGCTGCCACCGTGCCTCCGGAGCCCGATTTCTGTTCTTATCCTGAAGCAAAGTTCTTAACCTGAAGCACTATTTCTGGGTTAGCGGAGTGTGTAACCTGAAGCGTATGTAACCTGAAGCGTATGTAACTCGAGGTACCACTGTACTCATGTGATGTTGGTGCCAGCACAAAATGGCTGCCCTATGGAGCAAAACAAGAGTTTGTATACCTTTGTATACATTAGTCATAACAACAAGTAATAATCCAGCATGTTTTCTGAGTCTATGCACTACTAGGATTTGGAGGCACGGATAAATAAACTACCCTTCCCTTTTGCAAGTGAAAGGAAGTGCCTGAAATTACAAGCTGAAGCTCTTTTCAAGGGCTGCCTCTCATGCCCTGAGCACTCAGGGAAAGTTCAGAAAATCACAGCGTTTTTCTCGGCATGCACATCCCTTTTGCTTTTCCATAAGCTATAGTTTTCCATTTGGTCAGAAATGGGAAATGATGATTAACAGCTTTGAAAACAACCCAGGATATTAAGTCACAATTTATTCATTTGAAGTTGGTTTAATATCATGGCTTGCTCCAGAATTGCTAACCATTGTTTCCCAGTTCAGACAAAATGGGAAAGTATAGAGATGGTTTGCTTGCTGGCTCTCGAAGGCAGGAGCATGTGGGTAGTGTGTATTTCAAAATTAAGCCAAGATCTGATCAAACACTGTCTCACTCTGTAGGACATGCATGAAGATGAGAGGATTTCCCCTCTGTGATCCTTGAATTCCATCCCTGTGTTTTTGAATCCCACTCCCATGTTGCATTTTAATTATTTTGTCCACCTCCTGCTCTGAAATAAATGTGCATCTGTTTTAATGTGATGACTGAACGTTCCATGGAATAAAATGTCAGCTTTAAAAATGCACTCAAAAACATATGGAGACCTTCTATAAATAGTGTAATTATTTGCTAATGCTGTCCACAAAGTAAAATCTCAGTTTGCCTTAATAATTCACCATTCTTCTTTCAATATCAGCAGAGTTTGTCCTTTGCATTTGATTCTAAAGTGTACTTAAGTGTAATGTACATACTACCTGTTGCTCAGTCCAGCTTATCGTAATGTGCAACTGTTATTAGAATTGTGAAAACTGCTATTAGAAATGGGCAGGTGTTTCAACATAATGTAGGGCTGCCATATATCTTGATTTTCCAGGACGTGTTCTGGAAATGGTGTCCTGGATCATTTCTGAAATCGGGCCATTGTGGGGGGGTAAAATTGCGCCAAACATGTCCCAAACATGCCCCCAAAAGCTCAACAACTCTGTCCTGATTTTCACTTCTGGAGATATGGCAACCCTAAGTCTGGTTTTTACTTTTAGAAATCTGGCAGCCCTAACATAATGGGTGGTGTGTATGCCATGGTGTTCTAATTTTAGCATTATGTATCTGCAAAAATAGAGCTTGCATAATCCAAAGGTGAGTGCCCAATCTTTACATAACAACATATTACTTTCAAAGGTTGTGTGGTCTAAATGCTTCATGACACTTTGTATCACTAATGTGATATTTGACTTCACAGTCACCTCTACTCCTCTTTCAAGCGACTAAGGACTGCAAACGTTTGGAAGGATGTACATGCTGTGCAGCTATACAGACATTCCAATTTTCGTTTCTTAAAAACTGAAGATTTCAGCAGTGCCATTGTTTCCCCAGAATGACAGGTCTTTTAATAAATATAATAAAATAGCATGAATGTCACAGGAATTAGGGTGGGTGTGATCTTTCTTCTACCTGGAACAAGATCCAGATCCATAATTTAACAGCAAGAAGACTTTTACCTTCTTCAAATCAGCATAGTTCACAGGAAAGGATTGTGCTGTTAATGGTGCAGTATCTCTGATGATAATAAAGCCATGCCATTAGTAAGAGTTTGTAGGTGCAGTTCCTCAATCGTATTTATGTTGTTATGGTTAGTTATGTTAATGGTTATTATTATTATTATGGATTTACTTGTAATTAAGTCTGTTAAGGATTGCAGCTTTTGTACTTGAAGATCTACCAACCAACGTGGGCTCATCTCTGGTGTTGATGCTGGAAAATGCATTGTCCTTGGCAGAAGCTTTGACTTAATGCCCATTGATATCCAGCTGCATAGAAAAGCCAGGTTGCAAATGCTTTTCAACGGCTGAGCTTTGGGTTCCTGCCCGTTGCCAGAACAGTTTCTGAAGCATTTTAAGACAAAGTGCTAGTGTTTATATTAATGTTATTTTTAAAATGGCTTTTGTTTGCATGGTTCTTGCATATTTTAGCAAGCCTAGCTCTTTCCCTCTTTGTTCTTTACACCATGCTTTTGCAATCTGTTCTTCACCTTCTGTGCCTGCTAACATTGTTTCCCATCAACATACTTGCAAGTCCTAGAGGCCGAGAAGAAAGCACAGCACTTTGCTGGATTTTCGTACCTAAAACTCTGATAGATGCTTAGTTGTTTGTATTTTCTGTGTCTGTGGGAAGCCAATTAATGTCCAAAGTGATAAATCTAATCCCTCTCTTTGCCTTCTTGCGTTGGCTTGGTTAGCCCACAACTCTAAGCCATGGTTTGTCTAGCCCAAGTGTGGTTTGTTTGATCCTCCAAAACCTGCCCAACAGACTCACCATGGCGTATTTTCTGTCTACAAACCATGATATGAAGCTGTGCCTTGTTTTTGGATTATGAACCTTAGCTTGATTGGATGATGGTTTGGTGTTTTATCTGCACTCAACAGCCTTGTTTAACTAAATGCTTGCCAAGTTACAAAAGCACAATGCAAGGGCAGCTGGAAAACAAAACAAGCCTTGGTGGAACAAGCCATAGCTTGTTTGCTTCTCTGTGAGACAACTCATGATTTGCTGAGCAGACCATGGTTAAAAGAAACCATGGTCTAGTGTTATGTGTGAACACAACCAAAGTCCTCTCGTTTATTACCCTAAAACAGAAGTCTTGTAACCTTATCTGTGTTGAATATCTTTTGCTTTGCAGTGAAACCTACTTCCAACTGTGCAGGATTTTGGCAAGAGGACTGATGATTATACAAAGAGTTGTGTTGAGCTCACGCCCTGGTATGTTTCTACTTGTCGGAGAACGATAATGAGTTTGGTGTGCTTGCATAATGTGGAAGCCAGGCAGGAAAAATGCAACTACCAGCCAGATTTCTGCAGAAAGCTTTTGACAGTCCTGCTAAAAAGCCTGTGGTGAAACCTTTTAACGGCTTATGTAAAATCTTCAGAGAGGCATTCACAGCAGGCATTCTTTTTATACCAGAAGTGTTTTTTAAAATTATCTTTGCTGTTGTAAGAATGCAACAGTGTAAGCAATAGGCTTACTAAGAATAGTATCATCTTACAAAGTGTGGTGTGAACTTAAGCCCATATGTTGTAAGTAGCAAGAGCTGCACATGCATTAGTGATTCATACCAATAACAATAGGGAACAATTTAGTACCACTAACTAGGTATGGGAAAGAAATCCAGTTCAGTCCACCTTTAAAGGCAAACCTGCATAATTCATGCTTTCTGAAAGGATATGTCAATTCAAACCACAGTCATCCTCTGAAATCTGCAGGTCTCCAAATTTTACAATTCACATGCAGAAAAACACGTACAAAAGTGCACATACTAGGGTAAAGCATGCATAAAAATGCACATATCCATCAAAATAACATGCAAAATGCATGGTAGGAAAGCTTGATTTGTAAACATATGTATAATAGGCTAAACCTGCATATAAAAATGTGTAAATTAGTATAAATTATCACTAAAATGCTAATGAATTTTCATGAGGACTTTCAAAACAAAAATCATAAGCTGATTTCAAAATGTGAAGAACTGAATATTGGAAAATGGGGAGGAAGAGAATGATTGTACACCACCTTGAGATCCTTGGAAGATAAAATGTGTTTATAAATCTAATAAATAAATAAATGAAATGAAATGAAAATGAAAAATTAAAAGTTAAGATTTGAAAAATGACAGAGAATCTGAAATTGGCAAATTGGCCAATCCCTACAAAGAAGTAATTGATGAATGGTTAAGATGGCGGCATATATCCTTCTAGCCAGTTGTTCATTTCTCTTTCCTCTCAAGTTTATTAAGCATCCTTGCTCTTAAGTTTTCATTATCTTTTCCCAACTTTTTCCATTTATGTCGCTGGCATATTGGAAAGATACCTTTAAGTAGTTCCCAAGCTCCTGAAATCCTGTATCTAATTCAGATAAGTCCCAGAGTTTTTTCCGGAGCTTGCTTTTATTTATTTATTTATTTATTTATTTATTTTAAAAAATTCTATAACACTGTTCATTTAAAGAAAAGAAAAAATCAGAGGGCTTTACAACAATTACACATAAAACCAAATATGATTAAAAACCATGCACGGAAATCGGGAATCGACTAACTATTGAGGAAATAGGCATTCTTAATTGCCTGCACAATTCTGACGGAATAGAAAAGTTTGCAGCAGGCGATTTGAAAGCTGAAACAGACGGTACCTGCTGAAACTCATGTAAGCATAGTTAGAATATCATTGAACTAAATATGCTTTGTCAGGCCTGGAGTCAGCAGACAGCAATGGCAGGCGGGTGCTGGGGGCCCTGGAGGGCCGACTACAGCTGATGCTGGCTCAGACGGATCTTCATTGTCCTTTGTTTTTTTTTAAGTAGGCCTCAATGCTTAGAGGAAAACACAGGCGGCTACAGTTACCATGTTTCTTCTCCCAGTGCCTCAAGGCCCAGAGAAATTTGGGGGGGGGAATGAAGATAGTGGTGATTGCAGCTATCTGGGCTGGTGCAGTGCTTCTGCTCGGTGGATTGTGGGTAATGCTAAGAGGAGTACTTGGCAACTGTGGAGCACTTTTGGGGCACCTCCTGCTCCTCTAATCCAGGGCTCCCCAAACTAAGGCCCGCAGGTTGGATAAGGCCTGAGGGACTCGTTTATCCGGCCCACGGCGACTGCCGCCGCCACCCGCTCTTACTGGCGCTGCGCTGCGCGGCTGCCCACTTCCGGGTTGGAGGAGCACCGGAAATAGTTTGTGCGCATGCGCAAGCATCATTTGCGCATGCGCAAGTGTTATTTCCGGTGCACATCTGGGTCGGAGGAGGCCTGTGCACATGCACACAAGCTATTTCTGGTGCTCCTCCAACCCGGACGTGCGCTGGAAATAGCGTGTGCGCATGTGTATGGCCATGTGCTCCCCTGCCCTCTGACCTGCCACGTGATCAGTGCTGGAGGCACTGGCCCGAGGCGTGGTAAGTTTGCTGACCCCTGCGCTTCTTACTGCCTACCCAGTCAGCTCTCTGGTGCTGCCAGGAGGGGGGGGTACTTGGGGAGGACCTCAAAGGGCTCAGGGCCTCCTCAGATCTGTTCCCGGCATATGTATCACACTCAATTCACAAGTTTTAGAAATAATAGAGGACTGCCTGGAGGAAGCAAGCAGGGCAGGCAGGAATAGCGGCGAGATGGAGAAATATACTAGGAGGAAGGGAAGTCGCAGAGTTGAAACATAAGGAGACAGGGAGGAACTGATAGGGAGATGCCTGGGGTAGGAGTTCACAGGATGAGGCAATAAAGTTTACTGGAGTTCAGTTGTTGGTTTGTTTTGAGTCATCTGAGCCCAGATGTAGATTTAAAACCCTGATTTAGCTGCTCTAGCCGCCCTCTGCAGCTGTTCTGACAACTGCCTAAACCAATATGTGACGGACGGGGAACAAGCTTGCTGGGCTTTTCCCTCATTCCCATCCCGCCCCATGCATGGAAAGGTGCCTGCTTGCTGTCTGAAGTTAGAATATAACCCTGCTTTCCCCTGGCGCTTGCCCAGTTGCTGGAACGCTTGAGGAGGGTGAGCATCTGGCCAAGAGAGAAATTTTGCCATTCAACTTGTAACCTAACCCATTCTAGGTGTCAATGGAGAGCCAGTTGCAGGAAACTTTCGTACCGAGGAAGCTACCCTACCGGATAAAATTGCCGAGGGTCAAGTCAAAGTTCGTACGCTTTATCTGTCTGTTGACCCTTATATGGTAAGTATGTGTGGCAGGTGGTTATGTGATAAGCATGCAATAAAATTTGGAGCTCACAGAAGCTCAGTTTGCCAGCTGTAGCATTTAATGTCATCAAAATTATTCATATTGGCTTATGTACAGTTTTGATTTGGGGGTCTTTTGGCCAGCATAGATAGCTATGAACTGAGGTCCTGAGCATGCATGTGCAAGATATGTATACACATACTTGTCTTTTTTTCCTTGGTGTGGCCCATATAAATTGCCTGAGTGTTTAAAACAGTTAGGTGATCACAGTAGTCAGGATTGAAAGTAACATAACTTAGGGTTCCCATATTTCTAAAAGTGAAAATCTGGACACAAAAGCTTGGCAAGGTTCTGAGATTATTATTTTTTTTGTAAAATCTAAATAATAATAATAAATGTTTTTGAGCTATTCTTAAGGAAATTCACCAAAATCTACACTTCTGACGTGGATTGCCATATGTCCGGACGCCATATAACCAGACCCTAACATAACTGCTATGTGTGTGTGTGTGTGTGAGAGAGAGAGAGAGAGAGAGAAGACTATCAGGATCTTGCTTTGCTTCTGTCATGAGAATGTGGACATCCCATAGTGTTACATCTATGAGCCAACCATGCGATCTCCCAAGTGTTGTTCATAGCTAGATAGCTTTTCTTTGAAGCCTGCTTGAGTGCTTCCAGTTCTCTTAAGATTCCTTCACTGCTCTACATCACAAATATAGAATTACAAGTTTACCTCAGAACAGGGCCCAGAACAAGGGTGAGTGGGGAGGAATGGATTCAGAGAAGTAGCTGTGTTTAGGCTATTGCGGGGTTGGGGAACATGCTCCCCTTCAGATGTTGTTGGACTCCAGCCCCTGTCAACCCAGGACTGTTGTCCAGGTTGGCTGGGGCTGATGGGAGCTGGAAGTCCAAGCAACATCTTAAGAGCCACAGGTTCTATACCCTTGGCTTATTGCAACAAAAAGCGGGGGAAGTATTGTGGCATAAGGGCTTCTGAACCTGTTGTTTTCAATGGGGGTAAAGCTCCTATTAGGTGCCAGTGTAGCCTCTCTGCTCCTCGCCTTAAATCAGGATGTGTTGGTTGCAAAGTTCCTGCCCCTCAATTGTCCTCACCCTGTGCTGTCTATTTATTTTCATTTTAAAATGGTCTATACAAGAACTAAAGATGTGACCAATATTGTGTCTAGTTTGGCCCTTAGTAACCTTATTCCATAATATTCTGAGTAAGGGAACAGGGAATATTTCACAAGCTCACTGGTTCTAATTTGTTTACCAACAAAACCTGGTAAAGGAAGTGCATTAATAAATGGTAAGGATTGTCTGCTCTGGAACTACCGACATTCCAGTCTAGGAGGATAGGAATCTGCCTTATACGGAACCAGGCCATTGTTCTGTCTGGCTCAGCACTGTGTGCACTGGCCGGCAGGAGCTCTCCAAGGCTTCAGACTGGGGATGTTCCCAGTCCTACCTGGAGATTCTTGAGACTTTCTCCATGCTAACTTGACAGATGCTGTACCATAGAACTATGGACCTTCCCTTATTCTGTTACAAGTGAGAGTCTGAGCACAAGGTTGCTAGATAGACAGATGTTGTAGATAGATACTCAGGGTACAATAGTGCCAATTATTTTCCTTTGTTGTTGTTGTTTAGTCGTTTAGTTGTTTAGTCGTGTCCGACTCTTCGTGACCCCATGGACCAGAGTACGCCAGGCACTCTTGTCTTCCACTGCCTCCCGCAGTTTGGTCAGGCTCATGTTGGTAGCTTCGAGAACACTGTCCAACCATCTCGTCCTCTGTTGTCCCCTTCTCCTTGTGCCCTCCATCTTTCCCAACATCAGGGTCTTTTCCAGGGAGCCTTCTCTTCTCATGAAGTGGCCAAAGTATTGGAGCCTCAACTTCACGATCTGTCCTTCCAGTGAGCACTCAGGGCTGATTTCCTTCAGAATGGATAGGTTTGATCTTCTTGCAGTTCATGGGACTCTCAAGAATCTCCTCCAGCACCATAATTCAAAAGCATCAATTCTTCGGCGATCAGCCTTCTTGATGGTCCAGCTCTTACGTCCATACATCACTACTGGGAAAACCATGGCTTTAACTATACGGACCTTTGTTGGCAAGGTGATGTCTCTGCTTTTTAAGATGCTGTCTAGGTTTGCCATCGCCTTTCTCCCAAGGAGCAGGCGTCTTTTAATTTCGTGACTGCTGTCACCATCTGCAGTGATCATGGAGCCCAAGAAAGTAAAATCTCTCACTGCCTCCATTTCTTCCCCTTCTATTTGCCAGGAGGTGATGGGACCAGTGGCCATGATCTTCGTTTTTTTGAAGTTGAGCTTCAGACCATATTTTGCACTCTCCTCTTTCACCCTCATTAAAAGGTTCTTTAATTCCTCCTCACTTTCTGCCATCAAGGTTGTGTTATCTGCATATCTGAGGTTGTTGATATTTCTTCCGGCGATCTTAATTCCGGCTTGGGATTCATCCAGCCCAGCCTTTCGCATGATGAATTCTGCATATAAGTTAAATAAGCAGGGAGACAATATACAGCCTTGCTGTACTCCTTTCCCAAATTTGAACCAGTCAGTTGTTCCATATCCAGTTCTAACTGTAGCTTCTCGTCCCACATAGAGATTTCTCAGGAGACAGATGAGGTGATCAGGCACTCCCATTTCTTTAAGAACTTGCCATAGTTATCACATAGTGTAGTACCTTAACAGCATCATCGTTTAAAATTTTAAATAGTTCAGCTGGAATATCATCACTTCCACTGGCCTTGTTATTAGCAGTGCTTTCTAAGGCCCATTTGACTTCACTCTCCAGGATGTCTGGCTCAAGGTCAGCAACCACACTACCTGGGGTGTACGAGACATCCATTTCTTTCTGGTATAATTCCTCTGTGTATTCTTGCCACCTCTTCTTGATGTCTTCTGCTTCTGTTAGGTCCTTTCCACTTTTGTCTTTTATTATGGTAATCTTTGTACGAAATGTTCCTTTCATATCTCCAATTTTCTTGAACAGATCTCTGGTTTTTCCCATTCTGTTGTTTTCCTCTATTTCTTTGCATTCTCGTTTAAGAAGGCCTTCTTGTCTCTCCTTGCTATTTTTTGGAAATCTGCATTCAATTTCCTGTATCTTTCTCTATCTCCCTCGCATTTTGCTTTCCTTCTCTCCCCCGCTATTTGTAAGGCCTCGTTGGACAGCCACGTTGCTTTCTTGCATTTCCTTTTCATTGGGATGGTTTTAGTTGCTGCCTCCTGTATAATGTTACGAGCCTCCATCCATAGTTCTTCAGGCACTCTGTCCACCAAATCTAAATCCTTAAACCTGTTCCTCACTTCCACTGTGTATTCATAAGGGATTTGACTTAGATTGTATATTACCGGCCCAGTGGTTTTTCCTACTTTCTTCAGTTTAAGCTTGAATTTTGCTATAAGAAGCTGATGATCTGAGCCACAGTCAGCTCCAGGTCTTGTTTTTGCTGACTGTATAGAGCTTCTCCATCTTTGGCTGCAGAGAATATAATCAATCTGATTTCGATGCTGCCCATCTGGTGATGTCCACGTGTAGAGTCGTCTCTTGTGTTGTTGGAAAAGCGTTATTATTTTCCTACTCAGTGAATAAAACGATTGGTTTTTTCCCTCTTGGTTTTAGCTGTTCTTACTTTTTCTGGAAGTCCCTGTGAGGGAACAAGGCAGGAAATAAATAAATAGATGATAATCAGTGTTAAAAATTGAGATATGAAAGCTAGGAGCTAAATCACACTTTAAACCTAGGTTATGGGTGCAACAAGGGAATGTCTAGGCTCGCTTTTTTATAACCAGAATACAAAGCTGAAAGTGAATGAACTGCAGCTAAAATCTTATGTTCATTTTTCACATGGTCTGATCCTTATCTGAAGACTGCAAAGACAAAGCCATGCTTCCCCTGCCCACTCACCCTAATATTCTTAAGAGGGTCTTTTCTCCAGTCTTCAGAGAGTGGCTGGAAGTGGGGAGGCAAAAAAGGTCCTCCTTTCCTGCCAGTATACAGTTTTAATCTGAAATTTTAGGCACAGTATTGCACCCAGAGCTCAGAAACTGCTCGCGCTAATGAAATTCCCTGTCACAAAACGCGCCTAGAACAATGGGAGTTTTGAACGCTGATGAAAATAATAATAGCATAGCCCTTTAGTCAAGCAGAACTGAATAGGATTTCCTTCAGTGTTACTGTGCATTGCCATGCTGTTAATACAGGAAAAATTAAAAGACCCTGTTGTGAAGAGGAATGGATGAAGATAGAAGCAAAAGACAGGGTTTTAGTTGTTGGTAATGTTAAGAGATGTTCAGAATAACTATACATGGTTGTATTTTAAAGGATTATCTCATGGCAAACATTTTGTCTTTCAGCGATGCCGTATGAATGAAAACTCTGGATCTGAGTACCTCCTTTCCTGGAAATTGTCTGAAGTCACTGATGGTGGGGGAATTGGTTCTGTGGAGGAAAGCAAAGATGCCCGTTTTGCTGCAGGAGACTTTGTAACTTCCTTCTACTGGCCCTGGCAGACGAAGGCCATCCTAGATGGGAAGCAGCTTGAGAAGGTAGAGTTCTTGCATAGAGGAAAGGCAGCTGATTGTTCCATTTAATTCAGGGGGTTGGGGTGCTATAACTATGCCTTTTAAACAACTTGTCTCTGTTCAGATTGATCCGCAGCTTGTAGACGGTCATCTTTCCCATTTTCTGGGTGCAGCTGGCTTGACTGGGCTGACATCTTTGCTAGGAATAAGGGAGAAAGGACATGTGTCTCCAGGTGCCAATCAAACTATGGTGGTCAGTGGGGCTGCTGGTGCCTGTGGTTCATTGGCTGGGCAGGTAAGCTGGTTTAAGAGTAGTATTTGCATCTTAAGAGGAGATTTTTGCTTTTTTGCATATTTTGAGGTAACGTGTATTAGCTGCAGATGTAATTGTGTTCATGTTATCCCAGTGATGTGGGAGCCACCAGATGAGAAACCATGGACCATGTAGTGAGGATGCTGAGGCTCCTTCCCATGCCAATGTCCACCCTTGAGAAATGGAGTTGGTACTGATGTGTGGAAGAGCTACAGCAGGGCTCCTCCTTGTGGTTCCAGACTTCTCACGTTACCCCAGTGGTAAAGGATGGAATAGTGCTGTAGTGACTCCAACGTCACAGGAATAGCAGCAGCAACAACAACAAAAAACAAGCATAAGATTTGGACCAACCAACATATCCAAATCTCCTTCATCTCCTCAACACCCCAATGAAAACCACTTCTAATCACTCACCAGAAGCTGGCTGAGCTTTCACCTTGGTGGGGATAGCAGGTGAAATTGAGGGCCTTTGATTAAATCAGTTTTGCATAGAGGGGGCCAAGGCTGAGAAACAGTGGCCCAGGAGAGATGGCCAGGGATGTGTGGAAGGCCACAGACTCATGATATAGTTGGCATTTCATAGACCTGCTGGCTGTGTGAACCAGCACCTCCAAGTGGACACATTTGGTGGTGTGATTTTTGTGATTGTAGCAGCTTTTTTTCAAGCAAATCACTGTGGCTGTGAGTCTGCTGCACGAGACAGAGTCCTGTCCACATTTCATAATTAGTTAGCTGTTAATCCACTCCCCCGCTCCACATTTGAATTAGATTGAAGTAGTCTACAGCAACTTTGGTCTTTTCTATTCATAGCACATGGCCCTTTCTATTGTTCATTTCCCCTCTTCTGATTTGTTGATTCTATTATGCTGATTAAGTACCAAGAGGGCATGTCCACAGAGGGCATGCACACCTTGTTGTTGTTGATGTTGTTCTTGTTGTTGTTGTTTTTAAAAAACCTTTCCTCGCCCAAGAAGTGCATAAAAGCACAAAGTCAGGCAATTGTCCATTTGCTTGTGCAGTTTTTCTGATTTTGTGGATACCTGAGGGATCAACAGGTGGAGGAAATCCTCTGTGCATAGGAAATAGTTGCAAGCAGTGCCAGAAGAGATATGAAACCATTGAGGAAGTAGTGGACATGGTAAAAGGAGTAGCAGAAAGTGACAGTCGATCCACTCATTGATCCCAAAGCACCAAAACAAATTATCTGCAATCCCAAGTGGAGTGAATTGGAACCAATTTTGTGGACAATCTCATATGCACTGACTTCAGACCCTCACTCTTGTGTTTCCACTGTATCCTGGTTATTTTCTTACAATTTTTTTTTTTTTTTAAGAATCGTCATGATGCATGACAAATTGTTGCATAGTGCTAGAAGTTGATGAACTGCAGTGATTGTGGTTATGATGCTTCCTAAGATAGGTTCCCTGGAGGGCTGTTCCAGAGTGGTTGGTATCTGTGGCACCGACGAAAAATGCTCTATCCTGGTGTCAGAAATGGGGTTTGATGCGGCTATCAACTATAAGAAAGAGGATGTGGCACAACGGCTGCACGAGCTCTGCCCGGCGGGAGTGGATGTGTACTTTGACAATGTTGGTGGAGACATCAGTGATACAGTGATCAGTCAAGTGAGTGTGCATGTTACCCGTTTTGTGCCGTCCCATAAATTACTCTGGATTTCATGCAAACTGGTAGAATTTTACTGTAAATCTGTCTGACTGATGAAAGACAAGATTATCACAATAACCTTGCCCAGCTATGTTGCTAGGACCTTTGTGAGGCTTCTTATGAACCCTCTTTAGGCATTTAAAGAGGTTAAAAGTGCATAGACAGGGGCAGTTAGTGCATATACAAGTCTCTGCCCATGATGTCCCTCCCCCCCCCACACATGTGCTCATCTCTGACTTTTGCATGCTGACTTAAATGGCTTAAAAGAGGTTTTTGCATCTGTTTAGCTGAATGCAGGTGGGAGCGAGCAGCTGAGTACACTTGCCCCAGGCGTTGGAGGGTTAAGTTGGTTGGGGGGCCCCACTGGGGATGGCTGCTTTTTTGTTTGTGTTTATAACTTTATTCTAAGGGATGCCGGTGGCGCTGTAGGTTAAACCACAGAGTCTAGGACTTGCCGATCAGAAGGTCAGCGGTTCGAATCCCCGCGACGGGGTGCGCTCCCGTTGCTCAGTCCCTGCTCCTGCCAACCTAGCAATTCAAAAGCACGTCAAAGTGCAAGTAGATAAATAGGTACTGCTCCAGCGGGAAGGTAAACGGCGTTTCCGTGCACTGCTCTGGTTCGCCAGAAGCAGCTTAGTCATGCTGGCCACATGACTTGGAAGCTGTACGCTGGCTCCCTCGGCCAATAAAGTGAGACGAGCACCGCAACCCCAGAGTTGGCCACGACTGAACCTAATGGTCAGGGGTCCCTTTACCTTTACCTTATAACTTTATTCTAACAAGACTCCCCCCCTGGGCCTCAGACAAGCTCCGCACAGGCCTGACTGAATGTGCCTAGAAGTCTCCAAGTGACTGGGAGCCCTGCTCCATCTGGATTCCCAGTCACACAACAGCTTCTAAGGATCTTTGGTTGAGTGCAACTAGAAGTCCCTTTAGATCTTCACACTCAGCATGCAAAGGCCTGAGAGGAGCTCCCACCTGTGGGGACATTGAGGGTGGAACTTCTGTGTGCCTCCCTTTCCCTCTACAAACTTTTAAGCCTCGTCCGTTCAGGCAAATGTCCAAAGACAGCTACAGGGCCACAACTTGTAAAGAGTTTTTTAAAGAACAGTTGCGCTGGGAGTTTAGTGGTTCTGGGGCAGGGGCAGGGAAGGAGATCTTTCCAGTTATTGCGCTGGCTTGTACTTTGGTCTCTGGAGATTACACAGTTCGCCTCACCCCACTGTGCAGTTTCCACTAGACATTTTTTTTAAATGGACTCTGCAATCCTATTCACGCTTACTTGTGAGTTCCATTCAGGGCAGTGTGACTTAGGTGTAAGTAAAAGGATTGCACTGTAAAAGTGGCCAAGAGCCTTTCTGAATCTTTTGTTTTAAATTTACTTTTTGTTTAATTAATTGGAGGCTGTGTGCTGCCCTTCTGTTCAGCTGTGCACACCTGAAACAATTCAGAAAGAAGCAGCCAGAGATCTAGAGCACGTTCCATCTTTAAGAGTTAAACTAGTTCCCTGCTCCAGAGTCAATTCAAAATGCCAGTACTGACATCCACAGTGCTATCCTTTGTATGTCTACTCAGAAGTGATCCCCATTAAGTTCGATGTGATTGACTCCCAGGTAGGTGCATATAGGATTGCAGACTTGAAGCTGTACAAAAGTATAGCTATCAGAAGGAGCAATTCCTCTCATATGTACCTTTTTAAATGCTCAACCAAGCTCTAAACCCCAGATGCCACTGCCATCCAAGGTAAGACATGGAGCAAAGAAGAGTGTTGTAAGAACTCTTTACCTTCGAGCCTGACTTGACCACCCTTGCTGTGGACTTCTAGACAGGATGTTATCATTTGAGACAACCTTCTCAGCTGCCAAATGTGGTCTGTGGGAGGTGAGAGAGATGATAATCTGGCCTGGCATCCTGATCCAGTTCCCTGCTCCTGGTGTAAAGTGTTCTTGTGGCACATTTCAGCTGGATGGGAGAAAGCTTTCTCCATTTCACTGCTATTGTTCATGTTGCTTGACAAGTTAAATTTGTTCCCCTGTAATGCACCATTGCCTGAGATGGAGGGTATGTTGACATATATTTACTCTTGTTTTTCATATAAAAGAGTACATGAAAAGACTATATTTCTGGTTGTTGCAGCAGCATGTAGGCCAGATGAACTGAATGTTCTTCAGCTCTGATTCATACTGCATAGTAAACACACACTGTTTCTTTGGGCTGTTCTCATAATTGGTATGGGTAAACCAGTTAACAACATTTAAACATTTTAACAGTTGCCATTTAGCAAGTTTTTTCAGACTGCATACTGGGGTCTCTCAGAAGCCAATTGGGGTTCCCCTATGAGAATATTGGTAGTGGCAAACACATTTCTCCACCAGACAGTTCTGGTTTGCTGGTGGGGGGAGTGCGGGTTGCCCCACCTTTGTTGTGCAAAGTTGCCCCTCCAGATAGCAACAATTCAGTAACACTCGGGAAGCATTGCAGAACAACTGTTTAAGTAGACTGGTGTGTGGACAGACCAGTATAAACTACCATCAATGCACTGCTATTGTGTCAACATGTTGCAACATACACCCACAAAAAGGCCCGCCAGTCTGAAGGGCCTCCCAGTCTTTATTGAGCATTATTTCTTATTTGTTAATGGGACAGTTATATGACAATGAGCATTCATCCTCGTTTGTATGCATAATGTTTACAGTCATGTCTTCCCATTAATTTGTTCATCTTTTACTTTTCACTGCATTTCCCTGTCACTTTCCTAATTGCAAACAGTTGCTGTTTTAAAGTGGATTTGTTGTGCCACTGCAATTTAGGGTTCACCTACAGTGGTGCCTCAGGTTAAGAACTTAATTCGTTCTGGAGGTTCGTTCTTAACCTGAAACTGTTCTTAACCTGAAGCACCACTTTAGCTAATGGGGCCTCCCGCTGCCGCCTCGCCGCCACATCGCGATTTCTGTTCTCATCCTGAAGCAAAGTTCTTAACCCGAGGTACTATTTCTGGGTTAGCGGAGTCTGTAACCTAAAGCGTCTGTAACCTGAAGCGTATGTAACCCGAGGTACCACTGTTTATTGTTGTTTAATATAAATAGTAGGCCCCTGCACCTCCATTAATTCTCCTTCGCCCATATGATGTTCTCTTCTAAATCACGACCTTCCCATACATTCCGCTCCTTCAATGTGGATCTTCTCATACCCTCTCCTTTTCAGCATATATCTAGTAGGAGAAAATCCAGATTGAGGAAGGAGAAAGTGTAGGAAGGTGATGATTTGGAGGAAAACATCATATGGAAAAGGGAGAATTAATGGAGGTCCAGGAATCTTACTATCCACATTAAACACAGTATGGATTACCCAATTTTAATCAACTTTAATTGTGCAAATTTGGACTTCTGATATGTGTTTGAACTCCTCCCATGAAATAGTGACAGTCTGTAGAGCTCCATGATACTTCCACTTCCTTGTCCTTTTATCACAGTAGCTGAGACTTTACCCTTTTCTGTTTCCACCAACCGCTGCTCGCAGAATCTGGGGCAGATCTTATTCCTTGAAGGAAATCAAGCACTCGGCAATGCAGCCCTAGATCCCTTCTCGAGGAAAAGAGCAATGGAAACAGAATGTACTTTATGTATGTTTACAGCTTAGTCTTTATGGCAAGGCAGTAAAGTACTCTCTCTCATTTTGTCTCCAACAGATGAATCCAAATAGCCATATCATTTTATGTGGCCAGATCTCCCAGTACAACAAGGATGTACCTTACCCTCCTCCTCTGCCTCCTGCAATAGAAGAAATAAGGAAAGTGCGAAATATCACAAGGTATTTCTCCTTTGTTGGCCTAGCCACCTCCTGGGCTGAACACATTATTATTAATTATCATTATTATTTATTAAATTTCTATACCTCCCTGTATCTGAGGATCGCAAGGAAGTTTACAATATCAAAACACAAAAATACACAACCCAGTAACAAAGAGCAACAACCCCGCAGTTTAAAAGGCCATGTTAATAATTTTTTGTCCTAAGGGCAGACTTACTAGATCTTTGCATTGCAGCACTTTTATGGAAAGTTGTCCCCTAAATGTTTATTTGAAAATAGAGATCAATCAGATATTTACTGAAACCAATATCCATGTTGCTTACCATCAGTGAGGAAGCCACTTGACAGAAAACAAGCTGGGAAGAAAAGCTTCCATTCACTCTTGAGGGAAATGCACCTAGTGCTTGAAGCACATGGACAAATGTGCAGCTACCATATTTTTCGCCCCATAGGGCGCACCGGCCCATAGGGCGCACCTAGTTTTTTTGGGGGGGAATAAGGGAAAAAAAATTTTCCTCGGGGCTGGGGTGGGGGAAGCTCGAGCTTCCCCCGACCCCAGCCCCCAGAACAGGCAGCTCTCCGCAAGCTGTGGGAGCCCGGCGCGACTTCGCGCCGGGCTCCCGAGGGCCGCGGAGAGCTGCCCGAAGCCTGGGGAGCACTGAACAGCGCACCCCAGGCTTTGGAATGCAGGCAGCTCTTTGCAACCCTCGGGAGCCTGGTGCGACGTTGCGCCGGGCTCCCACAGCTTGCGGAGAGCTGCCCGAAGCCTGGGGCGTGCTCCGCTGCGCTCCCCAGGTTTCGGGCTGCAGTCTGCTGTCTGCAAGCCTTGGGAGCCCAGCGGGAACTCCTGCGGGCTCCCAAGGCTTGCGGATAGCTTCCTGAAGCCTGGAACGGGAGAGGAGTCGGTGCGCACAGACCCCTCTCGCTCTCCAGGCTTCAGCGAAAGCCTGCATTTGCCCCATAGGACGCACACACATTTCCCCTTCATTTTTGGAGGGGAAGAAGTGCGTCCTATGGGGCAAAAAATACGGTAATAAACTGCTCGTTGGATAAATGTATGTGAAATAGGGGAATGTTTTCTTTTGCAATATCGCTTAATATTGTCAGATGTTTGGTACGCTGAGGATGCACACTTACTTGGGAATAATCCCCACTGAACTCAGTGATACTTTCTTTGGAACAGGCTTGCCTAGGGTTTCCCTGTCACTTTCCTAATTGCAAACAGTTGCTGTTTTAAAGTGGATTTGTTGTGCCATGGCAATTTAGGGTTCATCTATACTGTTGTTTCTGCAAAAGATGGATATGTTGGGCTAGAAAATCTAATTACTGCTTTAAATCGGTAACTGCTGTGGTAATCCCCTCTTGCACGCAGAATTAAATCTAAAACGAGCCTTCTGGAATGTTTTCAGCTAACATCACTACCTACTGAATGAAACACCCACTCTCCTGTTTCATAGGGAAAGATTTCTAGTTCTGAACTATGTGGAGAAATTTGCAGCTAGTACTATGCAGCTCTGCCAATGGATCAAAGAGGGAAAACTGAAGGTATGACACAAATCGGAAGGTAATTGCATATGGGTTGCAGCTCTGGCTTTTATGATGAAAACCAGCTTTTCTCATTTGTCCTGGCCATTGTATAGTGCCTCGAATATCCTATTTCATCCAATGAGCATAGAAGCTTTTTTAGAAGAACAAAAAATTAATATTCTAGACTGCTTTCAGCTTCCAAAATGAGAGCTCAAAAGGAACAATATGGAGTGGCTTGCAAAGCATTGGGGTGCAAAGCTTGGGAACCCTGCACATGGGGTTTCGAAAGGTTGGTGGGGCAACCCACCTGTCAATCGTGTAACTAGCAAGCAGATTGGCTGGCTGGGTTGGGGATGGCTGAAGATCTGACCCCCAGAGTAAAAAACGGTTCCTCATCTTTGACTCTAGTGAATTAAATGAGGTAAAACTAACTTCTTTTGATTTATTTATTTTTATTCCCCAGTGAGCTGAAAACTGTTTGCTTTTAGGAAACAAAAGCAGAGTAGAAAACAAACACCTTATACTTTCTTATTTTATACTTTTACAGGCTAAAGAGACTGTAGTAAAAGGCTTAGAAAACATTGGAGGTAAGGTATTATTTGCTCTTCACAGTTACCTGTCCTTAAGTACAGGGCAGGGATGAACTATAGTCTAGTGGGAGAGCAGGTAGACAGCCCCAGGCTTTCCAGCTCCAGTTGAAAAGATCTGGTAACAGGTGTTGTAAAGCATGTTCTTCAACCTTTCCCCACCCCCAACCCTACAGAGGATGTTGGACTACATATCCCATCATTCCTGGCCATTAGGTAAACTGGCAAGTGAGGATTGGAGTTGGCTGCATGAGGGCCCCTGTCAGCAGTGCTGTTTTTCTAGAAATTAAAGTACTAGAACTCACCATGAACATCTCCCTCACTCTCTTAGAATGTGGTGGAAGTGAGTTCCCGTGAGTTCCCCCTTTAAAAAAACCAGCCCTGAGTGTAGGCATTATAAATATGGCTTCCTATGAACACTAAAGCTATGGGATGCTAACTTTATCCCTTACACAGTTTAGGAGTTTGATTTAAACTGAATTTACTTCAGTTTAAAAGCATTTGACTATAAATCTATACGGGAATAAAATCTAATAATTCTGTTAAATAGTTGGGCATTAAAAAAATCTCAGGTAGCCATTGTTCCTTTTTAACAATGCATTAATGCTTAACCTTACAAAAATTGTCAGAAGAAAAATAATTTTACAGGCACGAAACTGATCTTTGCATTATGATTGTTTTGGTAGCAAAGAACCAAGTACATTTAAGTCCAGTAAGAAATGATTCTTTTAAAAAAAGGAACAATGCTCTTTTACTAATTATTTTCGTTTTATTGTAGCTGCTTTCCAGTCTATGATGAGCGGGGGCAACATCGGGAAACAAATAGTCCTTGTTTCTGAATAAATAAGTCATCGTACTGTTTCCTGAGTGTCAACTATGAAGAAAAAGCATCTTTTATTTGCAAAAGTTTGGCACGATAATCTCCTTGGATAGGTTCTCCCGTTGCATGACCAGAAACAGATTTCTAGTTTCGTATTCTCATTTAATAGCTGACATTCTTATCTCACTGTTGTGACACTAACAGAAGGCAAGTCCAAGTTTTGATTCCAGGTCCCCTTATCTTATGTTCCATGTGTATTTCTGTACACATTGCCTTAAGACAGGAATTTTGTAAAAGTAAGAATATTATCTGTGCTGCCCTTGAATCTCAAGTGTCTGAATACTACTATTTAGCAATAATTGTGCCACACTGTTATAGTATACCTCGGTTGCTACTAGATGTGAGAGGACAAAGATAAATGCTTCCGATACTACAGCTGTTAAAGCTGTTTTTTTAAAAAAGTTCTAACTTGGCTTCTTGATTAATGTGATCAAGTGTCCTTCTAGGTACAGTAACCCGATTCCTTCAGTTCTTCATAATCCTGCCCACAATAGAGTATACATATCATTTATTGTATGCAACAAAAGAAATCAAATTTTGTAAGAACAGGTCACATCACAAATTTTATTATCACATTGTATGTATTTGGGTTAAAGATAGGGGAAAGTGTGTGGCTAGGTGCATGAGAGTTGTGTAGTGTTATAATTAATGCAATAATTTGGGAAGTGCCTGGTTTGAATCTTGAAGCTGTCATAATCTTGCCAGGTAAGCATAGGCAAGCTCAGCCTCACCTGCCCCCATCTACAATGTGAAGGATAATAATACTAACTTAGCTTACAGGTTTGTTGTAAGACTAATGAGATTTTATATATGAAATGCTTTGAACACACAAGAGCTACACAAATGTTAATTACCAGCACTGCAATTAAGGTATATGTTCATCTACTTGCTCAGTGATGAAATTCTGCAGGAGCTTATTAGTGGGATAGGAGAGCTGGAGGGAAAAATTCACATCTGGCAATCAATGCACCCCCTTGGTTTCAGATAGTACATGGGTAGGTGTGTCTAAAAAGTCCGGGACACAATTTTCACAACTCTCTCGTGTCTATTGTGGCTCATTTACCAGAAGGAATGTATTTAGCATTAAGTCTGGAAGTGTATACCTGATTCCGCCAGATGTGAAATATGTTGACATTATTTTCAGCTCTCCTATCCCACTAGATCTCTTACAGCATTATTGGAGTACACTACTACGTAACCCTAAATTCATGCATCTGAATCAATTACACCATTTCTGAATTGGAATTGGTAGCTGGTGCATGATGACTCTGTGCCTGATCATACCAAAGGAAGCCCATGTTTCTCCTGTGAGATAGATCTCTCTTATATTCAAAAGAAAACTGGCAAACAGAAGCCATTACTTGCAACTCCAAGAATGGGTTTAATACGCCTTAGCATGTGGGTGGCGCTGTGGTCTAAACCACAGAGCCTAGGGCTTGCCGATCAGAAGGTTGGCGGTTTGAATCCCCGCGACGGGGTGAGCTCCCGTTGTTCAGTCCCTGCTCCTGCCAACCTAGCAGTTGGAAAGCACGTCAAAGTGCAAGTAGAAAAATAGGTACTGCTCCGGCGGAAAGGTAAACGGCGTTTCTGTGCGCTGCTCTGGTTCGCCAGAAGTGGCTTAGTCATGCTGGCCACATGACCCAGAAGCTGTCTGCGGACAAACGCCGGCTCCCTCGGCCTATAGAGCAAGATGAGCGCGCAACCCCAGCGTTGTCTGCAACTGGACCTAACAGTCAGGGGTACCTTTACCTTTACCTTTAGGTTCTTTCTATGGGTATTAATACTGTGCCAAAGTATATATAAATGTAACAGGAATACAGCTGTGCAATTTAGTCTCTACTATGGGGCTCATCTTTCGGTGGGATAGGACTTACCTTTCTTGGTGTATTCCTGGATGAGCTTGTTAGAAATTTTGTATTATGGTTTTAAATTTTTTGCTTTTCAACGGTGTCTGTATTCTATCTTGCATTGCTTTGGCACTTTTTTTGGTAGAAATCAACTAACATAATAAATTGTAATAAAATAACTGCTGATATCATCTTCGAAAACAAGACAACTTTCAGAGGTTGCCCACTTGTGTGGGGTGGGCAGTAGGCAGAGTGGGAATTTTGAGAAAGTGCTGTAGGGGCATAACACAAAATGGCTGCCACATGCAAAAAGACAAGAAAAAAAAGTCAGTGTCCCCATATGGTGCAGGCATTCCTCCCCCACCAATGGGAAACAGCTACTTACATCAGCTGCTATCACACCTGTGTACCTCTCCTCTGTTCAGAACATATGGCCGATGGGTGTCTACTCTTGGCATCCAGTGGAATATGGAAACATTTAAGGGAGAGGCTGAGCCACTACAAACAAACTCAGTAAGAAGAGCAAACAGCCTTTATGTGCATCGTGAATTTTTGAAAGGATTCTTACTCTTGAGGCCTTTTGCAGGCACACCAGTGCCCCATACTATAGTAGTGGCAGCCTAAACAACCATTTGAGTAATAGGGGAAGAACTAAATAACACACATTGATATTTGCTTATAGCGAGGGTAGCCTGATTCAAACCAGCCAAGCCTCCCCTGCAACTTTATCTCCTGCTTTGATCGGGTGATAAAAACTCTGTCTGTTCTGTAGTGTGATCTTTAAAGAGCAGTCAAAGTGCTTTATCTTCTGCTCAGGAGATAAAACATCCCCCTGACTGCCTCATAAGAGTGGATTTTGATGGAGCAGTCAAGACTGATATTATATTTCTAATCTCAGCAGAGCGCGGAGAGATAAAAGGCAGCAATTCCCCCCTAACCTCATTCCAGAGCTATGGGAGGGGAGCTGTCATTTACTCTTAAGGAGAAAGCAGGGGAGAGGCAGAGTGGTGGTGCTTAGCACTGCGACTGGAGGTGTCACATCTCTGAATGCTCTGTTTCATTTTGAGAAAGATGCTTTATAAAGGGCAACCAGAGGGATGTTTTGCATAGACTGATCTGTACAAAATAAAAGGTGCAATTTCCAGCTACTCTTACCCCACTCCTGGAGGGTTGGAAATGTGGCAAGAGAACATATATATGAGTGTTTATATATGAATTGAGACTGCATGTCTAGTGTGCTGCATGTACATGTGTGGAGAGTAGGGGTATATGAAGTTTGCATTTTTTCAAAATTGCGTACGAAATACCACTTAATTCACTATTTCATGTACTCCTTGAAGTGAGCATGCATTACGATTCCGCCAGTGTTCACAGGATTAACCCCCTCCCCCAATATAGCAACTCCCAAGGCTTTTTAACTTCAATAGGAAGCTGCTTGAAGAGGTCATTCAGTGATTTGGTTTGAAGGGTTACCAGCATGCAGATGACCTCTAACTCTAGTTTTCATTCTCAGCTTATTAAAGTGAGGTAGCAGAAGTGCAAAATCAGTGATGAGCTGGATCAGAGCCAACACACAAACTTAATGTTAGCAAGACAGAGGTGCTACGGATAGGTGATGCATTTGCTCAGGGAAGTGGAGTTCAGTCTATTCTCGATGGCAACATGCTGCCCTTAAAGAATCAGGTTGTATGTAGATCTGGCTTTGTCACTAAATATCCAAATAAAAGTTGTGGCAGCATGAAGAAATCTTGTTTGTATTGTTGCACGTTCTAGGAGCTTACCGAGGAGTTCATGTTTCCTTTCGGAATGAGGCACAGCAGAGACTGTGGTGTCTTTATGATATATGGTTTATTTACAACCTGAGCCTATGATGGAGGGCTTCACAGCATGAACACCCCAAGAGGGCCTTACTTCCCCCTTAGCAGCAGCCTTGGATTAAAACAGAAATCAAATATCCCTCTGGCTATCTGGCTTCCCAGCCCGAAGCTTTGCTCACATCTTTCTTTTAAAAAAATAAATTAAAAAATCATTGAAAATTTCAGTGGGGAAGTAAAAGTGCAGAAGGTGAAGAAAACCAAAACAAAACAAAAACAAAAAAGTGCTTTAAACTGTGGTCAATACAATATATGGGTATATAAGTAATATGATTGTTCTGTTATGGCCAAATCCATAACAGCGTGTGCTTCCAGAGCACCTTATATAAACACAGGTATCGTGCGCCTGATATAAACGAAAAGTAGAAGCAATTGTATTCCATTACAATATTCCATTTGAGAACTTCATTCAACATGAAGGTGACAGCAATTCAAAACTAAATTACAAATGTAATAAGGAAGCAGCTCCTGGGAAAGACATTACGGATCCCTTTACAGCTTTGTGTAACTGAACACCCTATTATGCTGCAGTTTGGAAATAAATTAGGGACAGCTCCAAGCCTCCACATTCAGTTGTTCAGGCTGCAGAGATAGCATCTACACAGACCTGCAGTTCACAGCTTCACCACTTAACAATTCAAGTGAAATGGTACTTCAGTTGCCCGAAAAGCAGCCTATTAAGAACTTTGTGCATTCTTCATTTCAACAATAAAGCTTCTCAGCATAGAAGACTGCAATGTCCAGGTTCTGTAGACCAGAAAGAGGGTTAGACCCACAGTCCACAATCTCAGTGGAGATAAGAAGAAAGCCACAGTTCCATATGTCTTCAACAGGAAAAAGCAGGAATAGACCTGCCACAAAAACAGGAGTGCCATGCTGAGGTGGATGGGCCACTGTTTGGCATGACGCAGATAGTAGCCAAAGCCGTATCCTTGGCAACGCAGCAATAGACACCAACATGTATATGCCATCAATGGTAGGTTAAAGAATGCCACCTGCAAGACAAAATAGATATAGGTCCATAGATTCATACAGCTGGAAGGGACTCCAAGGGCCGTCTAGTCCAATCCCCTGCAATGCAGGAATCTCAACACATGGCCCCCCATTCCATTTGAAACCATTCCAGACTCTGCTTAGTTGTCTCTAGACAATACCACCATCATTTTGCCTTGCATTTTGTGCAATTCTGTGATCCCCCAAAGACACACACAGGACAGCTGAGTGGGTGCTTTCCTGCAGAATGCAGCAGTTCCATCAAGAAGGGATGCAAAGACATTTTGAAAAACATGTTAAGAGATGATTGCCTTGTATCCTTACAGTACTCCCTTCTCCAGGAAAAGGCAGATCAGGCTACAGTTGTACATGCCTAGTTTGCATCCAGGCTGGATGATGATGATGATAAAAATAATGGATTGCTGCAATGTGCTTTACATGATGCTGCCCTTAAAGAAATGTTTGGAAACTTCAGCTGGGATCCAATTCATGAAGCATGTTACTTTGATGTTTGCAAGCTACACTGGCTTCCTATTAGTTTCCAGGAACAACTCCGACTATGATAATAACACATAAAATGCCCTAGAGTCTATTAGATTTATTGCTTAAAACATATCATAATCATTTTCCCCTCAAAACAAATATTTAGGTTGACCACCCTCACTACAATTTCTTTCAAATGAGATGTTTCAAAAAACATCAAACGAGAGGCAATTTGTTAACCAGTTTACTAAGAATCCTACCTGCATAATTCCAACAAGGTAGGTCGTACTGCCTTCAAAGAAATGGCCATCAACAATGACTCCAAAGGAAAAGCAGACGCCCAGATGTCCATCTATAATATCACCAATAAACCAGGGCCCTATAGAGAAGAAAAGTGCATTACACTGAAAATGACAAGAACAACTTGCAATCTAGCCTACCTAGCCCCCAAATCACTGTCTTAAGGAAAACAAAATTTTGTCCAATATCCATTAAAACAAGTCATGACAACAAAAACCAGGTAAGGTATTAGTGTAAATAATGCAATTGATAAGCAGTGACATATTGTTAAAGGTTAGATTTTGTTGGATTTATAATTTAGGCAGAAAATAGAACCCTTAATTTTATTGCATTGCATGATTTGGGTGAGCTTCCTTGAACTGCACAAGGAAAGGTGGGAGATGAGTATTTTTTCAGACATTTCCTAAGTGCGACTGTGATCAAGTAGCTAGAAAGCTGGACTTGGATCTAGGAAACGTGGGTTGTGCCCCACCTCTGTCATAGACTGTAGGCAAGTCACTCAGAGTGGCCAAATCTGTAAACTACTTTGCGAAATTAGAAGTGCTAAATCTTAAAACAGTACACTGTAGCAATAAGGGCTGAAATGTGCACATTTTTAAAAGCACTGCTCAACTTGCACTGCATTGTTTAATTTCTAAGAACTAGCGTTGTTTTGGGCAGCACTGGTGCTTACATGGTAGCACAAGGACTTGCTGGATGCCTCTCAGCAGCATTACTCGGGTATCTTGGGATTGTTATTCAATGCTTCTTACAAAAACCTGTAGCTTGCCAAATATGAAAACATTCCTACGTGGTATATGATGTCTAACAAATTATCTCCTGAAATTTACAAGTTATTTGTAATCACTATTCAGGCAAGCTTGGGTACCCTACAGATGTTTTCTGCCCCATGTTAAGAGTTGAATTATAAATTTTACAGAATGCAAATGCATGGTTTTTTAAAAAACAAGCCGTTATTTAGTTAAACACAACATAATTGAGGCTTTTGAGCTAGAAGCTCTATTGGCATGTCCATGAACTCGCTGTGCCTGTTTGCATCTTACCCAGAAGAGTATAGAAGCTCAACAGGAGAAATGAGTGGTAGAAAAAGTTGATTTTGCTCAAGATGTGAAGAGAAAAAGAAGCCCGCATTGCTCTGCCCAGAGGTCCTAAAATGGAAACAAACTTTTAATTTGAAGTCCCTACTTTTAAAAACAGAAATACAGTAACTTTTTACAAAATGATACATTTACAGCACCATCAAAGGACAGATTCATTCACTGAAATCAATGGGATGTGGTGCGAGAAAACTTCCCGGTGGATTGCGCCCAAAATCCATCCAAGATGCATGAACACGTATTCCTGAAGTCTTTGAGACATTTGACATTTTCAAACCAAACCAAAATTTAGCTGTTCATTAGTACCTATCTTTTGAAGAATAGAATACTCAGCCTACAGAGGCTATTACGTAGATTCTTTTTAAAGGGGCAGGGGTAGAATCAATCCGAAAATCACACTGGTGCATTTGCTTAATTTAAAGTACTGGTACTTAAAGAAAAAGAAAAAAGGTAAGGAAGGATCAAAATTGTGTTCAAGAAAAAGAATTTCTCTTACTTTTAAGTGTAGGATTTCCTCGATACCGGAAAATAACCAACAAGGCAATTTGAACTACAACCATCAGTACAAACACTACTCGAACCTGAAAAAGAAAGAATACAATTATATATATATATATTTAGTAAGCCAAACAGGGCCCCAACAATATTGATCTCTCATAATGTGGTGGGAGAATAAAATTTATTTACCACCATTTGGGAATCATTGAAGGCAACAGACCAAAAAAATACTAAAGGATCAAGAGGGAAAGGAGATCACACACATCCACAGGAAAAGTCAAATCAAGCATGATGATGTTTTCCATGAGTTTTAATCTTTTCTTCTTTTAAAATAGTGCCACAAGGACTCTGGAAAGGATGCGAAACTTTTCTTATCCAAAACACTTTTGGATGCATCCTGTGTATTTGACAACCTTTTATTTTCTACATTGTTTTAGCTGATTTTGTTACCTTTATTTTTTATTGCCATCTGTTGCGAACTGCCAAAAAAAGCAGTTGCTGGCGAAGTGTGTTAAAGAAACTTCTGTCCCCACACAACTCACTCACTCTTTCCCCCTCTGGAATACTCACCAATACATAGAGGTCAGTAAGAAGCACCCAAGATGCCAGAAGGTTAAATGTGAGGGAGAGGTTTTCCTCCATAGCAAACGTATGAAGCCGAGTGGCATTCCTATTACTGGCATCCTAAATATGGGAACACAAAGAAATGAACAAGACTTTCAAATGTGCGATAGCAAAACAACTCAACATCTTTACTAGTGAAAAGTCCATCATTCTGTGGTGTGGTGTGGTGTGGTGTGGTGTGTGTGTAAACACGCACATGTGAGTGGGAGGGCAGGTATGCATATTGCAGGGAACATGGGATCACAGCCATTGATGGTTTGGGCATCCCATGCCGTGGGCAGTGGATAGATTTCACCTTCACTGCAAAGTATTCCCAAGCACAGTTATTTTATTTTCTCGCCAGATAAGGCGATCGTTGTGGTTTACTCTTGTAGAAGAAAGTTGAAAGGAGTCTATATGAAGCAGGGATGACACCAGCGTTCTTGAGCAAGTACCAACGCCCAAGGAATCAAGAGTGCCCGCCATTGCCAACATTGGCACCTATCAATAGTATCTCATTATTTTAGGGCTGGTACTGAGAGGGGCACTGGGCCACATGGCTGAAGCGGCCACCATCTTACCTCAGCCAGAATGCCTCTGGGTCTGGCCACAAAAGCGGTATCACTTGGCAGTGCTGCGTTTGGCTCTGAGCATAGGAGCCAATTCCTAAGGGCCAAGGTTTTTTTGCCCCCCCCCCCCATAAAATATCTGAAGGGGGCAGGGGCCCCCAAGTTGATGGCACTGCCATTTAAATGGTACGTGTGTGCCATGTCTTGTGATTATGTGGGGTGGGGTTTACCTGCCCCCCCCCCGTATTCTATTGTATACTGCCTTGATATTTTATGGTTCTGCATTTATTTTATAAACAAACAAACAAACAAACCCAATCTCCAGATCA